TCGTGCTTACTAATGTTGATTTGAAATCAACATTTTAAGGGTCTTAACTGTGGACACTTATTGTCTATATAAAGACCTTTACCCTCCCTAGGTAAATAGTTATCTTCAAGTTCTTTAATAGTCACTTACCTATCTATAAGGTTTACGATCTATATGAGCCTTACTATCTATACATTAGATAGTTCTCTAAGTCCTTCGAACAAATTTTAATAGCGAAACTAAAAGATTTAGATATTTTATTATTTTTATTATTTTTATTAATATTTTTAATTATTTCTCTTTTTTCTCTCTTTATTTCTTTATCGACTTTCTCGTCGAGCTTTTTTCTCGTCTTTATTAATAATTTTTATTAAAATCTTAGATTTATTTTTTAATTAGTAGCGCTTTAACTTCGTTTATTTTAACGAGTTTAGTTTAATCGCTTATTTTCATTATTTCTCGAGTAGATTCGCGTTCTTCGACTTCTTCTAAGCTTCTTAAGTTCGAAGTTTTTAGAGTTAAACGTATTTCTACGTCCCTAGGAGATACTTCTCTCTTAGTTCTTCTAGATAGTCTAAATAGTCGTTAAGTCGTTAGTCTTCACCTCACATAGTGGTAGTAAATATATATAGCTAGTAATTCTAAAAGGCACCCCGAGCAGCGGTCTCTATAAACAGTTAGCGTAAACCGCCCCGTACAGCGGAATAGACTTACTTAGTTAGTAATTTAAATAGTATACTCTGCGTAGCGGTTCTATATATATAGCTAATTTCTTTAGATTTAGTTAGGTAGATAGATAGATAAGTAAATAGATAATTCTTTAGTTCTATTAGTCTAGCAAGCAGTTTATTTTAGTCGTTTATCGTAATTTTCTCTCACCGCTCGTAGAGAGACACCCATCCGTAAGTATTCGTCGAAGATCTTATTAGTGACACCACTAAACTAAGGCGAGACTACTAGCTATGGGCGTCAACTCGTACGGCGGTGGGATAGCCTCTTCACAGCACGCACACTCAACTAAAGGAAGTTCTCCCGTTTATAACTTAATTAATTATTCTATGAATGATAGTCCCCGAGGACTATATAAGAAGAACCTTAGTCTAGCGTCGACGCCCCAGCCAATTATAAAGCTATCCCCCACTTCAAACTTCTCCCATTATAATAGCCTAGATATAAGAGCTGTGAGCGACTGTGGGCTCCCTGGGCTCCCTGGGCTCCCTGGGTATATAAGAATGCTGTGAGTCGCGGGAAAAATTGCTAATGATAACTCTTTTATAAAATTAGTTATAATATTAGGGCTCTACGAGTTTTAATATACCCTATTCTATAGATATCGCTTTCTTAACGAATATATCTATATAATTAACGAGCATTAAGAAACTAAAGGATTAAAGTATTAAAGAGGAAAGAAAAACCATACTTATCTCGGTCCCAGCCGCCGGTAAAGATAAAGATCTATTTCAGTACCCTCTAAGTCCCAAAATAAGCTCCGTAGGATTCTAATTCTCTATTAGATCGGTATACTATTGCACTAGATTATTCTAAATCTAGAGCCGGAGTGTATATTACAGCACAGCCCATACGTCCGCCACTTTCCACAAGGAAATTTAGGCAGCAGCGTAAGGGCAGAGGAATCTACTAGATTCCTAACGCTGTTAGAAATAGATACCTAGCCGAGAGGCGGGTATAACCGATAGCTTAGGGGCTAGATTAAGCCCCGGATATATTTGCTCAGAGGGTGCTCAGGGAGCGCTTAGTGATGCTCAGCTAAAGACCCCTAAGCCCGAACTAGCTTCTGCGAATAGACATTAGGCAGCGCTCCCTGTGGCTTACCCAGTGCTCGGACGCGCTCCCCCGTGCTCTGCCGTGGCTCCCACGACGTTCTCCCGTGCTCGGCCGGGCCTCCTCGATGCTCCGTCACGTGCCCAACTAAAGCGACCTCGCTCCCTTTCCTGAACGAAAATAGTAAGGGACAAAGCACAGTTCGGGGTATATATATCGTTTGCACAGTGAGGAAAAGTAGTCAGTGTATTCGCTGGCGTTGCAGTAACCTTGGTTCAGGAAGTATCGCCTGGTTGGGCTTTTATTTAGGTGGCGTTCTCGCGGACGAGGGACGCCGTATGTTTGTCCAAAAAAATTAGCCAGAAGCGGCTCTTCCATTAGGCCTTCGAATGAAGTAGGCAGGAATCTGTCATTGCCGCGCGAAAGAGCACGGCAGGAGCACGCTAACAGAACCACTTAGGAAGACGCTGAGAGGCTCAGGGATCGCTCAGGAAGCAGAAGCGTGAGCCAAAGGGGCGCCAAGTGGCGTACTACATATTACCTGTCTCGCTATGTACCTTCATACATATTAATATTCATCAGCATGACATTTCTAGGGCTCTCACCCGCTTATTTCATTCGTCCGTCTAACTGCAAGAACTGAGCAAAACTGTAAATCAAACTCGACCACCAATTTCAGCCGAATCGGCATCTGGGTGAATCTCGTACAATCTCATGGGACCTGAGTTTAGTAAACACGGCAAGAAAAGTCGGAGCAATCGCCCATACCGGTTCGAAGACTAATCAATTGCAAACTCTCTGTGGGCGAGTGGGGTTCTTAATACATCGAGCTTGCCCGCCTAGGAGCGAGGTAGGTCTTGTTTCTGTATTCTGTATCCTGAGAGAGCGAACTGTGCCTCTGTCGTGTCACTTCCTAGCAAGATGTCGACGCACCATCACACGTCCTACATCGCCGTGATCGGGGGCACTGGGGCCCAAGGCATCCCAGTTGTGCGCGGTCTGGTCAAGGACAAACACTACAAATGTCGAGTCATGACCCGAGACGTGAATTCTCACAGGGCCAAAGAACTGATTGCAATGGGAAATGTTGAGTTGATGGAGGGCACCTTCGCCAGTGAGGAAGATCTTCGCAAACTCTTCCGTGGCTGTGACGGAGCCTTTGTCAACATTGACGGTTTCAACTGCGGAGAGAAGACAGAAATCTATTGGGCAATCAGATCATACGAGCTGGCTCTCGAGGAGGGCATCAAGCTTTATGTCTATGGGAACCTAGACTACGTCTACAAAAAGAGCGGCTATGATCCCAAATTTCGGACCGGTCACTATGATGGCAAAGGCAGGGTCGGAGAATGGATCCTTGCTCAGAACCAGGTCAATAGCCACCGCATGGGAGTCGCAGTTTTTACCACTGGACCTTACATCGAAATGAGCATCGCCAAACAAACCATCTTCACGCCCACAGTCGAGAACGGTACTGTGACATGGCGTTGCCCAGTTGGAGACGGGGCGGTAGTCCACGTCTCCCTCGACGACTGCGAGTATTACGTTCGCTGGCTGTTCGACCATCCAGAGCGGTCGAACGGCATGGATCTCGAAGTTGCAATCGACCACATTCACTATGCCGACCTGGCCAAGGCGTTTGAGAAAGTCACCGGCCACCCAGCCAGATACATAGACACTGATCTCGACACCTATTGGTTGAATGGAAACGTGGCGGGTGCTGCGAACACTGGAGCAGGGTACAACTCGGACCCCAACGACCCTGCCTTCATGACGTTCAAACAGAATTTCACTGGATTCTTCAACATGTGGAAGTATTCTGGTCACAATGAGGGTGTCATTCGTCGAGATTATAAGCTCCTAGACGAGATTCATCCCACCAGGATCAGGAGCGCAGAAGAGTTCTTTCGCAGGGAAGACGCTCGGGGAAGGAAACTGGGACTAGGCAGTCTTTGGGATCGGGTCCAGGAGAAGAATCTCAAGCCAGTGCTCAAGATTGGTGAAGACAGGCGGAGGGGAAGACTGTAATCGACAGCACTCGGCACCCGTATTTCCTATGTAGTTTGAATGCCAGACCTCCGCTCTGCATAACCGTTGCCTTGATGGCATTGGTTCAGTGTCAGCTTATGGTATGCAGATGCCAATAATACCCGGTACACACCTTGGGTACCGTTTAGGCAGTGCTGGGCTAGGAAGCAATCTCCACTCCATGAACCTTGGTGCACCCTAGGTAAGTATTAATCCTGCGGCGACGATCTTTGCACGGAGAATAATAGTGGAATGCCGGTTAGCGGTAGCAAAGAATAGGGTTCGAGGGTAAAGGGTGGAGAATGCCCGCTGCAGCGCCCATAAGTAGAGCCCACCAGCCTGTGGCTAACGAGGCGCAGCTTGACAAGGATGACGCCTCCAAGGGCTAGTGAGGCCTAGTGAGGCCTAGCAGCCCCCAATGGCCAGCTCAAGCTTCTCAAAACGGGGCCCTCTGTACCTAAGATCGGAGTTTTGGTGACGCCCATTTCCTGGAACTCGCGTGGCGGCGAGGCGGGAAGCACCGAATGTCAAGCAGACCCTTGACCACGCATTCGTCACATCATTCCAAACAGAACTGCGATACATTCGACCAACTTCATTTCCTTCTCTTCCAGAGCAGCTGACACGAATCCCAGAGCTGCCATATGTCTTTCTCCTGCGAATTGCCTGCATCTACCCTCCCGGCATCCATCGATTCCCATTGAACCTGGCCAGACGTCAGGCTGTCAGATATGGCCGCCGCAGTTCAGCCAAATGCGCCAGTGCCAGTCAACGGCGGCCCTCGTCCTATGACACCGAACCCTCCGCAACAGAATGAATTGCCTCTACCTCCAGTTCCTTCGACAGATGTTCAACGAGAAGAGTTGGATCCGGCGTCCAGAGAGAGGGTGCAACTTGTTCTCTCTTCAGACGTAAGCGTGAGCCTGACTTCCCGTTGTGACCCTGTTGACCAACCTCTCAGATTGGCATGAGCACCTTGCTGAACCGGTTGAAACAAAGCATCAGCTCTACAAGAGTACGACTTCCTTCGCCTGCCAGTCGTATGGCTTGCTGACTGGGAATAGGACTTTGCGACCTTTCTGAAGGAACGATCGACGTTGGAAGAGAAACATGCACAGGGCCTGAAGAGACTTAGTCGGACCACGCACGATTCGATAGGAAGGCCCGACAGCAGACAAGGAACGTTTGCTCAAAACTGCAAGGAGATGACCAATATTCACGACCGAATGGCAGACCATGCAATCCAGTATGCCAGTACAGTATTTGGAATGGCCGAGGAACTGTTTGAACTAGCTTCCAATTCCGAGAAGGCGCGGAAATATTGGAAGCAAACTGGCGGGAACGCTGAAAAGCGTGTGCAAGACGCAGAAGCCGCCATGGAGAAGGCCAAATATCGATACAATTCGTTGGCGGAGCAGTACGACCGCGCCAGGACCGGCGAAAAGCAGTCTGGTAAGTTTGGCTTGAAAAGGTCTGCTGCCCAAATGGAAGAAGAGCTCCGACACAAACTTGAAGTTGCCGACGCGGACTACTCGGCCAAAGTCGAAGCTGCACAGAGTCAGCGGAATGAATTGTTGAGCACTCTCAGACCCCAAACGGTGAATGCGCTCTCAGAACTCATCAGGGAGACTGACGCTGGCCTGAGTCTGCATGTGCAGAAATTTGCCAGTCTCAGTGAAAAGCTACTCTTGGGGTTTGGTCTCTGCATAACCCCTATCAAAGGCCCCTCGCCAATTCCAGGTTCCAAGAGTCTACGTGAGTTAGCCTCGGGCATTAACAACGAGAAAGATTTCGCCGATTTCGTCCTTGGATTTAGCAACAAGGCTCCGACGAGACCGGACGAAATTAGATATGAACAGCATCCTTCACTATCGCCGAAACAACAGCAGCCTGGGTATCCAGATCAGTATTACAATGAAGATTCTTATGCTCCGACCCACGGAAGGCAAGTTTCGGGAGTCACTCCTTATCCAGGCGAGGAATATTACGACGATGGTTCTCAGTATCAACCAGAAAATCCAGCGCCTGGACAGACCCCTCAGCAGAATCAGCAGATGGTAAGGCCTCAAGGTGCTCAAGGGTCTGGACCCCAAATCGTTAGGGCCGCCCCAGGTCAGGCTCCAGGGGCCGGTCATGTCCGCAACGTGTCTTCAATGTCTCAAGGGCCGCCGGCTCCTGGTCAGCAACCAATGATGCAACAGCAACAAGCCCCGGGAACTCAACCAAATGGTCAAGGTGCACCGCCTCAGCAGGGAATGGGTCGAGGTCTGCCGTCACAGGGTATGGGACGAGGACAAGCGCCGCAAGGTATGCCGCCGCAAGGGATGGGCCGTGGGCAAGCACCACCAGGCGTAATAGGACGAGGACAGCCGCCTCAAGGAGCGCCCGGCTCAGGCCAAGCACCACCAGGCGCAATGGGGCGAGGACAGCCGCCACAAGGAGCCCCTGGCCCAGGTCAAGCACCTCAAGGCGCGATGGGACGAGGACAACTGCCTCAAGCAGGTCCTGGCCAAGCACCACCAGGTGCAATGGGACGAGGGCAGCCGCCTCAAGGGGCCCCTGGCCCAGGCCAGCCACCTCAAGGTGCAATGGGAAGAGGCCAAGTGCCGCCAAATGGCGCTGGTCGGGGTCAGGCACCGCAAACCGCCATGGGACGTGGGCAACCTCCTCAGAATGGAATGGGGCGAGGAGCACCACCACCAGGAGGATTCGGACGAGGTCAACCACCACAAGGTATGGGTCGAGGGCAAGCGTCTGCTGGTCCTCAGGGCGCCGGCCGTGGGATCGCTGGCCCAGGACCGGGCGGGCCTCAGAATGGCGCACCTCGTCCAGGTCCTCCTGCTGGTGGTGTCAGTGTGCTTCCGTCGCAAGCCCAAGCAGGTCCAAGACCGGGCCCGCCCATCCGACCGGTTTTCGGAGTGCCTCTAGACGAGCTGTTCCAACGAGAAGGATCTGCTGTGCCGATCATCGTCATGCAGTGTATTAAAGCTGTAGAGCTATTCGGACTGGATGTTGAAGGCATCTACAGAACTTCTGGTTCGACAAATCAGATTATGGAGTTAAGACAGCAATTTGATCATGGTAAGATCATCGATCTCTAGTACCGAAGCACAAGCTGACCGCCCTCAGATGCCAATTCAATCGACCTCCGCAACCCAGCAGCTTTTCACGATGATATCGCGTCGGTCACCACACTCCTCAAACATTTCCTCCGCGATCTTCCAGATCCGTTGCTCACAGCAGCGCAGTACCGGGACTTTATCCAAGCCGCCAAAATAGAAGATGATATCGTGCGAAGGGACTCAGTTCATGCCCTCGTCAATGCCCTGCCTGATCCCAACTATGCAACTCTCAGAGTACTGGCCATTCACCTGCACAAAGTTGCACAGCACAGTGGCCAGAACAAGATGACCAACAGCAACCTAGCAATCGTGTTTGCTCCGACATTGATGGGACAGCAAGGTGGCACGAATGGAAATGCAGCCGGGGGTGCTGATATAGCAGACGCTGGGTGGCAGGCAAAAGTCGTGGAGACTATTCTCAATAACACCTTCCAAATCTTTGATGAGGATGAAGCCGCATAGTGCAAGAGGCACCCTAGAATACAGGGCTAAAGTCACCTCTGCAGAATTTGACGGTATCACAATCTTCAAGCTGAGAATGGCTCGAGAGTAGCTCCTCCTGGGAGCGAATCACGGGATGGCCTTGAGAGGTGTGCTTTTTGGTCAACACGGAAGGTTGCACGTCGCTCACTCCAAGCAGCCTGGGGAGACATAAAATCACTCTCTTTCCGCGGCTGATCCCTTCGAACAACCTTGGCTGCAAGACCAAACTCAGACAACTTTGCTGGCAGCCTCTGTGAAACACGGTCTGGTTGTTTTCCGCTGTCATATCAGTTTATCAATTCCTAGAAACGGTCAACGCCCGTTTCGACACACTAATTCTACCGGTCTCGAAGAAGTTGAGACTGAGGCTAATGTCTCTGTCAGGGCAATTCAGTGCCCGCAGCGTCCTCACGAAGAAGTTGCTGGGATTCAACGAGTTGATCCTCTCTCTATTGAACATCATCTCCAACCTCAGCAAACCGACAAGGGAATGCCTGATGATGATCCCTGTGTCGACTAATGCAACACCGTTGCTGTCGCAGAGAAGGAAAATGGATTTTCCAGGGAGATAAATATTTGGCGGTGCACAATAATTGTTGTGTTTGGCAGTGACTGAGCCAGGGGAAATGATCAGAGATGGATCTCGATATAACAGATCTCATGGCAGGAATGTGAACTATGATTTATGAAACCTCTTCTTGCTCGAATACAGGGAATCTATATTAATCTCGCTTGTAAGCTATGCTATATCGAGCAGTCTGCAGAAACTGCCACTCGGAATTGCGTAATAGATGAGATCCCGTGTCTCGACTGCGAGGCTTTCCCCCCCCCCTTTTCAGCCCCATTCAGCCACAATCTTGCTTCTCTCTCAGTCCTCTATGGAGTACTACTCTCCATTCTACCCTTGGCGGCACAGTCTGTACCTGTCTAGTAGACTTAGAAGCTTTGCCGTTTCTCGCTTTTATTATTCTTCCTAACGATGTGCCATGGCTAGACCTGTGAGAACCGGGCTCGAAGCTGAGCAGCCATTTGTTGTGACAGCAGTGCTCCGCTGTGAGAGTCTTCAAGCCATGACGCCTCCAACTCGCTCAGCTTATCCGCCGTCATTGGCTGACTGGGAAGAGCACAAGCCCATCATTCAACACCTGTACGTCCGAGAGGGGCGAAATCTCTCTGAGGTCCAGAGAACTCTGTGTCAAAAATACCATTTCAAGGCTTCGTACGGCGGGCAACTTCTGCGGTCATTGTTTTCCACCCTGCTGATCTCGTCTAGGTGCCGCTCGTACAAGAACAAACTCAGATCTTGGGGGATACGCAAATACTATCGAGGGGGAACTCCACAGTCGAATCTGCCGGGCATCTTGTTTGATCCCGACACAGCGTTGGTGTCTAGCTTCAACAGTGATATTTCCACAGGGCAGACCCAGTACGAGGACGATGATCGTGTCACCATATCGACAGCCGGCTTGTTGCGGGATGGGTTTCCAAAGCTAGTTGGATTTGGTCATGAAAGCCCAGTGCTCAGCTTCATCAAGGACCAGATCAACGACGCTGCGGACTCGATCGTCCTGGCCGCCGAGGCGTTTATAACCTCTTTCTCGGACATCATGACTCCTCCTCCACTTGACCCTTCCGACACGTCGATCAAGCAAATCAAACCCTTTCGTCGACGGAAAGACTACATCTGGACCCAGTTTCAGCATGGTCTGAACCTCCTGGAGCAAGGCGAGGTCCAGAATGCCTTCGCAGACTTCCAAAGGGGCTGTGCCATGGCCGAGGAGTATCTGATCCGCCCATCGGAGTACACTCTCGTCAGTCTATTGCTTGTTATGGGGAACCGCCGTTGGAACCGCCACCGGCAGGTGTGGGAGTCGGTCCTGCAGTTCATGTCGTCCATGTCCGCAAAAGCTCTGGGGAATCAGCACCCATTGACGCACATCATGAGCAGAGTCGTGGATTGGAACACGATGCGCGGGGTTGCGCAACCTTGCCTGAACGCCATGTTGGACCTCTATCGACGGACACGGCTACTGGGACCGGCGCATCCGGACGTGCTACTCCTGCAACAGACGCGCTCCGTGGAGCTGATGCGCGCAGGCGAATTCGAACGAAGCGAATCCCTGATTCACGAATGCTGCCGCGTGAGCCGCCACGTCTACGGCGCCTCCAGCCTCGCGACGCGCATCTGTCTGCGCCGGCTGGGCAATTTGTACGTCGAGCAAGGGCGGTGGGACGACGCGGAGAGCGCCTTCGAGACGATTCTCGCGCTGGATTCTCAGGAGAATTCCTACCAAGGCCCCGTGCACGAGAGCAGCATCTTCACGTGCCAGAACCTGTCGCTCGTCAACTGTCGCAGGGGCGATCTGGAAAAGAGCGACTACTGGGCCCGCCAGGAGCTGGATCTCGCACTCAAGATCTACGGTCCCGACGACGAGTACTATGTCGACTGTGTGAGAAGGCGAGATGCAAGGCTCAATGGGGAACCAGAGCAGAAGTGGTTCTCATGGCTCGAGGTCAGTTGAAAGGGAGAAGCTAGGCGACACATGGTATCGTACCGCTTTTATTTTCTTCGTATCCGGGGGGCTACATGGACTTCGGATCGCATTGGATCTGAGAGACGGCCGGAACTATCCAATAGCGACCAGGCAGCACAATCCGTGCAACGAACAGTGTCCAATTGCTGGCAAGTTCTTCAATCGTGGTACCTTGCCACCCATCTCGCCATTTCCCTAATTATCCAACCCCCTAGAAGTTGTCAGACCAGTTTAAAGCTACCCGTGACGTTCTTCTGAAATATACCTCGCGGGTCATACACGCGACTTGCATGCCACAAGCTCGCGAAATTGTCCGGCCCGTAACTCCGCAACGACCTCTGACTTGGATCCGCATAGTTGAGGTACCGAAACCGGCCCAGTATACCCTTGGCGGAGGCGAGGGCATCAATCTGATCACCAACAGACCGCGCCATGTGTTCTACGAGGCTGTTGGTCGAATTTTCCAGCCACAGCGCAGAGTGGAGGAGGCCATATTCATCCCCATCGGCGGACGATATCCCTAGCGAGTTGCCCCCTTTTGCGGACGCGTAAAAGGATATTATTGTCGGAAGGGGCTCGAAGGCAATACTCCACACGACGCTACCGGGGACGGCGAAGTTTGTAGAGGCTGGTATTGAGGGCGCCAAAGGTCTGCGACATCAACGAGGCCGAGACGGAATAAGTGCCGGTCCAGAATAGCCAGGTTGAATCTCCTGACGACCCCGAAGTTGTTACCGCCTCCCTTGAGGGTGCGAAAAGAGGAGCGGATGTGACGTGGCATTGACGTCGACGAGCACCCCCTGAAGCAAGAGCAACCTGGAAGTTCACCACATTGTCGCATACCCAGCCCACGCGGGCGGTGAAGTGGGAGATGCCGCCGCCCAAAGTCAAGCCACGCACGCCGACGGCGCTGTTCCTGCCACCTGCGACGGCGAGATTGAACGGGTCGAGATAGGCGTAGACGGCGAGCTGGGTACACTGTGGCTTTTTGAACATGGATTTGTTAGGAGGATTCAAAAGGAGGGGTGTCGTGGCTGGGGAACATACGCACGACGCTGCCGTCGATGGTTGGAGCGTCATGGCACTCACTCGCTCACTCTGGCCGACGGGGTTGGCTTTTAGGGACACATCACAAACGCGGGCAAGGGCAGCTAATCAGCTCAGAGCTCAGCGTGCATCCACTTCATGTTGTGTATATGACTTTTCCCTTTCTTCCTTTCAGCTCTAGAGAAATATAATGAATACATCCCTTCTCGGCGGAAAGGGCAAGCCTTGCATGCTATGCCGATCCTGACGGTGGTGAGATGCCGGCAATAGTGTGCTCAGCAGGCACGCAGGGCCACCAGCGCGGGAATCTGGACGAACAGACAGTTGGGAAGAAGAACCTACCTAGCCCTGTAGTACGTATGTATGCAGCTTGGTTCCTCCAACTAGAGGAGGCCTCGAGTTTTGGACGCTTTTACATCGACACCACCATCGCCTTCTGCGAGATCTGGGAGTCGCAAGGTAAAACAGAATTCAAAAGGAAAGAGCCCGTGGAGCGCTATTACCATGAGCTGGTCAGTCGGATAGATGCCTTCGGAGCGCGATGGACTTGGAATTGTCATATCTGCTCGAGCTTGGAAGGCGTATCCGTACGAAGGGCGAGACGTAGACCCAACGCGAAAGCAAAATCAACGATTGCCAAGTCCAAGAATTTTTTCCCGATGTCACTCTCCCGCCACAAAAAGAACAAAAAAGACAGCACAGTGTTTTACACTCCGCGCGAGACTCGAACTCGCAGCTAAAATTGTTTGTTAGTTTTTCCTGACCGTAGCGCGTTGTTGGAGGATGTGGCATACCCTCCAGATATCCATATAGAAGTCTGGCGCGCTACCATTGCGCCAGCGGAGCTGAATACTGGTAATTGTTGTCAACAAACAATTTTCTCCAAAATTCCGGAGATTCAAAATATAATTAACACGATCAAGCACCATGGTTCCACTCTCAATCACCGAGAAATTCCACCAATAAAAAGCACTCAAGCAACGGTGAAGTATGATGTTGATTGCTTGTTGCGGCGCCGCCCCCCTTCCCCCCTCAAAAGGCCCACTGGGCCCCATCTAGCGGTACATACTCGGTACTCGGTATAACGAGGATAGTACTGAGTACCTAGATTGCTCGAGAGCGAAAAACCTAGTTGCCATATACGGTTTCATCCTAAAGGGTGAGCGAAGCTGCTTTGACCTGAGCTTTAACTGAGCCATTCATTAGCTGAACGTCACTAAGCACTCCCTGAGCACTCCTTAAGCACTCTTTAAGCAACACACCCAGGACCGAATCAGGGCCCCCAGCAGTGGACTGCACCTGCTTCTCGGCCAGGCATCTATTTTAGATTTCAGACGAGTGTCCGGGGACCTGGTAGATTCCCTTCCCTTGCACTGCGGCCCTGGTCACACCAACCACGGCAATTTTCTAAAACGCTCTTCTTTCCTTTTCATATTGAGTCCATAAATACATATCCCATCATTTTAGTCTGCCTATTCGGAAATCTATCCCTAACAATTCGTAAGACTATCGTCTTTTTGCCCTTAGAGCGGGAATCCCGGGTTTCTTCTGCTGACTCTATTCACAACAGTGCGAGCGCATTACTCGTGCGGTCTTCCTGGTGGTCATAAGACCATTCATCACATAGACATAAACCTCCGGCGTATGCGGAGCAACGAAAGCCATCAAACTGTATGCTTGACAGCGGAGTGAATGCTGCGGGCGTCGTCAAAACAGAATCAAAAGAGATGTAAGAAAACCAAAGGTCCATTGTGGGCAGATTCTCTTCCAGACCGCTTTGTGACTCACTTCTCAGGAGCGTGCTAGCATGATACATTTCGTGCGGCTGAGCGCATAACAATTGGTGAATTCAGTCATAAGGAATGTGCCCTTCCATCGTGAAGCAATCTCAAGCCTATCACCAAATGGTGACTTGCGTCGAAAGCACGGCGGCTACTTCCTTCTCATTCTTCGGTTCAAAATCATCGACGCCATAGATCTCTGCTCGCAACTCCTCCAGAGCGCCTTCAAGTTCACGATACTTGCCCTGAGAGATGGAAATGCAGCGACCATTCAGGCTTTTGTCTTGCGCAAGGTAGAGTACAGCTGGAGCCACGTCATCTCCTGTTTGCCAGCGGATGTTGGCCTCTTCAAAGAGCCTCTTCGACTCAGTGGTCAAGCCAGTCAAGGTGAAAGAGGGAGCGATAGCGTTAACGGTAATATTCCACTGTGCGGTGTGGCGCCACGTGCCCCGTAGTAGTCCTATGGTCTGCCATTGCAAGCAGATTAGCATCCTGCTTGACCCATACTCTGCTCACCAACTTCCTAGGCAGCAGCAAACCGACCTGGGAGAGATGTTATCTAATACTTACACCGTGCTTGGTGGCTGTGTACACGGGCATGGCGTAACCTGCGTACCCTGGAGAAGGCTTATCTATCGAGTCGTCCTATATGCTGAGCAGAGTCTTACCACCTCTTGATGCGCAGAGGATGATGCTGCCTCCGTTTGGATTGGCCTTGAGATAGTGGATGGCCAGCTTCAATGTAATGAGTTGTCCGATTAGGTTTATCTTAATAGTGCTCCAGGCTGGCTCAATCGGGTCCCCCGATGAGGGATCAGTCTTGTCCGCGAGGGCCATCTCGCCTTCTGCGATACCAGCATTCGCATAGACAACATCGAGTTTGCGGTGTGTGCTCAATGTCTGCTTGAATGCATTCAGTTGCGAAGTCCAACTTGCGACATCAGTGATTATAGTTTCAAAATTGGCGTGCTGAAAGGAAGAGGGTGTTGCCCGGTCCAAGTTGACAACTTTGGCGCCTCTTGACAGAAACAGCTGCGCTGTCGCAAGTCCAATGCCCGAAGAGCCACCTGTGCTTGTCCCTAGATGTTAGCAAACCTGATCTCGTGCTTTTGCTTTCCCTGAGAGACCCAGATGGCGGATAGTACCTGTGATTATTATAACATCCCCTTCGAAACTTTGGAGATTTTCCGGCCGAATTGAGATATTCGCCCTATCTGTTTTGTCGGTCATGGCGTCCATCGAAATTGGCTCCTTAGTTGAGTCTTCCCGAGCGTAGTGTGATCCCACCGTACCGTTGCGTAGAGATATAACCGCACCCTAAGTTTCCCAATTCGAAGGCTGCTTGATGAATGGTCTTGTGTCGTTGATACCATTATAGTACCTATATCAACCTCGGTCCAAGATTGGTTAGATGCGCGGTCCCCGCCGCCCCAAGCTCTCCACAGTGAGAATAATTTCTGGGAGGCCGATGATGGACAGCGGGGGTGGGCAACCATGGCACATGGAAAAGCTCTTGATCTCTTCAGTCCGGCTTAAATGTGAAATGATGCAATGGAAATTGAGGTATTTCTAGCCCGAAAGTGGGCTCGTTCCTGGATTTCTTCTCTGGTAGACGGTTCTTCTCTTTGTAAGTGTCTCAGCTACTTGCTCTCCGACTGAATAACCACCATGGCCATTCTTCAATCCTTGAAGGGACCACAATTATCTAGAGAGTATGTGGTAACTCTCTTCATCCTTCCAGCTATAGTGGGCCTTATCTACTTCCTTCAATGGTTTATCCAAAGGTACTTTCGGATTGGAATGTACAGAAACCTGCGTTACCTGGTGTGTAAAGCCCATCCAAAGCAGCTTCAAAGTAGACACGGCATGCTGAGAAGAGTTTCAGCCTCCAGGACCTCCTAGTGGCGTTTTCACCGGAACACCGGGCTACCCTAAAGACAAATGCCATCTGTTTTTCAAAAAGCTTTCTGACGAATATGGGGAAATATTCTCTGTCTGGCAAGGCCCAAACTTACAGATTGTACTTAATTCCCCACGAGTTGTGCGAGATCTGTGCTACAAGGTGGGTTGGCAGGAGCATTTTGCGCTCCAATTGCGCCCGGAAATTGTCAATCGGGACACAGCACTGACTTGACCATAGCGGGGAAATATATACAATGACCGGCCAAAGATGTATGCCTTTCACGATTGCATCTTCCGCGGTATATCTATTGTCAGCACTGGCTACAACAACGTGAGTGAAATCACTAGAAACTACATTTCTCCCGCCACCTGGGTGAAAAGGAAAACAACTACATACTCATGGTTTCCTCAGTTATGGAAAAAGCAGAGGAAGATCTTCAACTCGGTGTCCGGGCCCGCAGCCGTCAAAAACTTTCTTCCATTCCAGGACTACGAAACTAAACAGTATCTCCATGACCTCGTAAAATCTCCCGAACAATTCTACATGCATACAGAGAGGTTTGGGGCCAGCATCCTGACCGCAGCAGTCTATGGGTATGCCATTTCCAGGGGATCCATGTGTGGTGGATATCCCAACATTCCGCCTCGGATGCTGACCCAAGGATGATATCTAAAATATAGGTTCCGCGCAGATGATATCACTGATCCCTCTGCTCTAGGACTGCTTCTCACAGGCTCATGGCTCGAAGAAAACCTTCATCCCGGAAAATACATTGACGATAGATGGCCGATTTTACAGAAGTTACCGCGATCTTTGGCGCGTTGGCGAAAGGTTTACGACGAAAACGCCAAACTGCTCGATTCAATCGCACGAGCATGGTGGGATCCTGCGAAGCTGGCGGTGGATCAAGACAAGGCTGTACCATGCTTCGCTACAGGATTTATTAAATCGTACGCGTCTGAAGGGTTCAACGAAGACGAGGCTGCTCTCGTCACCCTTGGCCTAATGCTTGCGGGCGCGGGTACCACCAGCTCGATCCAAAACAATCTGATAATGGCTTTGGCTTTACACCCACACGTAGTTGAGAAGGCGCACGCGGAACTCGACAGAGTGGTGGGCAAGAACCGCCTACCGAACAAGGACGACGAGCAAAATCTCCCCTACATTCGGGCTATTATTAAGGAAATCATGCGCTGGAGACCTTTTTCAAACCAAGGTAAGAAATTAACATCTGAGTGTGCGATTAATTTCATTGCCTAGAGTCTGACAAAAGATCATGGCAGGTTTCTACCATGCGACAACCAAGGAAGACTGGTACGAATCATATTACATCCCTGCGCACACCACCGTTATTGCAAACGCCTATTCCATTCACCAGGATGCAAACCGGCACAAAGACCCAGAAGTCTTTGAACCGGCCAGATACATTGATTACAAGCTCAGCGCACAAGAGTATGCCAACATGGAAGACGCAAACCAACGCGATCACTTCGCATATGGTGTTGGGCGGCGCATCTGCGCAGGCTTGAACATAGCGGAACCGAGCCTGTTTCTACTTGCTTCTCGCTTGTTATGGGGTTTCAATATAAGTCAGAAGCGCGATGAAGACGGGAACCTCATTCCCATCGACACGCTGGGATATAGCGGTAAGCAATCTCTTATCTCTTCAGAGTTCCAAAATCCCTGCTCTTCGAGAGCTATCGGTCCACATCTTCTCGTGGCTCTGACCCAACCATAAATGCTAACATTGAAACAGGAGGCGTATTTGCCAAACCATATCCGTTTGCTGCCTCCATATCCTGTCGGAGCCTGGAGCATGCCGGCGTGATCGACAAAGAGTATGAGGCAGCTCATAGCGATGCAAGGAGCTTGGCACAAGCTACTAGGGCTGGGGATATGCCAGGTATGCAAAACCTAGTGAAAGTCTTAATGGCACATCCCGACACCCATTTTGCTACGAATATGTGAGAAGCACGGTATGTGATATTTTGGGCCTAAGGGACCGTCATGGAGTCGAGGAGCGTAGCAGGACCCATGGCAAGACTCACGACAGATGGTAATGACAAGCTGGTCAACAAAGAGGGAGGATACACTACAGGACAGTGAAGAAAGTACCAAAAATGCCCCCTGCTCCTTCAAAAGCACATAGTTATCGGACATAATGGTTCGAACTCCGCTTCCCTTCAGCCACCCGAGTATTGTTTCTCCTGGCTTTCCACAACCGAGACCGGCGTTATAACTAGCCAAGTGAGATTCACTCATTAGCCATGTGGAGGAGAGAAGCCACAGATGACTGAGGTAAGTTTGAGGGAGAGACCGTTGGCTTGCCAGAGTGAGGCTCAGGTATACGTAGTACATAAGCGTAGTACATAAGCGGGGGCGGGCGGTCCAGAGAGGTGGCAGAGCGGGCGGCCGGGTTGGAAGATTTCAAAAAGTCCTCGGCTCCCAGTCAAAGTAGAGCAATACAGTGAGAGAAGAGCCTATAGGCTCTACGCCCGCTAGAAGAAAACGCTCTAGCTCGCGAGAGTTACGGCTCACTGATCTGGTGAGACACGACCTTGGGCAAACGCAAGAAGAGCTTTGCCGACTACAGAGGTATCGGATATCGTGACAATAGTGTTGTGTAATATCACCATTCTCGCCATCGGCTTTCTCCCTCGTACTCCATGTGCGTCTTGTTAGAATATTCACTACTCCATTGCTTTGGCTGTCCTTTCTCCTTCAACTAATGTCTATCGCCTCTGCTCGTATCTTCAAGACTTTTATCCCCACCACTTCAAATACCATGGGAGATACAATTTTACCCGACCTGAGCCCCAGGAGCATTCAATATGATACTTCACCGTCGTTGTCGTCGTGGTCGAACCCGATTAAGACCCAGAGAAAGATGTGAATTATTTGCATAGGGGCCGGAGCCTCGGGCTTATAAACTTCAACGGTCATTTGACGACTTTTCACTGGTACTCTATGAGAAAAACAGTGAGGTTGGAGGAACATGGTTCGAAAACAGATATCCTGGGTAGGTGATTATTCTCAACTACCATCGCCACCAATAACTCTGCATCTGACTTGCGACATCTTTCGTAGCTGTGCTTGTGACATACTAGCACATACCTTCGCCTGGTCGTTTGAATCCAAGAGCGATTGGTTATCCGTCTATACCAGAAGCAAAGAGATATATCAGTATTTTAACGACTTCAGCGACAAGTAGCGGCTACGGCGCTACGTGGTGGTAAGGCATCAGGTTTCAGGTGCCCGATAGAATGAGGGAAATGGCTCTTGGGATGTCAAAGTGGAGGATCAAGAGTCAGGCAGGAGCTTTTTTGACCGCTGCAACATTCTCATCAATGCCGCAGGGATACTCAACGCCTGACAGTGGCCTCGCATTCCAGGTCTGGAGTCTTTCAAGGGGTCTTTATTACACAGCGCAAATTGGGACGACAAGATCGACCTCAAAAACAAAACTGTGGGTCTGATTGGAAACGGGTAAGCCAGCTTTTGGCTAATTCTCTGTTCCTCTTTCTCGTCAATTTTTTTCTTCTCTGGCTCAGTCTCTACAAACTTTGGTCTTCGGATGCTCAGATTCTCCCTGACATCCGGCCTATTGCGAAGAGAGTCGCGACATTCATTCGTGAGCCGACATGGGTCTCGGCGGTACAGGTCCTTGAGGGGTGAATATACCGTGGCGAGGAGAAAGAGACGTTCGCAAGAGAAAAGGGGAAATTACTTGAGTATCGGAAAGGCATGGAAATCCGCGCTCAACAGCCCGTTTTTCATATTCCTTCAAAACACCCAGACCCAGTATGACACACGCCAACATATCCAGCAGCAGATGGTGAAGAAGCTGCAAAACGCAACCCTTGAGGACAAGCTCATCCCTAAATGGTCGGTCGGTTGTCGAAGGCTAACTCCCGGAATCGGCTACCTGGAGTCTCTCGGGACCAGCAACGTCGAGGTCGTGTACCGGGAAATCCTCAAGGTTACCCCTAAGGGCTGTGTCTGCGACGATGGTCAAGAACATGCCCTGGAAGCCTTGATATGTTCCACCGGATTTGACACGTCCTTCAAGCCTCGCTTCCCGCTAATCGGGATGTCTGGCGAGAATCTCCGGAACGAGTGGGCGCAAGAGCCCGCTTCATATCTCGGGATTGCAGCCTCTGGATTTCCAAACTACATTATGTTCTTGGACCCTAACGGTCCTATTGGAAACGGACAAGTCTTAACTGCCATCGGTAAGATTTCCTTGTCCCTCTTTGTTCTCCCTCGTTCTCTAGCCTTTTTGCTCCCCAAAATAGGCTGCTTCTCCAGATATCCTTATTTTCCTCTCGAACCCGCCAGCCTCCAAGCATCTAAAATCTCCTCAGCTCAAGGCAGCTTTCATTGTGGTGATGTGGTCGACCTGAACTGACCGAATCCGAGAGGCTCAAGCAGATTACATGTGAAAATTGATCAACCGATGGCAGACGGAAAATATCCATTCATTTTCGCCCAAGGCCGAGGCTGTCAGAGATTTCCTCGCATACAAAGACTCGTTCATGTCCCAAACTGGGTGGAACGAGGAGTGTCGGTCGTGGTACCAAAATAATTCAAGTTCAGGCAAGATCACCGCTCTCTGGCCGGGCAGCACGATGCACTACATTGAAGCAATCTCGGACGTGCGATCAAGTACCTGGGTAACCGTTTCGCTTTCCTTGGAAATGGGTTCTCCCAGACTGAAGTAGACGATTCGGCCGACTTAGCGTACTACACTAGGAACGAGGATGACAGCCCTTTCCTTAGCTCAAAGAAATACTTGCAGGCAATGAACAAGAGTGGTACTATGACAAACCAAAAGAGGATGAACGTCATGGTAAGGAGAGAGTCAAATCTGTAGCTACATCTGCATTTCCGAAGACCTTTTCCCCCGGCTGTGGTCCAACGAATCGAAAGATCCACATCTTAATAGGACTTGACTTAGGGAGGCCTTAAAGTTTCGTTTCTTGCAAAGGCAGAACGAGCACTCGTGGCACAGGGAAGGTTCCTAAACAGACAGAAGGAGATAGGAAGGTAGTGTAGGTCATATAGCATGCAATTCACATTGATCGCTACGGTCACACGGAGGTTTGATACAGTTCCTATCGCCGCATGAAGCTCGTATACAGATTGTGAGGTCTCCGATAGGACTATGAAGGGCCTCTTAAGCGAAAAAGCCATGTTAAACGTCTCTACTTCTCCAAGAGTATATACGCAACGTTGTTTTCTGCAGAAGAGACAAAATGTGGCGTTACTATGATCATCATCTAGAATATAAGCATGCAAAGTGGCATTAATTGTATATGTTTGATGTCTGATTTTCCCGTATCCGCTTGAACTGCAAGAGTAAGAACGAAGCCGTCCGTCCAAGGAGAGAGAAAAACAACATCTAGAAGTCAACTGCAAGTCGAATGGCAGTCCTACATGAGAATTTCGAGGGTCAAGAAACCAGCCGGGCAAGCCAATCCCAGATGGTGACCGACATTTTCCCCGGCGTATCACCATATTGGGCGTCCAAAATACACTCTATGTGTATTTGGTTCTCACATATGACAGTGCTGGTCGTGACGGAGGCACCGGCCAACTTCTTGCCTAGCTCCTTGATGTCATCCCTGAAGACTTCCTTGTCTCCCCCTACCATCAGCACTTGCTGCGCTGGGAAACCCTTCCACCAAGCTGTTTCGGCAGATACGGGTTCAACCAGATTGTGGATAACAGAGTCGTCAAGCCTCTGGGACGCGGCTAAAGCCACGGGTAGGAAAGCTTCTGCCCAGTGGTGCATCTGTGGGGCTAAGACGATGTCGATTGCCGCATTGTCGCGGTACGAGCTCGACGATGACTGGAAGCTGACCCACGGGCAGATCAAGAAAACACCTGCCAGGGGGGACGGCAGTGTTGGCTGTGATAGCGTGTCGTTGGCGGCGTGGAGAGCCAGCGACATGATGGCCAGGCAGATATTACCTCCGGCCGAATCGCCACCTAGGATCAGCTGTGGCAGAAGTGTGTTAGCGAAGTTTTCCCGAGTGCTGCGCAATGGGCAGAAACACTGGTTCTACGTGAAGGAAAGTTCTGTGTCTATGCAGTGGGAATGAGACAGCCTTACGTCGGCGGGTTGGTAGTCTTTCTGCAGGACGTAATTCAGAGCCCGGACAGCCTGCAAATACTGAGTCGGATATCGGTTCTCCGGTGTCAATCCTTGTTTTTGAAAGTCAGATTAGCCCATTGATCATAAATCTAACCACTTGGTCCGCGTTTCGACAAGCCAATGAGACACTGGCAGATCTTGAGGCCCGCCTAGGAGGACCTTTGCTTACCGTATTCAACGAATGCAATGACGGCTCTCTCGCCCTTGTCTTGTAGGACCTTTGAGCACCGGACCACAAATTCTAAATGACCAGAGTTGGGTGGCAAGGAGAAACCCCCTCCTACGTATTGGCCGAACGACCGTCAGCCGGTTTCGAATCATCTTTTGATGGTCTTTGGTAACGAAAGACGGGGTGATCTTGACATCTTGGCGTAGTGGTTTCCAGTAGAACGTACCATGAAAATACAAAATCACTTTGCATTTCTGTAATGATCTGTCGCCTAACCAGTGGATTTTGGCTCCCATGCCTTCAGGGATCAGTTCTGTCTGCAACGGAAGTTCGTGTTTTTTGCAATATGCAAGCATAGTATCCGATGTCCTGGGAAACAATTGCCTGTTCGTCGGTAGTGGTGGTATGTTAGCGCCGATCCTCGAGCTCCCCGGGAAGCATTTATTTTCCGAGAGCCAAGTTTGGACAAGGACCTTAGACACTGACGGAAGTTGCTCGACATCGAAGATGCTCATCATTGCATGAAGCCGACGGTTGCGGAAATCGTGGCTCCATGATCTCGTCGTTGCCCGCTTTCGAAAACAAGCGGCCAGCGCAGCGTAGGCGCTATATATCGCTGAACAATAGTTAGTTTGATCGTCTCACGAGCCTTATCAAATTGCGAAGACATCAGTGACATGGACCCTGATCGGGTACATTTTGTTTTGGGGGTTGAGGGGCCAAGGATATTCACCTAGCGAGGGTAGCTGATAGACCAGCTTGAGGATAGAAGGCACCATGTTGTCCTGGAAAAGACTAGCCTTTTTGATGTGAATACGAAGTTAAGCCATTGATACTGTCAGGTGCTTCTTGCGCCGATGTTTATTCCTCAACACTGGCCGGCTGAGGTTGGTTACGTCTCAAGACAGTGTCCAAAACACAGTTCGAGTGGAAAGAAGTACTGGGCTTTTGTCCTGCTGGGTGCCTTTGGCTCTTCATACCCTCTCTCAATTGCCAGAGACTAGCATGGCAATGCTAAACTGGCCCTTGTCCGCGGCTGAGAAAGCTCATTTAGCAGCCGAGGTTGCCCACTTATCCTTGAGAGACCCTGATGGTATGTAACTGCCCATATTTTCACGGACTATAGTACAGTGCTGACATCGACCTTTTGCACGTGGCAAGCTCTATGAGCCTCAAGATCCATCGGCATGGACGCTCTTGCGGACGTTTCCACACTTCTCCAAACTCACGTTTCCCGGACAAAACACCAGATCGTGTTTCTTCAACTCATTGAACTGCCAACTAAGGGGTAGGTTGAGCTCATGGATTCTCTTTCCAACTTCCTATTCTTTCGCGCCATCGCAGAGATGCGGCTCTATGCTTTCCCCCTTATTCATTTGATGCTCTCCTCTGCCTCCAGGTATACATCTTAAGGGTGCGAGTGTTGCTTCAAACATCCAAGAAAACATGGGGGTGCTTAAGGGCCAAAACATGATGGCACCTTCGTTTCGAGTCAGCTTCCTCATCTTCGCATCCAGCCAAACGACGTGGCTGTCTCTAAGTCGCGGGCACTGCAATTGCGGCCCATATGTCCTTCATCAATCTGCTGACACATGACTGTCACTCGATATTGCAAGCATTCGACCAAATTGCTCAAGACTTAGAAGCAACAGAATACGGATGTTAGAAAAATTAAAAATGAGAGATAGAACAAGGGAAAATAGGGGTAGTGGAGACGAACCTGGCCACAGTGACGAGTACTCAAGCAAAAACCGGGCATATGTCTGCAGCAACGCGATGACGATGTGGGTGGCGTCTCGAAACCCCTTGACCGGTGCCTCAGCAGCGGCGCAGGATCCAACCAAGCCCATGTTGCTACGACATTTCCGAATCAGTCGGCGACAGGTTTGGATGATGGTCCAAAATTCTTCTGTGCAAAGCTCACCGTCGAGGCGTGCGTCGTATGCTTCTAGTCCTTGCTGTGGCTGCATCCCTGACACCCAAGAAGCAAGAACTTGCAAGCAATCGAAGACGTTCATAGCCGAATGGAGCGGCATGTGAGACGCTTCTTCAGGAGATGTCCACCAAGGCGAGAGTCGAAGTGTTGTTTCCAAGGCATTGCTGGCATACAAGGTTGCCTCGTACGAGAAGCGACCCCGCTGCAATGTCTCTGATACATCTCGGAGGCTGTGGACCCGATCCCCCGACATTTCCGCAGTGCTGTCAAGACTGTCGCGGTGATCCCTTAAAAAAACAAGATTCGCGGAACTGAAATCTTGGGTGAAGATTGCTTCCTTCAGTGGGCGGTCATCGAGTCGAAAGGATAAATTGACGTGGTCAAGCAAGGGAATACAGCTCATCAGCAAGCGATAACTGGTTCCGAAGGAAGGCTGTTTGGAGAAACTCAGCCACAACCGCTGCCACCGTCTCACAGCTGATTTGAGAGACCTTCGGTCGCTGGGGACGACGACTTCCGCAAACAGCGGATTTTGGCCTTGGGTCTGGGCAAGAACGCAGATATGCAAGACAGATATCAATGACAAGCATCCAAATTCTCCGATGTCATGGCTGGCGGCTGTGTTTTGCTGTCGTATCTCAAGAGCCTGCTCGTGGAAGTTGGTGTCATTTCCCAGGTCCACGTCGGTATATGTGGGCTGTAATGGAGAGTTTTGGTCGAAAAGGCCCCTAATTTGCTCGACGAATAATAGGGGCGTTGGAGACAAGTGAGACTCAACCTCGGACCATGTGTGTGCATCCGAGGCTTCCCATAACGCTTCCTTACATGGGAGACAGAGTTCAACCCCCGTCAGAGGTGGATGAGGGATGTCGTTGAAATATATCATGAAGGCACTCATCAACCACAATGTGGAGAAGAACAGACGATTTCGCTCTTCCTGATGGACCCATATTAGCCATTTACCGCGCTGTCCCACTTCAACCCCGGCCCGAGTGTCGGCATTGGGAGGGTCTCGGAGGGTGTGAATGCCAGCTTCTTTGATCAGGGCAAGAAGGGACACACAGCTGTTCTTTGTGGTCTCGTTCAAGACTCGATCCCCAAAAAAGGTCCCGCAGACGAGATGCTGAAGCAATGCTTGCATTAGTGGAATGGGTGCGGCTCCGACCGACGACTTGCAGACTGACTTTAATTCCGACGTAATGGCTGCGCTGGTTTGCCGGTATATTTCGCGAGCCAGAGTGATTTGACCGGAAAAAGCGGCGCCCAGCGCCAGAATAGACAGCAATAAGGGCCGTCGAATGCGACGTCGACCGGACAGCAGTGCAGGTGGCGGCCATTCTTCCAGTACGGGATGGCGAAAGGCGTCGGACATAGCTGAAGTGAGATCGAGAGTTGGCAGATGGAGAAGTGGCAGATTGGGAACGAAATACTGGCGGTAGGCGTTCACGAGTATTTCGATATTGATGTTGTTGGACCAGGTGTTCAAGCACGAGGATAGAGGTGAGGATGAGAGTGGCGAATAGGGAGACGGTTGCCTCCTGGTTCCGTTGCGCCATTTTAGTGCTGGCCTCAAGGCTGGCTCTGTCACGAAACAGTCCAGATTTGATGTCACAGGGAAAAAGTCTACTCCGAATGGTAGAAATGTGGTGAAACCAGATATGTCGGCGTCGAGGTCGGGCACGAGGTCATGCTCCGAGGATTGGTTTGAGTTTGGGTTGTGATACATCATCACTCTATCCACAATGTCCTGAGCTGAGCTCTCTGCGTTGGAATAGTCCAAGAACTGAGGTATTATCAGCCAGCGCTCCGTATGTTGCAGCTTGGTTGATAAGTGAGATGAGTCTCGCCGAACGGAAGTTTGCAGCTTATCCACAACCACACCATTATGAGATATTCGACGTTGAGCATCAACGACTCTCGAGGGGTTGTCTTCTCTTTGGCCGGCAGATGGCCTCTCGAATGTGTCTCGATCCCGATCCGGGGGCCAGTGGTCTGCATTCGTCTCCCCTGAGCCTCGCATCCTGTCCTGCCGATCCAGGGAACTTTCCGACCCGGCTGTAAGGTCTTCGAATTGAGTATAAGTCCTCGGGTCTTCCACCGCCAAACTCGTAGTAGTTGGATGAACCTGTGCCGCATGGCGGAGCACCATATCCCGGCGGGAGAACGCCCGGTGGCATTCTGGGCAGGAAAAAGGTTTCTGCTTTGTATGTGTCCGCTCATGGCGTTGAAGATGATCCGGTCGTACAAAGCTACGAGGGCACGTTCGACAACGAAGTCGAGTATAACCACTGGTTAAGTCTCGCCTTTGTTGACGGATAGCCATTGTCCCGCCTTCTTTGAGTTGATTGTGATGGACCATGTCCGTCGCCGTGAAGATCTCACCGTAGAAAAGAACAATGCGTTGTATTCGCGGCTGAGACTCCTAGAGAAGACAGAAAGCGGGGCATTACAAGATGGTCAGTGGTGTCTGACTGGTAAGAACAAAGATAAATTCGCTTCGTAGGTAGAGGAGCAGGTGAGCAGGCGTCGTTCGCTGCGATTTGAGCGAGGTGATCGAGCTTGATAATTAGTTGCAATAACAGGTGGTCCGGCCAAACTGTATAGGCCAGTGCAATAGTGGGATGGCTCTTCGCCACACCCCCGATCCCCGAGTATCCCTGACCCCGCGCCAACCCCAGCAACCTGGGGGACGGGCAGCTGTGTCCAATGGAGGTATTGAACTTATACAGATGCCCTGTAGTGGCCAAAAGGTTAATCCATCTCTTAGAGCCTCAGGGCTCTAGTGTCACTTAAAGCTCTCAAGAGGCGGGCTTCGGATGACTAGTGAGACTTTCTCCAAAGCAAGTATAGTGGACAGCCAGGGACGATCTTAGGAGCCCTTCAATCATTGTACGTGGTCCGTGAGACGGGCGGCGTGAGTGAGGTAACAGCCGGCCGATCCCTGGATGGCTGATACTGGAAACACGAATTCGCATGTTCTCGGACTTGCTCGGACGACTCATTGTACAACTTTGGCTCAATCATATCAGTGCTGCGTGATGACATTGCGGCGCTCAAGGAGCTGGGAGCTAACAAACCCCCAGTTCGACTGTGACCTCGGTTGCCCGCCCCCGCAAGGTCGATCTGATGGTGGATGTGGATCACGGCAAGGGACTATCCACCACTCAGTAGGCGGAGCCTCGCCGGTAGTCGGCCTCTGCCCGAAGCCGTTATTACACACTAATCAACGTTTCGTGAGCATGTGTAACCGCCTTCGAAAACACATGCTCTGCCCACCGTAGCCAAGCTGATGGACATTGGGAGAACATGCTGCGAATTGGCGGTGTCCTGATGTGCGTTGGGTTGCGTGAGTACCAGCGGCCCTATCTTCTGTCTTCTGCCTTTTTAGTTTGTCTCTCTAGTTGCAGTGCTGACATTTTTCAGACTATGGTCCAGCGATTTACAGATTGTTGGGATACAGTCCTTCGAAGCAACTTCTTTTCCCGGTCGTCTGGCTTACTGTCGCGCTGATACCGTTCCTGATCACACCTCTCATTATCGACCGATTTCCACGCAATCGGCTCATGGGTGTGGGCATGATCTGCTGCTCAATCAGCTTGACTGTTTTGGTTGCTTTGATCGCCAATTCCGTCCCCACGACAAACCACGACGAACCACGGCTGCCCTGAAAGTCGCAGTGGCAATGCTATTCATATACACTGCATTTTACACTATAGCAGTTGACGGTGCAAGCCCCAGCGTCTCTTTTACCCTAGTCAAGCTATCTCTCAACCGACTGATTTATTCAATAGCCTACGATTAGGAACGCAATTCGTATATCTGGGAGAAATCTTTCCAAATCTTCTTCGGGCCAAAGGCATCTGCCTTGGAGCGTCAATGATTTCTCTGATAAATATTATTTGGTTACAATCAACACCCACAGCGCTAGAGTAAGTTCACTCATCGTTCAAGCACAGGCATCTTATCCACACTCTTAGAAATATTGGATAGAGGTATTTTCTAGTTTTCATACCTAGCATCGTCAGACGCCTTCTCATATTAATCTTCTGGTCTGATATGCCGGGTATATTTCTCGAGGAAATCAGCGCCGTGCTTGGGGATGCAGATGAAGTCATCATTTACCTGAGAGATATCGAAGTCGACCACCAGACTCACATGATCACGGCGGCCTTCAGAGGTTCCAAGGGCAACGAGCTGACAATTTCCAAGGCGGGCTGAAGTTTGCAATTTTGTGAGAAAGGGACACAAAAGTCTAGTCACGCAAACAATAAAGTCATGAAAGGGTACAAAGTCAGACGCAAAGGTTCGGATGCAGGTGCTCTCATAGTCGAAAAGTAAAGAGCAGCGCCTACCAAAACAGCTAGACATACATCAGATTAATCCAGATGTGCCATCGGTTCAGCTCATTGTGTCTCTCTCACAGCCCGCGAGTCCCCATGCGAGTGAAGATTGCTAATGATGTCAAATTAATCAATTTGAGGGCTGAGTCCTTCTGCCGACTGAAGCAGGGACAAAGATGTATAGTTTTCTACTACACAAAATGAGTGTGTTTGAAGTGCGGAATCTTCCAGAGAGCTGCATAAAGATTGCCAAGCAACTGAGACAGAATACCAGGCGGCAGGCCACCATGCTGGCGATGACGAGGCTTTACAAGATTGCGGCAAGGCCGTGGAGCATGGTGTTGAAGATTCTACTTCACTAGTCCTATTTTGGAAGAGGTAGGATTGCTCAGCTAACCTTGGTGGCTCTTACTTGCTATCGTTGTCGGGTTGTTTCTGTGTCTATGCGCCGAAAATTACTGATTGATGGCTGGGAACGATGGCTCGGAGCCGGAAATCAGCGTCCAACCTCGGCCGCCCGCCCCCACCCCCAAAAAAGGGTCTCTTTATGACAATTTGTCTCAGGGTGCTGTAGTACGCAACAAAGAGCGCTCCGAGACATCTCATGTCTAGACTACTAGGCTCCAGTATGGGTTTAGCTTCCACGCCTGGCCCTGGAGGGTCTCACATGTCCTCGGCGCCAGAACGTATCCAGCCGCATCGCTCTTTTTACTCTTTGTGTCCTGCAGGAAGTCACTCGGCAAAATTTATCAACGGAGTCGAGTATCATTTGAAGAATTAGTAAATGCATCTCATAAATGAATTCCGGATGTTTCATGCTTCCTTCCGCCCGTCTAGAAAAGCTAACTCATTGCTATTCTTTTTTGTTTACGCAGACCCACTTTGGGCTATAAAGCATTGCACACCTATTAGCTTGGCTTACTGGGATTTTTGTTGTTTGAATTGAGAAACCCTCCTTTCCACCAGGCACGAACAAAGTTGAGCTCCGAATAATGGCCAAAATACGAGACACCGCAAGACCGGAAAGGGGAACGGGGCAGCCTCTGACAGGGAGCGGGCTTGAGAAGGGTGGGCTCTACCTCAAACACCCTTTTAGAATTATTTTTCCATCTCTAACGAGGGATAGAGGCTAAAATTAAACACCCGAGAGGCACTTCTGGGGTCGATCTCCCTGAGTACGTCCGGCCAGCACCTTGTTGGTTGGGGATGGAGGAGGTTAAATACCTGAGTTCGAAAGGCGTCTTCGAGATTCCTCCACCCTCATTATTGAAGGAGCTGATATCCTCCTACATCGAATGGGTCCACGTCGTGTTACCGATTCTTGATATTGACACTGTCACTTCTGTCTTGTTACCAACCAGCAACACCCAAACAAGCCTACTCCTGTTCCAGGCCATTGTTTATGCCAGCTCCACATTCGTTGACGAAGAAAAACTTCGGCTGTCCGGCTTTACAGAGCGACGTGCTGCACAGGATTTATTCTTCAAACGTGTCAAAGTGCGTAAGTAATTGCTCCGGTCTTTCTTTGCACCCTCCTCACATAGGGGATCCAGCTATTGCTTGACTTCAACTACGAGTGCGACCGGCTTTGTCTACTGCAGACTACAATTCTGATGTCTCTGCGTCAAGACGACAAGGTATCACTGAAAGACTGCCGCCACTATCTGACTCTTGGATATTCGATAGCCCAGCTGATGGGCTTCTGCTATGAGAGCACTTATGCTAAACACCCTCCCGAGACAAGTACTCTTTTGCGAGGAGTCTGGTGGTGTCTATATTCGCGAGATAAGCTGTTGGCTATCGCAACGATGCAGCCCCCTTTAATCAAGGAGGCCGACTTTAATGTCGATCCCTCCACGCTCCTTGTCGATGATCTGGCGAACATAGGTGTTCCATCACAGTACCCACGATTACTTCATTCTTTGGGAGACTACGGTCCGAAATTCGAGGTTCATGAGCAACAGCCCGCTCTTCTCTTTCTCGAGCAAACAAGGCTCTGCTTGCAGATAGGCAGCATTTTGAATGACCTGTACCGCCCAGTTGCGGCCTTCTCTGACAGTTATCGCCCTAGAGCCTCACTTACTACCTGTCCAGTTCCAAAGGAAACAGCAAAAGCACATCAACGCAGTCTGGAGAAGTGGTGGCAAGGGTCACAAACACAATTTCAATTAAGTCCTCTGAACACTGATAGCCAGTTTCGGGTAACAGGCTACCAGCAAAGACAAATCTTCCAACATGGGATACTAGCTATCTTCTATTTCGCGACGTCTATAACCTTGCACCAATGGCTGGCTCTGTCGAGTATTCCTACGTCTCCTTCGGTGGAAGAAAAATCACGCCACTGTTCATCCCTTGAGTTGGACTCTCACATGATTTTGTATGTGTGGAAGATTGTGAGCTCTATCGACTTGGGTAAAGTCGTCGAGCTCGGCGGCCACTTATGTGTCATTCGGGCAATTGGCTGCCTCACACAGACAATGCAAACTCAGCAGTACTTGGGTTTGGGTGCGAGCGCGAGCCGCATCCAAGATATCAAAATGTGCCTCCAGTCTCTTCGAGCATCCCAACACCTCTGCCACCGGCGCGGATCAGACTCGAGAAGTTATTGGCATAGGTCGAAGGACGCGATTGTGGGTTAGCCGCATTTCCTTTCTCGCCGGAAATTCCGGAGACTAATTGCGAGCATATCCGCCCAATCCACTGGCAGCGAGACAATCAAGCCGTGTCGATTGACTCGGAAACCGCGATGATCGAGCTTCATCGAGATGAAAAAGCACTGTCGCCAGATACCAGCACAGGCTTTTCCTTAGCGTCGGGGTTTTCCAGGAACCCACAAAGCGGCGGATCGTTCTACGTGTTGGAGGACGAAGATTTCCTGGCGCAAACCGTGTCTGACGAGCACATTCAACTTGCTGGTGAGGAGCCAGTCAATCCAATGCGGTGGGACGGAATATGGGGAGCAGATATAAATGTCGAAAACTAGGAAAGCTAGCACCTAGATATTTTGTCGAACCAATGGGGGTTGTAGGCACAATTTTGACTTCTCAGACAGCGTTTCAAGGTTATAGTCACACCGCTCCCGATCCCAATCCTGGATCTCTGGGACTATAGTCACTAATTATGACTATAGTCCTTAACCAATCCCGCAAATGAAGCGATCTGATTGGTGGAAGTGGGTCCAGTGCCTCACATCCTATAGAGACGTTGAAGGCCTGGGTAGCGAGATTGATGATGTGACCGAGGCAACGACTTTGCCGTGAGTTTTCATCCTCGTCTGAATGATATTGCCTTACTAACACTTTATAGGCGGCGCTGCAATTCTTTAGGTTATCGGAGACATAAACGCCCAGCTTTCTTTGAATTTCGAACCCTTCGATGACCTCTGCGATCACTTCCGCAAATCTCTCTCCAGTATGCGGACCCTTCATAAATCCTAAGCCGAGAAGAGCCCAGCGCAGTTGAAAGACGAATTCAAGAAATGTGCACAAACACCGAGAATTGGTAACGCTGAAGGTGAGGTGTAGCCATTAAAGCTAATGTTATCGATCTATGCTGATATACAATTCACTGAATGAGTAAGTGTCTAAATCGCTCGATATCGATCCTCGTTACTAGCGAACTGAATACTGACGGCATAGGCGGAGTTACTAGATCTCAAGTTGTTCTGTCTGAGGTTGACACTGAGAGCATCGTCACTGACGAGGCGGCTATCCAACAATGCCGTGATCTTTTTTTGAGATGTCGATTGACGTTGGAGAGGCTGCTAGCCTTTTGTATTTCGATTACGCTGTTATAGGGATCTCAGATCTAAGAAACGGAGACAGAAATATCGGATGTCGAAATATCACGATACTCGCCATGTTGCCAGATACTGGCAGCTCTTCTTTTCCGAAATCCGGAATCAGAGTTATAGTTTTGCAGCCGGCTGTTCGCGATGTTGAACCCTCAACACGCGCCGCAACAGCTTCCCACTGGTGTTCTTGGGCAACGAATTAACGAAAACCACGCCTTCCTTCAGCCATTTGCATCGCGACTTGGAAGCTTTCCGCTGTGGCCTTATGTTTGTTCAAATAGCCCAAGGTCACAGACGGTGAACGCACTATCAGCTCGCCACTCTCGTCATAGCGGTCCACCTCCCTGCCGATATCGTTCACAACTTTGCACTCTATACTGGGCAATAAACACTCAGATGAACCCAACCACACATCGTGAAGTTGGCTCGAAGATACGACCGTGGGACTTTCTGTGAGCCCTATAATCAAAATCGTGCATGGTGAGCAATGATCGCTTGACCTATGCCAGCAGAAAGAAATCCACCATAACCTTGCTGTAACTCACTGCTGGGGAATATTCGACGGAGAGTTTCCAGAATCTCACGACCGGTCGGAGCTGCACCCACCATTATGGTGGTGACGGAACTCAAGTTATATTTGGCCACCTCAGAAGGGCTCTTTACAATCTGGGTAAGGATTGGAGGCACCTTAGGACGAAGGGAGATGTCAGCTAATGAAACTCGGCTGGCCAATTTTCCGGCTCATGTGAGGGGGGAAGAACAGCGCACCAGAAATAAGACCGATATGGAATGCCGCTCGATCGAGGCCAGCAGCTGCTTGAAATCGTACTTGGGAAGAACGACTACCCCGTCTCCCCGGTACACCGCCGCATGGCAGGTCACCATCAGTCCATAGACATGACTCTGAGGTAAGAGGCCAAGGCATACCTCCATAGCTCCTTCGGCTCTCTGCGCCCTTTTAGACACAGCGAGTTGCAACACGTATGCAATGACATTCTAGTGAGAGATCATGACCCCTTTCTGTCACGCACACTAAGTGAGTATATAACCACCGACAAAGGGAAGAAGTACAGAGCATGGGAGACGCTGACCGGCAAACCAGAGTTACCGCTAGAGTAGCAAAGAAAAGCGATTTTCTGTCTTGCCTCGCCCTTGCTCCAGTTCAAGGTCTCCAGTTCGAAAATCGTGGTTCCGACTTCAACGAGGTCAGCAATGGATAAAAATGCCCAACTAGTGTAGTCATCGAGCAGAAAGACTCTATCTGGAGGGATTCCGACAGTTTCAGCAGCACTGAGCGCTGTTCGCACGAGACTAAAACAAATAAAGATAGCATTTGCGCGACTGTCTCCAAGCTGGTAAGCCAATTCTTCTGCGGTGCAGGCCGCGCTTGCAGGAGACACGACCCCGGATAGACGATGCACTGCGAAAGCTATCGGAATGAAGTCGATCTGTTAGTTGTATATATTGCAACATTAGAACACAATTTGATTTAATAAACTAGCCGGTCGATGGATATATTCAAGCTGGAGGGGTGGGAAAGTACTGTATTGAATGAATATGTAGCTGCCACATTCTCCCACCGAGCGCCACTATTTGGGTGCCACCCCAGTGTTTTGCTCAAGCCTTTTTCAAGAGTCTCAACCCTCCATCGTGTCTCACTGACCGTGTACGACTTCCCCGTGAGGCCACACGTGAATGTATGGTTAGATTTTTGCTCGGGCAATCGCCCATGTTTGTTGTCTAGGATGAAGTTGCTGATCAGGATTGAGTCCGGAATCTCAAAATGCAAGTCCGGCACCCAAGAGGATGATCCGAAGATAACCATGGCTGAGTCTACCTTCAGCAAAGGCCCAGCTATCCTAATACCTTGGCGTTGCATCGTGTATCGCTACAACCGTCCTTTGCGGAGGATGCGACATTCTCCTTAAATACTTCCAGAAAAACCCCCTTACTAAGTCGTCTCTCCACGATATGGTGCATATTCGGACTAAGGTCGTTGCATTTCCCATCTTTCATTCCTTTTCATATGGTGAGACCAGCGGGCAACCGAGGACTTCCTACGTAAGACATTGTGGGCTTATGATCGCATGCCCGTGCTTTCCTACTTGCCGAACTAGCCGAAATGAGCAGCGATAGCCGTTTTCACTGCCCAAAACTTGTCACGAGCGAAGCACAGGGTGCCGGAAGGACTCCACAGACACCTCTTGCGCACCTCGGCCTTCAAAGAACTAGATGTGGGTGACTCGATAGCTTCTTGATGGACTTCGCTTCCAGCTGTGTGGTATAGTACCCGCAAGTATGGAGAAAGATTCGCGCACTGGAAATTTGCCGTGTGTGTCGTTCAAGAGGCACGCTCGATTTCCTGACGCAGTATCCCAGACGGTGGCGAGCTTTTTGAAGGTATTAGCTCCTCCTATGGGTAGAATACGGTGAATATACACCACCCAAAAAGAAATATATCATTATGATCATTTTGCGAATCCTTTGGTCAATAGGTTTATGCAAGCACCGAGATGTGCTAGAACTATATTGTTTGGTCCTGATAGCGCACTACTCAAGCGTCCACGGGGTATCTGCGTTACGAATGTATGTAGTGATAGCGTCCAGCCTCTCCCGTGGGTTGTAGGTATCGGCTTCAATCTTACCATTCCCGAGATAAGCAAAGCGGTTGCGGTTCTCATACTCCCAGTTGTAGTCTTCGAGTCGCACATCTGTCATTGTTTTGTAATATGAAGGGGACTTTTTGACACAATCAGTGAACAATACCTCACGTACACAACCTGCACAGCTCATGAGGTTTGCCAAGTTGCGAGCTTGTGTTGATATTGATGTGACGAAACTCACCATTCCACACCATAATAAAGGTTTTGACAATGGATCTCTTGTCTTCTTGTACCAGCTTCGGCACGCTTGTCCCCATACAGATCCTTTATGCCTATGAAAAGGAGAATCGTCAGAGTCAGAGTCACCTGGTCAAAGAGCACAAGAGCGGGACAATCAACTTCAACTTACCACTCGTCTACATGCTCACAGAAATCATCAGCGGCTTCTTGTTTCACCTCAAACGACTTTATGTTTTGCTTTTGCATCTTTTCCATCATCTTGATGAAGTAATCCGCGTTTATTTCCATCTGGGATGGACCAGCTTAGCAGTTTCATCCATCAAGAAGGAGTCTAGTTTGTCGAGTCGACTTACAGCTGGTATGATGGATCCATTACCCCAGGGTCCTCGAGGTCCAAGAGCGACAAAGTAGTTCGGGAAGCCCGGAGCTGCAACCCCCAGGTAGGCACTATAGTGGGAAGACGCGACATCAAGTCAGCAAAGGTTGTCCTAGTCTGGGTCATTTAGGCTCCAGCGATCTCTGCCGAGAGAAGTGGGAAGCTGAGATGACTCACTTGGGCTCGTCCTTCCACGACTCTCTGATATTGACACCATGTCTGCCAATGATGTCGATGAAAGGAGCAAAAGCCACGTCGAACCCAGTTGCGCAAATGATCATATCAAATATATGTTCCTGGTCGTCTGCTGTCTTGATCCCCTTCTCAGTAAATTCCATGATTGTGTCGAAGACAACAGACACATTTTCTTGACATAGAGATTCGAGATATCCTTCTCCTGTCGTTGATCATACAGGGTCAGCCGAAACTCTTTTGAGGCTAAGGAAAACAACTGATTGTGGAGAGACTACCTGGAGTATACCGTCGACATCCACTTGGGAAGTTCGGTATCATCTTTTTCTGGAGCTCATCAAAGCCTTCAAGTTTTGCAGTCATGGCAGTTCGTATGTATGCTTCGGTCTTTTTTTGGACTGGGGTTCCTACCCTAAAATTGTCCACATTATTACAGAGGAGCAGTTCCATCTTACGCCGCAGCTGCAATAGAAGGTTGGGATTTTCTTCGAAGGTCTTCTTTTCATCTTCTGTGAATTGAAACGGTCTTGCTCCTCGGAGCAGAATCCGGTTGACAGGAGTATCGCCTTCTTGGGCAGGATCAGCGGCCAAGGAAACTAGGCCCCCAAGTTGAGGGGCGATCCACGTAGCGGAACGAACAAAGATCGTAAGATGTTCAGATGCTTGACACAAGCCAAAGGAGTTAGGAACAAATCTGGTTACATCGGACGAGAAAGGACACAGCTGCAAAAGGAGCTGATAGCCCGCAGAGCTTCCGAATACGTACTCTGTTGCACTTTTGGTGTGATCTGGATTGCCGAACTTCCAGTTCCAATGAGGGCAACTTTCTTGCCCTTCCAGTCAGCGTTTGGGTCCCATGCAGCAGAATGTAACATGGTGCCCGTGAATTTCTCTCGACCAGGAATATCGGGCCCTATACGTCATAATAAGTATCAGAGTCAAGAATGAATGCACGAGTACCAGGTACAGAGCGAGGAGGGAAGCCTGACATTTCCACTGGTTCAAAATGCCAGAAGCATTGATGAAGACATGGCAAAAATCCTTCTTGGTTGTGCCATTGGCACGGGTGATATCGATCGACCAAGTGCCAGTGTCCTCGTTGTAAACGGCTTTCGTGATCTTGGACTGGTATTCAATATACTTGTCCAAGCCAAATTCATCTTTAAAGTCTGAAACCACGAATCGGCGATGTCAGTCGAAACATACCCAGGCCCGCGGCCTTCCGACCAAAGGGTCGTGTGCTTATCGTTTACCTTTGAAATAAGCAAGCAGTTCCGCCGAGCCTGCGTAGTAACTGGTGAAGCGTGGGTTCTGTGAGAACGTCAGCACACAAATTCGAAGCTAGAGAGGGTAAGTGGGGGAGGAAACAAGTCACAGTGCATAATTGAGGTGGATCGAGGCGGTAGAGGTTGAATACATACCGGTCGGAAGGTGTATGTATAATTGTGTGAAGGGACGTCACAGGCACAGCCAGGATAGTTATCTACACTGTGTTTAGGATTTTTTTTGGGATTTTTTGGACTTGATAAGCCTGGTCTTACTCTCGTACCAAGTCCCACCACACTCAGGATTTTTCTCGTATACTTGAAGTTCAAAATCTTTCATCACTTTCTGCATGCGATATGCTAGATAAAGGCCTGTCACGCCCGCACCAGCACATATCACTCGGATCTTCGCACGCTGGGAATGATACTGGTCGAGAATCGTGTATCGTTCACGGAGTGAGGCCGGCGACATGATGAGTGTGTTTGATCCTAGGTGCTTCTGCAGATCCAACGGTCTTCTGCAGTGAAATTAGCGCTCTGAGAGCCTTAAATGAAATATTCCTACTATCAAGGCCGAGCCAGGATTGAGGATTACTGCCTCGGCGCATGGAAGTGGGGGTGGGCGTTCGTAATTAGGTAGGCATCAAGTTGGAACACATATGACCTAGCCAGGGGCCCTGAACGTTATGCTCCGCAATCCCCGCGGTAGCCCGCGTCAAGTGGCCATATACCCCTTTTCGCCTCGAGTAAAAGCACTATGTGAGCACCGAGGCGCATAGATGAGATGTGAGTTTGCCCTCCATACTGGCCCTTGCAGCATTAGCGACTGGCTTTTCCCCGTATAGTTTATTTTCGCCAGTGGCACTCAGCATCACTGACGTCGCCTCGTGATAGATCTGCCGTCCGTGATAACTTGATTGAGTGATTGAACAGAAATCTATCTAGTGGACGAGACCTTTGTGTGGAGCATTCTGCAGTGCCAAGACGGGGTCTCGTAACCTACCCAACAGGGTTAGGGTTGACCAAGACCTCGGCCAAAGTACCCACAGACATGAGGGTCAGAAAATAACCCTAACCCAACTGAGATATTTGTACAGGTATTGAAGTCAAAGTGATGAGAATCGAACCTCGCTGCGAGGCAGCCGTTGTCAAAATCCATCGAAAACGAATCTCTGCAGCGCTTTTCCAAAGTTTCAACCAGGCCAATCCCCCTGAGCGTGGTTTAGGTTGTGGATAATTTTCCCCGCTGGGTTCAACCCAAGAGGGACGGGGAGAGGGACCAGATATCAGACTTGGGGTTTAGACATTGAAGTAGAAGGGGATCCACTCATGTACTGTTGCTCCCGTGTACTGCTGTTGATCTTCGAACCCTCCTGTAATATTGCCAGTCCAGCGAGTGTAGCCACCGGAAACCAAAGGCGGCTCCCATGCCACAGCATGATTTTCCACGTCGACCACAAATTTGCCCTCGCTCGTGGTGTATTCGATGTGGAAGCCACTTGGGTCTCCTTGGAGCGGAGCCGGAGGATACTCTGAGTTCACTCTAGTGGGCCGGACGAGGATGCCGCTGCAACCCGAAGAAACAACGGTGCCATTCTTGGCTAGGTAGCCGCTAATGTACTCATCACCGTCTATGGCGATCGCGTCAAACCACACCAAAGAGTAAGGACCGACTCTCCCGTGGCCCCAGTACCAACTTGTAACAGTCGAGGGTAATCGTTTTGCGCCCCAATTCTGTTATTAAGACGTGAGCCAATGGAAACGGACTATTGATTGAGTGAACGCTACTCGATAGCGCACAAGTGAGTAGACCTTACCTTATCATGATAACCTGTGCCAGTAAAAGACACGTGTTCGCCACCAAGATTGAGGTCGACGGTCCCGACAGCATCAGGAATGGCGTTAGCCCATCCTATATTCGGGAAAAGCTCTTCAGTTTGTCCCGCACCATTGGAACTGCACGGGAAGTGTGCTGGTGCAATCTAGTTGAATGGTGTGAGAATCAAGGTGGAAGGTAGGATATGAAAGGATGGCCAACAATACTTACAGATTTCAGTGTCATGGTTCCTTCGAGGCCGAGTAACGGGACATCAATGTTGACCGTATACGAGGAGAGGTCAGGCGTTCCGGTCCAGGAAACTCCGGTTCCTTCCCAGTTGCCAGACGAGCCATCACCCGATACGACAACTGTGGCATCCCCGCCCAGGAAAATCTGCTGATAGATGGTGTCGTTTGGTTGGAGAACAGTCAGAATGCCGTAGTTGGATGTGCCGAGGGTGAAAGGGAAACCTAACGTGAAAGCATCCCCAGTTACCATGAGAAGGGTTGCCTCAGCGTTCAAGTTTTCCGAGCCGATGTCAAAGTACCACCAGTCAAAGGTAGTAGCGTTGACCTTGTCGAGCTTCGGTCCGTCCAAGCCAGCGCCCGCCGAGGTAAACTCCACCTTAGAGGCTCCGAACTGGGTCACTGGTGGAATCATATCGGTTTTCTGAGCGATGGAAGGCAGGACTTGAGCGATGCCGAGCAGAAGGAGGAAGTACATTTTAGGTAACTTGGACTGGAAAAGCACCTGTTTTCAACAAATTTCAGCGGTACCGTTGAGAATTTCGGGGTGAAAGTGAAAAGTTCGAATCGAAGAGATGCGAACTATATGTATGAAAGGATGGTCTCATGGGAAATTGTCCCATTTAACTGCCATATTAGGCGGGGACGGGCTCTCACGATGTCGGCATCCATAAAGTGGAAATTGGCCTGGAACTACTAACGAAATCAAAGGACACCATATGTAGTAGATTAATTGCTTAGTTGGTTGGCAGGATTAAATGAAATTCCTCGCAGAGAGGGTTCGAAGCGTGGGCTTAATTTTACATAGTAAAGTTCACCTTTGAAGACTTGGTCACCAGGACGTAATAATAGATACATACAAAAAGGTCTAAAGTTCCAATTGCCTCTGGAGATTCTAGCAAGCATTGCATCGACAGTGATTATGTAGGTCTTAGAAATGTACCCACAGATATTGAAAATGGATCCAGCTTACTTAGAGTACTTCCTGCCGCAATGTATGGATGTCATGAGTGGAACATACCCCCAAGTCTCCTGCTCTCGGTCTCAACTAATTACCACGTGCTCTTAAGTAAGATTGATAGAGATGCGATTTGTCATATATTTCGATGTGTCGGGCAAAAATACGCAGGCGCTGATGGACAAGATTCCGATTGGGATGCTGGCATACCAAACATACTTCAACGACTCGGCATATGCCCACTTGGCCCCCAAGGTCGAGGCCTGGATGACGCCCTCTGTGACACCAGGAATCTTGGTGACAGCAAGTGGGTTTTTGCTGGCGAGGAAGGCAGCGACGAGAGCTAGCGCAAAATCCGGCGACAAACCCGCTTTCACAGCATATTCTGCTACGAGAAGGGGTCACTTGGCTTGGAGTTTATCGGCAAGGATGTTGTAATAGATGGAATAGGCGATTGCTCCTCCACCAAGCCGAACACAGAGAGACAACGCGGCCGTCGTTCCAATGATGGTGTCGGGTGTAGCAGTGATGGCCACCGTTGCGGTCGGCACTAAGACACCTCCTATACCAAATGATGCCACGCTCAAAAGCGCTGTGACGAGCTTCGGGTTGGTGGGATTGTTCACAGCAAGAGCGCCTGTAAAGGCACCTGAGTCCAAGTTATTACACAGATTTTTGGTCCAGGAATGGATGGATAACTTGCTCATGATCGAACTGAAGAACAGAAGAACCTCTCGATGGTGCCGCCGGAATCTCGCGACCGCGAATTTCCCACCATTGACCCGACACCGATACGGCAACCATATCCCAGTCCTTTCAGTCCAACCTGAACGGGGTCGGGGTCATAGACCTGGGACATTAGGATGGGGAAGAAATTCAGAATCGACCCGAAAACATTTCCTTAGGTACGATTGGTGCTTTAGCAAAATTGCTTTCCCAAACGATGAATACACATATAAGGAACGCGCCGACGAAAAGAGTGACCAGAACATAGGCACTCTTCCAGGGATGAGTATATCCTCCCGATTATATTGCCACCAGACTTTGTGATTATGTTTGTTAGCCCATAGGGTTGATTGGAGATTATGCGACAGCTACAGCAACGGCGATGATGATGAGGAGGATGTGGCACTTACAACAAAGTTCAGCCCACAATGGAACTAACAGAACCAACATAGTCGAATCTCTTACTGAGTGTCTTGGTGGAAACACCTTCAGCACGGTTGTGGGTATGTGGAAAGTAGAAAAAGAGAAGTGACACAGTTGCACTTCTGACCCAGATACTGATAATGCTGTAAGAAAGACAGGATTTCAAAGGAGCATGGAAGTGATAGCTTACCAGGAGATCCACATGCACCACCTCCAAGTGCTATAAGTGGAAATTAGTTGTGAATACATGATATACGGCCAGAAGGGGATGATTGTGGCTTGTAGGAGAGCAAGGTAGAGGCTACGTTTCGCAACCGGGACAATTTCCGATACTCTAAGACACGTTACCATGCCCAAGCTCTGTCCAGAATAGCATCTTCGATGTGGATCTGAAGAACTCGCCCTGCAATGGGCGTCAGCTCTAAGATTCCAGCCCCTACCCCTTCAATGGACATTCCGGCTATCGCCTAGCCTAGAGCATTACTCGTGCCCATGACGACACTTCCCACAATGACAAGCACACAGCCAGCGAGTGCTACATTTCGCCTCCCAAAGAGGTCTTGGAGGCATCCACAGAATGGAGCAACTACCGCCACTGCAAGGCTGTTGGAGACTCCGAGCCACGCTTCTCCTTCGGTGGCATTGATATCTGCAGTTATCAGGCTCAATGCACCGCCGACGAAGTAGAGTGGGAGTTGTGATCCTGAGACAAAGAAGCATAGAGACGTCAGCGAATTTGAGATAAATATCATGCTTGGACAAAGGATAAAATCAAGGGCCTGGTGGGTGTTCTCTCTCGCGCGCATAGTAGTGGATCCCTCCACTTGTAGAACTCATCGACGTAGAGAGTACTGAGACAGAAAACCGAACATTTGCCACGCCAGGACCAGCCCATGATACCGTCCGAATCATCTCCTTTGAAAGCATGTTTGTTTGTAATATCAACGTGTTCGAGTTCCGTGACACTCTTTTTGTCGTCTGCTAATTCAAACGGCTGGACAATGGTCTTTTCGGTAGAAGACATCTTATAGTCGACAGGATCAAGAGCTTCATCATGCGTGGACACCATTCTCAAGTACTTGCGACTCTCTTCTCTTCGTAAGAGATGTCAGATGCTAGAACTCGGCCTCGTCAGATGGTTCAGAGAAAATAGCAAGGCTGTGATCCGGCTTCCCTGGGGAGGGAAAGGGCAATACAAATGTATCTGCACAAGATAAGGCTCTATCATTTCAATCACATTTCCATGGCTTATCCTGTCGGGCATCCCTCAAATGTGTTCAGCCCCTGGATTAGTCTAAGGGGAGAAAGATCCTCATCTCCCTCCAGCTGAATGGAGGCCAGGCTGTGACAGAGATCCAGGGAAGTCTAGTCTCTCTAGCAGCAAACACGTACGGAGAACTTTCCGGCCCGCGTTCATGGGTTGATTTGCGGGGCGGAGGCGGGCAAACGAGGCAGGGGGAGGACGTCACAGGAGAGGTGGTAGTTAGGGGCTGCCTGAGGTTTTCCATTGCCCTAGGAATGTGATTGGGAGGCGTCTTACAAACCCTCTGAGACAACATATTGAATTGAGTGGTTGGTTGTTTACCCTCCCGAACAGGGGCGAGAAGATATGGGTTAACGACCGAGGGATTAACAGCTGTTAGAATGCAACAAACATGGGACCTCGAGGCGCACCTTGACACTTTTTAAATTAGCCAGAGGTTACGTCTCGCTATAGCCCCACGTTGCGGTATCAGTAGTCTTCCCGTAAGTTGCTAATGAACGAAAGAACAATGTCCCTCCCTCCGACAGCATTTTCTCAAAGCTTGAAATGGACAACTACCGGTCGATCACCACGTTGAGCAAAGCAAGAGCACTGTTGTCACTCTGTGGCACATATGCGTCACACATAGAGACAAGATATATCTTTTTCTGTGTTGGACGGAAATTGTAATACTTAGATCGTCAGCCAGCGTGGGTCGTCACTTCCAGGAGCACAGGACCCCCTATCATATCCCAACGCAATCCCGTTAGTCCCAGTATTGTTTCCAAAGCGGATGATCTTTCTCCAATCCAGATGCGATCCCATCTCACTTGGGATACCCCAGCGCATTTGGCTCGTGGTAAACCTTGCGGGATCCCAGAGTTTCCCAGGGCCAACACCAAGGCTTTTCTTTGATTCTTCTTTCACTTGTGCCAACATAGTGGTCAGCTCCGTGTCATGGTGCGCTTCAAATCGAGGATTCAACGCGTGGATTCTGCGGGAGGTCTCCTGGTCATGGATGCCCAGGCTCATGAACCACAAGTTGTACTGCACCAAAGAGATATCGACATTGTATGAGCCTCCGTACTTGTTGCGTTTCCAAAGTGCTTGACAGGTGGCAATCGCCCCGCCCAGCCCGGTCCTATTTTCACGTTAGACTTTAGCCCGCTATCTCTTATGTCGGTGAAAAGTCTCGGAATAGACTTACTGATAATCAGAATTTGGCAAAAGGGGAATGACGGGCTCCTTCAAGCCAAGAAAGTCGCCCTGTAACCAAGTGACCCCGGAAACCTGAGGCATTTCTTCTTGTTAGTAAAAGTTCAATATCAAACAACTCAGGAGTCAGACGCATTTCACATGATGTTTTGGCGGGAGAGGATGGAAGTTGACTCACTGCGTCGGCTATCTGCTGCCACCCGGATCGATGACTCCATTCTCCTTTCCATCCATAGCAGTTTTCTCGGACATGGACAATTCCTCTCTTTCTTCTCTTTGCAGTCTCTTGTACCTCTATGCGGCCGAATCCCAATCTTTCCAGAGCACCCGGACGATATCCGTCAACTAGCACGTCCGCATCTTCCACAAGCTTCTTCAACTTTTCTTTGTCTGCCGGAGTCTTGAGATGAAGCCTAGTGTCCCGCTTGCCTACCTATGTATCGTATAGTAAGACCGTATCCGGGAGATTGTCGTTGGAGATCCGAAGCACTTCGGCACCCAGGAGAGCCAGCACGCTAGAAATAGTGGGAGTCGCTACCACCCGGCTCAAGTCAAGTACTCGAACCCCGGCCAATGGAGGCTGCCGTTCATCACGAGCATCTGCCCATGGGACTGGTGGAAGCTCAGAAGAGACAAGGGACACCGTATATAGTGGCTCATGGGAGATGACCTTCCCGTGAGGTGTCTCCCGGAATTCATCTATGGTGTAGCAGATCGTCCCAGCGGCCCGCCAATATTCGTTGCTTTCAATATCGAGCCATTTGCTGTCATGCTGGGCCACGGCATCTCGATATACTTGTCGCACGCGATCATAATTTTCTCTTCCATCCAGATCAGGTCGGTGTTGCGGGAGATCCAGCATATGTAATATTGGCGTGGTGTTGAGGCTGCCGTGAAGGTGGAAAAACCTGCCGTCTTTGGCTTTGTAGCTATTGAATAGATGTTTCGTCAGCTCATGTCTCGTGCGATCCCGTGGAGATCGTCTATTTAGGGTTATAGTTGACCACCCGCCTGGTTTTGAGAAGGCATTAACGGGGGCCACATGGAAAGTTGAGTGTCTAGTCATCGCTCACATATTTGTAGCTGGCCCTCGATAACCCTCCCTAATCTTGCCCAGGTCCATCTTCAGACAGCGGTTCACTAAATGAGGGTCCGCAATCGTCTTTCCTTGCGATTTGAACAAGAAAGATGACATGAGGAACAGAGTCGCTGAGTAGACGTCAACCGTGATATTCTGAGTTGGCAAATTATAGCGATGCGTGGATATCTCGCCGGCGAAGAGCGCTATCATAGCCCAAAGTGCCGCAGACGACTCGGACATCCTCAATGAAGTGGGCAGGAAAGGAGGAGCCTCCTGCGGTGTGAATTTGATGTACTGTGCCCCTTCCACCACCTCCTTTGGCAGGTCAAACTCTGTAATAGTAACAAAATGGTCCAGTAAAATTTGGGCGGCGCCCGTCGCAATGCTAACTTCCGGGTTGATCATTTTTGCGATAAAGTCTTTACCTTCGCGTCTTGCGGAGATGTGGACAGAAATATGTGTGTTATAGTCGTAAAAATGATTTTGCTACTATTATGTAGGCGGTTCACTGGGGCATGCTTGCAAAGATCTGCAACGGTTTTTGAGTTCGACCATTTTTCATTCATTCGAGAGAAAATTGACTCCTGCCTTGGACATGATGATTCCTGTAGCAACAAAACCACGAGTGCCGAGGAGAGCCTGCCCGCCCCCTCCATTCGACAACAAAACGTCGAGGCTGATCCTGGTTGGGGGAATCTTCGTCCTGGGAGTCTCCAGTTACGCACATTGCGTTGAGTGTTGACCAGAATCTGTAGTCGCAATGAGCAAAGAGTACAGACTCAGACTCCATGGAGTGCAGCAAAAGTGGTTCTCGTGTGACCTATATTAAGATTAAAATTTGGACTATCCCTCTGTTCTCGACTAAGAGACGTCATACAATTGAAGATATGTATATTAACCCATCAAATATAACAGGTTGCCATGTGAGAGGATGATGCCACTACCAGGCCGAAGTGGCGTCCTTTGAGTTCGGGACAAAATGCAAATAGCTCGTATTGATCAGCTTATTTACTTCTGGCAGAGTCTGTCATCAATGTGTAACCCCTATCAACGGCAGCAGTTAGATTGGGCCCCGCTCCAGAAATTTCTTGGGTAAGTTGACATGTCGAGCTCGCAAGAACTCGGCAACATTTTTACCCAAAATATCATACGTGCTGGTGCTGTTTATCCCTCGATCCAGGTGTTCATGAAGCAGGAAGTGTACCGCACGGAGGCCAGGGATCTCGAAGCGGTCCATCTTGTTACCTGCCCGGTACTCGCTGCCGAGCAGCTCTTTGACTTTCTTGACGGTCAAAAGCGTACGTAGCCAATTGTATTCATCATCGTGGCGAACCCAGAATCCAACATTGGCATTGCTACCTTTATCTCCAGATCGGGCATGTACGATAAAGCCCAGAGGAGCCTTTACTGTCTCTCCGAGAATGGCGAGATCGATGGGCTCGGAGACCTCGTAGGTTTGCTGCTGTACAGGGTATATTTGGGTGACAGTAGGCGGCGGGATGGCGTAGGAATTTGTAGCAATGTGTGCTTTGTGTTGAATCATACGTTGTGGCATGAGTCTAACGCAATATTCATTGTACGGCTGAGGAATTCCGGCGGTAATGGCCTGCAACAAATTTGTCAGTCTATTTTACAAGCTCAGGGGTCTGAGAGGAAGCTAAATGAAAGAAGCACAAAGATTGCTCACGGGCTGCATGGTGGCTCCAGGATATCTGATACAGACAAAGTCAATAGGTACCTAAGCAAGAGAAGGAGGTATGGGTGAGATCATTTCCTTACGAACACATAATGACATTCAGAACAGGTTCGATCCAGTTGTCGTATGTAAGGTCCTCCTGAGAGTCGGCCTGGACAAAAATGCGAAAGTCAACGGTGGCATCGTTCTGAGATGTTGGATCTTCAGGGCAAACACCATGGGTGGTGAAGTTGACGAGAGAAAATCTGGACAACTCCGACTTTCCCAAGCTGGACGCGAGATTCTCCTTGAGCAAGTCGGCCTTTGCTGCAATATCAAGGCCGACCAGAGACCAATGTAGCTCTGCTTTGAAGCGGGTTCTCCCTGTGAAGCCTACTTTTGTCGTCGGAGGAGGCGGGAGCCCAACCACGCCTCTGAGCTGGATCCTGTCTGGGCCAACACTTTCGAGCGAGATCTTGTCTAGCTGTGCTGTAACATCCGAATGATAGTATCTGGAGACTTGTCAGTCCATATACGCTTTGCTTGTCACCACAAACGAGAACACTCCCGTACAACGGCCCCTGGATTTCATAAAGCAGCTGTGCTGTGACCGTGTCCGCATTCACCACGCCGCCAGAATGGGCAAGTTTGGTGATGACGACCTCACCACTGTCCGAAATCTCTGCGACGGGAAACCCCAAGTCTTCAACACCTGGTACTGTCTTAAATCCGGAAAAATTCCCCCCAGTGACGTATGTCGAGCATTCGATCAAATGGCCCGCTACAAAGGCATTGGCATGCTGCTCGTGCTGTTCCGGGCCCCATTGGTGCCACCATATAGCAGCACCCATGGCGGGACTCGCATCAGCAACTCTCCCGCATATCACGATGTCTGCGCCCTTTTCCAGGGCTTTCACGATGCCCCGAGCCCCCAGGTAGGCTTGAGCAAAGACAGTCTCTTTCGGAATGGCTTCAAGAGGCTCTCCGGTTTTGATGTTGATCAACCCTGTCTGACCTTTGGAAGAAGCCTCTCGAAGAGAGCTGAGAACGTTGTCACCAGATATCCAGGCTGTCTGCAACCCTAGTCTTTGATCCTGGATTACCTTGTCAAGCTTTTGGCAAAGACAATCGGGCTCTGCAGCACCAGCATTGACCACCACCTTGACCTTTCGCACTTCAATGCCCTGAAGATGCGGTGTAATTGAGGTCAAAAACGATTTTTCAAAGCCATATGTCTGCAAGTTTGAATCTGCTGTTGTCATAAAAAAGAAAGTGAGCGGAGATCTCACAATGCCAGGGGACAGAGCATACTTTCTCTGCTGAGCTTTCTCAATGCCGAAGTCGTCATGTTTCCCTCAGACATCCAGTCTCCTGTGATAAAATCGATCTGCTCGGTAGACTTCATGACGGCTTCGAAGCCGTGCCGCCTATCGAGAGCTGACCCGCTGACACCCTATATTTGGAATTTCGCTTTAGACTTAGACACCTCATGGCCTAGCAATCGAAATTGCTTACACATATTCGCAACGGTCGTTTTTGACGATCCATACTTTTTCCCCTGGAAATCTCACCAGGAAAATTCCAACTGTGATATTGCGGTATTCTTGAGGCTGGGAATAAATCTGACTTTTTGCCATGTCACGACCCAGCCATTTATCTACCATGGCTAGATTTCATGTCTTTTTGGGTCTAATTCCTCGGCTGCCCGCGTCGGTTAACTTGGTGCAGGAGATGGCATTCTTGTCGGGAAGTTAAGCTTAGCAGAACAAGAATTTGAAGTGCAAAGATTTGCTCTCCTCAGAAAACGAGAAGGTGGTGATATATAAAACGCCAGCCTCAACTGCAGCAGACATTTAAAGAGTGCCGTTGATCATCATAAAGGGAAGAGGGAGGACAGGTCGAGAAAGTGAATACTGTCGTGTGTATACGCTAAGAGCTGGGCTGTCTAGGGAAGGCTTACCGAAGGCTATAAGCCTCTCCTATCCACTCTTCCCTTCCTTCCTCTCTTTCCTTTCGTTCCATGTGATAACTACCTCCGTACCTCGTACTCTATACTACCACGACTTGCATGTGTCCACGTATCCATCTGAGCTCTTTCTGAAGACGATTCTTGCCGCCTATATACAAATTGGCCTAAGTTGGTCAATATAGCTAGATATACTTGTTTAAAACTAAACGGGATCCGTGTATCTGTTGTTCACGAATCGGATGTTGGGGTCCAATTTCCTGTTGGTCTGGGGGCCTGGTCTAGGAGCATGAGGCCACATGTACCTAGCCTATACTATGTACTCAAAATTAATGGGTTTTCAGAAAAGTTTCATCCTATCAAAGATGCAAATGAACCACCAAGCCCTCTTGAACTGCTCGTAGAGACAATACATCTGGAATCTCGAGCCTCGAATCTTGATCACCATCGACTCCGATCCAATCTCAAAGACCCGCGGATAAGTGAGTGATATATCTTTCAAGGCAATGTGTCCACTGGGTCTCCAGGTGGCAGCCGTGGCTCGAACCTTCGGCACCAGCGGAAACCTGGTAATGACGAGAGTGCAGGCCAGTTGCGCTCGTGCCAACCTCGCTGGTCGTTCACATTTTGAATCACTCCTTTCCATGCGTCCCTTTCCACCAAATATTCCTTGACATGTTCCCACCGTGATTTGATGGGCCTTATCCAACCATGCTGATGCAGGTAGTCCATGTCCCAGAGATCAAAGAGCATGACAAAGCTGACCATTACTGCAAAGACGATAAGGATGCAATAGCAGATCCATCTAGCAAAGCTGGCGCCGTCCGCCGGCGCATCCTTGCCTTTTGTCGTTTGGTAGACTGCAGGGACGGCGGTGAACGGCAGCAGAATGAGTGTGAAGAGAAACGCAACTCTATTCAGAGTCTGAGCGCGTCTGCTGCAGCTCTCCGAGTTCTCCAGACTGACGACTTGAATCTCTCCCACCAGGCTATCGTAAATCTTGGTTGCTCTTTTTTCGAGGGCGTCCATAGATTGCTTCAGTTCATAAAAGTCCCAATAGATACTCCACCAAGAGTCCGGATCTTCATTCTCTTTGAGAAAGCCGTTTGGGCGGCCTAGATTAATCGATGGAAGTGATTGGTGGGTTTCCTCCAGGTCACGATGCCGCTCTCCCCATGCCAGAGAATGAAGAATGTCGATACTTGCGTTGATATCCCTCTGATGCCGAGTGATGGCCACCCGCCTCGACTTGATCTCTTCCACTGTAGTGCTTCGAAGGCAGTTTGAGGATCGCCATTCCAACAAGTCGAGATCAAAGCTTCGCCGAACGACAAGGCGTGCCCAGTTCGCAGAAACAAGGCGGAACACTGGAGCCGCGAATATTCGAATAAATTTATCAACATCTGTCGATTTCGACTTATGATTGGTGCTAGTGTCGCTGCCATTAGGACCAAACCGCTCTTTCAGGATGGTTTGCTTCGATTTCGGCCTCTTTCGGTTTTCGTTAAAGCAATTTTTAAGCTGGATTTTTAACACAATGTCGTATGCAGACGCAAAAGCTTGCTTTTGTCGTTGAACCTCCCAACATTTTAGCTCCTTGTCATTCTCGATCGCGTGAAAATCTGGAGGCGTGGGGATTGCGTTTGGGATGGATCGGAAGCGGATTGCTTTCTCGTTAGGGTGGAGGCTACATTCGCACGGCTGCTCGTCAACAGGTAGACCTTTTTCCTGTGCTTTTTTGGCAACCCCTGGCGCATGGACCGGTAGTGTCGGATAAAATATTATAATCGCTAAAGGTATTAGATTATTTCTTGTCCACCTGACAGGGTAAAGGGAGACTGACCTGTTCGTGGATGACCAACGGGTTCAGAATAGATTGATATCCGATGTAAAAGATTGAATTGGAAGACATTCTTCATCTTGTCGTTATGGTCCTTTAGCAAGACTTCGTAACCAGACTTTAAGCCGACATTGGTTGTGCTGGCTATGAAATCTTGTCTCGAGATGGGGAAGTGGTCCCACCCAACTGGAAATAGAAAGTGCTTTTCGATATTTTCTCTGATAGTATTGTGCCCTTCGATAGCGTAGTCATCTTGCGTTTCGAGCTTTGCTTGCGGCCATATTTCGCCCGCTCTTAGACTACTTTCATAGATTTCATCAAAATCTATTTGTACTGATGACGGTAGCCTGGATACGAGTCTCCCAGAAATAGCTTCCGTTCCAGGGAGGTGACGGTTGAAAAAGTCCGCGGAAATTTGGAATTTTGCTCCTAGGAGTTGGGTAATAATCGGGCTGAGATGGCTCACTGTGATGATTTGGCATTCGTCCTTGGGGAAAAGTTCTTCATCCTGAGTCTCCAACTCGTTTTCAGCTGATACACGCTTCTGCCGACTCCTCCGGGACTGAAAATGGGGATCCGTATACAGCCGCATCTGAAGCCTTCGAAAATCTGTGGGGTTACTTGCACGATACTCATCCACTTTCAAGAACTCATCCCAATTGGATTCCTGCTTTGGGTTGATAGAGTATATCCTCACAAAATCCTGCACTGCTGGGTTCTCCAGCTGATCTGGAATTCTGGTGGCACAATAAGCCCTTCTCGGACAGTAGCACGTTCTCCTTGTCTTGTGTTTCTTGGTCCGGGGATCCTTTTCGTTGGTGTCCACTATTTCGGTACAGTCGCAGTTACCTCCTGTGGTAACACACGTGCAAGATCCCCAATCCTCTTTGGTAGCTCTGTAAAAGCATTGACAATCGGGGGTGCATGTGCAGTTGCCTCTTTCCAAGAACTTCTTCAGACGTTCGAAGGATCGTGGGAGGCGAAAACAGAGCTTATCCACATAATCTTTGTAGTCTCTCATGTCTTCTTCGGCACGCTTGACTTTCTCGGTGTCTATTTTCCGCAAATCCTGAGTAGATTCCTCAGTATTTAGCCACCGTACTTCAATTCTCTCTTCTAGAACACCGACGGGCTCGGTCGCCGCGGTCGAAGACTCAAATGAGAAACCATTCATTGCGTTCTTGGATGATTCTGACTCCATTTTTGGGGAGTGAAATTTGTAATAGATGCGCAGTGTGATCAATCGAAGTCGGGATCGGTCTTGATCTAGGCGGTTTGGTGGTTACAGAAATTGAGAACATCGGGTCGTTCTTATAGAACTTCTGCACTTGCTCAAATGAGGCCGGGGAACCAGTCTTCCGTCTCATTCCACTCCAGACTGTCTCTCGAGCTTCGCACCACTGCCAGACGCCTTTCAACTAATCAGACTTGAGCTGTAAGGCTGAACGGTGTAGTTGATGGTGTAGCGAGCAATGTGTTGTTTGGCCTGGCTGAGCCCCCGGGCCAAAGGAATCACTCGATGGCGGTGTTGCTGCATCTCTTTTCTGAATCAAACCACATTTCGGAGGACTAATACGAACAAGAGCCAAGAAGCCAGCCACGCCTCCTTCCTGATTAGGCGGCTGTGGCTCTTGATCACGCCAAATGAGGGCTGAAATGGGAGGTGTGACACAAGAGCGACAGGCGAAAGCGGAAAGCTCTGGCGTGGAATTCCTGACCAGCATCCGTCAGATTCTGGTTTGGCACATCCTCCCAAGGTATTTGAGGGTATTCAAAAAGTGAGGGCATTAGGGCTCCTCCCGAATCAAGAGTCCAGACAAGAATCCCAGCTCGGCTCTGAGTTCGCGATGTATGAGTCAGAAGCGGCAGTATCTGGCCGCAATGTTTTCAATCTGTTTCGATTTTGTCTTCGTGCTCGCTGCGAGTGTCACATTGACTGGAGCAGCTAAACTGATAGTTCGAACAAAAGTAGGCGAGAGCCGACATCCCGCCGGGGGTTTCGGGTGATTCGCTTTTCTCGGGTGATTAACGCGCCACGCTTGCAGCCAGTTCGTATTGACCCATAATCTGGAGCAAGTAAATCCGGGGGAAGCAAGTCTAAACGAACTGGCATCGACATTCCTTCTTGCGATAGATCAATCTCGTGACTTTGGTGGTCTGAGTTTCTTGAGATTTCTAGAATCTAATGATCGTGGCATTATGGACGGTATAACCGACCAGATCATGGGTGCTCTGCCGATATGTCAAGAGCATGACCCATGCTCGAACAAGTACTTGTTATGTTTGAGCTAATAGCTGGATAATTCCTCGGTCGTCCGGGAGTGGCGGCCCGGGCGGGCATTAAGCTATGATAGTAGTCATGCTCTCCATTCAGCGCTGTGGCGGCGGATATCAGACTTTCCACTGCAACTTTGTCTTCACTCTTGACGCTTGACGTGTACAACAGGAGGAACGTATTCTTTCCTCCCCTTGAAGACGTAGTAGATCGCGGCTAAAATCAAAGTGCCACACATCATGACACTCGACCAGTTCATTGTCGTTGCCGTAACGGGTGTCACAAGGGGCCAGGTGAGGAAGAAGATCAATGGTACGAGGAACGCCAAAGCTGCGCAGTTGATGGCAAGGCCCCATCTTCCGAGTGACCACCGGCGTGCGGGAAGCACTGGCCCTTGGAGCCGGCGGTAGACGACGCAACTGATGGTGAGGAAATAGGAGATCAGAACTGCAATGGCGCCAAGTGACGTAATAGCATTGAGAGCGACGGCAGAGCCGATGTTGATGAGGGAGAGAAGTGCAGAGATGGTGAGAGAAACGGCGACGGCAGGGACTGGGATGTTCCAGCTGGGAGAAACCTTGGAGAGCCAGCTGTGGCCGGGCAGACCAGCGTCACGAGCAAAGGACCAGATTTGGCGCGAGGCAGCAGCCACTTCGGAAACGGCGCAGGCAGAGAGCATAACAATGATAATTGCGGTCATGACATTGGTGCCGACGTATGATTGGGTCGCGTTGTAGAAGAGTTGGATAAAGGGATAGCCGGTGGGAGATGCCAGGACGCTTGCAGCGTCGCCAAGCGTGAAACAAATAGTGATTATCACAATGAAGACGAGTGTGATGTTGACGACGACGGAGCCCATGATGGCGCGGGGAAGGGTAACGGAGGCATCTTTGATTTCCTCAGCTAAAGGGATAGTTAGCCAAGTGTTTGTTTAGCTGCGGAAAGAGGTTGCTCACACATATGCACGGAACAGTCGTAGCCAACAAGAACGGCCATGGGAGCAAGTAAGCCAATCATTGCTGATAGACCGGTACTCGACCAGCCGCCATAGTTGGTAAATTCGAGCAAAACGACATGTCCATTGCCGCGTGGTGCCATGACCCAGAGCGGGATGATGATGGCAAAGAAGCCCAAAATGTGGAGGATCAGCACCATGCCCTCTGTGAAGATTTAGCCCAGTCAGCAAAGGGAGGGGACTCTTGGGTTACCTATGATTGGAAGTCGCGACGCCAGAGCAGTGTTGAAAATAATGCAAAAGACGACAATAGAGATGGACAACAAGGTCCCGTGCCATCTTTGATAGACATAGGTCGAGTCATTCAGTACAATCAGTCCCTGAATGATCGTGCCAACTAAGAAGCACACACTGGCAAGATACACCTGCCAGCCAATGGCAGTGAGCCAGCCTAGAGGCGTGAGTGTCGAATATATTTGGAGATAGGTGAAAGCATACCGGAAAAGTAACTGAGGATCTTCTGCGTTCGTCGAGGAGCAAATTCCGACACCCAGTGATATTGACCACCTGCTGTGGGTGACCCATTGGAGATACTTTAGCGGTTCATGCATGTGCATGGGGTTATCATGGGCTTACATAGAAGCCATTTCTGCTATACTGGCATACACTAGTGTCTGTCCAGCGGCACATGCAATAAAGCCCCAGAACAGAAGCGGAGTGCCACCGTCAGTGAGAACAAAACCAAGGTATCTGCCAATGTCAGGTATGAGGAACGACGTAGAAACACTGGGTTGTGTCGGACGTAAGGATGCCTTCCCAACTGGCTACACAGGTTGATGCGAAGCCGAGCATTGTAATAAAATTGAAGTTCCGCTGAGGGTAGTCAATACTGCGCACTGCATGCTCAGAGAGGGGGATTTGGTACCCGGAGGACCTGCTTTTTGCCCATAATGTTCATGTCCCGCAGGTCGGCAGATGTTCCTCTATATTTCTCCAGGACATGGCCAGCGCTATCATCGAAGACTTCTACATCACTTGGTGATGATGGCCCTGCAGCAACTGTGAGCTCGATATCTGATATTTGCTTGACGTCATTGAGGTGAGGTGAAGCCATGGCGTCGAGGGCCATTTAAATGACGAGACAGGGACGAGAGAAGTGAAAAGAAGAGGAATAGGAAAAACGGTCGTACCCTGAGTGATATGGCCTGATATCTCACCGCCTACAAGCTTGCTAATGGACCCTGCAGCGGGGTTGAGAAGCTGAGTCTGCAAGGGTTGAAGGGAATGGCGCTCCTTGTACCGAGTATATACCTGCGACTTTGTCTGCCGTCACGGCCAACTCCGTTTCACAGATGTGTATCTCGATGCCATGGTATATACCGAGTATTTCCGAACTTGTGGTTGGCGGTCGAAAATCTGCTCCCTTGTGATTACATTAAATTTGGCAGCGATTTGTAGACATTCGGCAACAGAGTCTGGAAGATGCGTGGGATTTAAGTGATGGTTGGTGGTCAGTTGCAATGTGACAGCAATGTCGGCTTAAGGTACGGGCCACAGCTTCCCGTCGCTCTTTCTAGGCTTGACAGAAGATGTAAACCCTGAAAAATGATAGATTGACCAGGCGTCATGTCGCGTAGCAGCCTAGGCAGGCGAGGCAGGTCAGGCAGGTCAGGCAGGCGAGTCAAGAGGGAGTGTCTTGAGGGTGTGCAAGGGGTGAGTTGGGTGTGACGACGGTTTCGCTGTCAGACGGAATCATATTAATTATCTGTGTATAAACAAATAAAACTATCCGAGGCCTTCAAGCAAAGGCTGCCATCTCCTCCCCACATCAGATTGTACATGCTGCACTCTCCTTCCCCGCTGGCTACCATACAATAATAGATGTGAGAGATCAGAAATCATGAGTCTCAAAGACCAGGTTGTCCTTGTCACAGGTGAGTACGCTCTGCTCTACAGGACATATCCGTTTGTATGAGCAGCGTCATCCACTGCGGCAAATGACGGACCATTACCCTTCACTGCCTTCTCTCTAAATCTAAAGGTATACTCATTGCCTAAATTTGCAGGCTCATCTCGCGGTCTTGGTCTAGCCATTGCGAGGGCGTTCCACAATGAAGGGGCGAAGGTCATCCTAAACTATTTCAAAAAGACTGAATTCTACATGCGAGGGCTCGCGGAAAATCTCGGGTTTGACAGGGGGGATCATCTTTTGTTCCAAGCCGATGTCACCGATGCCAACCAAGTCCAAGAACTTTTCAGAGCTGCTGAGCGCCACTTCGGTAGGCCAATATCGTGCGTCGTAAACAACGCTATGGTGGGCGACTTTGCTTTCAATGGAGACGCAAGGCCCAAAGTCTCCGATCTCACCTGGTCGAACTTCGATGTGCAGCTGCAGGGATTTCTTCGAGGAGCCTTGAACACCACGCAGGCAGCTCTTCCGGGTTTTGAGAAGCTAGGCTACGGCCGCATCATCAACATTGGCTCGAACTTGTTTCAGAATCCCGTAGTGCCTTACCACGATTATATTGCAGCCAAGGGAGCGTTGCTGGCATTCACCAGAACATGTGCAGCCGACCTAGGACCAAAGAGCGTCACCGTCAACATGGTCTCTGCGGGTCTCTTGCAGATCACCGATGCCAGCGCAAGCACTCCAAAAGAGGTGTTCGATCACATCAAGGCCGTAACACCCCTGAGAAAAGTCACAACAGCTGAGGAAGTGGCTGGTGCGGTGTTGTTCTTTGCTAGCCCGTGGGCCCGTGCTGTGACTGGCCAACAAATAGTGGTTGATGGAGGGTTGGTCATGAATTGATTCGAGATGTTCATCTGATGAAGACAGTTCGGAGAAAAGTCATAACTTGGCCTGTGCCATGGGTGTCTGGATCTCCACAATGGCCTTCCCCCAGACTTTCCGTGCCGCGAGGTCGTTCAGAGCCCCTGGAACGCTTTCTAGGCCAGAATATGACCCGTAGATGACGGGCTTGATATTGCCACCTTCGAGCATTTTATTGAGACCTCTCCATACCTCTTCATTCTCCTTTGGATTTCGTCTGCCTGTTTCGCCGTATCTCTGCGCAGCAAGTCAGCTGTTGGGTCCCGGGGTCAGGAGGGAAGCGGTATACTCACGTATCCCAACAACCTTACGCCCTTGAGAAGCACTCTGTTCATGGCGAGCGTCTCCATCTTCCCACCGAGCCCGGCAAACCCAGCAATGACGACATTTCCACCAAACCTTAGACATCGGATACTCTTCTCAACCAACCCGACGGTGTCATACACGGAATCGACTCCAACATTGTCCGTAAGCTTGAGCACCTCCTTCTCCCACCCTTCTGCGTCATATCTTACCACGCCCAAAACCCCCAGTTTCCTCACGACTTCGGCCTTCTCCTCGCTGCCCACCGTGCCAATGACCTTCGCCCCGAGCGCATGGGCGATCTGGACAGCCACAACGCCCAGTCCCCCAGCCGCGGCATGGACCAGCACGACCTGCCCGGCCTTAACCTCCGCGATCCGGACCAAGGCCCCATAGCTCACGGGCGCAGTGGCGGCACCCACGCCCGCAGCATCGCGCAGCGTCCATCCCGTGGGTAATCTCTGCAGCGCCGATGGCGGCACTGCAATCTGCTCTGCGAACCCGCCGACGCCAGCTCCCCAGACTCGATCACCGGCTATAAACCCGCACGTCGGAGGTGCCGATGCAACAACCCCCGCGAACTCAAGGCCCAGGACGAATGGGGGCTTGACCAGGCCGCTGTGGTTGTTCTGGTGCGCGCCACGGCTGTAAAGGAGGTCGACGTGGTTGAGCGCGCTGTGGGTGATTGTGACTAGTACTTGATCCTCCTTTGGTGTTGGCGCTGGCACGTCCCTGGCGCACAGCTCGGCATAAGTCTTGACATACTGGTTGATCTGTATGGCTTTCATGGTCGCTAAGTGACGACGACAACGGACCTTTGTTCTATCCACACTCTGAGCGGGTAGTACTTCAGAGTTCTGCTTCCGTCAATCGAGGGATGCATAGAAGAAAGAAGACAAGGACGTAAGTGACGGTCCCAAAACACCCTCATTCAAAAGCACCATTGAGAGGACAGCTTGAGGGATACTAGTAGAAGTTCTCGAGCCATGACATAGAGTATTTCCCCGAGAAGAGTTTGTGCCGAGGTCCGAAAAGGGAGGCTTTCCGTGAAGTTGATATCGAGGGCGTCCCCTGCAGCCTCGTCATCCCCGACAACCTCCCTCCCCTTGATTTAGCCAAACAAGTCACCTGGCAACAAAAGCACCGAAAAGTCGAGGATATGAATTTTAGTCCCGCAAATGTCTGCCACATTCGACCGGTGAAATGGCGGAAGAATAAGTCTCGTCCACAGTCTTGACATCATCTCATCTCCCTAACTCGCAGCCAGCTGTGAAATAGCCAAGCATCATTGAAACGTAGGAGCTCTACTTAGTACAGTAACTCCCTAACTCGGCAGATATGATGACTTCGGATATGATCATAGTGGTTCCCCACAAGTGCGTAGGAGCTGAGAAATATACGAAATAAGCTACAAGTGGGAGCATGACCTCATTGAACCAAGTGAATGCAGCACAAAAAAATTCCTTCGCGGGGTTTTCTCACACGTTTGAGTTTTTTGGCTACTCAGTTCAATTCTGCTAGATGGAAGGAGGGCAGGGGAGAGAGACGTTGGCTGGAGTTCGAACTCAGGAGTGGGCAGGAATGTTAGAGAAATAGTAGTGTTTTTTCTTTCTTTCTTTCTTTCTTTCTTTCTTTCTTTCTTTCTTTCTTTCGATTGATCAATGAACGCTCTCCGAGTGGTTCGATAACGATGATGGCTTCTCTGAAGGCATGTAGGACAGCAGAGCTAGAACGAGGCTCCAGACCGTTGGAATTTTGGCCGAGCTTCACCGACTTCGGTTCTCGAGTACATGCTTTCATACCCCCCCTGACATTAGGACGATGGGCTCTGGGAACGTAGGTCCAAAATGAACGACGAGAGCTCCCTTCCTTTACCGAGCGAGCTTTTGCAACGCTGTCGATTCAATCGCTGAATGGATTAGCGGTCCTTCGAGAAATATACACATAGCGCCTTTTCGACTCGGCATGGACCAAACAATTAGAGCATATGGAGGATAGCGGAGGATGATTCGGAAGAAACCTTGGCCTTTTTCCGTAACAGATTGCAGTAGACTTGACGATCAAATAGTAATGGCTTTCCAGGTGAGCGTCAAGCGCAATGAATTCTTTGCGGTTTCATCCCATTTTCCAGCCCGTGTCTATGCTTGTAATTGTTGTATGTACAATTGCCTCACCCGCAGCTTTTCGTCGCCGATTCCACGCATGTAACCTCTTACATCTTGCACTCAGCATCTTGACCTCCTTGACCGTCGTTTTTTAGTGTGCACCGTTTGCCTCAGGCTTTGCATTAGGGTTTCGAGGATCGTTCTTGTACTCTTCCGCTATTCATCCAAAATTCGTTAGCCCCCTGCGTCGGAATCGCGTGCCTTCTATCAACGGGAATCCCGTAATGAGAGGTGGTAGAGGAGATGGGGCTTACAGTTCATCATGGCATTTGCACCAGCATTGATGGCATACAGGACAATAAGACCAGCAGCGTAGAAAGGCACCATCGGCTCAGCTGTGGGTTACAGCGGTTAGTGCTTCCAGATTTGAGAGAAGAGGGTCGCAGCACGACGTACCAACTTTGCCGGGGAACTTCTTGGGAATGAAACCGGGCATTTTGAGAGGAGGGTGTTTGCGAGATAATGGCGAGCTTGCGTGAAGGAAGTTCTATCGTCAATGAGCTTCGGGAGAACTTGGGGGTTCTCGAGCTTGATTTGAGCTAAACCTGATTGGTAAATCTCTTGGCACTTTTGGTGAGTTTGCTCTGGCTTGGGATGACTCTCCACGCGCCCGTGTCGCGGCGGGGTTGTTTACCGATGGTAAAGTGAGCAAGATCAAATTGAATGTGACCCAGCAATCTTCATTGAGGATGGCCACTCTAGGCCCGGCTGTCTCCTCCCTACGCTCTTCCATCTCCCTTCTTGAATCTAGCATCTCAATACTCGACGAAGGCGTCTCCGACTTCCCTCGCCTCTGCAAAGTACTGCAAACGCAACAGCACTTTGAACTCCTTCCCGAACCAACGCTTCGTGAAGCTCAGCAGTCGTTGGTCGACGAGATTGTACCAGCCATTAACCAACTACTGTCAACGGCGGACAACCACATCAATCAATTGGGAAGAAGGGAAGAGAGTCTCAAAGCAAGATCTGAATTGCTTGAGGGGAGGCTGAACGATAACAGGAGAAGGACTTCGAGTTTCGGTGGTAATAATGGTGCTCGGCCGTTCCGTAATGCCAATTCAGGGCAGCCTGCGCCGCCTTTGAGCGATGCGAGAATGTTGGAAATGAAACGACTGCATCAGAAGAAAGAGAGACTGCAATATGCCATTGAGCGATTGGAGCTGCAGAGCAAACAGAGAGAAAGAGAATTGAGGAAGAGCATGGCTATCGTGAAAGAGTGAGACCGCTGCGGCAGGAAGGGAAGAAGTAAACAGACACATCTCTTGCAGCCATCCAACTCATGAGGGATGCTATCGATGAAGCCCGACACCTCAGAGAGACAGATCATCCGCTACAATACCGCTGACTCTGTCAAACATGGTGCACATCTATCGCGAGAGTACATCATTCATCAGGAATCACAGCGGGTATGACCATGGCGTTTGGAGTAAGAATGGCTCTGGGGACACCTCGATGATATGGGCAGAGCGTCGAAGAACATTTATATGGATATGTGGAATTGCGAGAAGAGAACTGAGAGGAAAATTTGTCTTATTGCGAAAGTGTTTTATTGTTATAACACGTGGCAAGCCATGGTGGATGTATGTATGCTCCGTGCGAGTGTCGCACATACTCTCAGATCGCTTTTTTGAGACACACCGCGTAGCAGGCAAGGGCCGCATATTGCAGGAGAAGGGTTCTAGTTATTGGTGGGAAGCTTCGCTCATGGCAAAACTATGTCAGCAAGCTGAAAGGAAAGCAGCAATGCAAAAGGGTATCTTATCGCGCAAGTAAAGAAATGTACGACGATCTCCTGTCAGAAGGGATGAATCAAGGAAACCCTTGACTCAAATGAAGTCCAGATAAGCACCAGCGATGTGCGTTTGCGCCATCGTTTGGTCAAATCTAGAGGATGGTTGGTCGCAGTTCAGAGAGACGGGCACACCGACAATTTCGACGCTTTCTCCTCATCTCGATCCAAGAACATATAGGAGGACGTGTGCTGCCGAGGAAGAGTGTGTCTCCAGAACTGAAGAGGATACCAACATTTTTTGTTGCATTTCCTCCTAGACAGACAATGACACCCTCTTCCTCTCGTGGGTTGCAGTGTTGTATTCGTAAACTTGGCTAACATCTATGTTGTGCATCTCCGGAAGAAATTTGCACGCAGGGATGTGGCATGCCCCATTGCGCGGACACATGTGGCCAAGTGGACATTGAGGATCCTGACAGAACGCATTTCGGCAGGCGGATGTTCGAGCTTTATATCGAAAGGTATCGAGCTGGACTTGGTTGAGGACTTGTGAATGATCCCACTCACAATTCGCGCCGTACGGGCAGTGACCTTTCAGGTAGAAATTGTTGCAGAGACGTGAATTGAAATCGTAGAGGTACTGGAGATACTGCTTGTCGATTTTGAGCGGTATATCCAGTCGCTGGCCATATTGGTTCTGGTAAATAATCGGCGAAGGAACAATCGGCGAAGGAACAATCGGCGAAGGAACAATCGGCGGCGCCGCAGGCTGCTGGGCAACTAAAGCAAGCTTGGTCGTGGGAGGTGTCAAAGCGGTAGTCGCAGGCCGCGGCGATTGGCGATCCCGCACTACTGACAATGTATCAGGTGCAGGTCTCTTGACACCAGCGGTGAGGGCGATCGTACCATTCGGAGCGATTTGAATCTTGGTTGACCGAAAGATCGTCTTGAAGGATATTTGATGGAATCCTTGGGCGACTTTCTTGAGGTCGAATGGGAAGGCTGGGCCCTCAAGGAGCGTGATGCGATCGTTGAGCGTGTTTGGGAGTGCATACGGACCGAGAAAGCCAGCGTAGCTGCTGTCTGCAGAACCACCGAAGATAATGTGTTGACAATGATAGTTGCGATAGAAGAGCTCGAGGTTTGCTTGGGGAAGTCAAATCAATCTACAGTAGCATTAGCCAGGGATCTGACGCACCTTTCATTTTGGAGTCAGCGGCCTCCTTGTGGCTGCCTGCATCGACGTAGTCTGAGAGCGGGTGACTTCTGTTGAACCCAACCATGAATTGGTCAAAGACGGCTTCTTCGATAATGATTTTAGCTGCTTTATAAGTTCTGCTCAGACCGTGAGAGTTGGCATAGACGCGAATGATGACCCGGTCATCAGCATGGTATCTGGTATTGGTCTTGTAGTATTCCAAAATTGCGGTTCGAAGGTGTTTGCCTGCCTCTTCTCCACCTTCCATGCCTCTGGAAACAAAATCATCCAGGAACTGGTAGTGTCAGTCATAACAGGTGGTTCAGGCCTCCTATAATGGTGGATCCAGCTTTCATTCGACCTTACCGGCATACTGTCGCCGTCAATCAACACAAGCACGAACCTATCGCGCTCCTCCTGAGAAAATGTCAGCACTGCAAAAGAAAGGGGTGTAGGTTCCTCTTCGCCACCATAGATGTTTTTATTAGAGACTTCTCCGACTCTGCTTGGACCATCTTCTGATAGTATGTGCGAGCAGTATCTCGGGCCATCTCAAGCTCATTTCTCGCGGCATCGCGTTGCTGTGTGAGTTGTTCGATGTCTGCCAACATCTCCTACCACGAGTTAGTGGCGGCCAAAACCAACGTCAGTAGCGAGATACCTCAAGTAACCCATTTTTGAGAGCATCGCTTCTTATAACTTCGTCCACACGCGCCTTCAAGGACGCCATGATGGAAAGGTGAACAAAACAAAAAGAAGAATTGTGGAGTGTTGTCGGAAGTGATTATCGAAGGGAGACTGAATCCCTGTTCGTGACTGCTGGCCTCACGACAAAAGTAAATATGCCAAGAAATGCATCGGTCTTGGCAAGTTTGCCGAGTATTCCACCAACCAGAAGTCGAAAATGGATAGTCGAAAACTTGCCCGTTCTCGGTGCTTGCCCCCTGACAGAGAGCATGAAGCAACTCAATACTGTCCCAGGAGCCAGGGGAAGATCAAAACAAACGCGAAAGTTGCGAAAGGAATCGGCAAGAATCAAATGGTTTGTGCAGCGATTATATCTTCTCTACTCCACACCATTCTGCGATAAACAGCGCCATTGCGATCGTCACTCTCTTGATACTCTCGATGCTCACCCATTCATCAAAGCCATGAATATCCCCGCTGATAGGGCCATAAACCAGCGCGGGGACTTTGTCATACAGACTGTGGACGCGGGCATCAAGGTAGGCGGTCGATGTTTGGTATGTCAATTCCTTGCCAGTCGCCTGCTTGTGTGCCTGGCGTAGTACATTCTCTGCCTCGCTCCCAGGCTCAAGCACATAACCTTCCGAGTAAAACCCGTTCCAGATCACCTTTGGCGGATTTGCGCTGAGGTAAGGGTCGTTACAAGCGAAATTCGCCACCTTCTTCTCGATCTCGTCTGCAGCGGATTTAGCACTGACACCAGGTACGATTGCTATCCGACAATCTATCCGGCACCAGGCAGGGACGGAACTCGCCCAGTCTCCAGCGTTCACGATTGCGACGTTCAGGTCTGTTCAAGGATTCAAAGTTAGCCGCTTCTACAACCACTGCGTCTGAATTGTCCGCACAGGGGCACAAGGGGGACATACTTAGAGGGTGCTTCTCGTTCTCGAAATATTGCGCGCTGACATGGCGCTCATTCCAATCAGCTTCCAATTCTCTCAAGGCTCCCACTACCTTCCAGCATGCATCGACAGCGTTGACTCCCGTTCCCATAGCCCTGACATGGACTGGCCTACCACGAACCTCGATCTGAAACCACAAGACACCCACATTTGCCCGCACAAGTTGTTCCTGCATTGGTTCGGGGATGAGGACAGCGTCTGCCTTGTAACCCTTTAAGTGTGTCATCAATGTGCCGTTGCCAGTTGACTCCTCCTCCACGACGGACTGCAGGATCACCTCGGAGGCTGGCTGGAGTCCACAACGTTTGAGCGCATCAAGAGCCCATAGATTTGCAGCGCAGCCGCTTCTCATGTCGCCTGAGCCTCTTCCGTAAAGCTTGTCTCCCTCGATGCGGGCACTATACGGGTCGTCATTCCACATATCAACCGGTCCCAGAGGGACGACGTCGATATGCCCGTTCAAGATGAGACTCTTTCCCTCGGTATGTTGCGCTTTTGGCTTGTGCGTGCCCACGACAATCGGGGCGCGGGAATGCGTGCTACTGAACCTGCCGGCGCCGACGTGCTGTGAGAGCGCTTGCTCATCCATGTCGAATTTGACCGGGTCATAGCCGCGGTCCGCGAATTGCTGAAAGATGAAGTTCTGGATCTCGGTCTCCTGGCCACGCTGGCCCCCGAAGCGGATTAATTTCTGCGTGTAGGCAAGTTGCTGGTCAAAGCCATCAGAGACGGACTGCTTGATAGCGGCAACGAGGTCATCAGAGAGGGCCGGCATGGTTGATGTTATTTCTGGTTCAACGTGTTTCCCTTGCCTGTGTGACAAGGAAGCTGGTGGACTGTATGCAACGGTTTCCGTAGAAGATTTGCAGCCGGATATTGGAATATGGGACGAAGTGTTATGGCTATGTCCCGTCCTCTTGTGGAGGCATAGAGGCGTCTCCGCACGGACATCTCCATTTCGACTCATAGACGATAACAATACAACGAACAGCCGGCTGTCTTTGCCTTTTTGGGTTTTCTCTGCTCCAATGAGCCAAGTTTGCGCCGGGGTGACTTTGGTGGATTCGCGGAGACCTCGTCAGACTTGGAGTTCCGAATTCCAATACCGTGCAAGAGGTAACTCATCTCCTTGTTCTTGCAATCGCCTTGATGTCGACCACCCTCATGCCTCGAGACCATCATAGGCAGACCGACCACTTGCGGTATTTCTGAGTGTCTTTAGTGAGACAGCAATTGACTCCCATGGATTCTCAATCCGCCCCTTTCAGCTCTGCTCGAATCTATGCCAGTCTTGAAGGGAAATTGAATAGGGTGATCTGAGAATTGACGTTCGCGCCCTTTTGCGGTTGGCCTGTTTCGCCAGAGGTCGTGGTCATGGACGGTCGGCCAGCCTGTCGGTAGGTTCCAGCTGTCTTGTGGTTTGGGCTCCCCATTACCATGTCATTGTGCTCCGATACATTTGGCCGGCTAGAGAGGTATCAAGTGAAGAGTGACCGAGAGTCAGGACAGCAAATTGACAGGGTGTCGCTTCAGGGGCAAGGCTGAGAAAATTCCTGAACTATCACAGACAACACCATTGCACGCTTCATTTCCACCGCCAGGAAAAATTGTCGTTAAAAAGATTCACTTCCGATGGATTTGCTCCTGGCTTCCACCTTTGCAAGACATCCATACCTATGAGTACGTTAGCGACCACATACCTCCCCTCTCTCGGCAGATTCGACCTTGCCCAGGTGCATTGGTCGTCACTCGCGCCGTCAGTCTTAGCCTCCTCCTCTCTGTTGAGTAAACAAACCTCTGCACTGCTTTTCAGTACCGGGGGGCCTCAAAGTCTTGAAAATATGACTGAACGATGGCTCGGCTTGCGACAGCTCCCAGGCTTCAGCACGCCCTCGCTTTTGGTTGGCGACTTGGACGCCTTGAACAGGTAGCATTTACGATTACTATTCAACGGATATCGTTTTGGAAAATCTGAGAAGGGAGTTCGATATACCACCTCGCATGTCAACAACCACAACCCCTATCAGTTCTTTCGAGCTTTGTCAGCCGATCTCGATTCAAAGAACGCCATCTCATACTTTATTTTCGTTAGAGATGGATTCCTTCGGCATCAATGCGGTTTAAAACCACGATCGGGCTGGGCACAGCAAAGAGCCAAGCCTCCGTCGTTGAGTAATCCGGGTGTTTCATTTCTATCAGAAAGCGAAGTATAGATATCATGGTTCACGGACAAGCAGACCGCAGCGGAGTTCACACAACTGAACCTCCTCATGCATCTGTTTCGCTTTCCCTTCAAGAAATATCCTTGGGACCCTGACAATGGCTCAATCGAAACCTGAAAGGTACGCTCTACTTCCCGAACAGCCAGAGTAAGGCTCCCAATGACTCTTCTGCAGACCGGACCTGTTGAATGCGGTGCTCGATGCCGCCGGTGGCGTGGACCACTTCGAACAGGTCGAATGGATCGAAGTTGTCGCGAATGTTTCGGGCGCGTTCTGGTCGAAGAAGGGCTACCCGAAACGTCGCCTGATGACGGGCTACGTGGACACCAAAAGGCCCCGGGTTGTCTTCTACAACTTCGGTGCTCACCTGGACGAGCCACATCTCCGATGGATCTGGACGCCGAAGCACCTGTCTGTTGAGCGAGCCAATGGCACTGTCGTCCTCTCCCGCAGCGACCCGTCCAAGCACTTTGAAGGCCACGTCCTGAGTACCCCGTGGGACGACCTGGATCTCCTGTACTTCTCGGGCTACGCGGTGTGGAACTACATGGTGACACCCTTCTGCTTTGCTTGGCCGGGGATGTCGACGCGGGAACTGGGCGAGCACACCGAAGGCGGCGGGGAGACGTGGCGCGTCCTGGAGGTGACATACCCTGAGGACTTCGCCACGCACTGCCGAGTGCAGAAGTTCTACTACGACCATCAGGACCGGATGAGGCGGCTCGACTACACGGTCGACGTCATCCAGGGATCCGGCACCGTAGCACACTACGTCTACGACGAGAAGACGGTGGACGGCATCGTCTTCCCCACGCTTCGCCGCGCGCTGAACGTCGTCGACGGCCGTCCCACCGGATGGTCGATGGTGCTGATCAACTTCCACAAGATCGCGGTCAAAGGGCCAGAAGTTCGGCCGAACCTTTAGGAAACCTGTGATTTACCCACCACGCTCGTTTTGAAGATTTGCGATGAAACACTTGTCTATTATTGCAGACCGCTGGGTCCGCTTTTCTAGCGAGCCCGAACGGAGCGTCACCGGCCCCTCTTCAAGGGGCTTGCCCCTGATGAGCATCCAGGAAACCCAGTTCACCAGAAGGGTAGCTTCAGAGGTCTGACTCCACGTCAAATCAGAAGGGCTTTCGCGGGAATGTTGTAGGCGGTGCCATGGCTCCTTCTCGTCGTTATTGGTGTTGCTCGACAATCTCCAAGACCACAAAAACATCAGCAAATATACATGGTCGAGAAACTATGCAGCATCAAAACTTCCTTGCTACATCTTCTTCCGAGTTAGTGTCGCGTCTAGGGTGCGCTGCTGCTTGTCTTCCTTCCTAGTCTCTCGCTTCACGGCCTTCCTCCTCGTCCCAAGCCGGTGGCCATCTTGACTCTCATCATTAACGCCGGCGTCTTCTCTGATATCATCACCGTGTCGTCTATCGGCGCCATCGTCGTCTCTTGCCCGCTTATCACCGCTTCCTATCCCACCATTCGCCTCCTCCTTCAACGCACCGCCAGCATCGTTGAAACCAAACAGCTTTTTCCATTCCCCGTTAATGACCCTCTGGTCATCACCAAATAGACCCACATCATAAGCCTGCTTCATCCGATCCAGGCAAAACTGCCTCCTCTCATTGAAGTCAAACATGGGCTTCGGATACAGGTTGTACTTCCTTTTCCCGTCTTGTTCCGTCCCGGCGGCGCTTCTTCCGTCGCCCTTTACCAAACACCCCCAGCGCTTCTGATCCGCGATCGGCGCTTTATGCGGCTCGTAGATATACTTCTTGTCAAACATGTCCAACTCGGGAATGTACCTCTTCACAAACAAGCCGTCGGGGTCCCACTTCTTGGGGAAACTCACGGGAGAATAGCACCGGAAGAACTGGCTGAAGAACGCCGTGCACGACAGCCACATCCAGTTCCCAGCATTGCACGCGACTTCGTGGTCGACGAGCCACTCCTCAAAGACCTCGGCGCCGCGCTCCCACGACACGTAGCAGCCTCCTCTCGTCAGGAAACACGCCACGGCATGGCGGCCGAGATGGTGGATCCAGCCTTCCTGCTTCAGTTGGCGCATCAGGGCGTCGATCCAGGGAAACCCCGTGCGCCCGTGTTTCCATCGCTGGAAGTATTCTTCGGCTTGGGCGTCGTCGACGACGTAGGAGCCGTCGGTAACGGGCTTTCCGTCGTCGCCAACGAAGTATCTCGACTGCAAGTGCCAGGGGATAAATCTCGCGACGGGGTTGCCCACTGTCTGGCCAAAGGGGACTCCCACCTGCGCGTGGGCTGCGAAATACATGTCGCGAAAGAGCAGTTGTCCCGGGATGTTAACAGGTTGATCGCTGACGCGTTTCTTCTCCTTGCGTCTCTTCTCCAGCACAGCCTGCACGTCCCACCAAAACTTTCGACACGAGACCGTCCCGAAATGCATGTGTGGACTTAGCAACGTCGTGGCAGGTGGTTCGAATGCAGTCGGGGCTGTTGCTGGCTTCTCGAACGTAGATATGTACTCTTCGTCAGCAACGTGGCCTGCAAGGAGTGCCAGGCCTGCTGTTTCGCCACCCTGGTGCGGCGTCGTCACCGACGACGGGTCGATGCCCATTTCTTCTAGGGTCGGGATCGAGAAGTCGCGGCCTGGGCCCATCAGCCCCGAGGCATACTGCGTGTCTTTCTCCGGGCCCAGCGTTCTCTGGATGGCATTGTAGTCCATGTCGGCAACACCTGGCCATCCAAGGAGTGACGTTTGATCCCGCCTCTGCCCGTCCCCCAACAATTCATGATCTTGATCTGATAGATCCATCTCCCGCTCATTCAAGGGATCTGGAAAGCTGGTCGGCCTCCCCAGAGGCTTCGCGGGGACACCTTGACCGATTTTCGCCACGGCCTTGACCAATTGGGCCATGCTCATAGTTGGCTTGCCGCCGTTCATCTTGACGACTTCCTCGGAATCAAACAACGTCCGTCCACTCACGCTCACCACCTGCACGCCGAGGTCCCGCGCGACTTTGGAGACCTCGCCGTCCCTCATCCTCGCATAGGCATCCGTGTCCTTCTCGAAGACCAGCACGTCGATCTTCCACTTGCGCAGGAGCATCCCGATGGTTTTAGGCGGCCCGGCACTCCCGCGGACCACGAACAGTTTCTGCTTGTCGTTCAATTCGGTCAGGCTTTGTGACAAATCACCCATGCATTCGACAAGGAAGCGCCATCGGTTCGCTGCTCCGCGCTGGCGGTAGACGTAGTGAGGATCCCACGTCCACAGCGGCATCAGGGCGGAGGGGTTGAGGGACAAGGCATGCGTGAGGGCTGGCGAATCGTGGAGCCGCAGGTCTGTGCGGAACCAGTACAGGACACGCGGGCCTTGCATTTGATCACGACTTGCCTTCTTAAATGTCGCGGGCATATTGGTGGAGCTCAAGAGGGCGGATGGAGGTGCTTGGGGCTGTAGTGTGAAAGAAAGTCCGGCGTATGGAGTATTAGTGAATATCTAGGTACACGTTGTCGCGTACTATAGCAACACCCAAGCGTCCGGTTTGTTTTTGCTGATCGGGGATCGTTCTGATAACGAGGCTGCAAAGACGAGGCTGAATCCCCTTTCCGGAAGTCGGTACCAATCAACATGAGAATCCAAGGAGACGAAGCCAGTGGATGATTGCGAGCCATCTACCAAGCTAAGTTGGCTAAGTTGTGTAGCTACAAAACGGGCGACATCGTACAGAGCGCTGTGCGACGGTATTTGAGACTTTCAACAGAATATCCATGACGCCATGACTTTCTTGGACCCCACCGAGTCACCTGTGGGCCTCTCTCGCTATGCATTTGGACAAAATACAACAAACCGCATAGAAAGCCCAATGAGAAGATAGAAAGGGCCAAAGTTACCGGATTTGTCAGTCTCTTTTGGTGAACGACCTTTACCGTTTTGTTGGGTTCGTCTATGTGCAATCATTGCTTTTATCTCCATTACCGCCTTACGGTACGACGCATGCTCGCTGAATATACCTCGAGTCGCTCTCTGCAGTAATCTCATCTGTTTGTGTATGTTCATGTTGACGACTATGAAAATCAATACGCCACATCGGGTTTTATTGGCTTTTGCTGAGCAAAGTCATATATCACATTATATCTCCCGCCTCTCCACAAACCCCGGTCGTCCGGTCATGCTGTCGTGGCTTGAGGTTGGCCGTCTGAGATTTGCGTAACTGGTGCACCCCATTGAGGCTGGCCGTCCGAAATCTGACCGATGACTTGGGGTTGTCCGTCGGAGATTTGCGACACCGGCGGGCCTGTGGGATGTCCATATCCTGAGCTCCAGGAGTATGTAACAGTGCCATAGCTAGAAGATGGACCGACTGGGGGCAAAGTGTAACTTCCTCCACTGGGACCAGAAGGTGGGGAAGGCGAAGGGCCACTAGGTGAACCGCCGTTGGCGAGGGTACCCGATAGCGGGAGATTTCTGCTGGAAGCACCGACATAAATGGTTGGGTTGCTGACCTCTACCCAGTTCTGAATAGTGGCATCCCAGACCGATACATCACGGCGAGTGAGCTCGGCAGTAAACGTCGCTGACTCGCCAGGTGCAATTGTCAGGCGATCAAATCCACGAAGAACTTTCGGTGGTTCGCCTTCCCCGAGCCAGACATACAATTGCACGACCTCATCACCAACAACATCTCCTGTGTTGGTAATTGTTGCGGTCACGGTCGCGACAACTTCATAGAGGAGGGGGTTGCCACCAACCCCACCTCCAGCAGGCTGGACGGGCTGCGGCGAACCATCGGTGGCACCTGCCGGAACATACTGATCCGTTGGCAGGCCATAATCAGGATCGGCGGACGCGGCTTCGAGATCGGTGGTGTTGAGGTAAGGGTAGATGAACTCATAGTAACGATAAGGAATGCTGGCATTGGGGAAGAGGTACAGTGACGGATCCGTGGACGAGTTACCCAGAACTGGGGCTGGCCCTGTCAATCCACCGGCGGGAACATATGGTGCTGGGTTTCCAGGAGTGATCACCAAGTTGGAATATTCAAAAGTGGTGTAACTGAGGCCGAACCCAAATTCATAGATGGGCTCAATTCCAGCAGCGTCGAGGTGTCGATAGTCGATGAACACACCTTCGGAGAAAAGGACTTGTGGAGCATCAAACTGTCCATTGTTTGGTTCATAGAGGACATCCGTGCCATAGTCTTCCCGGTTCCGCGCAATGCTGAAGGGCAGTTTCCCACCAGGATTGACGAGACCATAGAGGATGTCTACCAGAGCATTACCACTCTCTTGACCGGGCAAACCGGCCCATAGAATAGCAGTGACATTCGGGTTGTCGTACCATGCAGAAACATTGACAGCGCCCACAGTGTGCATGACCACGATAGTGTTGTTGCTATACTTGGTCACATTGTTGATCAATCGGTCCGCACCTTCCCAGAGGGACAAATTGTTGCGATCGCCGGTATTGCCGTCAATGGTTATGAATCCCTCACCAGATTGGGCGTTCGCGAAAACAATGGCAACATCTGACTGTGTCACTAGGGTCTGCATCTGAGAGTCTGCGTAGTTGTCGCAAATGGTCGACACCTCCGAATCCGTATTCGTAAGAACATACTGCTGGATTGCTTGTTCCGGTGTCACCAAATATGGAAATTCGCACGTACCGCTGCCATAACCCATAGCCAATGTTCCATTGTTGCATTGCCGATTTGGACAACCATTGGGGCCCCAAGGGTTGCTACAAGCATCATAACCAACGACGGCAACTTGTCTCTCTTGGCCCGTGAGTGGAAGGCCACCATTGTTCTTCAAAAGGACAGTCGAGGCCTGGCCGACTTGTCTGACGATATTGCGATGCTCGTCCTGCACATTCAGGTGTTCGTTGACGATGACCAAAGGTGAATTGGGATCTGCAGCGGAAGCGTGTCCGTACGTGTTCTGGCTCCATGCGTAGAAGTTGGTCGGAACTCTGGCAGTGTCACGACCAACGTAGTAGTAACCTGCCATGATTCTCGTGGCCATGTCATCCAGTCGCCATTCAGGAATGGTGCCATTGATCACAGCAATAGTTAGATTGGTGCCCCAGTAGGTATATCCGGTGTTGAACAGTGTGTCACCAGGCATTGACATGTCGAGTCCAGCCAAGGCTGTACCAACTCCAGAGTGTTGAGCTTGCCAGTCTGACATGATGAAGCCCTGGAATCCGAGCTCTCCCTTGAGAAGATGATTCATTGTGTAAGAATTGGCACAGGCGTAAGAGTTGTTCACCTGCTGATAAGAGCACATGACTTGGAAGAAGTTAGCCTACATTCTTGGTTGCCACTTTTTTCGTGCGCCTACCTGAAGCTGTCCCCGCCCGAACGGCATCGGCGAAAGGCCAAAGGTAGAGTTCGTGGATGGTCTTGTCGTCAATATTTGAACTGAGGGTGGCGGTGATGTTGTATCCGTAGCCAATAGATTCCCCGACCTGGCGGAAGTGTTCCTGTTCATTTCCAATGAAGTGCTTTGTACATGCCATAACCCCTTGGCTTTGGATGCCTTGGATAGTGGGAGCGATCAAAGCTCCGGTGAGATATGGATCGGGACTGAACCCCTCCTACTGCTGGTCAACTTGCCGGCTCTGATCCGCGAAAGAGACTTTCTTACCCAGTTTCGGCCACCTTCAGGAGCACGGCCAAGTGGGCCACAGACGGGACCGAGCTGCACGTCGACACCTTTGCCTCTGTTCTCAGCTCCCATGGCTTCTCCTCGAGCTCTTGCAAGATCACGGCTCCAGGTAGCAGCCACATTCAGGCCAGCGGGGAAAGCAGAGACATAATCGGCTGTTCTTCTATCAATAGCCATAATCAGAGGAGGCTCCTTATTCAAACATACCGAAACGGATGCCCAGTGGGCCATCCTGCATGCAAAGGGGCTCGAAACCCAGACGAGGAATGGAGCCAGAATTTCCCACACATCGATCAGATTCCCAGCTTGACCCAGCATCAGTCGCAGGATCCGACATCAAGTTCGCAGAAACTTACCCAACCCCGGTTGTGAGGTTGACCTTCTCCATCAAAGTTAAGCCGCTGACGAAGGCGCGAGCCTTTTCGTACGCGGCAGCCCAATCTCCCGTACCAGCACCCCATGGGGATGGATATTTTGGAGGCGACGTCCAAATGGGACCAGTGTAGTCATTATTGTACGGCTGAGCAGCTTGCCGCTTGAAGATGGCATCTGCAGATTCAACAGGCTTTAAGACAGCTTGTGAGTAGTCTGATAGTTGTACAGAAGCATTAACAAAGAGGAGAGCAGAAATGAGTTGGAGCATCATGGCATAATGTTGGATTGGTTTTTTTTTTCCCCTCTCTTTTGACAGATCCTGAGATCCAGGGGCCGTAAACCTGACAATTTGACAAGGAAATATAGCCCGTTTAGTCGGGGATGGTTGGGCTTATCGAGGGCTCATAAGGGCGCGGAAAGCATCGTGCACTTACGCTGGCTTGAATCTGGGGCAAATAAGGCAACGCAACCAATGCCGCCACAACCGTCTCCGTAAGCCACATCTTACCAGGGCACCAGGGGCTTATTAGGCTGATTCTCGGAACCTCGTGTTGACGTCAACCAGTCGGAGGTCTGTAAGTGGTCTTGTTGGGCTCAGCCAAGGAGACGATACGAACTGATGGTCCGGGACCTGGCAGTCGTAGATCGATAGAGCAGATGGCCGAAATAGTCGGGTAGGGAGCACACCGCAAGCGAAGAGACGGGTTGCGGGTGACAGGAAGAAAGAGTGAATAATGAGTGGACAATCGAAGAAGCTCGGTGGTATTTGAATATTGAGCGCCCGGGCTCTAGATGGTATGGGCTATGTCAGTGTAGATGTCATTCAGCGTGTCTTATTTTCCTGTTCCCTTCTCTTGCGCAGGGAGTTACATAGCTCCATGGGGACCCTGGCGGTGGTGGGTGTCGGCGAGCTGAGGAAGCAAGGAGCTGACGGAGTTGGAGGAGCTCATGAATGAGGAAGGAGCAAAGGAAAGAGCGTGATCCCTGGGCTGGTATGCCCGTGGCATAGCATGCGGTGGCCTTGTCTGGTAGCGGGTGAAAGGGGCCTTGTGATGCACAAGCTGCACAAACAAGCGGCGATCCTGGACGCGATCCTGCAAGCGATCCATACTGTGACTTTGAGGGATGCATTGCTGGTGCCTGAAGCGGCATGTGGATGAGGGCAATGTTGCATTCCCCATGTCACGACAAGGGCGAAGCAAGGAAAGAGAGTGGCTGACGGCGGTCGGCGGATGGACCGCGGGCGTCTCAACAGGTCATGTCGGTGACGCTGTACCCCACAGTAGAATCACTGAGATTTGAGCCTTTGCTTCAACCGTCTAGGTAATGGCTTGGTGACAGGGACTGGGACTGGGCAAGGACTGGGACTCCGTAATTCGAATTGAAAATTTCAATGCATCAGATGGACACCGGGCCATGATGGGGTTGCAGATCCTCGCATCCTCCGCTCTTTGTGAGAGGTGAGCGACACCGGAAATGAGATGTGGCTGCGATGGGCTTCAAGCTCCCCGCAAATCATGGATCCATTGTATCCGCTTAATGGCCGATGTTTATCCCATTTGCTCTGGTTGTCCTTTCTGGGGAAGCCATTCCATCCGGACATACGCATCGCTTGAATGTTTGTAGCCTGGGCTGCCAATTGTAACTTTCTATCGAAGCACATTATTCCGTAATATGCCACTCCCTGCGCCGTGGCCCTGTCGATGCGCCGCCGGGCGTCACCTTCCGTCCACTTGCTACCTTAACATGGGTATATACTCATCGGCTCCTGATGCTGTTTTCTCACCACATCCCTAGGCACCCACTCCTGGTGCTCCCTCTCCACAACACAATGCTTGCTTGGGCAGGACAATGCATCCCTACAAGACGTCTTCCCCGCCCATTCACCCCGTGCGTCTTGTACAAAGGCCGAGTCGCAATGCTGCCGTGTCCTGCAAATAGCGCAAAACCCCGGTGTAACTCCCCAGGGAATCTTGTGAACCCAAGACTCCAGGTTCCCAGGCTCCCTTCCGACCTGGTGGCTGCCGCTGCCGGGTTCCTCGTGGATATTCCCGGACAAGAACCCGCGAGCCCATTCATCTACGGTTGTAACCCAAGCCATGTTGCACAGACACCTCTCCGGTCATTGAGATGTCTTCCCAGCATGACAGGAAACGGCTGCCATCAGGCTAACAGAGATGCCCAATTCCGGCACTCCGCGCCTTCTTGGCTTTTCTGGCACCTCTTGGTCATTCCGCGCCCCTCAGCAGCAAGCAGCACGACCATACCGATACTCTCTCGGCCCCAGCTTCGGAAACCTCGTGGCTTCGGCAATCGAGAGGACCGAGCAAAGCATGAAAACGTCGGAAGGATGTCTCCATCATCAAATACCGCCCTCTCTTTACTTGTCGCCCCTCCCCTAGCCTCTTGTCACTCTTCCTTTTTTGCACGAGTGCCCTCCATCCCAGCCACCATCTCTTTTCCGAGCATATATATCATGTAGGCCGGGAAAATCAGCCAGAGACCGTTGGGAATGATCCACAAGAAAACAAGGTTATTCATAGAGTTGTGGCCAATGTTGGCAAAATTCGAGAAGTATTCGTTGAGCCCTGTTTGGTCCAGATATCAGCATCAACGTCTTTGCGCCCATAAGATCAGCTCAAATGAGGCCATGAGAAGAGCGAAGAGGTTTCACGTACAGTACAGGACCGTCTTGCTTAGAGTCATCACGGCGGCAGAGAACAGGACGACGACAGCCGTAGCCACACCGGGCCCGCTTACTGACTTGTCCGTTTCACCCAGGAAAAATCCCCATAGGGTACGACAATTCAGGAGGCCTTCTGTACTGTTGCTCAATACTGTACTCAGGTAGTAGACGTACATGACTGTCTCAACGACATTCAACGAAGCCTGTGCCGCTGTGAAGCCCACATGGCCGTCCCACGCCGGCCAGCCATATACATAGTCCACCGTACCATATAGAGCATAGAGCGACCAAACGGGAGTGTGGAATTTTCCCCCGGGCATCGAGTGTGGACGAAGTGCGATGTACCCCGTATCCCATACCACTAGGGGAAGGGAGACGAACAGCCACATCAACAGCAGGGGTGGTACCGTATGCGAGTAGAGGTGGGTCGATGAGGTTGACAACTTTGCATTGGAGGATCGATTCGATCGGCGCTTTCGAGAAGCCGAAGACGAAACGGTGATTGAGTCATCCGAATGGAGAGGCGAGGGAGACTTGGAGGGTGAGTCAGAGGCATTGGATCGGATTGCTGCACTGGGTGTCGCTGGCTCGGGGAAGGGTCTGGGGTGGTGTCTCGTGGACACCATGTTGCCTCGAGGCTGCGGCGCAATCGTGACCGTGGGTGTAAGCCAAAAGCCTGGAGACGTTGTCGGGGTATGTGCTCTGCCCTTCTTTGTTGCCAGCCGTTTTATCTCACTCTTGCGTCCCAGACAGAAATCGGATACTCGAGCGTAGTGAACTTCTTCAGCAGCGATTTCTTTACCTCGACCCAAGGATAATGTCGTAGTTCGCAAGGGCGTTCGTTCTAGCAAGGATTCGGCAATTGATCTATCTTGTTCTTGGAAACGCCAGCAGGTCTTGCTGTCAGTCCAGCAAAACAACGGCAGGATTGACGGAGCGGTTAGATGGTGGTGTACTCGGTAGAGCGTCGCTTGAGGTCTTGTTGACGGATCGTGGAGTGAAATGGAATCCGGGTTCTGAATCGCGCTGCAGAATCCAATAGAAGGGGGGGGGGAAGAAAAGGGAAATTGATCGCTTAGACGTGAAGGTAGAGAGTCTCGTTGCGGGTGTTTCAAGACTTCGTAGTCGGTAAACAGATATATGAAACAGAAGGGGAGGAGTGGTGCCAGCGAGGTTGGGCTGGTGGGCTTTACCCCAGTGTCGTGTCAGTGTGGCGTACCGCGGCTCTCACTCTATCCGGTGCGGTGCGCTGTGCATCGCCCGCTTCCCGAGCCGGCAAAGGCGCACATCGTTCTTCTGAGAACTTTATGGGTGCAGACAATCCCAAATACCGCAGCCAGGAGGCCTAGTCGGTATATGTACCAAGCAGATCCTGCAGGTTTCTATTGAGGGTTCTGTACCCAGTATTGTCTTCAAAGGTGCTAAATTTTTGCCCACTTCCCTTCCTTAACGATGCGCTCAAAACAAATGGCGTCATCAAAAGCGGACAAAGCGTGTTGTACCTGCATCGCCTAGCCGGTGCCTTGCATCCCAATCACGTCCTTCCTCTTTATTTGCAAATTTCAGCGAGCATATGTCAATTGATCCATCCATCCATCCATCCATTGATTTAGGCCGCCGGGGTATTCTTGACCTGTCTCTAGCTATCACCAAACTCACATATCACTCATGACTGCCACAGTCTCAGCAAGTTGTCATTGAGACCATCTTCCCATGGTCCAGGCTGCTGATCGTTTCCAAGCTCCAAGAACTTGGTCAACGCCATCTGCGCCTCCGAAGTCCGGGCAAGGGCTGTGATTCTGCCAAGGTCTCTGTTGAGCGCATCCTCTGGCGGCGCTTGCTCGTTCACAGAGTCCTTTGTGGCTGCTAGTGCAGCGGCCGGAAAGGAAGCAATGCGATGTGCAAGCTTATCAACGTAGGTTATCATCTCTTCAACAGAAGGAAATGATTTGTTCACCCAACCGATGCGCTCGGCTGTGTCTGCATCTACCGTGCTTGCAGACAGGAGGTATTCCAGCGCCCTTCCACGTCCAATAAGTTTTGTGAGATATTGGCTGCCTCCGCCAGCGTGGAGCATGCCCAGTCCTATTTCGAGACTACCGAGCTTGGTCCCGGGAGCGGCAAAACGCATGTCCATTTGGAGCAATATTTCATTTCCCGCACCCAGAGACTGTCCAGATATTTCCGCGATGAATACCACACCCATGCTCGACATCATGCGAGCACTTTCGACGAATTTCCTACTAACTTCTTCTGGATCGAGGGGCGGTGGTAAAGGTGACGATCCGCTAAGGATATGGAGATCGTAATGGGAGAAGAAGAATTTCGGATTGGCCGAAGAGAAAATTACAACCTTTGGCGGGTTCGGGTCTTTCTTGAGGCCGGTTAAGAACGCATGCAAATCGGAGAAGACTTTGTAATCCAGAATATTGATGGGAGGATTGTCAAAGACGGCTCGAACCACAGGCCCCTTGGAGACGACGTTGAGCGTTCCGTACCCCGCCATATCTGCGATTGGAAAGACGCAGCAGTTAAACCCAATCTCTCTGCCAGCTCCGGCAAATTGAGTAGCTGTCCGGTGAACGGGGACGACACGTTTATCTCTTCATTTTCTCGGTAGCTATTCACATATTGCTCCCGTTCTCGTAGGCATTGCCATAGTCGCTTTGAAATGAGGAGCTGACATATCACGACAAATAAACTGGATGTTCGCAAGTATTCGATGTTTTCAATTGCCCGTTTTGGAGATTGGTCGCATTAGTAACAAACCATCTTGGTCCCTTCTTCCAGCTTACGCTCGCACAGAAGGATATCTGTGGACATTACGCAGATAATGTTGCATGGACCGACGTCAGCCTCTCGCTTGATATGAAGAGGATATAAAGTTCTGCTAGGTGTTTTGGTCCGCGTTTCGGTCTGTGGCAGTATGCGTATCAGGCCGAACAAGACCATTCATACCTCATTGCCCAAACATCTCCTGACCTTTTGGCCTTCGGGAGACCGGCTTTTATTCGTAATCATCGAGAGCCTTCCCTCAGGCAAATGGCCAATGAGAGTCTTCGTGACCGCGGGGAGTGTGGCATCTAAATGATGCTAATGTGCAGCGTCTCCAGAGACTTGCTGTGTGGACGGATCTCCTTCGTCGGTTGTGTCGGGGGTAGCTTGCTGTTCAGTCTCTGTCTCGAAGAGTTTCGCGATTACGTCTGGACGTATAATGTCCTTTCGAAACTGTTCTTGCTGGAGCAATTCGAGATTCCGTAGTGTTGCTCCAGGATGAGTGAGATATTTGGCATATTCAGGGGTGCGCCAATAGTCGTAAAGATACTTGAGGTACCTTGCGAATCGAGCCGCGTCCGAGTTGTCGACTTCAGTCACACTCGGTGACGTCGTCGGCTTGTTCAGTAGATGAGGGAAATTCAACGCGAGGTATTGAAGGTAAAGGGGATTCGACAAGCATAGCACGAATTCGAGTTCGAGAGTGAAACGGTGAGACAGCGGGGTTGGAGGAATTCCTGCGTCCATAGCGATGAACCTTCTCCCTCAGTCGCAGACCAGGCGTATTATCGAACAAAAACAAAAAGTCCTCGTATTATCACATAGCAAGGCTGGCCAGTGGTGATTGCCGGGTAAGATCCAGACAGCAGAATCCTTACTGGGTAGAATTTGTTGGCCAACGTTGTCTTGGTAATTCTCCTATCGATAGCCCACGCGCTTGGATCTTATTAACTGTGCGACCGCGCAATTACGGGGAGAGCCGATGCAAAAGTTGAAACGGACCGGGTCTGAAAGTGGGCCACTCTGTCACCTGTGACCTGCTTGCGCAGTAGCTCGGCGTAGGGTTATAGCGGAAGGATCGAGACCAGAGGTGTGTCAAAACAGCCAGTATGAGTATTTTAGCCCTGCCTTTGATGACCCGAACGTTCGTTCTCTTGAAAGAATGGGGGTTTGTTTGTTCTGTTGGAGGTAGACCAAGGCAAAAATAGTTCGCGGTGGTGATGAGGAAGGCATGCATGCATGCGTCTCAGATTTGAGTTTGAACAAGGGTTCAACGCTGGTGATCTGTGCTGCACAACCAGTGCTGTTCAGTGACAGGATGTGAGGGCAAGTCGAGGGTGGGTTGAGGCCAGCACAAAACTGGCTTGCTGGTAGCTCAATGGCGGACCTGGGATGGAGGGCTGATCAAGGACTAGTGAGGCTTTGCGACAGGGTTCAAAGGAGGACGAAGATGCTGGACTCGTCGAAGAGCCTCTCAAAATTCACCCAGTCAGCTTAGGCTCTGGGTACCGCGTACTTACACCAGAGCGCAGACACCACCGACAAGGCGTGATCTGATTTTTGACACCAACAAATGGGCGACGATCGTTGTTGACAAAGGGGCCCGTGAAGATCCCGACAGCTCGTGAAGGTAAAGAACCCTGGCGCAGTCAGTCGGACGGAGAAAACTTGCCATACGTCCATCAACAAGAATGCCATGATACCATGGACAGATCTTTGATCAGTAACTCGTAAGTAACTCTGAATTCCGAACTCTGCGTCTCTGTCTCATTGTAGCGTGGTGTGGCGTCAGCGCTCCTCTCTTGGTCAACCGGCTCGCCGCCTCCCCCAACTTTTGGGGAGGGTCGATAAGTGCAGTGTCGCCCAGTGTTGGCGTGGCGAGTGGATATAGCGGCAGTTTTAGCTAAAGTGACGAGCTGGCTGCGCCCCAAGCCCCCGGCGACCCCCTACCAACCCTCCCAAACTCATCGCACCACCCCTCCTTCTGTACCCAGTATCCTGCCGGGTTCGGACCCTAAACCGCCTCGAGGCCCTTCTCAGAATTCTTCCCGACAACACACACCTTTGCTTCTTTACTACTAAGCCAACTTGCCATCCTAGTGTCTCGCATCTCCTGAACTGCACAAAATCACTGTCAACATCTCCTACTTCCAGTATCGTCTCGACCAAGCAGCTTTACCCTTTCTGCGCCCCTTGGCCACTCGACGCACGGTTCTCCGGGCTCTGCATTCAAGGCGGTAATTGTCTCTCCTGAAACGGTGAAGAGTTGCCCAGACACCCGCCATCCAGACCACGTTGACTGTCGTTGGAATCCATCTCCCTCCAAGAAGCTAGAGCACTCACTATCTTCGACCTTACATCCTCGTTCTCAGTCAATTGTGGTCGTTTGTGTCTTGAAGACACCGACAGACCACTATATGCTCAACTGCGCAGTCGGCATCTGACGACGGAACGAATCTCGAGACAGCCAATGGCTCAAGCTGGACCTTTGGCCGGTATGTCAAGATCACGCGCCCTCCCTGACTGTGCTTTTTGTATTCTTTGCCTTTGTTCCTTCTACTTGTATGTTGCTATTTATTGTCGCTCACCTGACAACTGCGCCAACTCTACCCCATCTCAATCGCTGTTGATGTCAGCGACATGACTGATCCCTGTTTCACAGATCGCGGCCCGACCTCTCTCGCGTCCAAGAATCCCTTCCGCAATCTTGTCTCAGAGAAGACCTCCACCAGACCTATCTCGACAAATCCCTTTCTCGACCCCAATGAGATCTCATCTCCGGATGCAGCCAACAATGCCACCTCACCTACAATTGGTACTGGAATGGCGGCAAAGCGCCCTGACATGGCCGACAAGACTGCCGATATATTTGTGAATTGATCTGTTTCTTTAGCCGATTGCCCTTCCTAACAAGAGAGTAGGCAAGCCTCGATATCAGCGAACCTGCAAAGCCACCGCAGCCTCGTGTAAACGGCGCCGCCAGACGGGAAAATATCGCACCTCGACCGCATCCCCCTCGCGGACCTCCGTCGCGCCACAGGCCCAGCAATTCAGAAGAAGAACGTCGCCGACAGCAAGGGAAACCTCTTGGAGCCGCACATGAGCTTGACATTTTTGCAGATCCTCCAGAGCCGAACCGTCCACGCGAACGACGTCCGCCGCCACGGCGCAACTCCGAATCCTCCATCAGAGAGAAACCCAGAGATCAAGATCCCGAGGCAGAAAAAAGGAGACGAGAAAGGAAGCTACGGGAGGGAAAAAGCTCACACAGATCAAAGAAGCCAAACGCAAGGTTGGATATCATCGATAAATTGGATGTCACGAGCATTTACGGCACCGGCTGTAAGTTAGCAACCCTGTTTTGACTATGTTAATTCTGACTGCTGCAGTATTCCACCACGATGGTCCATTCGACGCCTGCAATCCTCATCGTAACCGCAAAGGCTCCAAGCAGGCTCCCATGCAAGCATTCCCCAAAGACTCGTTGAATATGCAACTTGGAGGCTCCGGTCCCGTCAACAAACAACTCAATCTAGATCAGTATCACGGTACCGGACGAGAAGCAAATCTCGACTATAATGACGCAGCAGTCTACGACGACGACGCGGATTATTTTCGAAGGCCACAACCGGAGAGAAGCGCCAGCTTCAACCCTACCGCCAGAACCGAACCTTTGCATGGCAGCGAGACAGCAGGTCTTGGAACAAGCACATTCTTGGAAGGTGCGCCTGCAAGCCGAGCTGCGATCCAACGCCGCGAAAGCGAGCAAGAAGCAGCAGAACAGGCAAATGCTGCTGGGCTGTCGCGCAAGAAGAGTCTGGCACAGAGAATCAAAGCTGTGCGCCCAAAAATCGCCGAGGGGGGCCGCATGACTTCGCCTGAGCCGACAGCAACTCCGACCAGCCCAATGGGGACAAGCAAATCAGAGCAGAATGGGTCAAACCCGTTCTTCAAGGACCACGACAAGGAATTCGAGAAGAAAGGTGCCCAGATCGCCTTCGCAGAAGAACAAGCAAAGAACACCGGTCGCGCCCGAGCACCGTCGAGCCCGAAACGAACTGGACTGGGTCTCGAAAGGCGACTGACTTCCGAGAGTACGGGTCCACCGCCTGATGATGTTAAATCCGGCGCTGCTGGTTTCCTCAGTCGAGTCAAGAGCATTAAAGGAGGACGAAGCAGGACGCGCGAGAGGAGGAATACTGAGGCCTCTACTTGATTCGACTATCTCTTTCCAACTTTCCTTTCTGTATGGGGATTGCATGGTAAACGTTGGGATTTGTTTTTGGAAATCCGTCTGCATCGCCGGGGCGTGGTAGATCGCGAGAAACGGAGTCACATCATGTCAGATTTCGGGGTCAGGCAGGCTCAGGGGCCTATTTATGGAGCATTCCAATGTGTTGGAGATCTTGCATGACAATCAAACATGATGATATGACCAATGGATATAGGGTGCACGCCAGGGAAGTATTGATGCCCACCGTCCGGAGCCAGCAACCTTTAGACTTGCGGGAAAAGTTACCAGGAAGACAGTCAATTTCGGCTCGTCGAATGCGGATGCCGGTGATAACAATGGACTGGGAGCAAATCTGGGCGCACCGAACGAGGAATTGCGCCTGTCATGCCCTGTCTGGTGCCAATCCCGAAGACGGACTCTACTTGTGTACCGTAGAACGGGAGAACGAGGTCATTGAATCTCGAGGCTCTGGGAGTGGAAGCCCTTGAACCTAACGCCCGAGCAAACGGAGGGGCAGAAGGAGAGGAATAAAAGGGAGGGAGGAAGGCCAAACCAATTCATTATTGTTAGAGTGATAGGATACGCTAGCTCGCTCGCTCATCTTAGTGCTACTGGGATTTATTCTCATTTGCTTTTGTCTGGATGTACCTTTGTGCAGGGTTCCTAGGGAATTGTCACTACATACCGTCAATCAAGAGACTGAATCTGCGTGTCTACCCTGCCTGCTCGGTCGATTCACATATCGATTCATAGATTGATTGATTGAGTGAGTGAGTGAGTCAGGGGATATATCCATCCGCGTCCATTTCGGTCGAGCTGAGGGCCGTAATACTGCGGGAAGATGTGAAGGTGAGAGCAAGCGCATATATGTATGTATGCTCGTATTCATTGAAGTGTTTGCGAGTCCTCGGTCCGTACATACAAGTACGTGCGCATGTATGTGTGCACTCCGTATGGACGCTGAAGTCTCAGACATCGCATACTCACTCACTCTCAATGAGGCAAGCATACCATGGCCATGTTCGAGTCCGTGTCCGTGCCTCTGATCTACTCCTATCCACACGCATATGTACCCTCCCCCCCCCCAAGGGCGACTTCGAAGCCTCGCGCTCCAATAAATCCCCTTCCCCCCAGGATCCAAAGTCGGGTTCTAAATGATTGATTGGGTATTAAATACAAGAGGGAGTGAAAGATCGGAAGAAAGAAGGACGGCGAGAAAGGGAGGAACAAAGAAAAGAAAGCAAAAAAGGACGAAGGAAACAATCGAAGAACCGAAGCGGCCTGAACCTCGGAGGCCTCTGCTTCTGCATCGTCGTCAAGGAAAATGGGAAAAGGATGGGTCTAGCTGCCACAATGTGGAAGTAGAGGAGAGGGCAGGAACCAAGTTCAAACAGACGAAAAGAAGAAAAGAATAAACAAAGAGGAAAAAAAAAGAAGGGCATTTCCAGTGCCTACCTAGGTATTTACATTTCCCCTACGTAGTGTATTCCGCTCAAATCCCTTGCCCCCATCCATGTACCATATTAATACCATACAAGTCATCAACGCCTCGAGGGGCACCCACACCCACTGGCCAGGGAAGGAACAAGCCAACTCCCAGAAATCAATCACTTGGTCCTCCAACCCAGTCCAAGACCGCCCCTGTGACCACACATCCCAAAGCCCACACGCCAGCATAGCCCAGGGCCCCTTCGACTTCTACTCCCTCTACCGTGCCCCAAAGCGTTAGCACGGTCTCCGCAAACATCAACCCGGTCAACAACGCCGTGCGGCCGATCAGTTCTTTCTGGCGTGCCGAGTACCATCCCCACGCGTTGTGGTAAACGTGTTCCCTGAAAGTCGCTGTGGCGGGATCAAACGCTGGGGCCTTGATCGCAACCGTGGTTGCAGAGGCAGGAACCCCCGCGACCGCTGTTGACGGCGCAAAGAGGAATTCCATGCACGCCCAGCCCGCTGGGATCAGGGCGAGAAGGAGGGTAGGGAGACCAGCGGGACCCAGGTGTGCGGGTTCTAGCGTCCTCAGACCCGTGAAGTATACAATGAGCCAGGTTGGCAGGAAAGTTGCGAAACTTGCTTCCAGGAGGACAGCGAAGATGGCTGCTGCGAGGAGAGATGTCGCAATGGTGGTGTACGGGTCGGTCAGAATGGGACGGTTTCGGAGACTGGATTTCGACGCGCTGTCAGGGTGGTGAGAGGGAGACAAGGGACGGAGGAAATAATACGGAAGAGAGTTGGCGATCATCGAGGAGAAAGTTGTCGACGTCAGTGTGATGGGAGATATCTGGTAAAAGAGGCCCAGCATCAGGGCGGGCGGGGTGTCGAGAAGCAGGGAAAGGGAGGCGACGTCGTACGCTATAGATTGACATGGTTAGTTCTCCCCGAGCTTTGAGACAACGAGGCCGCAACTGCAATGACATACCATCATAATCGCCAACCCAGTATATGCCCAACTTGGTCAATTTCCACCCCAGCAATCCCAGCACCTCAGTCCACGTATCCGGCCGCCTCGAGACTCCTCCAAGGTCACCCACGCCGACCATTGACGCCGCAGTCTGCAACCCTGCCTCCAAGAGCGTGCTCAATACCACAGTGGCTGCCAACTTCAGCGGCTCAAATCCTTTAGCCTGCGCGACCGTGGACTTTGTGGTACTCGGAAGTTCCATCCGCGACGGCGGCCTCGGGATGACCACGACTGGAGAACCGGCAGGCGACAAGGTTGAACGCGAAGAACGACGTGGGCGCGTCACCTTGATGGTGTCAGAAGGGACGGCCTTCGAGCCTGGAGTTGCTGCGATACCGTTTGCGACGTCGGCTGCGCTGCTGCTGGAAGTGACGCTTGAGGATTTGGTATGACGGCTTCGTGGAGGAGCCATGATTGTGGTGGATGTGCTGGGCCCGGCGCGAGTAGAGAGGTTCGGCTGGTGCTCTGGATGCACAAGGGTGGTGGCGAGTTCGAGGAAGTCGTCGAGCATCAAGATATTGTCGTCACGGCCACAGCGACAGTACAAGGTCAAGAGCAGACTTGTTGTCGAGAGGGGGAGGACGGTTGGTGAGCGGAGTTGTGGGAAAATCAGTGGCTGGTGGTGGTGGTGGTGACTTTGTGACAACAAAACAACCTCTTTCGCGATCGTGACATGATTGGTTCGAGCTCACAACGTCTCCAACAACCATCCACCAGCGACTTTTCAACTCCAAAGCGATCAATCTACTCAAAGAACAAAATAAAAAGACCAGTATCACCTATCCCATTCCTGTCCGTCTCACACAAGAGCTCGAGATGTCGATCAGCAGTCGGCCTCAACTCTTCCAGGTCGCTCCCTAGGTAAGCAAACAATAAACTCGTCCTCGAATATAAGTAGCCTTGTTCTATCACTAAAACAAAGCGACCTAGCATTAAAATCAACAATGGCCTAGCAAGAGACCTTGGAATGTCAAAGCACTGTGGTCCGTCAAAGCTAGGATCGCGTCAAAAGGCCAGCCACAACATCATTGTACTATAAATATTGTTTCCAAAAAAGCCGTAATCTTCTCCTTCCTCCATCTTTCCCTATCAGAATAGCGCAAACACAAACATGGCAGATGAGGAATCCCCAGGTAAGCTCCATCGACATACTCAGATTGAGCCCTCCCTGACCAGACCCAACAGTTCCGGTGACTTCCCAGCTTCTTCGCGACCCAAACCAGATTTCGTCAGCGTCCTCAGTCATATCGCACCCTTTGAACATGGTTTGCGCAGAGCTGGTGTTCTCAACCAGTATGACTACGCCCGACTCCGTATGGCCTGCAAGACCACCGCCGAGTTGTTGAAGCCATATCCTTACAACCCGCGCAGACAAGACACCAAAGATCCTTATTTCGCGGGGCTGCGGGTCACCCCTTGCGATCAATGTCATATGATGACTTCTGACAGGCTGCTTGTCAAACCGTGCTATGGTCATGGTTGTCCGAACACAGGCGGCACCTCTGCTTGTGGGAAGTTCATTTGCATCTCCTGCGTCTTCTCCGCCCACCTAAAGTCGAACCGGTCGAGGATATCTGATGAAGTCCATTACTGCCGTCCCTGCAGTCAGCGTTTCCACCAAGGCCGCACAGAATCCCAGGCTCCGAGGCGATGTCAATGTGGCTGGAGAGAAAATGAGGACGTCCGCGACCAACCGTCTTCTGAGTGGCTGTGCTTTGGCTGCAGATCCAAGCGGAATGAAATGCTCCCCATCACCGCCAGCCACAACGTGCTGACTTTGGAAGTCCAACAGTCGCGTTTCCCTCTCGACCGCGGCCAACCCCCGTCCGCAGGAAACTTGAAAAGATGGATCGGCCTATCTTCCAACAACAGGAATGACTGCCCAGGTTGTGGGATAGACTACGCCGCCCTTGGTTGGACCTGGATGAACTCTGACTCGGAACTTGACGGTGACGATTGGCCTCGCGACATGGTTCGGCAGTGCGTGTATTACCTGGAACCCAAACCGCCGGTGATGGGAACCAGGAGAAGAAGGCAAGCCAGGAGCCATGGACCGAGCCCGACAATCTTGGCAATATGGGATGCCTAGGTATCCACCGCTCAAAATAGCCCGTCCTTCTCAGCCAGTCCTTCGTCTTGCAATTCATTTATTTCATGCCCATTGAGGCGCTCACGTAGTTTGTTCTTCAAGCTGTGGTACCAGGATAGGAAGGCCAGTTGGGCAAGCCAGGAGAGCAACAAGGTAAGCTATCGGTAGGTGATTTATCAATTCTGTCCTTCTCAGTCGTCATCTTCCTCGGGCGGCTTGTCTGGATGCACTCTCATTTCAATAGTCCCAGTCTCTCGGCCCCGAGCATCTTTTGTCACAAACGAGTATTTGCCCCTCTGCTCTCCTTTCTGTTCAATCCATAAATCTTTGAATGTGAGTTCCTTGGTTCTGTTGATACTTTCGATGGCCGAGATCCGGTCAAGGGTGGCTTCCAGATAGTCGTTGAACCCTGGTTCCGCACAGATTTCCTTGAATGCGTTCATCATGGGCACGCTGTCGGCTCGGACCATGGCCCTGCTGTCAATGGTGAAGATGTTCTCATGGTCGTAGCTTTGGATAAAATCTGCTCGGGTCATAATTTGGCGAGCAATGTAGAGAGGGATTTGTGGCAGAATATGCCCATGCTCGTCGTCGTAACTTGACTCCATGTCCTTTTCTCTCTCCACAAGCGCCTTTGCCAGCACCATAGCTGCACTAGCATACTTCTGCTGGTCCATCACGTCGTCGTCCATTTCCTCGCCGAGGATACCGCATTGGTTCAGAAACCATGTCTTCTCTGCTTCGTTGATTTGTCGACACATTTTCAGCATGTCGGAGCTTTTGGCGACCCTGTTGAGAAAGTTAAGGCGACCGCCCACCAGGTCGTACACCTGCTTGAGGATCTCGGGATCACGTTTCTGTTCCGGGAAGTATCTAGCGCGGTATCTCTCCAATGCGGCAATCGCGCGAGTCTTTGGGAGATCCAGGATTGGAATCACCTCCATTCTCGTAGCGTAGCGGCGGAGACGTTCATAGACCCAGAAGTCGTCGGAATTGAAGACCATGGTGATAAGGTTGGCCGCAGCCCACTGTTCGGCACGTTGCTGCATCAGTTCAATCAGGTCGTTCCCGTCTTCATTGTCGCGGATCAGATGGGCGCTGTTGACGATGAGAATCAGAGGGCCTTTCCGGCCCGGTTTGCCCATTCGGTTTCTGTGCGCCAAAGCGACCTTTTCGAGCTTATTAAATGCCCGCTCAATGTCAAGCAGAGCGGTGGTGTCCCGTGGCCCGCGTATTGAAAATAACGACCCGATATAATCTTCGTGGTACTCATAGTTCAGCGCCTTTCCGAGTCGAATGCGGAAGATTTCAAGGTCGGCGTGAGCTTCGAACATTGACACTCCCTCCCCATTCTTCTCTTTCATTGCTTCTAGTAGCATGGAAGACTTCCCGGTACCCTTTTCGCCAATAAGGAGATAATATCTGCCTTTGGATTCCCCGTTAATGATGGTATTGATCTTGGCCTGCTCGGGGCGGGCTATCCAGTGCTCAGTGTCATCAGCTGGTTGTTCTCGAGGAGCGACGTGGGGTTCTGCTGGTGATGCAAGCTCCAGCATAGGGTCGCCCGGTTCAAAGGCCTTTTCTATCTTGCGCAGCACCAGAGATTTGTAGTAAACGTGGTACGAGTAACCAGCCAAGCCAAGAACGGCGATTGATGCAAATGTTGTCATCGCCGCCTCAAACGCTCTGGAAAAGGTCGGTCCCAGGCGACTTTTGGGCTCTGGTCCCGATTTCGAGGGCTTTGATGGTTCTTCCTCGTCCTGGTCGGCCCCTGGTATGTTGCTTGCGGGTCCAAATTGCTGGGAAAACGGACGAGGATGCGACCGCCTAGGTGCCAATGGGCGGCCTCGGACGAGCGACGAGACCAATTGAGGTCTGGCGACCACCGCCCTTTGCACCGTTCTCATGATGAAAGCTATGCGCCTGATCCAGCAGGGGTTCCTAGCACGGAGTTTGTTGTATCCTGGATGACGCGAGATTGATCGCACGCACGCGCGGAAGAAAGAGCGAAGCGCAACACCAAACCTGATGAATGAGTGGAAGAAATGAATTCGCAGCGAACGACTTGTAAGAGCTCTGAAATGAATGACTATGGAGAACAAGAACTGATATTATTTACAATGCCTGTGGCGTGTAAGAAGTTAAAGGGGGAGACTTTGAAGTGGCTGTGGCTGCGGCTCACTAGGCTGATCCCCAGAAAGGGTTGAATGCTCGCACGTGCTCGGCGGGATGGGCGAGTCTTTGATTAGCCTTGGTACCTCCAAGTATGATCTTCATCCGTGTGCTATAGAGGTTCGTAGGCGGGGAGTAATTCTCGAGCTGCCTGTTTGCAGGTTAACCATGTTGTAGTATGTGTTCCATACCGTAACCAGGACTAGCCATGTAGGAGGTCAACTTCCCAAGTCGTCCTGTGTCAACCAAAAGGGATATTCAACGTGCCAGTGGAAGATGCTCTCAAGTCGCGTGACTGCCAAATTCGCCTCGTGCCGGGCTTCAGGGAGGTTCCTTCGGGACACGCTAGGAAGCTTCATTGGGCCTAATGGGCTTAGCGCCCCCAGTAACCCCCCTGGGCATGCGGCCTTTTTATTAACTGAGACTCCCAAGACTCTTACCTAGGCATGGGTCTTAACGGGAACAAAGGCGACGCCGCTTAAGCAACCACCAACCACACAACACCCGGCGTAACCCGAGCAAAGTCCCCGGGGCAGCTTCCAGGTCTCCGGATGCTGCTCGCCATCCAATTGGAAGACCGGCTTCGCGGCGATTCCTGCGGTAATGAATGGTGCTTGTCGATACTCATTTCAAAAATTTATTGTCCATCTTCTCCTCGACTGACCCTCAAGCATCTGTCACAGTTTCTTTGCTGTACATTAATTTTTCGCCCCAGCATCGCCTTTCTTGTAAAATATTCCTTCGTTCTTTCTTCGTCAGGTTGCCCTCTGGCTTTCCACTCCTTCGCATTGGTCTTGACTGTACAGCACGGTGGTATTGCATTCTGCTCCAACATTCTTCCTAATGGACAATTCCCATGGTGACGTGAGGACAACACCAGGTCTGCTGTAGCTCGCCCACCATCACCATTTGACCCTCTAACGCAACTCCAGATGTAACAGAGGTCCCGACCAAGGCTGAGACAGCTTCCACCCTCACGAACGGGGTAAACGGTGTCAATGACGACGCGCACGATCAAATCCACACCCACACCCACAACCACACCCACCATCACGACCACGACCACGACCACGCTCATCACGATGATGCAAATGCGGGTGCACTGTTCCAGGTCACCGTCAAGCTGCCGCACAAGCCCTACAAGCAGACGATAATGGTGACGAGCCAAGAACAGGTGCAGGATGTCCGTCAGTCCATTGTCGAGACCCCCGATACCTTCCAGTATACCTGTTTCCATCTCGAGCACAATGGTCAGAGGATCAATGATTTTGTCGAGCTGTCAGAGGTAAAGGACCTCAAACCAGACGACGAGATTGTTTTGGTCGAAGATCCCTACACCGAGAAAGAGGCTAGGTTGCACGTAGTCCGCATACGGGAACTCATTGGCGCCACCGGAGACCGATCCGATCAGCTTCATGGCATCTGCGCCGGTTTGTCCCTCCATGATGACAAGTTCGGCTCTGTCCATGCTCCTGCCAGCAAGACGGAAGACAATCCTTTGGCGGGTTATGAGGTCGACGGACGGGTGTCCCTAGACACCATCTTACCATCTCACCAGGACACCTTGCCAAGGACAATCAAGTCGCTCGCAGTCTCTCAATGGAATCCTCCTCCATACCACCTTCGTCAGCGAGGCCACTTGCTCTATCTACAGTTGACCACCAACGAAGGCGAGCAACACCAGATCACTGGTACCGTTTCTGGCTTCTACGTCAACAAGTCCTCCAGCAACAAATTTGATCCCTTCCCGAGGCCCGCCCCCAAGAACCACAGTGCTCACTCCCTGTTGTCCTTGATATCCGCTCTGTCGCCATCTTTCAATGAAACCTTCGTTGAACTACAGAAGATCAACGGCAGCAAAGACCTCCTCACCACGTTCCCGTTTCAGAACGCGATTCCCGCAAACCCCTGGATCGTTCCGTCTTACTATGCACAGGGAAGCCAGCATCAGGCAGATCCCACCAGAGCCCAGGAGGCCTACTTGATCGGAGGAGCGGATGGTGCGGAGAATCTTCGGGATTGGAATGAAGAGTTTCAGACCACCCGTGAACTACCCAGAGAGACCTTGCAAGACCGAGTTTTCCGCGAGCGGTTGACTTCTAAACTGTTTGCCGACTACAACGATGCCGCAGCAAGAGGTGCCGTGCTTGTTGCTAGGGGTGAAGTGGCACCGCTGAATCCAACCGAAGGCAGAGACGCGCAAATCTTCATCTATAACAACATATTCTACTCCTTCGGGGCTGACGGCGTGCAGACATTCGCCAGCGAGGGTGGTGACGAAGCTGCCAGAGTGGCTGTTGGGAAAGACGTTGCAGGTGTCAAAGCCGTTAATCAGCTGGACATCGATGGGTTATTCACTCCAGGCACGGTCATAGTGGATTATCTTGGCAAGCGCATTGTAGGCCAAAGCATCGTTCCAGGGATTTTCAAGCAACGAGAACCCGGGGAACATCAAATCGACTACGGCGGTGTCGAGGGACGGGACACTGTCACCGAGAATGAAGCTTTTGTTCCGGTCTTTCAGAAGCTCTCGAAAGCACTACACGTCAAGAAGCATGCGGTCTGGGATAAGGAAGGCCACCGACACGATCTGGAGGGAAGTGTCGAGACCAAAGGACTATTGGGCACCGACGGTCGAAAATATGTGCTCGATCTCTACCGTATCACTCCACTAGACGTGGCTTGGTCCGAGGAGGTTGAAGCTGACACCGGGGACGAGAAGTACCCACATCGGATGTCTGTCTTACGAGTAGAGCTGGTGGAGACGTACTGGCACATGAAAATGCAGGAGTTTGTGAGGGCAGAAGTTGACAAACGCCGCTCAAAGCAGACCAATGGCCATTCCGGGGACCTCAAAGATGGCGAAGAAGAGAAAACCAAAGACCACGCCCCTGAAGGAGAGAGCACAGAGAACAAGTCCGGTGAGCCTCAAGACGAACCTGGCAAGGTTGCTCCGGCGTTGGAGCAGGAACGGGTTGACATTTCGGACTTCACCTTGGCACTGAATCCCGACGCGTGCAGTGGTCAGATCCCCCAGACTGAGGAAGAAAAGCAAGAATACGATGCAGATGAAAAGGAAGTTCGTGCGGTGTGCGAGTTTTTGCGAACCAAAGTCATTCCAGATCTCATCAACGAACTCCATGATGGCGATGTTGGCTTTCCGATGGATGGTTATTCCCTCTGCCAACTCATCCACAAGCGTGGAATCAACATCAGGTACTTGGGACGACTTGCAAAGGCTGCCGAAGACAAGGGCGAGCGGCTCCAAGCATTTTCGACGGTGGTATTGCAGGAAATGGTGGCTCGAGCATTCAAGCACATTGCAAATCGCTACCTACGCCATCTGCCTGTCATCTTCGCCGGTACCTGCATAGCGCATTTGTTGAATTGCCTCCTGGGCGTTGACATCAATGCCAACCCGCGTGCCGAGATTGACGAAGACCTGCGGGCTCTGTATCCCGGCGGAGATTTCTCGTTTGAGGAAGTCAACCCCACGAAGCTAAAAGCGGCCATCGAGAAACAGGTCAGGATCCGATATAGGTACGCGCTGAAGGAGGATTGGCCGATGACAATCCGCCCATTGCCAATGCTTCGAGAAATCTCGTTAAGGCTTGGGCTCCAACTGGTGGCGCGAGAGTTCAGTTTCAGTAAAGGGGTGCAAATGCTCGTTGATGCATCACCTGCTCGAAGCGCCAGTGACTCGCACTCGAATAGCGGCGGTCAGCCGGACGAGGGAAACAAAAAGAAGAAAAAGAAGGGTGGTGAGCAAGCACAATCCGGCAATGGAGCTGGCAAGCCCTGCACAACCTTCAGTGCCGAGGACATCCTCAATATTGCCCCCATTGTCAAAGACGCCGCTCCAAGAAGTGCGCTGGCCGAAGAAGCTTTGGAGGCCGGCAAGCTCTCTCTTGCCCAGGGCCAGAAGCAACTTGGACAGGAACTTGTCCTCGAGTCTCTTTCTCTGCATGAACAGATCTATGGAATCCTTCACCCTGAGGTGGCTAAGATGTACCATTCACTGTCGACGATCTACTATCAGACAGATGAGAAGGACGCAGCCGTAGAGCTCGCACGCAAAGCTGTGATTGTCACGGAACGGACATTGGGGGTGGACTCACACGACACGATCCTGGCATATCTCAATCTTTCCCTGTTCGAACATCATACTGGCAATACGAGGCAAGCCTTGAAATATGTCCGACATGCGTTGGATATTTGGAGGATCATTTTTGGACCTAATCATCCTGACTCAATTACGACAATGAACAACGCAGCGGTTATGCTTCAGTCTATCAAAGAATATTCAGAGTCTCGCAAGTGGTTTGAAGCTTGCTTCACAGTCTGTGAGAGTCTCTTCGGACGCCAGTCTATCAACGCGGCTACCATCCTGTTCCAGTTGGCGCAGGCCTTGGCTTTGGACGGAGACCCGCATGGGGCCGTCAACAAGATGCGAGACGCGTACAGTATCTTCCTGACAGAACTCGGAGCAAACGATCGAAACACCAAAGAAGCGGAGAGCTGGCTGGAACAATTGACGCAGAACGCGGTGTCAATTGCCAAGCAGGCCAAACTGCTGCAGAATCGGCGTCTGGCAGGGATCCGCCATCTTCCCAGAATGGGTATGGGCACGAGGCTCCAGCCGCAAAATGCCAGCACGGCTGCCTTGAATGCAAGCTCCAGGGCCGGAGCAGCTCAGCCGAGTGTACGCACCGGAACAGGTGATCCCACCTTCGACACCAGAAGCATTGACGAGCTATTGCGATATATCGAAGGCGGGGAGGTCAAGCCTAAACAAAAGAAAAAGTCGCTCAACCCAAAGGCCCGAGCATCCAGGAAGGCCATAGTTGTCTAGAGATGGCGCTTCATCTTACGAAGGCCTGGCAGCACCTCAAGGCGCAAGGGTGCGTCTCCCCGGACAGTGAGCCAACCAAGACGTACACCTCACCTCGAAGCAGGTTCATCCTGCCATTGCCCCCAACGGCAATTTGCAAACCTATATATGTGGAGAAGACATCGAAGGTTGATGAACAGGGGCAGACTAGTGATACGGTAGGATTCATTTCCTTGTGATCATCTGTATAACACGAAGCTACGGGATGTATGGGTATCGTCTCGGGCCCTGCCAGCCGTGCGGCGGCTGGAAAAAAGCAAATTTTAGTCTATGTAACAGCAGATAGGAGCGGGCATACCCGTCAAGACAAGGGACGTGGGCAAGGTCCCTATGACGGCCGGAGCATAGAGCAGATGACATTTAGATATGCAATCAAGGTTTCTCAACTCCATCCGACGGATGAACAAGAGTGTGGGTGACTGGTTGATTTGTGATCTTTTGGACATGTACCTCGGACGGGGAGAATGTCAGCGAGGTGTCGAGGCTGTCTCTGTAACGGTGGTTCGGTCGCCCGCGGATTTGCCGGATTAGGAAAGGCGCCCTAGTGTGCCAAGGACGAATGTCTCCGGCTTCACAACCAATTCGTCAGCGGCATCCACGCCGTCACCACCATCACCACCATCACCACCATCACCACCATCACCACCGTCACCGTGTTTGTCAGCAGGGACCAACAAAGGCGAGAAGGACCCCGCTCAGCTCGCTCAGCTCGCTCAGCCTGCCCCACCGAACCCGTCTCGCCGTTTCTGCCACCGCCCGATTGTACGCACGGTCCCAACAGACGACCAACATCGTCAGTTGTCTCTTATCAGGCAGACTTCGATTTTGTGGGAGACTTTGCACCTCAGCCTACAGCCTGGACGAGATTCCTACTTGACTTCCACCTTCCACATACACTGTCTCTGACGTTGGAGGCATATTCTACCCAGGACTTCGGCAACAGCCTTCGAAACCGGAAACTAATCCGTCGCATCGATTACTGAGCCAGACCACGCTTCGGCTGAATTGCAAATCTTCTTCCGTCTGGCTGCCGACAGCCTCGCTCGAGACTTGGCTGTATCCCTCATTATCCCTTGACCGGTTGGACAGGAGCCTCTTCGTTACTCCAAGATCCCTCGGCTCGCCCAGACTTGCTTCGATGTCGACGACAATGTCACGGCGGCAGCTTACCACGAGCACCACCTATACCCTTGCTCATACTGCCCAGTGTAAGCTGAAACTCGCCGCGAACCGTCCTGACCGAAACCTGCGGTTTGTGCTGGGCCATGCCTTTACCCTCGATAATCTCATGGTCCGAATCGTCGAGATCGAGAATCAGAGCGCCAAATCCGTGTTTCAGGAAGGCAAGCCGCCGAGCCACCACGGATACGAACACTATGACTGCACAGCGCCACAGCCTGTAGCTCCAGAGCCGGATCCTCACTACGACTGCACAGCAGCGAAGCCAACCCCGTCGGAGCCTGAACCAGCCCGGGGTCGCAGAGTCAGTTTCCACGACAACAATGCCCGACCATCCAGCACAGCAGGTGTTGGCTCTAACAACCGTTACAACGGCACTTCTTCGCCCACGCGGAAACACTCTCCGCCGCCCGTCGCGACCCAGCATACGTACCTTGACGAAGAGCAGGACGACGACGACACGTCCTCGGACGACTACGACGACCCAGATTCGTACCACTATGACTGCACAGCCGCAGATCCAGAGGCGGAAAAGCCGGCTCTGAAACAGAGGCCCGTGCATGACGCATATTCAGACGACGAAGATGCCGCGCTCGAGCTCGCGGACGACGAACTCGATGATGACATGAATGACCTCTCTCTCACGCGCTTCGAGTCAGCATCGGCCAAACCGCCACGGATGGTCCGCTCTGGCTCCTCGTCATCCGACGAGGAAGAGGACAAGGCGCAGCCGGCCACGCCACCTCAATTACCTGCCGACGTCGATGTCAGAGAGATCATCGGCGGTGAGAAGGACGATGAGCTGACAGATCTATATGAGAGCGTCAGGAGGTGTCGATGTCATGGCCGGAGGGAGGACCCGGAAGTCGGAGGCACGCCACAAGGGGTATGGGATGTGCCGGTGGAGAAAACAGGAGGAAAGCATTTGGCGGTGGTTGCGGTTGCTGCTTGACGTGACAGAGGGGATGGGGACGAGATAAGGTCATCTTGTCGTTGTTGTACAACATTGGTCCTGGCCGGCGGTGGCCACAGCACGCTGGCAAGCGTTGTACCTACCTACTCCCGTGTGGGCAAGCAAACCCAGAAGCAGGCACTTTGGCAAGGAAGGACCCAGGCGGAGGAACTGTGATTTTTCGTCCGCGGATATTCTGACTTGGGAGGAGAGGGCAAGGCAGGTAAGAACTCAACCATGGTCGTTTTGGGAGTTTGGAACACAGCATGGATGTAGCCTTTCATCCTGCAAGATGTGGACAAGTCTACTCCGCTATATATTTTTAGCTATCAGTTACCAGTTGATACCCTGTACCTAAATAAGAGAGAGAAGCATTCCTAACTGGTCACCCACGTTAGTCCGGACCTACCACTGATATGGAGGTATAGATTTTGATAGTACTCCGTCTCGTTAGTATTATGATTCTCGGCAAAGACATCAATGCGTATCTTGGTCCACTTTCTTACGGAGGAGGTGCACGCTATGTAGTATTACACTCCATTTAGTACTCGGCGAGGACTGCTTGTATAGATGGATGGACATGTAACCTACGAATGGGGATCGAAAGATTTCCCTTTTCGCTTTCACTGTTCATTTCCCTAATCTATTGCCTTTCCCCTTTCCCTTTTTCTCCCCAAGTTTCCCCAGGGTCCTGGATTCCTACTAATCCTCCCTTACTCCCTCGGTCCTGACCTCGCACTGCTCTCCCATCCATCTATTCACCGTCCTCACAAATCTCCGAGCCCGCGCCTCCTCCAGTCCTCCTGCGCAAAGACGTCGGACCACGCTGTCTTCGACCGCTCCCGTCCACTCTCAACGAAAAACATTGCGCCGGGAAGGAATGGCTTAAAGGAGAGATGTTGCTGTGTATCGATTCTCGTTTCCGGTGGAAAAGGCTCCCACCGCGTTATCGACTTGCGTGTCGTCTGTGCTCGTCTCTGGCCTCGCTGCTTGTTTTTTGGGCATCTCTCAAACTCCTCATGTACCTGGTGTAGTTCGGCGCTATTGCTCTGGGCGCGTGCTCTCTAAAGCCTCGACTGTTCGGCTGCGATTCTGCCCAACAGCCCGTGAATTGGCAATCTCGAAAGACAGCAGACCACTGAACGAAGCGAGCTTCAAGTACGCGAGGAATGCTGCTGCACTGAACAGGTCTCCGCGTGGTGCACAAGGGAGCTGACTGCCTTCAGAGAAGAGTTCGCCCATTGGTGCGTGAGAGTCTTTTGGAGTTTTGGTCTCGTGCTGTGCCCCGAGCATCATATTTCCGGCCGCGGAGTTCATTATATCGCCCGCATGTGGTTGGTGACGGTAAAAATAACGAACGCCAGTAATCCCTCGCACGAATAATGGACGGAGTTCACCACCAGAACCGATGACTCTGGAACTCCAAAGGTGCGGTGTTGCGAGAAAGTGTTCAGGCAATCGACTTTCCGCTCTTCCCTAGGCGTCTAAGACTTGTTCTTCCTCCTCCTCGTGCTCTGAGCAGGAGTCCTGTTCATCTGCGTAGGGGTGATGGGAGGAGCCTCCTCGAGAGCCAGCCTGACAGACTTCTTGGCCTTGCTCTTCGCTCGCTTGGGACCTCCCATGCCAACCCCCAACAAAAAGCAAATCCTCGTTGCTGCCCCGCAGTAGACAAACAGGTAATTCCCATAGGCCATGGCGTTCCAATTAGCGACGTCGTAGTAAGATCTGATTCCGAGCGGAAAACAGCTGTACAAGTGGCCGAAATCTGCGATAAGCAGGCCTAGCAACAGCACGCGCCAGACTTTCAAGTCGGTTGTTGCACGCAAGACAAAGGCTTCGTTGATGGCAAATGCGACGTACAAATTGCCGAGTTGTCGCAGGACGACATTGGTTGCCGTGGGCAGCCCGAGAATGCCAGGCGCGGAGGCGGCCTCAGTGAGTTCGAGATAGGTTGCTGGTAGCAGCCAGGCGTAGTATGCTCCGGCGAGTGTGGCAACGGGTTCGATCCAGAGGAAGAAAATGATATACGGCAAAGGGATGGCGGCCATGGTTGCGTTGGCGGCTGTATCGCGTGTGTCGTTTTATCTCAAGTGACAGCCAAATTGCGGGAAGAGCTGCTCCTCTGCTCCGAGTGAGCTATCTGGCGGAAGGGGATTCAAAACAAGAGAGATCTCTCCTGTAGATAATGGGGGTCTTCTTGTGAGATGAGGACGGCCAGCTCTTATTTTCTCCGTCGTTCACATATAGAATGCAAGCATGAGGTTGGTCGGCAAGAACTCTCTCCACAGATAAAAGAAAAGGCTGGATCGCCGACTCGCCGTGCAGCAGCGTGGCATCCAGGGATTGTTGCAGAGGATCCTCGGCAACGCTGAGCGGAGTCGTTTGGCGAGACGAACCACGGGGAGAACAAGTTGCTGAGACCCATGCGTGTGATGGAGGTGCAAGAAATCTCGTCAGCTCCGTGGTTGAAACGCCGGTGTGGGATCGGAGGGTGCTGGAGTTGGAGGCTGAGGGCAAGCCTGCGCCAGATGGCTTAGGCGGTCAAACGGCGCTCCGTCCGGGGCCCTGCTGGAGCTCACTGGAGCTGACTGGTGTCCACTGGTGCCGCTAGCAGGTCTCTGGGGGCAACGAGACAGCCCAATGGCCGTTGACGGCGCCCTGCATGCAACCGTTCGGCAGGGCGGCGGGCCTGCGAGACCTCAATCCCAGGCTTTCACAGGCCGGACTTGTAATCGTTGCAGGGGGGAGCAGCATCCCAGATTTACCTCCCCTTGTTGGTCGGAGTTCCTGGGAGCCACTCCACAGTCCTGGGACGCCCCCGAGCCATCAAAAATTATCCACCCGTCAAACAAAAACACTCTACTTGTAAGCCGTCAACTTCCTCCCCCAGATGCCATGGTCATGACCAGCAAAAATCACAATCCGTGACCTGTACTTTGTTTTTGTGCATTTTCACTCATTGAATCTATTGCACCCACGTTCTTTCTTCACTACATACATCTCTTGCGGCTACTGTTGTCGGTCTCATTTGTCACGACTGCTTGATGCATTCCCTGTCAGCATTGAGCCTCAACATCCATTCCTCTCACATTCGCTCTTTTCGCCACCAGTCTCAGTGTCAGAATTTTGAGATCGCTCACTCTCTGATCGACTTGTAATACTGCGAGAGTATTCTTTTTTGTCTCAGGCAACATACGGAGCTGGCCGAGTCTTCTGGCAGGCTCGTCCGACAAAAGTTGTCGCCCACCTCCTTCCAGTCTCACCGCTACCATGTCCCACCATGGGGCTTCCTCTTCGATAGCTCCTCAACGCAGGACATCTCTCTTTATTCTGCCCCGGCCCAAGACTGCCTACGAGGGTTCGACAGAAGTCGAGGAATCTCTCCGAAGGCCTGCGACGCGCATGTCCCTGATGATGGCCTCGGCTGCTCATGATGTTTTGGACTGGGGCTCTTTCAATCGGAATCAAGAACAAACTGGAGAAGGAAACAATAGCCCCGAGTTCGTTGACCCCTTCTCGAAGTTCTCGGGCGAACCCCAGATGCTTGAGCCTTCCCGCCCACGACGATACTCGACCTTCACACGGTCTGTAAAGCATAGCATCTCTGAGATTCGTTCTCTCACCAGACGGATGTCGCTCACTGTCAGGGGCAAGAGCTCTAAGCAAAAGGAGGAGTCGGGAGAGAATGAGAGGCCACAAATATTGCCATTGAAGCCATGCGGAGAGATGATGGATTTGACCGAGGCCATGTCCACCGGACCAAAGTCCCGCGGACGGTTATTGCGATATCCTAGTGCCCGGAGGAGACCATCTCTGCCACTGCTTCAGTTCCATACTCCTCCCGAGGTGCAGGCAGACGTGGATCATCCAATATCTGCACGGTTCCGCGGACACCCCGTCCTGTCGGACCTAGTGTACGGCGGAGCAGAAGCCCGTGCCTCAGCTGCGGCTCAGAATGAATTGTTCCATGCTACGAGAACGCCACCTCTCCCGCCCTATGAACCTCCAGAATCGGAGATTGACAAACTTGAGCCGGATGCGGAGAGCGGGATCGGGATCGTGCTAGACACGCGTGTTCGGCGTGGTTCTTCGCCGGCAAATGTACATGTCATTTGTCGAGACCCGGCGTCAGTTCTTGCAACAGAATTGGTGGAGTCGATCCTCTCTTTCCTTGACGTGGAGTCGCTCATTCGGGCTTCCCTCGTCTCCCACAAATGGCACGATCTCTGCCAGTCGCAGGCTGTCTGGAGGAGAATCTTTTTGCAAGAGTATGGGCCCAACAACGAGTCGCCAGGTGCCGGCGTGCATCTTGCTGGGCTCGGTAAAAACAAACCTGGGCAAGATTATCGGAAACTCTTCGAGGTACGGACTCTGATCGACAAGCGCTGGCGCAACGGCGAAGCTGCTGCAATATATTTGAACGGCCACAAAGACAGCGTCTATTGCGCTCAATTCGACGAACAGAAGATCATCACGGGCTCGCGCGACAACACAATTCGTGTGTGGGACGCTCATACCTACCAATGCATTCGCAAACTGGGGCCTCCAAACAATCCCCGCGAAAGACAGTCGGTCCAGATTCCCCTTGTAGAACCGGAAGGAGTTATTCCGTTCTTCAAGGCCTATGTTTCATCACCGGCGCCACCCTCTCCGGAGATTCCCCTGTATCACCAGGCGTCAGTTCTATGCCTGCAGTACGACGATGAGATTCTCGTGACAGGATCTTCGGATTTCTCCTGCCTGGTGTGGTCGATCAAGGAGGACTATAAGCCGCTATTCCGGTTAATTGGCCATCATGCTGGGGTTCTCGATGTCTGCATCGACAAGGAGCGGATCGTGACCTGCTCCAAGGACACAACGATCAAGATCTGGGAGCGATCTACAGGCAAACTTGTCAAGACGCTCCTGGGACATCGTGGTCCCGTCAATGCAGTCCAAGTTCGAGGGAATTTCTTGGCCAGTGCTAGCGGCGACGGCATGTCCAAATTGTGGCGTCTGGAGGACGGGGTTTGCATCAAGGAGTTCCAGTCCAAAGATCGTGGCCTCGCTTGCGTTGAGTTCTCGGAGAATGGTCGAACAATCTTCGCGGGCGGCAATGACCGGGTCATCTATGAGTACGACACGGTCACGGGGCAACGGATCCGCGAGCTGAAAGGGCACAAAGACCTGGTGCGATCACTTCATCTCGATTCAGCGAATTCACGCATCATCAGCGGCAGCTACGACCATTCAATCAAGGTGTGGGACGCGGAAAAGGGAGAGTCCGCCGAGGATGGCGGGCTCAAGATCAATTTTGAAGGGTGGTCATCCAGTTGGATACTGGCTGCAAAAAGCAACTACCGCAAGATTGTCTGCACTAGCCAAGATGCGAGGGTGGTTATCATTGACTTTGGTTATGGCATTGACGGAGTGGAATTAGTCGAGTCGTGATTCCAAGTTGGCGTTGGTCAAAATGATACGACATAATCCGCATTGATTCACCATATTACGACGTTCATGACTCCGGCGACGGGACACTGTTGAGAGGGGAAAAGCAAGTTTTTATCGGTTTATTTTGATCGGGGGGGGGGCTTCCCAAAAGCAGTTGCTTGTGACCTTTTTTGAGCTGTGCAAGGTGTTGGTGGAGACTCTATGCAAAAGAGGATGGATAGGGGCTCCAAAACATATCTAAGTTGGATGGATTATTTCATTTGTGTTTTGTTATGCGCTCTCTCGCGCCGCAGTCGTGGTCGGGAAGGATGACAGGGGAGGGGGCCGTTTCAGGGGGCCGGCCCTAATGCAGGGAGAGATGCGGGAAAGGGAGGTGTCTCAAGAATGCAGAATGCAATTGCATGAGCGGCCGAGTCATGCACGGTCTATGGTATGGACAGAAGGATGGGAGACAAATATGAAGACTGAGGCAGAGTCGGTGCATGGGATGTGGTGCCAATAGCTCCAAGTACTCTAATGTACCTGATATGCGGGATACTAGTGCACTACTGGGTACTACATACCTACTCGTGACCTGGTACGAGGCACGGTGTGGGTGGTATTGGCGGTATTATTACGGCGGCAACAGCGGGTAAGATCAAGATCGTGGCGAGCGAGGACGTCATTGTGTTTACGCGGATGGCCTGCTGTGCCCAATCGGCTGGGCGCGTTAAGCGAATCTGTTCTCTTGGATCCCAAAGCTCATCCACGGTTCTTTCATCGAAACGGCGCCCAAAATATGCCGAGTGAGTGAGTAGTGTTGAGTGAAAGGGAAGAAAAGGCAGAAGGATGGGAATACCGATCTTGTTGACTCACCTCCAGACAGCCGAAGATCAGACGTGGTACGAGGGGCCCGTTGGCTCACAAACCCTGCATTTGATTGTTTACCCATCCGGAACCAGCGATGACTAAAGGCACCGAAGCGTGGGAGCCATGTGCGATTCTTGGCTGCCGTAACTGGGTGCTAGGTGCCGATGGGTGATGTGGTACTGGGTACTCGGCACTGGGTATCTCGTCGTGCTCTGTGCATCTTCTCAGTTAAAGGGGCCTCTCTAGTTAAGCAGAGGGGTTCAGCGATCGATCCTGACCTAGGCAGCGAGGGAGGCACTGCTAAAGTGACAGAGGTTAACCCTAAGAACCCCACGCCCGAGTCAAACGCGTTTTGATACGGGACAAATTACGCGATTCACTGGGCCTGGTCTGTCACGCTCTGCCCACCGTGCGCTCTTTTGCCCTTTTGCCTCACAGCCGCTCGCCAGCCATTTTCTCATCCCTCTTTTCGCCCTGCCAAAACTGCGCCTTCTCGAAAACACTAACAAAACTACAACTACCAAACTGCGCTTGTCCTCTACCTCGTATCAAGCCACTTACTCGCAACTGTCCTCCTCACCCACACCACGGCCTCTCGCCTCTGCCATCCATCTGTCCATACCACCCGCTAATCTATCGCCGCCCTGTCAGGCTGGGATTCCATTCCATGCCTCACATTCGTCCGAGTCGCTACCGCGGAAATCCCTGCCTCAGAACCAAAACATTGATTGACGTCGCAAAGCCCACCTAGCGCACCTGCTCTCACAAGCCTTACGACTCCTCGCAACCGCTCCTCTCCATCCTTCTCAAACAGTCAGCGCCCTGTCCGGCACACTCACACAACATGCCCCCGTCCAAGAGGAAAGCACGCCGCAAACCCGCCGATCTTCTAGAGTCTTCAGAGCTAGACCTTCCAGACTCTTCCCCGTCACGTCCGTCGGCAAAGAAGCGCAAGGTTGTCCCTTCTTCCCGAATCCTTCCATTCAAACCGCGACGCACAAGCTGACATGCTCCCCAAAAACAGGTCAACAGCGCTCGTACTGCGCCCGCCAGGAAGAAGTCCGTCACTCCCGACGCTGAACCTGAACCCACACCAGCCGTGGACTCAAGCGACGACACGGAAGAAGTCTCCCAAAGCGATCTCATCGACTCGGTTGTTTCCTATCTCCAAGTCTCCAAAGACCCCATTGTCGCCAGAACCGAGTACTCCAACGATAAAGTCCAGAGTAACAGTCCGCAGAAGGTGTCGGCGTATGCGAAAATCGCCGGTCGAGACTGGACCTACTTCGTGCGCGAGCAATCGGTCAATTTTGGGAGACCACCAGACGATCGGCCTAATCTGAATGGCGCTTCAAGCCCTATCGCTGATCTGAAGGAGGTCCTCCCGGTCCATATTGATCTGGGCCCAAGCAAGATTGTTTCGCGGCACCATGCCTCGATCTACTACGACGCCGATTACCCGGTGGATGAAGGTGGTTGGCACGTCCGAGTCAATGGTCGAAATGGAGTTCGGGTCAATAACGTGCTGATCAAGAAAGGGCTGCGGAGGCAGATCAAGTCAGGCGATATCTTGGAGATCGCCGGGACGCAAATGATGTTTGTCACCCCGGGCGACAAGGTCGAGATCGACCATTACTTTATCGAACGCGCCAAAGCGTTGGCTGCAGGCGAGGAAATCAGTCCTGCTCAACCCCAGCCTGAGCCTTCCAAATACGAAGTCCCATCCGGACCGACTCAGAATTTCCCTTCTCTGGCCCCGGCGCCTCCCGACTTCAAACGTGAAGCTACGCCGCCGGCGCAGACGGCTGACGGCAAATCCCAGCGGGGCGTCTTCGACAGTAAAATGCCCATGTCGCCCATGTATGGTCGGGGGATGATGATGGAAAGCACCCAAGAGATCGACTACAGTCGGGACAGTGCCAAGGACCTTAAACCACCCTTCAGCTACGCAACAATGATTGCCCAGGCTATCTTCTCAAGCGAGGAAGAGAAGTTGACCCTGAGTAACATCTATTCATTCATTGCTGACAAGTACGCCTTTTATCGCCATTCAAACAGTGGCTGGCAGGTATGAACTCCACTTCCACAATCACTTGCGTACTGTACTGACTGGACCAGAATTCCATCCGACACAATCTGTCGCTGAACAAAGCATTTCAGAAAGTTCCTCGGCGAACTGACGAGCCTGGAAAGGGGATGAAATGGCAAATCGCCCCAGAATTTCGTCAGGAATACTGGAAGAAACAAGCCCGTCGCGGAGGCTCAGCTCCGTCTTCGCCTGCTTCTGGTAAGGAAGTTAATCCCAACTTCAGAGGGCCTAATGGCCAGAACCTGGGTTATGACACTAGTATGGTTGGCCAGTTCTCTGCACGAGATATGTCCGATCGGGCAGGGCCTCCTGCTTCCGCTAGGTTGAATTTCCCATTCCCTCCTTTTAACCCCAGGCAACAGCAGTATCCGCCGAGCCCCGGCCTGGCACCGCCTGTCTCGCAACCTGCGGAGGCTATCACGCCTCAAAGGCGAAGAACGGACACGCAAGGCACTCTTCCGGATATGGACCTCGAAGATTCCCCTTTGCGACGTGGTAATGGCGCACCGACACCGCATCTCGGGAATAGTGTCCCGATGTACACGCTTCCATCTTCTGCTCCGCCTCCTCATCATTCACCGACAAATCCCACGCTGTCGTCTTCGTATCTGGATACCCCGTTCCACCCGTCACAGCATAGCATAATTACACCTGCGCCACTGCGACAAAACCCCCGATTAGCGCCTCCGAGTACTTTGGTCGCTCCTAGCAAGTTTATGCCAGAGTCGTCGCCTGCAGGCCCTCAAGGGCTCTTCTGGAAGGGTATCATGGGTGCAACCCCGGGCCAGCCGCTGCCTGACATGTCACCGGTCAAGGATGAGGATCCTCGAGCGAATGGAATTGACAGGAATGTGATGAGTTCAAGTCCACCCCCTATTGATGCGAGTATGGGGAGTCCGAGCAAACCTGCCAGAAGTAGTCAAGCTCCGAACAGCTCAAGCTCGGCTATGAAAAGAGAAGACAGCCCTGCAAATGCACTTAGGTTGAAAGGTGTGGCAGCTGATGAGAATGGAAAGTTCGCACGCAGTTTTCAAGGCAGCGCGAATACGGCGAGTGCGGTCAATGGTCAGATGGGCGCCAGCCGATTCAATACACACCATTCCTCGAACAACGCCAGTGTGGCTTCGAATCATGATGTTAACGACGATGAGGGTGATGACGGCTTTGATTTGGCCAAAGGATTTGCACCCATTGCCGGTGGAAGCTTCCATTCGCAGAGAAGCGGTAGCCTTGGTGTTGCGAGAGCTGGATCATGAGCTTAATCCCGTCGCAAAGTCAAGACTCGATGAGGTTTGATCTCGGTTGGTCTACTCGAGCAGAGGCGTCATCACCTAGAGCAGAGGGCTATTGAACATTGTACGAATAAGAACAACTAGGATCATGTGCTATGCTATCACGGGAGATGTTGATGTTGAAAATCGGATATTATGGGCGGTGGATCTGGTGGCATTGTGAACATAAGGGGTGGGAAATGCGTTGCTTGGTTTCCATTTGGAAACAGAATGCACCCATGGGGAGTTTGGGATCAATACTGCGTGTCACGATGGTCATTGTTCGTGCCATTCAAGGATTGGCGAAATTGATTGCCAGGAATGGTCCGAATCGGAATAGTTCTGTAACATCAAACAACATCACTACTTGACCTGAGCTCTCTCGCATCTGCCTTCGTCTCTTCTCAACCTCAAACATTCGTAACACTCATATTTAACTCTTTGCAGGCTTGTGGGATTCTGGAGGTTAATCTATTCATTATCCTTCCCACGCTCTTTAATCGTTCAGACAGTGACAGAGTTTTTCTGCAGTGTCGGAGGCGGACCTTCACTTCAGCGCCTCGTTTAGACAAACCTTCCACCCAACCTCAGCCTCGCCTTTTTTCTCATCCGCACTACGCACAACTTCCATCACACATTGAGTCGTTTCCTGTCCGGGATTGCTATTTCCCTTGTAGCAGCATTGTTCTCGCTGTCTGCATTGCCAACAAAAAAGTAGGAGAGGCGATCGGCCACAATGTTTCGCCGCCTCCCCCATACTCTCCCCGCCGACCCCGTCTTCGAGCCGGACCTCGCCAAGTTAGGCTTCTTCATTAATGGTGAAGATGTAGTCCGCTCGATTCGGAGTCCGGACCGCAAGTATCAGTACAAGATCAACAGGAATGACCGGTGGAATGAGGTTCATAAATGTGAGTGGCTAAATCTGCTTGCTCGGGATCTAGAGAAGGAAGAGTTGTGTCAACCATTTGGCAAGCAACCACCCTGAGAGCAGATCCTGAGAATATTGTTGAATCTGAATCTAACTTCAGGGGATTGATAGGGGCCAATAATAGTGAGTCCGTGCCTCTCTCCAGTCTGTCACAATCGCCCAGATCCGTGGGAGGCAGCCGGCATGAGATCTAACATTCCGCCTCTCATCGCTCGTTCTAGCTGCGATTCATCAAATCATCAAAGACAGGCTCTCTAATCTCGGCTGCAAAACCGTTCGACTGCCACTCGGCGCAAGCGAAGCAGAGAACCACGTCCCTATCCTCGTGTCCAAGGACATCGCTACAAAAGCCCGAGTGACCGTCTTTTTTGGCGAGAGGAACATAGAACCGGGGATTTTGAGCTGGCGTATGATCGGCGAGGCCGGGATCAATCGTGGTTCACTGGTCGAGTTTGCAAACGCTCTCTTGTTCGTTCCGGTACCTGAGACTGCGTCAACCTCAACCTCAACCACTGCACCTGCACCTCCCATCGCCACGTCTCCGTCTACGTCAGGACTGATCGTCGCCAATCCATGTCAGTTGCTCTGGTATCGCGGTGGCGGACGGGCAGTGTCGGCGCACGAATGGACCTGTTTGCCGAGGCCGAGCGCTGTGCACGACGCTCCACGAGTGGACGCTGTTAAGAATAGAATTCCTGGCAACCGGGACTACGTGGAGCACGTGTCTTACGTGTTTGAACAGGTGATTCCAAGCTTGGTCGTAAAGGAAGCAAAAGTGGATGTTATTGGGTTGGAATACACTGGATCAGCAGCGCTGGAATACCTTGCTGAGCATTGTAGGTGCGGTATTGTCTGACATCTAGGACATACTGACAGTTGCTTACAGGGGACTCATGGTCTAGTCGCATCAACGGCATTTCTCTGGTTACACCTCAACACAGGATAGCAGACGTCATCGCCAACGGCGCTCCCAGCGACTTTGTCACCTTTATAAGCAAACGATGTCGAGCTTACTTCGTCTCACCGTCACCCATTGAGACGCCGATCGCTGGTCGTGAGGAGGTGGGATGCAATTGCTACGCGAGTGGAGAGCACCTGTATCAGGAGAATACGATGATGAGGTGCTGGAGGCACATGTTAGACTGGTTCGACATGTTGTATGTGAATCCAGAGTACGAGGAAGCTGAGTTTGAGGTGATGGAACAAGATGAAGAGGTGAAGCTTGGATGGTAGCGATCAGCAGACACAGACGGGTGAGCAACGAGTGTCGTGCTGTTGCAGGGGCTGGGAAAAGGGCAGAATGCATGGCCCCAGCTGACTACGGGTGAAAGAGAGAGGCTGCCTAGACTTCGACAACGACGTCTCCAAGTCGGCAGCGGAGACAGCTTCTGAATTTGGCTTTGAGATCATCATGAGACGACGGGAGCTGCTCGTGATGAAGTTGTCAGACATCATGATACAGACCTGAGAAATCGAGAATTCTACCGACATTAAGGTCTATTAAGGTCCATTAAGGTCCATTAAGGGCCATTGGAGCTGGTGGAGGAGAGACATGAGGGAAAAGGTACGAACCTACCTACCTAGTAGGTACCTACTATATATGTGTCCACGGCCATAGCCACGACTCCAGGACTATTTCTGCCACACCCGACTCACTCCTTCCTGTCAAGTGGCCTTCATCAGAGACTTGTTGAAGCTGTGACCTCCCTAACAGCCTCTTGAGATATGCCCACAGCAGTAATCTAAGCGCACACTCTTCTCTTTCACCCTCCACTCAGTCAAGAATCCATCCAGTATGGTCAAGTTTCGGGGCATTGAAATATGCATCATATCACAGTTCGACATCTGCAAGCTGCCAGAGTTCCAGTACTGCAAACCCCCTCGACTAAAGGATCCTTTCCAAGCCAGCAACCAGCACGAGCACCCGTCGTCCTCCCCCTATCCGACAGCAGCCTGCTTTGTTCCGACCTATCCGGGCAGCCAGATTTGGTTCGAGTACACCATTGACGGTCCCCATCCTCTCGAAGCCGCCTGGTTCTTCAAACTCTTCATAAATGGCAGGGCTATCACATCATGGGACTGCACATTTAAGCATGGCTTCCATGGCAAAATGATGTACAACTTGGTCAGCGAAGGCGTAGATCCAGACACGGGTGACGCTGTAGTCAAAAGACAGGCACTGAGATTCGGAGATGGGCTGGATGACCGCGAAAGAGGTGGGCAAGACGAGGATTTGATCCAGATCAATGTGCACAGGATCGAACATAAGAAGCGGGTTCGAGACCTTGAACCAGGGCTGGGGCAGGCCGACGCTGCCAGTGCTAACGCTGATGGGTTGCGGCGAGTACACCTCCGTTGACTTTATTTATTTTCTGATGTCTTACAGCCCGCAGGTTGACAAACAGTGGCTTCCTTGAGCCCTGCATTCGTCCTCGACGATACAAGTACCAACTTCTCGACCCTGTTGACATGCCTTACGCAGCCTTCCAATTTCATTGCCGCCCTTATGGTTAGTACAGCATTTTTCTGCTCCATTAGTGATGCTGACTATGACCTCAGAATACCTTCAGGAGAAGGGCATTGCTCGTTTGCAGGATTGCCCCTCTTTATGCAGCACCAGATCCTCAATCATATCGCAGAGTTCAGGCAATATCCAATTGCTCCAGGAGTCTGTCCACAACGCCGCACAGGAGCGTGCCGATCAAGCTTCACCGCTTGCGAGCTCTCCGCGTCAATCTTCGCCAATTAGATCGCCTCTCAAGGTTGAAAATACCACTTCAATAGCAGGGAAACAGACCTTGAAAACGGTCATATCGTCTGAAAGCTCCGCCAATATTCCCCTCAGCGAATCCGACGACTCGCTAAGTGTGAGGACTAAAGATAGTATCGAGGACTTGTCGTCGAAAGTTCCGCGATCTCCAAAGTCGCAGAGATCACCTGGCCGGCGCGAGAAGATCACGGATGGCGGACAAACAAAGAAAAACGCTGAAATTCCACCATCGCCGACTCCGTCGACGAGATCACCTCGTCAACGCCTGAGAAAGAAGCTCACGGTCAATATCAATGGGGCAAATTTGGATGTCGACAGAAAACGACGACCGTTGAGTCCCTTCAACAGTGGCGGGATGCTTAGGAAAGCTCGTGCGCCTCAAACAGCACCAGCCTCAGTCACAGAGTTTGGGCCAACAGTTGAAGAAGTAGACAGACTTAAACTCCAGGAGAGTCAGCCAGAAACGGAGGCGAAAAGTGAGAGATGCGGTTTCAGAACAACAGCCGAAGAGCGGGGAGGAAAGAGACTGATGAGATTTCTAGGGAGGAGGATTGCAAGCGAGACGAATGCTTGAGGTATGTCGGTACTTGAGATTCTATCCCGCATAACCTGAATGCATCGAGCTATGTATGACGTTCACAATGATAAGGGGAGATATCGGCCATGGGGAGACCCAGGCTGTCAGATTGTCATGTACTTCGTAGATATCGATGTTGTCCTGAACAAACAACTTTTGCACATAGTTGTAGCCTTGCCCTTTAATTTTTCCATTAGGTCCGGGAGGACTCCGGACGGTAATAATAATTTCCACAGCTTGCTTGGCCGAATTTGGCTGTGTTTGTTTCCGCTATTAGCCACTTCATACAACTCCTGTACATAGTTCAATTTTCCAGATGTCTGACCTCGTTGCCGCCAGCCTCGCCGACTACCTTAGAGCATGTTGCTCGACACCTGACGTCGCCTAGTTTTGGTGGCGATAGCCTCTATTACGAAATCGCTGAGGTCGCCTTCGAACTCGCTGTCGGGCGCCAATCACCTATCAGTCGTATGGCTCAAAGAACTCGCCCACTGCCCGTCTCAATTCCAACCGCTGCTCAATCTGTCTCGCTGCCGGCCTAGGATCAGTATCGTCGATAACACCGTTCGGATTGTCCTCAATTGACTTCAGCAAAAAGGCGTTGACATCGATAGCATTAGCTCCATCCTCATCAACGATTTGAGGATCCGCGCCCGCCTTCAAGAGCCGTTCAATAAGGTAAAGGTTGCCCATTTGCACCGCGAGCCAGATTGCAGTGCGACCATGGTTATCCTGCTGATTCACCTGCTGAAGACCAGGCGTGAAGTGGTTGAATACTTTCTCGATGACCAGCGCGACAGCCGGATTGCTCTTGTCTTTCCTCACCCACTCCTGGCTGAGCGCCAGAGCATGGAGCACGGAATAGTTGTGCTGGGACGAGACCATAAACCCGACGTCTGGTACCTCTCGCAGGAGCCAGTCGATACACACCCACGACGACCTAGTCCGCTCCTTGATTAGAAAGACCAGGACGCTGCTAGCGTACTTCATTTCCACCATCAACCCCTTCTTGTATTTGGTGTGCGGATTGGCGCCATGTTCTAGGAGCCATTTTGCAAGAGTAAAACACCGGCCGCGAAGCGCACATGCGAAAGGTGTCTCAAACTGTCTGCTATTGTCCTCGAATCCGTTGATCAGAGCACCACGGGCAAGAAGAGCTTCCGCAAAATATGCATCACTGTGCCCTGCTGCAGCACATAGATATAGCGGCGGTAGATCGTGCCAGTTCTCATCCACATGGATCTCGGTCGCGTCCGCGCCATGCTCGAGTAACAACTTGAACACGCCTTTTGAGCCTTGAAAGATCGATTTGACGAGCGGCGTGTAATGACCACCATCTAGCCAGTACGACGATCTGATGTTGATGTCACCCTGGCAGCCGCTTTCAAGAAGATAGCGCACCGTTTCCGGAAAATTGAACGCACACGCCAACAGAAGGGGGGTGGTCCCAGCGCATTTCATTCCCTGAGGGAATCCACGCATATGCTCCTCGCCTCCCCATCGACGAATGACGTTGAAAGTTGCGCAAGCTTCTTCCCACCAAGAATGGCCATGTCTCGCGATCTTGGAGAATCTCTCGCCATAGATGATCTCACCGCGAATCGCAACAGCTAGCAGCGAGAGTCCAGCATGAGGATGTGTTGCGGCAAGCGGATCCCCAAGTGAACCGAGAAGAGTGTCAAGAATACCAGCGTAATGGAGTGTAGCCGCCAGCGATGTGGGAGATGTCCCGTCCACTCGTCCGCCTGCACCAGTCACTGATGCACCGCATGCGACTAGTGTTCGAACTGCATCCAAGTTGCCTTTGCCGACTGCGCGATGCAAAGGAGTACCTGCTTCGTAATTACAAAGCGGCGCGAATTCAAAACGGACTGCCTTGGCCGCTGCATCGACATCTGCACCGGCAGTCACGAGCGCTAGGGCAATGCCGTGCGCTTCGTCGCCTTGGAAGGCAACCAGCCAATGCAATGGTGTGTCGCCGTTATTACTTCGAATCGTGGGATCGGCCCCCATGCTGAGCAGAAGTCTGACAATGTTTCCGTGCCCAGAGCGACAGGCGATCAGCAATGGTGTTTCAGAGTCAGCGCCAGTTGCATTGACGGTCCATGGCATTGAACCACCCCACAGCCTCACCACCTCTTCGAACCCTGCTGAAGCTGCAAAGTGCAACATGGTGTCACCTTTGTCATTGACATTTAGACTCGATGCGTCAAAACCTGGATTTGCCATAGCCAGCACAAGCTTGTCCTTGAGCTGAGTATCCCACTCGATCAAGGTAATTCTCTGAGTTGAGAACAGATCTGCGAATCGATTCCAGCCCATTCCAGCATATCGTGAGCGGATCCTTTCCCAGACCAGGTGACGGTTCTCCACAGAGGCGACCGCAGGCAAGTCCTGTTGAGCTGCCGGATAGTTCCTCTGCGCAGCATCAATCAACCAACCTTCAAGGCTTGCCGATGTTTCTGCCGGGAGAGAATAATCGAGAGCTTTCGCAAACCTGTACACCAGACTTTGAGCTGTTTGGTTGCCATTTTCAGCCGAACGGATAAGCCAGATCATGCACTGCTTTTCTGAATCTGGGTTGTGGCTGTGGCGTAGGGCATCTATGGCAAGTGTGAATGCCGCCGCGGACTTGATGGTTGCTGTTGACGCCCTGAAGACTCCATTTAGCCGCGCCCGCATATACTCTTGGACACACGGACTGAGAGTGTCCAACATATCTGGTAACATCTTCTCAACGGTTCAGTCATCCTCTTCACAATTCTGCGGGCGGGGCAACATACCAGAAGGTTTTCCACATGAGAAAGTCGAGTGACTGGGGAATATCGTAAACCTGTCTCTGATGGTTGACTGATGGCAGTATTATGGTTGTCTTGTGCTAATTGCCGCAGGATCTGGCACACCATACTCAAGTTTCGTTTTGATGGATCGAGTCGCAGTGCGACAGCCAGCAGCCCTTCAACCTGCTGTTGGTCGACATCTGTAGCGAACATTGTTCTTCCGAATTCGACAAATGCTTGCAGAACATGATCTTGGTGTGCAGGTATTCTCCCATCTCCAGTCCCTTCATGGTCAACGCCCTTGGACGCATTTGCTGTTGTATCTGACATGTTTAGTATTGGATGAGCTCCCTTTGCCATGATGCTCCAGATTGTCAGGCCGAGAGAATAGACGTCGGTGCAAAGCAGACCTTCCCGCGTCAAGTAGTCTGCCCATTCTGGAGCTTGCCACGGTGGTGTTCGCATGGGTAGTCTTCCCATGGATCCTTCTGCTACATCAAGCACGGAGCCGCCAAAGTCTGCGAGTTTAGCCAGCCACCCGCATTGAGATCCGCTTTGCTGCGAGGAAGGGAAGATCAACACATTGCCTGGCTTGAGATCGCCATGGACGATTCCACATCTGTGTATCGCGTGCAATCCGTCAGATATTCCACGCGATAATTCTAGGCGGTGCTGGTAAGGCATATCGAGGTCCCGGCTGAGAAGATCGTCCAGCGTCCCGTGTCCACATTCTTGGATTAGAACCGGCCACTTCTGCAGTGTGTCCGACGAGTCTGTCTCCCAGCCCAGCCCAAACAGCTTGACGATGTTTACATGATCACGCAACGGCCGATGGCTTAATGCACGGAGCTCCAAGATCACGTCTCCCAGCCGTGTCTGCTCTTCCCGATTGCTGAAGTCCTCGACGGGCCGGACGCTCTTCAAGACGAAGTTGCGATCTGGACTTGGTAAGGTCAAAGCTCTGACACTGAACGAATGGCCCTGCCCTATGAATCTTGTAGCCGCATCAACGATGCCAACATCCTTATTGACGAGTTGCTCAAACACGAACTCATCGCGATCCACGGTGCTCAAATGAACATCTCCAGCAAGTGCTATATAGAGGGCAAACAGCTGATCTGCGGTTATGGAGATACTTGCAAATGTTGTGGTCCCCAGTCGTGAGCGGATAGTAATGCCTGCATCCTGCCTATTATTGGACTTCTCTTGAGTTGAGACGCGCAGAGTGCTCGGCCTCCTCGAGGATTCCTCCATCGCTCAACAAGGGCATCGGCTTTCTGCAGCCCCAATTAGGTTCGAGGGCCCTAGTTAGCGGGAAATATTATGGTGAGCGTGGTAACAGTGGTCAATGCACATGGTTGGGGTATTGCTATTTAGTGAAGTCGCATGGGGTGACTTGTAGCGGCGGTCAGGCTGTATTCTCGAGGCTTGTGAAGCACCAGGCCATTTGTCTTGAATTATTGGTCGAGACCTTGGATTACGCAACCAAGTTCCAGGCTACGATCGATATTCGTATATGCAGGTCTCAGCTGATATGCCTGCCGACTCAGAACTCGGAGGATCGAATTTCTTCCCAACACCTGCTTTCGATTTTCAGAACTCGCTGCGGAGGGCATTGAATCGAGATCTTGCTTTCCTAGCGCGAGCTGCTCTGATTGTGAAGAGAGATGTCAGTAGTCGGGGAAGCTCTTGCAGCGCCTGCTGCTGTTGCTGGAATTGTTGGGTTCGGTTTTCAGTGCCTCGCTGGTTGTATTGAGGGATTCCAGCTCTTCTCGACGGCCTTCCAAGTTGGCAAACAGACGGCGCACTATCGCTGTGCTATCCTGCTCGAGGAACAACGGCTCTTGCTGTGGTCAAAGCGATCTGGTCTTACCGAAGACAAGCTAGATCGGCGTTTAAATGAAGCGGTCATCAACCAAGTTCTGTCATCTCTGCGGGAGCTTCTCACATCTACGGACAAGTTGAGCAAAAGGTATAGCTTGAATATCCGTGTCGGCGATCCACCGTCGAATCCCGCGCCGCATTACGACAGCCTCTCCGGAGAGGATCTGTCGTTCCTCGAAAGCGATACACTTGCTAAAGAGAGAGCGAGATTACTAGAAACAGCGAAGAAAATCCAGAAGGATGTGCCATTCAAACGATTCTGGTTCGCGGCGATCGACAAGACTAAGTTCAAGGAGCTTTTGCACGATATTAGACAGCTCATACAGAGCCTATTTGACCTCCTCGACGCCCACGTGCAAGACGACATCTTGCAGCAACTGCGCATGCAACAAGCGGACATGGTCCAGCTGGCTTCGCAGCTGAGCAGCCTTCAGACTTTGATTGAAGCATACAATTTGAGCGACGTTGGAAACATACCGGAAAGGACCATAGCGCTTTTGAGAGCCATTGGACTGATCCCCATGCCTGCTTCTGCAGACAATGCCCACGTCAACGAGTTACAAACTCTGATGGACGAAGCCTCTCAGTCAAGGCATGCATCCCTCTTACCGCTGTTCAGCAGTCGTATGGAAGACATGAAGCATATGGGGCCAAGTGGCCTCCACGGAAGCGTCCTGTATGATGGGAGGACTCACTACGTCGAGTGGAAGCGGTACGACTGGTCGGACTCTGAGGAGTCGAGACGCAGGATCCAGGATAGCATTGTCAACCTGGCGATGCTGCTGAATGCTCCGAAGCATCCCGCATTCCGGACATTGGACTGTGTGGGCATCATCGACGAGCCGCGTAGTGAGAGATACATGTTTATATACGAGTGGCCAGTTGGCGGCGAACAACCGACCGCGCCCAGATCTCTGCACGAGCTCCTGTCTTCGAGCTTTAAACCATCCCTGACAGATCGCATTCGACTTTCTCGCCAGCTAGTCCATGCCCTCTTCTATCTGCACTTGTCAAATTGGATGCACAAGTCGTTCTCTAGTCACAACATCCTCTTCTTCCCAAAGTCCTCCGAGGCACCAAGAACACTGGACGATCCATACATCGTCGGATTCTCTTACTCTCGTGAAGACGCCACCGGAGAGCCATCCCAGAGACTGGACCGAGACCCAAATAGCGACATCTACCGCCACCCAGACTGCCTGGAAGAGGATTACGCCGGCTTCCACAAATCTTATGACGTGTATAGTCTCGGGTTGGTCCTGTTTGAAATCGCAAAATGGAGACCCTTGAAGGAAACGTTCTTGCGAAGTGCGCGGGCAAAGGCACTGCAAGCTCGAGAGAAGGCCGAGAAAGAATTGACCAAGCAAGAACTTCGTGAGCTGGATGAAGCATTGCTCAGAGAGTGTAAGGCCCAAGATATTAAGGACATGCGAAAGGACTTGCTTGATACTGCTCCCAAAGACAACCATCCAGTCGACCTCGCCTTCCGCGCTGGCGACAAGTTCAGGCAGGTAGTTCTAACATGTCTAGGTGCCGAATTTGACCTGGTCCGAAAGATCAAAAGCGACCGTGAGTTTCAAGAAACATTCTTTCAGAGTGTTTGGAGGCCGCTGGAGAAGTGCGAGGTGTGATTCATGGTTTCCTTGGTGCGTACGGGCTCCTGTTGGGAAGAGCTCTACGACTCACATAATAACACAGGGTGTAGCCGGTCTCTAAGGGCCCAGATTTGGCCTTCCGTGTGTTTGCTGAGGGCGTGGTTAGGGCGTGGTTAGGGCGTGGTTAGGGCGTGGTTAGAGAGTGGTGAGGGAGTGCTCAGAGAGCGCTCTGTGATGTTCAGCTAATGGCTCAGTTAAAGCTCAGGTTAAAGCGGCCTTCGCTTACCCTCTAGGATCAAACCGTATATGGCAATTAAGTCATTAGTTCTCGAGAAATTCGGGTACCTAGCTCGCTAGGGAGGTAGCCTCGAATCAAACATCATATGCACGAAGTTCAGGGGAGTTTTGGGGAGTTGTAGCCTTGCCCAGCCTTGCCCTTCAAGTGTTTTTTGGGGAAACTTTGCCGAGTTCTGGTGGCAATACGGAGCACCGAGTAGACTGCGACCGCCAACGACCCTCGACACACCTCGACCTCACTTTCTTGACAATGAACTGCGCGTACAGTGAGGCGCATCATGTCATCTTATCGTCCTCGTGGTGGGTACACTGGCCCTCAGCAGCCATATCGATCATTTCATCCTTCTCAACAAGACGACTTCTACGATGACCGATCTAGGTCACGATCTCGAGAACGCCGACACAGCTCCCCTCACAGACGAAGTCCTCCACACGGTAAACCATAGTTCAAAATGGGGTGAGAAATTCAGGCAATTATACTGACACGCAACCGCTCAAAGACATAAGCCGACTACCAACGGGACCGTCCCAAGGAGAATTCAATTTTCGTGGCCGCGCCCGGAGTCCAGATCGAAGACGTGACCGCAGCTATGAGAGACGCAACCATTATTATGATGATGATCGCAGCTCACCGTCCTCTCGCCGAGGCGGATCGTCATACTATGATCGAGACGACCCTCGCTCCGCTTCACGAGACCATCGCAGTCGAAGTCGAAGCAGACACCGCACACCGTCAGAGGAGAGATCGCCAAGTCGAGGCGCTCCGAGCAGGGAGATCATGATGGATGGATTGGCTCCTCATCTCGTTGAGAACGATGTTCGAATACTCCCGCCCGAATTTTCATGACCACATGCAATCATTTGGGGTTATACCGTGGTGACTTGCTCTGTTTCCTGCGGGACATATGGCTAAGGTTTTCTCGGCTTTTCGAAACAGATCTCCTCGGAACTCAAACAATACTACCATGCCGAAGGTGTTGAAGATGTTCGGGTCATTCGCGACAAGCAAACCAGTAAGCTTTGAAGGGAAAATCTATGGAAGTTTAGGCGACATCTTTTCTCATGTCTTCTGGCAGGGCAATCTAGGAGATTTGGTTTTCTCCGTTTCGGCAAATTGCAAGAGGCGGAAGATTTCATGGATCGCAATTACCCTATCATCTACCTGTACGGTGACGGCAACAAGTCCAACGGAGATGCTTCCAAAGTTCGGATCACCTTCAGTCGAGAGCGGAAAGACCCACGCAGGAGCGATGACCCGGACTGGATTTGCGATTCTGTATGTCATGGAAGGTTTATCACCTGGAGTTACCAAGCTGACGAATGAAAAGTGTCTCATTAACAATTTCGCGACCCGAGATCGCTGCTTTAGATGTCAGGCTGAGAAACCAGGTACGTTTGATGACCCCGATAGCTTCAACTCGACACTCATGGTACATAGAGCACCCGACCTACGCTGCCACCAAACCGCCCAACGTGGGAGACAACGATGCTTCTCCAGACAACCACCCCTCTCAATTCCTTCTGTTACGAGGCCTGGAACCTTCCATGTCTGAGGAATTGCTGGTAAAGGGAGTAGGGAAACTTAACAAGCCAAACCCGTCAACGGCTCAACGAGATGAAACACCTGCGAAAAAGGGCGCCAAAGTCGCATCCACTACCGGTGATGCGAATCTTGGTGCCAAAGAAGGTACACTGCGACGAGTTCTGCTTGTACGGGATCGAAGAACCAACGAGAGTTGGCGGTATGGTTTTGCAGAGTATGCTTCGATTGAGGATGCACAAGCCGCGCTGATTCGGTACAATTCTTTTGAGCGGTTTACCATCGCCTCGAAGCAGGTCCTGGTCAGCTATATACATGCCGGCGTTTTCGTTCCCGTATTGAACCCGACCCCAGACATTGAGCGCTTCTGTTTCAGCCCCGTAGGCAACCCAGCCATGAAGCTGGCGTATTGGGATGAAGGGGCTTATGTGAAAGAATTGGCTGTCTCGATGCCAACCACGGCCCGACAGGATACGAAGAATGCCTCGACCACGCGCACAGATGTAGGCACTAAACCGACCAAAGACGCAGAGAAGGCCAAGAAGCGAAAGGCTCTATCAGACGTCGATGCAACTGGAGTCAAAAAGACGGTGCCACCGCACCTCCAATTCTGGAGTAATCGCCATGCGGAGCTGCATGGCATTAAAAAGAAATCCCACGATAGGGAAGACTCGAGATCAACTGATGGGAATGAGAGTGCAGATGCACCGCCCTCGCAATCCTACGCTGATCCGAATCGGCATTGCTGTTATCTCTGCATGCGCCAATTCAACAACGCAGCAGAAGTCAATAAGCACGAGCGTCTGAGTGACTTGCACCGCTCGAATCTACAGGACGAACTGAAAGTCAAAAAGGCACAAGCGAAATTGGCGAAGCACGGGATCCAACGTCAGTTTGTGATGGCCGCGGCAAAACCTGTTCAGGAATATCGCGATCGAGCAAAGGAGAGACGCAAGATCTACGGTGTAGTCAATAAGAAGGGCGAACAGGTTGGACAGGCACCGAGGTCGTCACGCGCATCCTCGGACGATGAGGGCCCGCAACCTACCGTCCAGTCCAAGGGCGCTTCATTGCTCAGCAAAATGGGCTATACTGCGGGACAAGGACTTGGTGCTTCTGGGGAGGGGATGACCGCACCAATAAGCCAGGATGTCTACGTTGCTGGAGTTGGCCTGGGTGCGCAGGGCGGGAAACTCGGCGATGCGATTGTTGAAGCGGAGCGAAACACCAAAGGTGACTATAGTGGGTTTTTGGAAGAGGCTCGACAGAGGGCCAGGGAGAGGTATGCGAGGATGGAATAGCCGCGAGACAGAAGATTAGAGACCGAGGTTGGCTTTGTCATCCTTCAGACGATGGGACAAGATTGGCAATGTTTCGGCGGGGATGGAGCTATTGTACGAATATCGAGCATGCATCCAACGAGGATATCGAAGATGGACGGAAGATATACATTCCTTGCCCCGTTGCCGTTGCCACTGCTGTTACCATTATCCCTGCCAGTCTCCCTTCCAAGCGACCCTTTTTGTCACGCGGAAGTCGACCTGTACCAACAACTTTTTTTTTTCCTTTTTGCTTTTCTCTTCAACATTTCATTCATGCGGTGTCCTCCACGCTCCCCCTCCTGGGTCCCCTGGTGTTCTTCCCTCTCCTCGCGAGGCTCCGTCCGTTCGCCCAGGAAGGAATGGAGAAGGCGCTGACCACTGATCGTTAGTGGGGGACCAAAAAAGCCCAATTTGGGATTGAGTGACGATATGTTGAAACTTGAAGCGGAAGTCGTGCATCTCGTTTCGGTTTATGGGGTGAAGGAGTTTCAGACGTGTAGGTAGTCATGCACGCACGCATACATGCAAGCCTTCGTATCAGATAGATTCATTCATGCGAGGTAGGTTGTTTGTTTCGTTCCTCCTCCTCGTCCTCTTCCTCCTCATAGTCCCTTTTCAAAACGCGCCCAACACCATCCGTTCCCACTTTTCGAGCACGGCCTCGATCTCCGCCGGCAGCAACACTGCATCTACTTCGGCTTTCTTGCTGCGGCCCGCCGCCTCATGTTGATCGCCGCCATCGTCGACGGCGCCAGCACTGGCGTCTTCTGGGATCGCGGCGATTGTCTCGTCGGTCACGGACTTCAAGAGTTCCGAGACACTGAGTTCCTTTTGGGCGCGGCTGTACATGAGGGTCATGAAGGCGATGTCATCGGCCTTTTTCGCCGCAGCGGCGGCGGCCATTGCGTCATCGTTTTCTTGGTCATTGACCCCGTTGAGGGGGGCTTCAGTGGAAGAAGAACTCGATCCTGCTTCTGGGGGTTTTCCGGTCGAACGAGGCTTGCAGCCTTCGGAGCCATGGATGACGCCTTCCAACACCCCCAGCACTTTGCCCACGCGTAGTCCAAGTTCCACGCCTAGGGGATAGCCCGCGTCAAACCCACGCTGCATCACTCGTGCCTTGCCCACCGAGAGACCCTCGCGGTATCCATCGGTCATGTGCTGTCGGCGGAGCGAGGGGACGTCGCTCAGCATCTCTTCGTGGAGGTCTCCTGAAAGCTGCGCCTGAGGCTCGTCGTTCCTTTGTGCGCCGTGAGCCGCCCCGTGCCCGTGGACCGGGAACGGGTCGGCGCCAAAGAATGCAATATCCCCCTGAGATCCTTCGGGCGTCGTCGCTCTGCTTTCGGGCAATGAGTGCCGACTGTGGGTGGGCGAGGGCGTCGACCCCGATGAATTGGCCATCGTGGAGCTTCGGCCGTGAACAATTGATCCCCCCCCCCTTCACCGTTCTGCCGTCTGCCGACTTCTACAAGAGGCGCGGGAGTGAGCGGTACTTTGCCGGTCTTCAGCACCACGAATATAGAAAAGACCAGGTCCGGAGAAACTAGAGCGTTGATTTCTTTCCGCTCCCGCTCCCTCGATCGAATTTCGAATTTCGATAGCTCGCGTACGTCCTCCGGGAGGAGTTTCCCCACTGTGTCTTGTGGCCTTGGGTCACGACTCAACTCGGCTTCGCCAGGCTCGATGCGCGAACTTGTTAAGGATACGCGGATCCTCGCCCCTTGTCCTCTTCTGATTCACTTTTCTCGTTCCTCGTCCTTCGTCAGTCGTCAGTCGTCAGTCGTAGTCTACCGTAGCGTAATGTAATATAAGCGACCTCTCGAGAATGGACGGCACGAGACGAGATAAGGTGGTGAGTCACCGCCCCCACTGAGTCGCGAGGGTCGCCCAACGCAAGGAATGAAAAAGGGGTTGTCCTCTACAAATGCACTTGGATGAATAAAAAAGGACAATTCATTGTATGGAAGAATGTGTCATTGCCATTTTTATATCACGTGCGTGGCCTTATTGGCCTTTCGCCTCGTAGCCTTGCCTCGTAGCCTTGCCTCGTAGCCTTGCCTCGTAGCCTTGCCTCGTAGCTATGCCTCGCAGCCTCTGGCCTGAACGAGTGGGCGGACGGGCACGAAGCCACACGGAAGCGTCATCCATACTATTAATCAATTCCAACGACATTCGTATTCCCGTTTTTACCTCTTTTCAAGCAATGTATTTGTCAGAAACTTTTCTGTTCTAATGGGTATCATTTCTGTATGAACAACATCACGAAGGTAAATATAATAAAAATCAACCCGATGGCACATGGCGGTATGAATGATTCCCTACCCTCCATGCGCGTAGGGGCAACGCTTGCAGAGCAAGGGCCTTCCTCTCCACGTAAGTCCAAAACAAGACTGCTCCAATGATCACAAAAATCACATTTGTGATATAATAGCCGTCACGTTGCATGAGGCAGGTCCCGCCTCCCTTCAAGCAGATGTTCTTGTCTGCTTCAAGAGCACAGCTGAAACTGTTGGAGATCACCTCAGGGTGAGTTTTGAGGAAGGCCTCCGGGTCAGCCGGTGGAATGCAAGTCGCTTTCGTAAAGAGGTCGACAAGCTTGAGGATGAAGAATTTCGGGAACGTGCCACCTAGGTTCGAGACGCTGGGCAAAAGTGTCAGCAAAAATGTTCTCACGAAGAGCCTAAGACTAGACTTACGTAGCAAGCAATGTCATGTATGTTCCGCCGATCGTTGGATCAGCAATTCGAGCGTGGAACGCAGCCGAGGCAACAAACATGACGGTATTCATGAATGTCGATGAAACATGTGCAGCAATCACCACCAGCATGTACCACACCGGAACAGCCTCGTCGGGCGCAGTCGGATACATCATGATCGTAATCTGCCCAAAGACGGCGGCCAGAAGGCGTGCAGCGTATGCCCAACACCATACTTTCAGCGGTGTATACTCTGTAGACCATTTCCCAGCGTAGTATCCCAAGCCCAATTCAAACGGGAAATCAATGAGTACAACGAGGGCCATATTTGCTTGTCCGAAGCCCTTGTCTAGGAGCTTGAGATTCGTGACCGCATCATTGGTCACGAAGCCGAGTTTGCTGACAAGATGGACGATAATGATGGTGACGACGTTGGGGAGTTTGAGCACAGCCCACATGGTCCGGTATACTTCCATAATCCCTTCACGCTCATTGTTCTTCTCTTCCCGTTTCAGAATGGCCAAGCCCACTGTTACGATGAGGTAAACCCATCCCCAGAATGCCATGTAGCCGCCGAGGGTAAATAGCCCGTACTCCCTGGGTACGGCCCGAAACCACCTGTTGGCAAAATCTGGAGCTTGTAGCGCGAGGAAGACTGTGTGTGACAGGAAAGACCCGGCAGTCAAGCCGACTGTCTGTGCGGTTGATGCATACGAAATGTTCTGGATCGAGAGGAGCGAAATGGCCCATCCGTCAACCGCAATGTCCTGAGTGGCGCACATGAAGACCAGAAGGAACCACCAGCCAGTAAAGCCCCAAACCCCGGCTCCTTCGTTGTCACCTGTAGCTTTCATCATCTCATCGATTCTACCGCCCAGGTAAATCATGGACAGTCCCGAGATGGTCTGAATAGGAGTGATCCAACTCTTTCTCCGTCCAAACCTCCTGCTCCACACTGCGTCCACAATGGGACTCCATAGCAGCTTTAACGAATAAGGGTATATGGCCAGAGAGAAGATGCCGATTTGACCATATGAGAGGTAACTTTTTAACAGAAACGGGACAGAGCCCGAGGCCAAACCCATGGGGATGCCTTGGAGGAAATACAGGAGACAAAGGAGGAGAAAGTTCTTCTTGTCTTTCGGAGGGAGATCGACGAAGCTGGTGTTAACCATGCCAGGGGTTTGCGGTGTCTGAGGAGGCGGCTCATAGTCGAGGGAGAAATCATTTCTGTTCATCAGTCTGGTGGTGTTCGTCGTAGGATCGTCGCTCGAGACGTGTTTGCGTCTCATCTCAATATGGGAATTCATGTCGCCGTTTGCGTGGCCATTCGCGTGGCCGTTCTGGTCGATCTCGATCCGAAGATCTGGGCGAGATTGCGATCTCTTGTCCTTGTTTTTTTTGGACTTTCTGCGTTGCATAGGGGAATCAGAGCCTTCCGCAACCACAAGGTGGTCTTGTTCCGACGGTTCAGTTTCGGAATCTTCGTCTTGCTCTTCCTCTTTGTCCTCTTGTTCGTCCTGCTCTTCGTCTGTTGATCGGCTTCCGATTTGAGGCGCACCGGCGTAATGTTTTTTCTCCGACTGGTATTGGTCTAGTTCAATGTCTTTGGATCGCCGGGTAATGCTTGGGCTGGCGCTGTGGACTGGGAGGATGGGATGTTCGGTGGGATGGGAGCGAGCGTAAAAGATTGGAATTGTATATGGTTCCGCAATGGAGTCAGGCATCCATGCGGCAGAAAAAGAGTGTGAGTGGGTGGTGAGTGGGTAGGCACAGAAAAGGACTCTGTGTCCTTTCGCAGGGGCGAGACCGGCGAATGACCAAGATTGAATTTGGACCAAGTAATGCGTGAGATGACTGATGCACTGACGGAGAAGGAGATGTTGCCTCTAGCACTCCCTCCCCTCACAACAACACATCATGTCGAATTGCCAGTCATGCCAGTCTCGCGCAGGAGACGACCTCATCTTGATCGTATCAGGAAGCGAAGCCTGAGGTGGCCGCCGCCCCCCAGATTTTCTCGCAGGCACTTTATTTATTGCCGGCACAGCATTCAACCCCTGACCGAGCACGTGAAAGCTCGCCTTACCTAAGATAAGCTGCCCGACGCGTCGGAGACTGTAACTAAGCAAGCACAAGACGCGTCGAACGTTTCCCCTCCGGTTGAACTTCGCTTGTCACCAGTAACGGTTGACCACCGCTAGAGACCGAGAACAAGTCATCGAGACAGAAATGGCGCTTGTCGCATCTCCCCCGCTCCCCTCTGTGGATGTCATCATGAGCGACTCTCCAGAGGATGAGATTGCCCAAGTCAGAGCCGAAAGTGCGTCCAGACTAACCCCAGATCAACCCTCGTCTCTAACACATTCGCAGTTGAAAAACTCACTCAACAGCGCAAACTCCGAACATCCTCTCTCCTGGCATCAACAAAAGCCCAATCCCGTCTCTTCCGTTACTCCCTGGCCATAGATGAACCCACAAACGACAATGACCCGCTACAACTAGAAGACCTACAACGACATTCCCAGACAAACGCCCACCGTCTTGCATTTGGGGTGACCTCATTCCCTTTCCATGACCCGTCGCCCGAACTGCGGTCCAGGAACCCGCTGCTTGGAATAAGGATAGACATATGCAACCGCAAAGGGAAATTTGACAGTCCGTATTATATATTCTGCGTTCGCGCTAAAGGCACAGGAGAGGAATTGCGGATCCATCGACATACGATTCCCGCGCTGGTGCCACTGGAGCAGTATGAGAAGCGGTATCTACCTGTCTCGTCCCAAGAGGACGAGGGATATGGTGGCTCAGACGACTCGCGACTTGGTATCGATGAAGGAGGAACAGCAAGGAAACAGGATCTCCACGGCCTCGTCGCCAAGGTCAGATATGATCTTGTGAGCTGGAGATTAAGGCGAGACGTAACAGAATGGCTGCGAGAAGAACTGCAGATTCTGGAGTCCGAAAATGACACCGGGAATAAAATCGCCGATGAGGATCCTCGCGACACCGAGGACAATTCTGGCGGTGAAAGCGAAGGTCATGACTTGGAACGCGGGTCGGAGGATCAAAATGACGAGGTGGACGAGGAGGACGAGGAGGACGAAATCACCGGCAAATTCAATGTACAATCTCTCGCCACCCTGGAGGTCGACGCGCGCCAACTCCGCATTGTCTGGTCCGATGACCGTGTCGGTCGGATCAAAATCTCCGATGATGGGAAGGTAGAGAAGGCGATTGTAATCGGGCTCGATGGCAACAGGGTCAAGAATGTGGAGAGGATCCTGATGGGCGACGGCGAGGAGAATGTCAGCCTCTATGATTTGGTGGGAAGGTTGGAGGAGGTTTACAAGAGATCCTTGGGAACGAACAAAACTGTACACAAAACGACAGAGGAGGAGGGAAGGTAGCGATGACGCCAAGGACGTGAACTTATTCGTTTTGCGAACCGAGGCTTGGTTAGCCAATACGCTGTATATGCGAAGACGATTCCAACGATGGTTATGCGCTTAAAAAACAACAAGATGGCGGAAGAGGCGATGCTTCAAAAGTCGTCCCAATTTTTCGAAGTTATCTGGTATCTCCTGCCGACTCCAACGAGCTCGCTTTTACCCCTGCCTCGCCGAAAAGGATCTTGGTAGCACACACAGTGTATCTGGGGAAAACGAGGCGGTACATGCGCTCCACTCTTTCCTTGAAACACGGTGTTTCGGTGAGCTCTCGTGGCCATAAAAATCAGCGACGGCCCGCTTTATGCTCATCGAAGTAGCCGGTGTGGGCACAACTTCGACCCAGCCTCGATTAGACAGGTCCCGCTGCTCGGTCTGCGCCCTGTCTGCTGCCATTTGGCTGCTCATGTACCGTGTTCCTCCCTCGGCAATAGTCTGAAATGAACCCGCTCAGGCGTCCACTCCAAATTGCTGATGTGTCTACCGAAAATGCTCATTCCAGACGACACGAGCACGTCGTCGAACGCGCCCGGGCCGGATACCCAGTATTCGTCAATTTTCGATTCGTGCCTGTTTTGATAAGGGGACATTTAGCTGAGAGGTCCATAGAGTGAAGGAGACCCGGAGCGAAGGCTGGCAACTTACCTCGACCTTTTAAAGAGTGACCCTCCACGAGCTTTCGCAGCACATTGTGGTTCTCGATTAGGCTAGATTATCACCAGAATGAGACCAACTACATAACATAACAAGTATTGCAAGTATTAGAAGTAATAGTTGGTTGGGGCTAATACGGGGAGTGGAGTGCGGGGGTGGAGCCCGAAATAACTTGCTGTCATGCTGAGTTTTGGGACTCCGTTCATGGCTTGATTGATCGCAGTATGCGTCTGTTCCTATCGACCTGCAGTGAAACGCCTCAGAGTTGCGTTTGTGTTGATATTACCCCCACTGCCATTCCTTTGACGCTTTCAGCTCGGCAACAAGAGTGAATCGCGTGCAGGAGCTGCGCCGGAGCTGCGCCGGAGCTTCGCTGGACCTCCAGCCGCATTGCGCTGGTTAAAAAAAAAAAAAGTATTCCTCGCAGGGAAATGCGGTTAAGTCTGGCAGTCTATCGACAGAGTACCCTGCAGAATTATGTGGATTGCAAAGGGGTCGGATGCCTGCGTGAAGATTGTACCAGTAATCATCATCATTTCGCAGCACGACAGTTTTTTGGCCTCAACCATACTTGATTGAAATTTGCCTCTGGCCCTTGTTTTGATTCTGGTGAAAGACAGTTCACTCAATGTCTTCTGCGGTCACTCTCATGCTCAGGCTGTAGTCCAGAATACGGTACTCCCTGCCGTACGAAGTCTTGCTTCTGTTTAAGCCGTTGAACATGCTGTGGCCGAAGTCCGTCTTGATGGTGCAGATTTTTTTAACCTCTTGAGTTAAAAGGCCTGTCAGTGACTCCACGGAGGAGCAGAAATCTTATGCAAGACTGGCTCTTACCATCATTAAATCGAGCGGGTAGCTCTCTTGCCGCAGAAGCGTAGATGTGTTTTTGTGTCGTTCTGCAACCAGTCGTTATCAATATACTTTCTCCACGGGTACGTGACTGGGACTGTTTTCTTCACATTTTCGCCCTGTGGTTTTAATAATCTGTCAGTGTGTTGATTTTGGAATCAGAGAGACCATTTCAGGGGCGTCTATATTGGCTTTTAACTTACACGTCTCAGATACCAACGCATCTGGTTCTTGGCCTTTTTGTATGTTTCCGTAAGGACACAGGTAGCGATCTTCTTTTGGATGTATCGCTGGGTTGAACGGTTCGTGGAGACAACACCGTCGCTGAATTCAGAGATGGCGTTCCTCACAATCTCGTCGTCCAGATCGAGAATTCGACCCTTCACCACGGCACGGCGACTGATTGCTGTCCAAATGATTCCCACCCGTGCTAGTACTCAACAGCTTTTAGTGAACATGATTGAAGTAGAGGTGCAAGAGTGAAACTAAGGGATATCTTACGCATTTGTGGGCCTTTGAATGGGAATACTGGGAAAGGAGTCCCACAGTCGACGGAGGAGGAATTCGCTATCGCCGAAGCCCCCAACAAGAAGTCCCGCCTTCTCTAGTTAGCACAGGCGAATGCAATGATCCAGTTGGCTTATGTGGCGTAATGAACATGCCTTGGCTTTCCTCTGCGTCTCATATTCGATTTCGCTGACTTGAGTTCGAACCAAGTCTACTACTCTACTGCATACGGAGTTGAATATTTTATTGGCATGCCCAATTTAAAGAATTGTTATTAGAGGAAGTGAAACGGGCGAGCAACTTGCCTTTCAAGAATGATTCTGGAGCTTGGTGTCTTTCAAAAGAGACCATCTCGTTTGTTTGAAGCCGACAATGTTCACCGGAAATGTCTGATCTGATCCAGCGTAAGCTCTCTTGATACCATGTTCCCAGTCATTATCAAATGCCCTGGACTTGGCTGTCAGGACAACCCTTATGTCCATATTTTCAAAGGAAATTTGGGTGAGCTTGAGCTCGATTCGCTCAACGGCATGAAGCCATAGCTGCCGTAAATAAACGGCAACGACATCCACGGCGTCTTTCTTCAGCCTCTTCAGTGCAGCTTGCGCTTCGGCTACCTTCTCTCCTCCTTTTCGCAGGGCTTCGTCAGAGAGAAGGAATTTGAACCACGGCACCAAAGTTGTGCGGTCGGTTGGAGTGGCAAACCCCCAATCTGTTACTTCACCTTTGTCATCGTATATGATTCTGGAAGGCACTTTGTCTGGATTTTGTTGCCGGCCGCTATCATTCCATGAAGAGATTCGATCTGTATTTGATAAGTTCCCTGACCAAGTCCAGGAGACACCAAAGAAGCTGAAAATGGGGCCCAAGGTCAGCCATGTCCTCTCCGGACGAGAAATGGAGGGAAGAAAGATGCTGGAGCATAGCAAGGGTAAGAGAATGCAAAATTTTCTCACGTCGTTCCAAAGTCGATACCGATGACTGCAGATTGTCTTTCCGCGGGAGAACTTACACCCACAGATACGAATGATCTGTCTATCGTACATGTCGCAACATGGACTATCTGTCGTGATGTAACTGCGCTACATGAAATCAGTGATGGCAGATCTCAGACAACCAACCTTGACATCTCCGCGACAAAGTGGCTTTGCTGTCTGCACGTTGATAGATTTACTCTTTCTCTTAACTATCAATCAATACTCCGACCTTTGTCCGACATGTGGGACCTGCACCAAGTACAAAGACCCAGCAGCCGCACTGAAAAGCAGCCTGTCACGGAATGGCACACAAACAAAGCAGCTTGACAACTGACGGCCGGATCTGTTAGGCCGCAAGGAGAGCACACATTGTCGATCCGTCTTGCGTCTTAGCCTTGAGCACGACACAGCGCCCCTTCGGGAAAACTTGAGCGTGGGGAGTCCTGAATTTGTTCTCGGATAGATGAGCTTTCGATCTCGCTACAGCTGGTTCGCGCTATCTATAAGATCGCTATCGCGTTCGGAGTCGTCCCAACCCCACCAAAAACGTTAAGAGGAGCACTCGTAAAGAAAAAAGACCATTGCTGGGCCTCTTCACAGACCTTGGACAACTTCTCCAGATTCCAGAGCTCGCCAATCGGACTTCCCCAGTGGGACAACAGCCATTCGTGAAGACATACTTTATCCTTGATCCCAAATGGAGCCGGGCAGACCTCGAATCCCAATGAATCTCCAGCAACAGCAGCGAAATGGTGATTCCATAGCCATTTGACGGACTTCATTGATGCCTCCACTCCGATGAATTCGCCCCTGTCCAAAGACTTTGCTCGCTCCTCAGGGGAGGTGGAATCATGCCATGCCGTAAACCCAGAGCGGATAATCAAAATATCCCCAGGTTTCAGCTCAAGATTCTGATGTTTCGCAACTTCGTCGAGTTCATCCACCGTAATCGCAAACGGAGAATCAATTTTCGCTGGTCCTTTGCCTGTCTGTCTTCGCCATCTTTCGTAATCCAAAAGGATCCCTCTACCCACAATTCCTCCGTTTTCAACCCAGTCTGCAAGGTTTCCGGTCGGTCAACTCTGGGAAACAGTCCAACGAGGATATTAACAACTCACTTTGAATACCAAGTTTGCCTGTACCATCCTCATCTATCTCCCGATGTTTCATTCCATTATAGTAGATGCCAGAATTTTGCAGCCCAACATGTCGAAGACCATCCCATTGAGAACTGCTCTGCGTATTGAATCGAACCACATCGTCGTGAGCGACGATGTCGTATTCACCACCCTTGTTTCTCTCTCTGAAATCCACAATAGTTTGTTCAAAGCGTTCTCGGCCCGCGATACCATGTTCGAAGTGATCCAGTCTTAGATCAAGCTGGACGGATTTTCCCATCTTCACTTCTCGGGATGCATTTCGAATGACCTCGGGAGTCAACAGGTTTAAAGCTAAAAGTTGGCCGCCAGGTTACCTCGCTTTCCTTTTTATGGCAACTGTGCGCTAAAGGGGGGAACGTACTTCCGAGTTCATCACCCTTGCCCCAAAATCCCCAGGCATTTCCCTGAGGCTGGCCCTCGACTGGTGGCAGCGAGTCGAAATCTGGGTAGTTGACCATGGCTCTTGGAAAATAGTAGTCACAATGTTGCCGGCGAGCTTCGATGGAGGGCGAAAGATTGCTTTATAATAGACAGATATCGGACATTAAACTCCGAAGTGTGGAGGTTGCAAAGGGCATTTGCCGGCGAACAGATTAACTTTTTGGTATGCCAAGTTGAAGTGTTATCAATCTCGATCAGCGTTGGCGTTGTCCAACAGCATTGGGTTCTATCCCTCTGGCGTATTGTTATCCTAACAACAGCGACAAGCAAATTGCAAAACGGATTTCGAGAGCAAGTTCTTTAAAATATAGATATCGTCGGATCCTGCGGCCTATCGACACAAATTTCTAGTTCAGGCTTACAGGTGGCTCACTCTTCGATAGTTGTTAACCCCGTCCTAAACGAGCAACTGTTATCAAATTGACCGGAATGATAGAGAGCCATTTTGCAGCAGGTCGAGATCGCAGCCGAGATGAGGCTCTAAGCTGTCCATCCGCCATCAACCTTATAGGTTGATCCGGTGACAAAACTTGCATCATCGCTCAGCAAGAAGGCAATGACGGTCGCGACTTCATTAGGATCGGCCTGGCGGTCTATTGCTTGCATTTTCGTAGTGACCGGTCCGTTCCTGAAGCCAGTTTCCATCGCTTTGACTAAGGGTGTCTTTATCACACCTGTTTTCATCAAGATTAGTTTCTCGGAAGAAAAGTCAATGCGAGGAGCGTGAGGTATTACCTGGGGCCACCGCGTTTACCCGGATATTATGGGATCCATACTCGCGAGCTGCCGTCCTTGTCAGGCCTCGCACGGCATGTTTGCTAGCGTTGTAGATTCCAGTATCGGCCAGTCCAACAAATCCTGCAACGCTGGAGACGTTTACCTAGAGAAGCAAACGGGATCAGTGATGGAAATTCTCTTAAATCAAGAACACAAGCGACATAAGCAAATCCGACTCACAATCGATCCACCTCCACTCTTCAGCATCTGCTGCAACTGTGCTCTCATGGAATAAAAGACTCCTGCTCCGTTGATGCCCATAATAAAATCCCAATCTTCATCGCGGGATTCAGCGAGATGGCGACCTCCTTCTCGTTCAACGCCGGCAACATTTGCTGCGCCGTCTAGACCCCCTAGGCGTTCCACGGTGTCCTTGATCCATTCAGTCACCTTTGAGCTATCCCGCACATCGACAACTGTGGCAAAATGGCCCTTGCCTGGTAGTGATTCTAGGGCCTTCTGGAGACTATCTTGGTTGATATCAGACAAAGACAGTACAGCACCTCGACTGGCTAATAATTGAGCAGTGGCCAATCCAATACCACTTGCTGCACCTGTAATGGCAATCTGCATTCGGATTTTTTTTAGCTTTGGTTCCGATCAGCCCAGGGACTTCGGCCATACTCGTTTTCCCTCCAGAGAAGACATCCTTGCACGTAAGTTGAATTTCGACGCTCGAGAATTGAAGAACACGTTGTAGAACTGGTCGATTTCGATTGAATTACTGCTGGGCTCATCGCCCCATTTAAGGATATCAGTCCAATGTCACTCGGTAGTCAAAGTCCGCTTAACATCTTCCCCGCATACATCTCCTACCCGGTGCCTAGGTAACCATGGGTTGCCATGGGGGAAAGCGATCGGAGGGGCTTTTGGAGCGGAGTAGGTCGTGAGTTTTAAACCAGATCTGACCTAGGAGTAAACCAACCTCCCCTATGAGCGAGACCAGTCGAAGGGTGACTAATAGCCATCCTCAGTCTTGGTCTGAGCATTGCCTGGTGGAGAGGCATCCCCAACCAGACAAAATACAACGCCAAGGTTGGAGGGTGAATCAACGTTGGGGGCGAACTCTGCACCCAGCCTTGGCCTCCAGGTTAGACCACAGCCTTGTCATATTACTCAGGCGTTAAGTGATCTGTCTCAACTTCGGCAAGACCTGTTCCTCATATTCATCCCTACATAGAGAGCATCCCAGATTCATAAATAATATGTTCGCTCAGGAAAGACTAGAGGAACTGTTCCGAAGGGGATGCAGGCACAAGCGAAGTTCGTCACTGCCGGAAGGGGGACTCACATTCGGGCTGGTGAGGCTGTGTGGTGATGCCTAGGCCAGTCCTTCCGACGCCACTTCGAGAAGGGACCCGATCGGCCAAAGCCTCGAAACCTGGTTGGTGGTTTTGCATCATTACTCTGCTTCCAAAAGGGCCAAGCGGAACCACTCAGTGCCCGGCTGGCAGCTCAAGGCTACAGCCTACAAGTGCGAACCCTCTGTGTAACTAATTCAGGGCAGCCATCTGCAGGGTTTGATTATTCGCCAATGAGCAGGCCAGGTAGAAGGCAACTCGATCGAGACCTGGTGGTGATGCACTACTCTCAGCCGCACTTTGACAACGTATATTTACCTAGGTAGGTACGTTCTCGGAGGGTGGAAGAAATGGCTCTCCCCAACTTCTCCCCGTGAAGCCTACTGCCTGCGAATATGAGGGAGACGACCGCGTCGGCAACCGTGACACCCGTGGCTGGCTACAGCCAGCCAAAAAAGTGCATCCATGGACGCCTCAAGGAGATCTTGATCGCTTTCGCGGTAATGACGGTGCCGATGATCGCCTTCTCTGCACTTTTGCTCGGCCTGGTCTTCCACTATCGCGTCGTTCTGAATGATTTCGCTTCTGAAAATCTGGCATTTGATTCCGGGCAGAATGATTCGGGCGTCTTCTTCGTCAATATCAGCGCGACCACGCTCATCACCATTGCCTCATGGTCAAGCACAGTTGCTCCGATCTTGGTCGGTTTTGCTGTCACTCTGATCTCGTATCCCGTCGCCAGCGGGATACTGTCGGCGTCTGTGAAACAGAAACCGGGGCAGTTACCCACTCCATATCAGTTTTCGTTACTGCTGAAGATGCTTACAAGCGGATCTCCCTCTGCCTTGTGGAGCTGGCTGCAGTACTCTTTTGGCTGGAGAGGTCGAAGAGAAGGCCAGGCAAAGTCACTAAAGACGCTGACGAGCATACTGACCCTGGGTATCATTCTGAGGTTTGCATATCCCCAGCTCCTTGATATGATTTGATATTTTTGATATTGTGTTTCTAACTCGAGTCAATAGCACTCTTGTCTTTGCCACCGATACATGGCTGCACTTCACCACAAAAACAGTCAATTTCTTCCAGGTCACGCCAACCTTGGACCCTTCGGACCTGAGTTTCGGTGTCTACGACAACTGCACCGATGTCACTGAGACCAATTTCTACGGCTGCAACATGGACAATCCCGCGTCAGGTGCAGTTCTAATGAGTTCTATTCCAATCGAGGTGCTTTCCAACATCTCCAACACCATGCTGGTCCAGACCCATACAGTTGGAAACGATCAGTTCGCCTACCTGGTGAACGCGCAGCTTCCTCGGTTGGCATCTATCGACTACAGCGCCAGGTCATATGCCGTGCGATCTCAATGCAAGCCTGTGACCAGTGACTGTATGAGTTATTTGGATGTCTATGGCGTGGGCACGGACTACCATTGCCCCTTTGCATTTCAAGGCACTGCAGACACAAGCGTGGGCTCGTCGAACTCGGTCACCATGGCCTATTTCACAGATTCTTCTGGCAGCAACAACAATACCGATACGAACGCCATAGCTAACCCTTACTATTATGCTGCTGTCGCTGTCGTGAACATGCGAAATGGCCCTTCCGTGGCGTTGCTAAACGACCCGCAGATTTTGAAGGGCGGCCACGGGGGCTCCACCATCATCGCACTCTTCTGCAATTCAATCATCTACGACCTCGAATATACGTCTGTCAATGGTACCATCACCCGCTTCGTCACGACTCTGAGCAATAGTTCCGTCACGAACATTCTCCAAGGCACTCAGAGACTCACGCAGGCTGGGGACGCGAACCTCGTTCAGGCCGCAAGTGTTGCCGGTCTTGGAGATTCGGCTCAGGCCATCTCGAACCAGTTTGCACTGTCGTATAGCCAAACAGCGCTCGCTGTTGCCTCGGGAGCCTTTCAGCCCCTCCCGGCGCTTGAGTCACAGTCACGCGAAACAATGCTGGTTGCGCGCGTGCCAAAGGCACCGTTGGCGTGCTTGCTGGCTGCTAACCTCTCGCTGGCGGTGCTAGGGATCGTGCTCACTGTGGTAGCAGTCTCGTGTGGCAGCGGCGAGACGAATGAAGTTCAGGCGCGATTGAGCATTCCCGCGCTTGTGGCATCGCAGTTTGAGGAGGCGAGAGTTCGCGCTCCGGTGGAGAAGGTGGAAGACATGTTCGAGGAGGGCCATGGAAAGCCGGGCCCGCGCATTGGCTTTGTAAGGTCACCGCAGGGTGCTTGGATTTTCAGCAGTTGGCGCCCAGCGTAATTGACAATGCAAACCTCTATGTGGGCTTGCTCAAACTGGACACAGTCGACTTTTGATCGAATAATAATGGTAACTTACGGAAAGACATGACTGCACTAGCTTTATTGTACCCTCCTTGACGTGTTCTTCTCTGATGGCGCAATCTTGTTATCACAATGGCCCGTTCTCGTTGATTTCGCAGGACAAGCCGGCCTGCCAAAACAAATGCTTGAAGAACGTGGATCTCCCAAGACCCGGCGATATTCTCATTGTCGAAGGAGAAACTTCTCGCCACCTGTCCAAGAAGACATTAGCGTACGAGCCGTCGTTTCGCACGAAATGGCGGAATAGGTACCTTGTATAGCCATTGCACGGTGACCGTTTTCCGAGAATCGCTAGTGACGGGCCAGGCTGATGTAGATTGGCACGTGGCTGGCCGCCTAGAATACTGGGGGATAATATGCGGCGCTGGTTACCAGTCTCTGCCGCCCCAGGTCGCCCAGATGTTCTTCCCATGCCTCACTTCTGGTATAGTGTTGGGTCGCCAATATTGCGAAAGGGGTTGGACAATATCCTGCCCCGGTGACCAAATGCCGACCCTCTTCGATTTAACCTGTAGGCTCTTAGACGACCCTCCTTGCTCCCTCTCTGCTCGACCAGGGAGTCTCAATACACGTATTCCTACACCCGGGTCACTAATCTCGACGGAACTATCATGGCAGAACCAAAGAACGACGCAAGTGGGCAACATGACTTTAATAAGTCAACAGAGCATCAGGCTGTCGACCAAGAGATCAAGCTCAAGTCCGGAGACGTAGTCGAGGAAGTGAGTTCCGACGAAGAGGACCCGGTCGTGACTTTCAAGACCTGGATCGTCGTGGGTGTGAGTGGATATCCCCATCACATGGATGATTGCGGCTGACAAAACTGGACAGATATTGTCTTGTGGCTATGGATTGTCCTTCTGGCCGATTCCAGTCATGGCAAACATCGGCGGCCTCGTTGGTGAAGAACTCGGTGCCCCGTCCAAATACATCTGGTTCATTCCCGTGCGTACCACCTGGATCCAAGATCACACGAGGAACTTGTTGACATGGTTTAGTCCTGGACGATATCGATCACAGTTTGCTTCATGCTATGGTATGCAATTCTCTGCACTATCGGTCTTCCTGGGAAAAGAGAGTAAACTAAAGACGTTAGTGGCGCAAACACTGACATGTTGGGCCGTCGGTGGTTTTTGACCATTGGAAATCTGGTAAATGCATTGGGGGCCTTTTCTCGTTTCAAGAGCCAGTGCTAAGAATCAAACCAGATATGTACCGTCGGCCACGTTGTCACCGCCTCGTCCAAAAACGCCAATGCCGTGATAGCAGGAATGGCTATCTCTGGGTTTGGTGGAGGGAATTGTCAGGTATGATTCTTTTGACTTTGCCGATTTCAAAGAGAAGAAGGGACAGATTGTGCTGAAAACAGGACACAGATGGCTGCATTTGCACTGCCCGAATTGCTCCCGAACAAATGGCGCCATATCGGCGTTGTCATCGCTGATTTAACAACCCTTCTGGCTGTGATCCTGGCGCCAGTTACTGGATTGTACGGCTTCCATTCAGACTCTTGGAGGTGGAACTTCTACGCTGCCGCAATCGCCCAGTTCCTTTCATTTCTAGGCTTACTCTTCCTCTACTTCCCACCAGCTCATCCGTCAGTATCCCGAGGTCATAAATCGATCTATCAGAGCACTAACTTGATGAAAGAAATGGGCTTCCAGTCAGACAGGTGCTACCAAAAATCGACTATGTCGGTAAGATCATGGGCTCTTCCAAACACAATGTGCTCCATCGGAAGTCGCTGACAACAAAATAGGCGGCGTCTTGTTCGTTATCGGAGCAGTACCGGCCCTCGTCGGAATGGTGTATACCACAGTTGTGCCGTCCAACAATGTGCATGTGATTGCACCACTGGTAATTGGATTTTTCTTCATCGTGTGCTTTGCCCTGTGGGAGACATTCTCGGGGATCGAACATCCACTGACCCCAAGGTATGTGTTCGCGTCCTCCTGGGGTCGCGACTTCACCGCTCCAGCCATCGCGTTGGCCGTGGTGAACATGTTCTACTATTCCGGAAGCATTCTGTGGCCGACGATCGTCAACGCATTCTACACGAATGGCGGCGCAGACTGGCGTTACGGTATCGTTTTGTCCTTGCCCCAGGGCCTGGCCATCACCTTCGGCGCCGTACTCCTGTCCGTATTTGGGAGCAAGATCAGGAACTGGCAGTGGCAGTTGACCGGTTCCGTGTTCATCATGGTCCTCTTCGGTTCCCTGTTGGCGCTGGTGACACCCACAAATAAAGGTCTGATGGTTGCATTCATATTTTTGTCTCAGTGTGCCTATGGCTGGGCGATCTACCTGTCTATTGCCGTTGCTCAGATGGGCGTTGAGCATAAAGATCTTGGCTTGAGCGGTGGCATCGCCGGTGTTTTCCGGTTTGCCGCAGGGTCGAGTATGTGGCCCTGAGGAGATTCTGTTGTGTTCCTAATACTGACCTCCCCACAGTTGGGGCCGCTGTATACACCACGATCCTCACCAACGAAACAAACAAGGCGGTAGCGAGGCTGGTTCCTGCGGCTGCTGTTGCCGCTGGCCTTCCACAGTCAAAGATCACGGATCTCTTAAGCGCCATTGGGACCCCAGCCCTTTCCACAGAGTTCAGCCAAGCCGTGGTCCAGGCCGTAGGAATTGCATTGGACCAAGCTCATGTACACGGTATCCGGTGAGCGGCCTCATTTTTCCTGAAGCCCAACCCAAAACCAAAAAAGGGAAGAAACATACAAATCTGAAATCCTGACATGTCTTAGAATGGTTGCCTTTGCCTCGCTGGCATTCGGCATCGTCGGCATACTAGCCTGCATGTGCTGCAAAGACGTCGACAAAAAGATGAATAACAAGGTATGTGACAATCCCTCGCTCCAGTGGCCATGATGTGAGCAAGGGGAGAGAAAACTAACGTGATTTACGTAGATTGAGGTGTATCTCGAGAACACAGAGTACGCGAGCAGGAACAAGTATCACTAGTGGGAGATGGGGCCTGTAACGACTAAAACGGCAAGAACAACGACGACGGGCGGTTCTGGTTCAAGATATATAGCTAACCATCAATCTATCTATCTATCTATTCGTCGGAAGTTTAGGGACGGGAACGCAGTCTTATGTATTCGGCCACGGAAACAGGAGGGATATCTGAAGACCAGGTATCTGCTGAGTAAAAGCCCACGAATGAGCCCAAGTAAAGCGAGGCGAAGAACACCGACGACCCCGCGTGTTTGCGTTTCCAGAAATGGACATGAACATTGTCACATGTTATATGTAATATGTTATATAAAATAGCCTAATTCCAAGGTTCTGTCTGTTCTGGGTCAGACCATCCCGCCGTCGACCAAAAAGTCTTGCCCGGTCGTGTAACTGCTGGCCTCGCTCATGAGGTATAGCACCATTCCCGACAGCTCATCCGGGGCTGCCAGCCGGCCCAGCGCGTTGCTCTCGAGGAAGAGTTTCCGCCTGCTGGGGTTCTGGCGCATCACGGATTCCAACATGTCGGTCTGCACGGTCCTGGTTTTCCACCCGTGTTAGCCTGAGGAGGCATCTCCCGGGAGGAAAGGGAAAACGGGAAGCGGGCTGTTTGTGTATGAGAGACGGAGAGACAGGAGGGAAAGAATATATATATATATATATAGATGTGTATATTTACCCTGGACTGATAGAGTTGACACGGATGCCATATTTCGCCAGCTCGTGCGCGACGTGCTTCGCAATGCCTCGGACGGCGTATTTCGACGCCGTGTACGCTGCGATTTCCTGCGGCGCCAGCGACTTGTGGCCTGCCGTCGAGGCTATGCAGACGACGGTGCCGCCGGTCCCTTGCTGCGCCATTTTCGCCGTGCAGTGTTGCACGGTGAAAAAGACGCCGTTTACCTAGCCGCCCCATTGAGCATTAGTTTTCTTTCTGTTTTATTTTTTCCCCCTCATGGCAAATAAAATGCCCTGGTCATTCGTGAGGGAAGCATCGTCACATACATTAACGTCCATGGTATCTCTGAAATCCTTCTCCGTGTGTTCCAGGAACGGCTTGTCGCGAATGATTCCCGCGGCCGGTATGCTATTTGTCCAAAACAAGCGTTCATTGTCAGCTTCGCGATTCTCCCGGCCGGAAATATGTCTGACCACAGGAGCAGAGCAGAACAGAGCAGGGAGAGGGGGGGTCCTTGCCATCCATCAATACTCCCAAAATCCGCATGTATCCTATCGACCGTGTTTTTCAACAGCTGGTAGTCTACCACGTCGGCCTGGTAGTATCTGTACTTGCCGCCAAAGGGTTCCAGCTTGGCCATGTCCTCCGATGGGTGCTCGCTGAGGTCGATCACCGCGATGTTGGCTCCAACTTGGGCCAGCGTGTAGGCGAAGTTGAAGCCTAAGCCGCGCGAGCCGCCAGTGATGACGATGTTCTTCCCCTTAAGAAGGAATTTGTTCAGGATCGAAGCCTCCGGGAACTGACCTGCTTGGGACATTGTTGGGATTCACACGCGATCAGAGATGAAGGGTTCTCGTTAGTTGGGTTCTACAATAATTTCTCTGCTCTTGCAGTAGAATGTAACTCTTGAAGTGACGATAGTAGGGCCTGTTTTTATTGAGGCGAAAGAAAAGGAGTATTCATTATGATTATCAAAATTGTGAAGGCTAACTAGACCGTGGAGAGGAGTGTGCCAGCAAGGCTCGGGAAATGATCGCCGAACCCTCCACTCTAGAATGGGTGTATGGACTACGGGAAAATATGGTGGGCTCGTATGTCCCATCTGAGTCCAAAGGGAGACAGATCTGGATTTACAAAGTGTGAATGGTGTCAAATTCAGGTCGAGGCAAAAGCTATTATCGAGAGGATGGCCGTAGAAACCCACGAATATTGTAGGTGCCTTGGACCAACGCAAGACTCGACCAATTCAATATGGGAAGAAAACCTATCAATTTTATTACAAAGATTCTAAACTATACATGATGTCAAACTGCGAAGATATCGGAAGGAACTCGTCAATGCATAGAGGGCTGTATGCAGACAAGCTAGGAAGTCCTGTATGATCGTCCGAGGGCTGGAAAGAAGTCCTCTCAGTCCCTGCATCTTGGACGGCGAAGAACAGGCTGGCAGGGTTCCTGCCGACGTCGTTGGCCTGTTGGAAATCCAGATACTCGCTTTCGAAATGACACAATCGCATGACAAGCTGGATGATGCGGCGCACTCGTCGAGCAACGATGTATGTTTTCTCCAGTTCGCCGAGTGTTCGCACGCAGGTTTTGAGGGCCGAAAATTGACATGCCACGTCCGCTGATCGCCTTTCCGCAATATCAGCAATCAAGATTGTAGATGCGGTCGCGATGACGTGTAAAGCGACGCCGCTCAGGTTGGATGCATTCCCGTACATATTGCGATAATCTTGCAGAGCCGTGGCGATGTTTTTCGCATTGTCGATGCAGATCTGCCGAGATTTATTGCATTGGGCATCCAGTTCCGACATCTTGACTCCAAAGTTTGCAGTTGGGCGATGCAAGTGGATTTTGCAAGAATAGTATTGCATGCTATCATCAAAAGTCAATAGTCAATTTGATAATAAGGCCGTTGACGCCTTACTGAAGCACAAGAATCGATGCATGAGCTTCCTTGCAATACTGGAGCTCCGGGTCGAGATTTTGGTACCAGTCTTGGAGCTGCTCATCAAGAGCGTGAAGGGTTTCAGTGTCGCATTGTTCTTCGTTCCTAAACACTCAGTGTTTGCCGCTTCATACGGTCCTTCCGCACTCACAAGGCGTCACAGATGCGGCCGACTGTCACGAGAAGAGTGACCCACGAGAAAGCAATTCTTTTCTCCCATGAAGCGCCATATTGGGTCAGAGAGCTACTTCGGAGCTCCGTATCTTCGCATTTGAGACAAGAGGGGCGGCCGAGGTAGAGTGCCCAAAGTCTTGGAAACACTGTTAGATTGCTTAATCCAAGGAGCAAGCCCGGGTGGTTTACCTATCAAAAACCAAGCAGCCCCAATAGGTAATTTGGCGTACTTTCATATCTCTTGGGGAAAAATTGGTGGACGCAAGCTGTTCTCCAGTTCTGTGAAGGCCAAGGTCAATGGCTAAACGACAAGCATCACCTAGGAGACCCAGCCGTCAATAGTGTTTTGGAAACTGTCGTGCCGAACATACCAGCTAGAAGCCAACCTTTGGTGTCCTTGCTCAATGAACAATGAATGACAGACAGAAGTAGAAGTGATTGAATGGTTGTTATTTGGGGTCTTTTGAGCTCTTGATCAACGAGTCTTGTAGCTGTGGCCACGAGAAAGGGCTCCTTGTCCTCCATGTCATCGCTGGAAGGGATTACCATCGCCCTTACTGGTGGCCGGTCGGATATTCGTGCAGCACAGGCATAGACGCAGTATAGGAGTGCTTTGCTGAAATACTTGGTCTGTCTCGTCCTCATACCTTCAAGGAACTCCTCTCGGTCAAATGCTTGGAGTACGGTGTGTTGGTATTTCCAGTAAGTTTCCAAAAGGTGCATCTGGATTTCTGGATCGATTGGATCATCAGGACTGACGTCGGCCGTCACACTCCTTTGGCACCACGGGCCGAGGAGCGAGGATGACACGCTTTCGGTGAGATGCAAGCTCGAGGTTGGGCCGAAGAATTTATATTGACCCTCTTCGTCACTGTTCAGCTTCCACTGGCGGCCACAAAGGCGTGAGATTAGGTTGTCTTCTTCCTGGGATGGAATTGGCACTGATAAGGATGAATAAGTCGATGGAGTTTGCGGACTTGACACTGGCTGTCGCTTGGGGCCCGTGAAATTCTGCGTCCCTTTTGCTGATTCAAGAGCAGCTTCAAGATCAGCGATTCGCTGATAGAGCTCCCGGATGTGGCCCTTGGACGAAGGACTGGAAGAAGAATTAGCTGGCATTTCCAAGTGCTAGAGTCGGTGTTTTCACCATTTCCGTTTGTCTTCACTGGGCCAGACACAAGGGATATTGAGTCTTTTGCATTTTCTGCAGCCCTCCAATTCTATTACGCACTGTGTGACGCTTAGTATCGGTGGCCCTTGTATATTTCAACCCCAGTACCTTGACTTTTTTCAGCCTGCAATGGTTGCATGCAAGAGCAGGAGTGGAGTCATGTTTCTTAGAAACTCGACCCGTTCGGATCGGATTCCCATGAGTCTTCGGACTTTTTGACCCGGGGGCCTGCTGCAAGGCCGAATTTGATGTTTGAGGCGTTGAATAGCTGATATCCATTGTCATGACGGGTTTCGGCACGCTCGAGAAGATGGCTGGAGTGGGCTATCACCGAGTATATTTTCTATGCACAACACTCCAAACCCCGCAATGTGGTGGAGAAGTCTCCAGCTTCTGGCCGAGGACGTCCCCCTCTCTCCAGGTTTCGACTAAGTAGTCTGCGGGCTCCAATTGGCCTACCTTATGCATCAGCCGGAGGTCATTCTCCGTGGTTCACTAGCCTCGCGGCGACCCAGCCTTGTGAGTACGCTATAGTGCCTCGGGTAAGAATTATGGAATATTTCCTCAACCGGCAAGTGCGGACGAAACAATGATTTCCGGCTCAAGGGGTGGTGGATGTGCTCCGTATTCCATTCGTTGATCGGATCTAACTTTTGACGGTAGTCCCCCCAGCCGACTATGGGGTCCAGAAGCTCAGGGGGAAGCGAGAGGGGATGACTGACAAAGCAGGCGAGCATCCTGGTCAAGATTCAATGGTAGGCCACCCGGTCGAGATGTGCTTGTGTTGCATCGCCGTCGTCAAGAGTGTATATTGGGGACAGGATGATAATGAACAAATCTGTCGGTGTGTGGTTGCAGCTTTCGGTCAGCCGCGCATGCCACAGTTTGTATAACCTACTGACAGAGAACTGTGAGCCTGTGGATCAAGACCAGCAACCGAATCCCGGCCTTTGACAAGCCGTTCACGGTGACTGGTCGCCACTGCTCCGGTCAGCAAAATTCTGCACCCAGCTCTCAGGCAATCAGAGTAGAGGGAAGATGCTTTGAAAACTCAGGATCAGGAGTGGAAGGCGGCGTCACATGATTAGGACAAAAATTGAGCTCCTTCTGCGAGGATCTCGGCCAAGCAAATGTTGCTGATGCGGCAGCACCGCCCCTTATGTACCGGCACCACAACATGGAGCAAATTGCGCAGGATAATCCCACAGTGTAGTGCCCTTGGTGGTTAGACTTGAATGTGGGTGCTAAATAATAATCAACGGGGATCAGGGCCAGGAACAAAGGAAAAGCCGGCTATGTAGTGGGCGCAAGGCCCCAGACCGTCTTCGGCGATCTGCCGGTGGATCTTGTCCTCCTCGCCTCCGAGTTGAAATCATCCAGAAACATTGCGAATCATTATCGCAGAGGCGGCTCCGTGATTGTGGGCGTCAGGAAAGAATGCTAAAAGATCATGCTGCAGAGCCTGCATGAAAGTCGGCAGGAACAACGGCCCACGTTGTTGGGAGGTGCTATGGGCAATGACTGCTATTGGCAGAGTCGATGACCAAAGCCGCTGTTCGTGCCGTTCAATCGGTGCCAAAGCAAATGCAGACTGATACACCTCGTATTTCAATATAATCTTCGACAGTAGGAGACGGTCTCTAGAAAGCTGTCACTCAATAGTTTGTTTCCTTTTCCAATTTTTTTCTCGAAGAATTTCCCAGGAAGCGTCTCACTTCCAATAGCCAACGCTTTCTAAGAGCACCAAAGCGTACAAGAAGCAGCGATCCTATGGCAGTCACAGCAACCGAACCACGTCGAGAAATACAACCCAAAGGGGAAACCGACATCGAGGGCCGGGATTTTGACCTTGCCGAAGTAGCGTACGTTCCAACCACAGGAGTTCGCAAATTATTCGAAACACCTCTTGTCCTAGCGACGCCCGAGAGCGTCAAGGATTATGGGGAGATTGTCGATGTGCCTGAAAAGCATCGCATCGAGATCGTACGTTGGCCTGCCCAGGGATGGCGGCCGGTGGACGCGAACTCCGGCGACCAGGGCGGAGTGACCGAGGGGCTGTTTGAGTTCTGGTGGAAAGGCGACACTCTCTATGCGCGCAACAACGCTGTTGGCAGCAGCTATCTTTTTGCCTGGAGCCAGTATCCTGAAGAGGCCGCCACCACCGGACCTGCGCGACCTCGTGAAAGAGCGATGATCTGGCGCGCGAACTACCACCCCGACGGGGGTCAGTTATTTTATCCGACGGATGGGCAGAGTTTCGTGGTTCCACTCGCCCTGCCAGGTGACGACGTAACTCCCGAAAAGTTCGTCGCGTTTCGATGCGACGGCGGCAAAGGATTGTATATCCATCCAAATATCTGGCACGGGGCCGTTGTGCCTGTCGAGGACCATGCACGTTTCGTTGATCGACAAGGCCGTGTGCACGCCCGTGTATCTGTAGACTTCGCCAAGGAGTTTGGGGGATACCTGTCTGTACCTTTGCGGTCTGTCGTGCAGTGAGTGGCTCAACTTCGTTCCATATCGGGTACAAGCAAGAGCTGCGGGAGGAGGGTTGCTAAACAGGGCATCCTGCACCATTCTCGTGCCCAATCCCCGTTCCTCTCAAGTTTGTTCATCACAGGAGTTCAGATTTGGGAACAGTGTCCTGATGATTTGAGATAATGCAAATCTGAAAAGTGGACGAGCAAAGCTTGGAAGCAGTGTGCCGGCATATGGCAGCACTTCAGGTGAAGGCATTTTCGCTGATTCCGATCAGGCCTCCAGAGGGAACTGGGCCTTGAGACCATCAAGCCAGGGAAGCTTTGTGAATGAGAGTGAGTCGTTTAGCAAATTTAACCTCGGCCTCGATGTCATGATGTTTCTGTAGCACTTGCCTCATTTGGTGTTCGATTGCACTTGTGGTCCTCCGTCGTTCATCTGCGGTCATCTTCATGTCCTTCAACTCTTCCTTGCGTTGAGCTAGAATGAGGGCTTCGTTGAGAATTCTCTTTTCTTTTTGCTTGGCGGTGTCCAGTTTCTCTTCGGCGTCTTGAAGTTCTCGCCTTGCTTCGATCCGAGACGCTCGGTAGTCACTTATTTTCTTGGGCTTCTTGAACGCAACGCTCAGTCTCCCTGATGTCTTGGGCGGCCATGTTATCAGGCGTTGGTTTTCCACGACACTGCCGACGATCTCGGCGACGACGCTGCGCGTTTTCGCGCCCGCGTGGCGTAAGAGGACTTGAATGATTTCCTCTTCTCGTTTGCCGTCCTCCACAAGATCTAGAATGCGCCAGTATGCCGGAAGGGGTACTTCATGAGTAGCAACTTGGATGGTCGGCACATTATCGAAATTGGGAGACGGTGCTGCCACGACCCAAAAGTCAGAGCCTGAAGACATGGAAAGAACCAGAAGATCGACAGAAGCTTGCACTTACAGCTGACAGGAGAAGGAGGCAGTTTTGGAAGTCGCGAATCTTGCAGCAAATCTTGGGCAAGCATGGCTGGGTTTCATTGTCGTCGACTCCTTTGTGTGCGCAGCGAGTTCACGATTGCCGGGCACGGCTCAAATGGGGACTCACACAAGACAAATCGAGGATGGCGGTCAGGAACGAACAAAGAGACAGACAGGGAACAACATGGCTCTAGAGTCGGTCAAGCCCTTTAAAAGCGGTTGCAAATGATCTTGAATCAAAATGAGTGGCAGCGGAATGGCGTGACGTGCTCGACCAGGAAATCCACCGTGGCCGGACATAACGCGTGGTCAAAGACGCAAGACCATACTGTGCGGTCGGCGGCGAATGCATTAATTGCCTCTGTTCAGAATCCTTCCGTTTAGGGCACGAGGCAAACGTCGAGAATGGATTTCAAGGATGCTATATATTGCAAAGGAATTTGCCAAACTCCCACGGAAATTCGTTTGCGGAGGCTTGTGGGGATTCTGGGATCCTCCCTGTACTGTATCACCCAAAGTTGGTACTTGCTTGCCGGCCATCTCCGTTGTCTTCTCATCACACTCCTTTCGTTTCTTCCCTGCGAGCCTGTCAACAACATCCGGACTTGCGGACCACTGATTAACGAGGTTGCAGATTCCCGAATTTAGATCAGTCATGCGCGCGAAGAGACACAGGCAATTGATAGAAACGAATATTAGAATCCTGTTGTCATCTCAGGGGAGTACTCTCTACCTTGCTGCTCCCAATACAGTCCTGTACCATGTAAACAAATCATGCATCTCTTCTCTTTTTCGGTGGTGACCGGGAATGTGGCTCGGCTGGCTCGTAGCACATCATCCGGTCGATCGTTGATCGCATAATGCATCGTGTGCTCCTCATCATGCCGGCGGCACCTCTGTCCTTAGCGTTACCAGAGACGACCTGGCTCATCATTTTCATGCAAACCCTTAGAGTGTGATGTCCTGCATTGCAGTCCCGCATTGCAATATGCCGCCTCTCACACAAATCTTGCATCAGGATTTTCCATTTCTGATCCACATTCTTCGCCGACAAGAAAGCATCTCGTCATCAAAAACATGTACACATCACTTTTGGGGGTATCTGTCCACCATCAAGCGCAAATTCAAGGGGCGCACGCTGAAAGGTCGATTAATAATGATCAAGGCGACATCATACCGTCAGCCAGTGTCGGTGTGATGCCTACAGTTATTTTCCGCGCCAAATCGTATCATCTTGTACTCGAAGAGCCATTGGCACCTTCGATGGTGACAACGTCAGGCAGTGAGGCATATTTCAAGCCGGTTGCTTTCTCCATTTTTGTCCGCTCGATCAAGGCCTGGGTCTTCCATCTGCATTCAAGTCTGGCTCTTTTTCTGGCCAAGGCCAATCTCAGATCGGTCTCCTGGCTGGCATAGTCTCGGTCGATGACGGCGAGTTCCTTGTTTTGTTCTCTTTCCAGGACTTCCATCTCTTTTTCCTTTTTCCGTATCAAATTCTCAACAGCCCTCTTTTGTTTACCTCGCAGAACATTGACCTTGCTGGCGTGCAGGGAATCCATGATGTCTCGTTCACGATATTGCTGAGCAAGATTGTGATAGTCTTTCTCCGTGACTTTGCGTTCTGGGAAGGGGGAGTCGATAGAAGCATGTCTCGAGTTCTGATCCACTGGGGTCGGGGGCGGAGTCGGATTCTGACAATAAGCTTCCATGTGCCGTAAGCGCAACATGACGGCTTTCTTCTCCAGCTCGTGTTCCTTTTCCATCTTCATTTCTTCTTCAAGTTGGCGTGCCTCTAGGTCTTCTACAGTTCGGTCCATCTGAAACATTTTAGCGACGGTCCCAACACAGCCTCCAGCTGCGACGAACCTTTGATCTTTGTTCAGCAATTACTCTCTCATGCGTTGTTTTCTTTTGTGCCTTGAGCAAATCTCGTTCTGATCTTAACTGTAACATCAATACAGCCTGAAACTCTAGAAAACGGGCTTTCTCGTCCAGTTGAGCCATTCGGAGGTTGAGTAATTCTTTACACTCCATACTTCTCTGGAGCGCCTCCATATCCACAAACGGTTGTGATTCGCAGCTGGACTTTGCCACGGATAGTGGTTGTGACCAGGAGCTCTTGCTCGATTTGACCGACAACGGACTCTGCATATCCACAGAGATTTCTTCACTGTCATTGGTTTCGGCATCACTGCTGATACTTGTAAGGGTCGAAGACGCCGACCGACCACCAGATCTTTTCTTTCGAAAACCTGCCATTTTTTGGAACCCTCTTCTCAGTGGGGAATATTTCTTTCTCTCGCTCGCCGAGGCTAGGGAGGGGACATCTGAACTCGAAGGGGCGTGGTCAGATATCCGTGAGGACTGGGTCGCCGGCCGATGCTCGCTGGAGGCACAGGAGGTCGCTGTGGTAGACTGGGATTGGATGGAGCTCGGGTTGATGGAGTCGGAAGCGATGGTAATTGTCGAGACTGAAGAAGCAATCCTGTCGAGTCCCGAGGTGACTTGAACAGGTGATATGCCGAGACTTTGCGCCTCCGACGCAAGTCGATCATCAAGGTCATCTTCGGAGGATGTAGAGGGTAATTGAAGGACGCTAGCACTGTAGAGGGCTTCGTCAATCGACTTCTTCGGAGTCGACCATGATTGCATGTCGCAGAGGTCTGGTATCCAGGTTGGTCTGGTGGAAGGTATTGAAAGTTCCCGGGCCAGAGACCAAGCATGATCAACAGCCGTCATGATGGGCTGGATCAAAAGGCTGAGAAAGTGGTCACAACGGTTATCCCATTGTTTATTGGACGGGCTCGGTTGCACCACAGAGAAAGAAGTCGCTTGTCGTGCAAACAGTCTAGCGATGGCTTGTAGCAGCGTGTGTAACTGAAGCAAAAGCAATCAAGCTCTAGCAGGGTAGCGGAAGGCAGCGCGTTGGAGTCGAGACGTGCAGCTGGGGCGGGAGGACGAGTGGGGGAGTGCGGCGGTGGGTGCGTAGCGATGATCGGGTCTGGAGCCTGGATGTCAGTCTATTACGTAGGTACCACATCTCGGGGCCAAGAACCGACATGGAATTGCGGCGATCTTGAGAAGACGTATGCTTGGGTTTTCCTGAGGATGATGTACAACGCAGCAAGAAGGGAAGACGGCAGACGGGTTTCAATTGAGAATGGCGGCTGGTCACAGTGGGCAAAGGGGATCTTGGTGGTTGCCAGCTGCCAGCTGCGGAGCTGGGTTTATGTCATTGGAAAAAGAAAGTGAGGAATGAGGTGCATCTGCCGCACTGGGTCCGATCTCTTTTTTGAATGTCCGCCCTCGCCCCCTGGCCGGCCAAGAGAAGGATCCAGACAATGAGCAGCAGGAACCATCAACGTCAAGAACCAGGCTGCCTGCGACACAGTGGACAGTGGGCATTGGCCAACCCACAGACCAATTCCCTCAAGCAAATGCCAACCGGGAGGGAGTCTCGCTAACGGCGCCCAGTGCGCTGCATTCTTGCTCCTCCATCTCCCCCCGGGCTCTCCTGTCACTTTCTCATGTTGTGTAATCCATCATCCCCTCTCTTTTGTTTCTTTTGACCTGCAAGACCCGTTTCGGGGACGAGAGGGACAGGGAAGCCAAAAAAACTTGGAGGCACTGGTTGTTTGGTGCCCGTTTGACCTTGGGCCTCGCTTCCTCGGAATCATTTCAGAGACGCGACGTACCACGTCATTTGCTCGGTCAGTCGAGTCTCGAGCTCCTTTGTTGCTGTTGGGCTGGAATCAAAGGCGGACATGCTCGACTGACGGGATTGAGAAATGTCTACTTACGAGTTGAGAGCGCATGGATGGTAGCTTTTGGTCCTAGGTCCATCGGTACCGGGTACTTTCCCTGCATTACTTCCAAGCGAAAAACCTAATTCCAATATTCGGTTTGATCTTAGAGGGAAGCGGAGGTTAGGGGCCTGCAATAACCTGAACTCTCTGGCAAAGCCTTGGGAATCTGATTAAAACAGGTGGTCCGGGCGTCGTGGGTGCCGAGACGCTTAATGTCTCCGTTAACCTGGGAGCATCTACTCGGTAGGGGCACAAGTATTGGTCCCGGTAGTGGTGCCTCACTAGCCTACCGAGTACTTACCAGTCTAATCGTCCCACACTGCCAAAACATTTAGCTGGCTCTCATCTGCTGTTGATCTGCAGGAGTCGCTGTTCCATCTTACCGTCGAACCAATACACCAGGTACTTTGTACACAAATATCGTCTTCAATCTCGCCAAGTATGAAGGCGATTCCATATCAGGAAAACCCCATTTCTTCTTACGTCGGAGCTGAGGAATGTACGACTTCTGAAACCCCGAGCGCGATATTTTACCAGTCATCATGAGGTGCTCTTCAGGCCTTCATCGAAGCCAGACTCCGATATACAGAACAAGACTTAAGAAATCAGGACCAACACCCTACGTGTTCGCTTATCTGAAATCAGCTACTCAGTATCTCGGTCGGTCAGTATGGTGGCAGTCACTGTGCATCTCGACACCGTGAGAAGCATCGCAGCCACCTACACCACCAGCCTGGTGAGCCTCAACAGCTACACGAATGCTCCTGTGGACAGAGTACTCGGTGCTCGGTACATCCGGCCGGATATCTTCTCAAGCCCTCATATACTACGTATGTCTTTGTGCCTCTATGCTGGTCGCGTTACAGCCCATGAGCTCTATCTGCAAGCATACCTAGGATGGTCGGAAAAGTGTATCGCGCCCTCGCTGCTATGGTCTTGAATCGCCTGATCCCGATGCTGCGGTACTGAACCTCTATCGAAACCCCACTTTCCAAAATTGATTGGGCCATGCGACCTCGACCCCTAGTTTCCAGGCAACCTTAAGCACCCACTCGGGTTCTCTCAGAAACTGCCGCGCAACGAGAATCACATCAGCCATCGGTTCTTTACCTCTGGTATTAGTCATGTCTTTTGCGAGGGCAGATTCATCCCTGGTACTCTTGTCAGATCCGTCATCGACGATATCCCTGACTTGCACTGCCTGAGTAATGAGGCCGACCGCACCGATGAGTAGCTTCGAGTTGGCTTCCTTCAGCGTGCGTCGTATATGACAAGCGATTTTTGTCTGGTAATCGCTAGAAGACATCATCTGGATCCGTTGTTGCGGGTGATTTCCTCCACTGTTGACATCGAGTAGATCGACGCCGAGCAAAGGTAGAAAGAGCTGCAAGTCTGATGGTACTTTGTACGTCCCAGCTACCATATTTCTCGCCCAGATCAGTCTCCCCCATCCATTCTGTGGCGCTGATGCGGAGGAAAAGCGGCATTTCTGACGGTATCTCGGCGCGTATAGCACGAATAACTTCGATCCAGTAGACGAGTTCGATTCTCGAAACTACCGCCGTAATCATCCGACCTGCGATTCGTGATCGGACTCAGGAATTGAAAGATTAAATAGCCGTGAGCGCCGTGGATCTCAATGACGTCGATCTCAGCTTCAACTGCCCGCCTGGCACTCGCAGCAAAGGCTTTAACGACTTCCTGAATCTCAGGAATAGTTAGCTGTCGCGGAATGCAAAAGCCGCCGTCATCAGCCGAGCCTTTCCCATCCCAAGAATCTTGCGGGCCGCCCATCGGGCCTACAACATCCTCTGGCCAGCCACCGACCTCTGCCGTCGCTCGTATCGAAGGCCTTTTCATTTGAGCTGAAATCCAAGGGGCGCAGTGCTCGCCTTGCGGCCAGCATGGGCTAACTGTATTCCTGACAAAGCACCCTGTGATTTAATGAAATCCGAAACCCGCTTGAAGCTAGCTGTTTGCTCATCGCTCCATAAACCAGGGCACTGAGGCGTAATACGACCGTTGGGCTGTACACCTGCGGCTTCAGCGAAAATAAGGGCGGCGCCCTTGATAGCGTAATGCCCGAGTGTTGCCAGATGCCAGTCCGTCAACTTGCCCACGTCGGGCCCCTTCGCGGCAGCTGAGTATTGACACATAGGCGACACTATTATTCGATTTTTGAGAGTTTTGGATCGAATGCTAAGAGGCGTGAATAACGTCGGTGTGTTTGGCGCAGTAGGCTGGAGAAGAGCACCCGGATTTGAGGCATAGGCTGGAGTGTAACAAGGCCCATTGGGTGCACCAGTGTTGAGCCCATTCTCAACTGGCTCCGACAACATGGCTTCACTGTGTGCAGTTCTCAGGCAGGCATCGCCAGTGCCAGTGTAATTCTCAACGCAAAAAAGGAGGTTCTGTTTATGCAAGAAACTGATGTTGACGGTGGGGGCCCAGCGCCTCTCAAGGTCGTGGCCAGTTGGGATGGCATAGAGCGAATCGGGGAGACTGATGATGGCTCCGAGACACAGAACCCCTTTTCGGGGAGCCTCGTCGGTTTTGTCTTGCAGACCAATTCGATCACAGCTTCACTTCGCACCGAAGTATTTTCACTAACCCCGGCACTGTTGTGACGAGGTGGGTTCTTGCCCTGTTCTCAGAAATTTCTGGTTAGCAAACACCCCGATCTTTTGATTTCCTTCTGCAACAACTACGTCCTTTGCGTACAGATAAATTTTGCTAGACTTGTTCCGCCAAGATGCTGAGGCTGATCACGGCAGCCGCATTGGTGGCGCACGGCGAAGTGCGGAATCCCATACTTCTAGGTCTTATTGCCACATGATTTTGATGACGGTTGTAGATCACTAAACATAGGTTCTTTCCATAATACCCAGTACCTCGAGACACACCAAGAAGGCCTGGGGTCTTGAGGTAACCACAACAGCATGGGTGTCACCGAAATCGTCTTTCTTCCCTTGCAGGATGATAAATTCCCAAATGACCAAACCAGTCCCAATGGACAACTTCATCACCACCTGATTCAAACCATTCTCTCGCAGCCAGGCGTCCAGCGCGTCTATTGGGGCCGGGAAATCGAGAACCCTCTGATGTTGAGATGGTTTGTCGACTGGGATGACATCGAGAACCATAAAAGGTTCATGAATGCTGAGTATGCGCTTCCACACCATCTCCCTGCCTTCGCCTATTGACCATGTGCAAGTGCCTACAGACCGTTCGTCGAGAGGATTGGAACCATCGTCGCTGGCGCGGCAAAGGCATATCATGCTCAACTCAGGCCTCATCCTCCCGTCGCTGCTCTCAGTAACACCACGTCTCCAATTACCGAGGTCGTGACCATGTGGTTCCCAAACACATACCCGCAGAAAGATCAAGACAACGTGACCGAGGACGTAGAGAACTTCATCTCAATTTTCGAAAACCATGCGCACAATTATACAGCTTCTGCAGCAGGTTGGGTGGATGAAGAGATTGACATCCCAGGGATGGAGGAGCGCGGAAAGGCATATGTACTGCTAGTTGGCTGGACTTCCGTCGAGGCGCACATGCAGTTTCGCGAGACACAGGCATTCAAGGATTCCATTCACTTTGTTATGGGAGCAAAGAACCTGAAGAAGATCGAGGCGGTTCATGTAAGCTTGACGGAGGTCACTAAATAGAAAGCCCTATTGATCTCCAAAACGGAAGGGAAATCTCTTTCGTCGTCCAGGCCACAATACACACAATTATCAGAGATTGCGAAAGCTGGAGTTATGTATTTTCTACCTAAAAGGGTGAGGTTGACTCGCTATCTGGACGTGAAATCAAGAGGTTGCGGACGACATTCTGAGAACGAGAAGCCAGGTTAAACTATCGTCGAAGGTCCATCTTCCTGCTTCCTCCGAGCTTGGTTGTCAGGTGTTACCAGTCTTCGGATAACTTGGCTGTGGACATTCCGCTACGGAATCCACCTTGTCGCATTCGTGCCTATAAGTCTCCTATTCAGTTTCTTGTAGTGAAAATACAAGCCTAAGGCGACAGACGCCCCAATGAGCTGGCTCGCGGCATTGACTCCATGCCCCAGCTTGTAAAGCGATGCATCTTGCGCGCGATAGATCCAAACCCCAATGATCTGGCCAGGCCCACTGGAGGCGAGGATCAGGAAAAAGTAGCGAACACCGTAGTGAGTGCCTGGAATAGCAGCTGCCTGAGAGTCAGCACGCAATGTCTCGAAATCGCCGCGGTGATGTATCACAGATGCAACTCACCAAGGACGAGAAAAGAAATTGCCGCGAGGCTAAATCCGGCACAGGCGAAGAGCCCTCGCACTCGTCGATTGTCAGACCAAAGAGCCACCGCGAGCGTAACCAAGTATGCAATCGCGTATGGCGGGACAGTGAAGAGCTGGGCTCGCAAGTCGTGGTACCCGAGACCAGCAACGATAACTGGAGAGAACAGTGAAAGGGATGTAGCTCCGCTGCCAGCTGCGAGGTATGTGGAATAATGCACCCATAGTATCACGTCCTTGAGGGTTGCTTTTGCATCCTTCCAGTTGATCTTGGCCTCGCTGTCGAGGCTGGTCAGCTAGGTCTGGCATTCTTGTAGAGGCAAAGTTACTGACCCGTGTGAACTATTTTCGGAGGCAAGACGTTGGCGTTGGATGGCTTTTTCGGTCCGTGCAGGCCAGATTGGAAAGTGCTTGGAAGATGCAATAGGCCACAATGAAAACCATCAGAGCGACGGTGAATTGATAGTTGGTCACGTGGTTGGTCTGTGACATAGCATCGTCCATGTTGGTATTGAGGATTTTGGCATTGCCTGCTCAGTTGGGCACGGAAGTAGTCAACAAGGCTTTCACTCATAAATCATTAGGTAGCACTGTACCTATGTTGCTTCGGTCCAGATAGCAAAGCAGGTAGATCAACGCCGTCGTTGGCATCAACCTCGAATCGATTTTCCAGACAATCCTAAGCAGGGATTCATGATTCATGACGTGATGATCTGCTCGTGAGCCTGTATTTTCTCGTACTGCTTTTCCTCTTCTTGTGTGTAGGAGACAGCCTCCTGGGCTCCGATGGCCTCTATCAGCTCGACACCAGCTGGCGAGAATGGTTTCTCGGCGGCATCGTCCATTTTGATGATCACCGGATTTGAACTGACAGAGAGAAGCTGTTGATGGTCTCCCGAAGTGAGTGGACGATGGTTCAAACGTGACATAGAAGCAGGGCCTGAGAAAGAAGTTTGTATTGCCGGACTTTTACTCTGCGCTACCATGGTAAATTTTGATGCCCACAGTATTTGTACTGCCACATATCATGGACAAAGTGGATCGGTACTCATATAACGAGTCGCGGGAGTGGACCACACCAAGATGGAATTCGAGCCTGATAAAGACTTCGACGTGAATTACTACAGTCTCACTGAAGCTTCGGAAGATTTTGAAGTCTCCACGCCCTTGCATATGACACAGCCTGTTTTGGCCATCGGCGGATTGGTCTTCTCCGAGAAGCGCGGTGGATCGGCTAACTGGTCGACTCGACATGCATAACGATTACCACCAAGAGGAGCGATCAGTTGAGGTAATGGCCCTACCTTACACTGGAAGTAGATTTCGTGCTCCTCAAGACTCGCTTTCAAACCTAGCTGAGTGCCAGTCGCAGACGTTTTCTGACCAGCCATAATCCATCTTCAACTTCATCATGAGGTCAATAGCTCTCACCAACGCACACCTCGAAGAGCTCAAAGGCAAAACGGTGATTGTCACCGGTGCTGCGGGAGGCATCGGTGGTGAAACCGCAAGGACTTACCATAGCCATGGATCGAATGTGGTATTGGCAGACCTAGAACAAATGCGAAGCTTCGCAGAGGCCGTGATGGCTTCACTCTCTGAGCCGTCACGGGCGATGTTCGTTCCTGTAGACATTTTGGACTGGGCTCAGATGACCTCCTTGTTTCGGTCGACGAAAGAGAGATTCGGCAGCGTCGATGTTGTGGTCGCCAATGCAGGGGTTATGGAATCTAGACCAGTCCTGGAGAGTAACGAAGTTGACGAAAATGGCGACTTGAAGGAGCCCGCAGAGGCATACAAGGTCATTGACATTAATCTCAAGGGAACCTTGAATAGTAAGTCTGAATGCTGCTGGGGCCATGCCGCGCTAATCCTGTGTAGCTTTGCGCCTTGCCCTTTTCCACATGGCAAAAAATGAGCCCAAGTTTCCGGACGGTTCACGCGGCTCTGTGGTCCTTGTTACCTCGACTTCTGGATACTTTGGAGGAACGGGTGTCGCAGCATACGTTTCATCGAAGCATGGAGCCACCGGACTTTTGCGAGCATCTCAGGTAGCAGCGAATAAAGTCCAAATCCGCGTCAACGGCATAGCACCCAGCTTTACAGCCACGAGACTCACCGAAAACTTTGCAAAAGCGTGGTATGAAGCTGGTTTTGAGCACAACACTCCCCATCATGTGGCTCATGTGATCGCTCAAATGTCGGTCGACCCTAGCCGACGAGGTGCCTGCTGTTTGGTATGTCCACAATCACCGACTGCTTGATCAAAAGAGACGCGGCTGAACCTCTGTGTGTAGGTTGCTGGTAGGATACTGCGGGAAATGGAACATTCGAGGACAGATTTACTCTCAGAATGGCTCGGTGATGAGCTTGTTCAATTCATGAACAATGTAGGAGGACTACTTGCCGGTATGGGAGGGCTGCCACTACCGAAGCTACCGGCTCTCCAGCAAGAGCCCAGAAGGTCGTCCCGTACATCGATGAATCAGGCTTCAGGGCTCAGAAATTCAGGCAAGGCTAGCATGTAATGCGCTCGGGGCAGATTCGAGGTTGGTTCCAACTTGGACGGGGGAGGCTGAGGCTTGATCTTGTTGCTCTGTAAGGCATGGGCACTTCAGAAGGGCTTGAGAACATCTTTATTTGGAAGTTTCCATTCGTGTAGGGCGAATCGTCCAATATTGACTGATCGTCTACTAGGTAGGAAAGAGTTAAATAGAGGCGGCGATCTTTTGTTGGTGAAAATACAGGAGTCGGATTAGGCATTCCTGTACCTCAATATGCTGGCAGAAAATGTGCAGTGCGCCTCGGCTAAAGCGGCCTTCGCTCACTCTCCAGGATCGAGCCATTCTTGGGGAATAAGGTTTTTTGTTCGCGGGTGATCTGGGTAGAGACAGTGCAGGGCTTGGATAACCCGTAATGTGGGGTCACGGCAGGGAGTATGGAGTATGGAGCAGTCTCTCAAGCAAGTCCAAAGCTAAACAACGCGGGGTCCCCCAGAGCCAAAGCTCGGCATCTTTGGGGTCCTCAGGGGCTTCCGTGCAAAGCCCAAAGCTGACTTCCTTCCTTTATCCTTACTCCTTCGTCTCCATGTCTCCAGACAGCTTTAATTCCAGTAGTGCAAGGATCCAGGCAACTGGCGTGCCTCTATCTAGAGGAAGCGAGTACGATGATACAAACTCCTCAGAGGAGGATGAGCACGATGCCAGGCCCACCAAGCGGCCTCGAAGTTCGATTGCGAGACAAGTGAGCTGTGTGCCATGTCCCCTATCCCAGCTTTTACTGATGCGTGTGATAGGCGTGTGAAGCTTGCAGAGCCAGAAAAACTCGCTGCGACCAAGACAAGCCATGTGGCTTGTGCAAAAGCCACGGAATTCAGTGTGTATACATGGAAAGAAAACCTACCAGGTCAGCCACTCTATTGAAGCTTCATTTTGAGACTGAAACAGCAATAGAAATGAAGCTTCCTTGAGCTTGATATTCAACCGGTTGAAACGTATTGAGACCAAGATCAGTCAACTGTCCAACCATGGGAAAAGACCAAGTGACGCCCCAAAGAATGCCCCTGCCACAATACCAGCGGTGCAAACTTCGCCCGTAGGCGACGCTGCTCAATTTTTATCTCCGCCGCACTTTGTCGAAATCCACAGAGCTATTAGTACTGTAGGTTCACCCTATGGAGATGCGAAGTTGTCTTTCAGCACCCGCCAAGTCATCCACTGGCCTGGGATTCACCCAACCAAAACCTCCGGCTCCTTCCCTTCTGCTACAGAGGGTGCGGATACTTGTCTCACGGAGACTGAATTAGACGGTTCTGCCTTTCCGGAAGATGTTGAGAATGAAAGCTTTCCAGATGACTGGCTAGCGACGTTGAGCTTGTCGACAGTCAAAGGGTTATCGAACGCCTACTTCAATACTTTCAACCGCATCTTCCCTTTCATTGATCGTGATTTCTATTTTCTCAACACCCTCTCGACCGTCGTTGGAGAAGGCTTCAACTACAGTATTGAATCGTGTCTGGTGCTGAATGTGATGGCCTTGGGTTGTCTAGGAGCTAACGCTTTTGAGGAGGGAGGGTATCACAATCAGGACGCCTTCCCAGTTGTTGGCGTCACCCAGACTTTGATGAGTCAAGACGTTCCAGGAAAAGGACTGTTTAACGAGGCGCGCCGGAGGATCGGCCTCTGCTCAGGCGCAAAGGACATTCAGGTCTCTCAGTACTACCTGACCGCGGCATTATTCTACTCTCAAGCGATGTGTCCAGTTGACCAGTGGCTGATGACAGATCGTGCCAGTACCAACAGCCTGATATTTTGGAGCCATCTCCGGAATTCTTCGGAGGAATGGGAGGCCGATATGCAGTCCCGCGTCTTTTGGTCTTCGCTACTCATGGAGACGGTAATAGTGCAGGAACTAGACTTACCAAGAAGTCGTTTGAGAGAGCTCGAGGATATCGTACCACTCCCAAAGTTCCTTCCCTACCCAAATACGAAGAAACCACAATCTGCCCGACGTGACGACTCATACTACCATTATCACTTTCTTGCTCAGATAGCCCATCGAATCCTCCTGGGTCACATTCGTGACGAAATGTACCATCTGAATCCGTCGACTCTGGTTGCAAACGAGTTACGGCACCAGCTGAACCAATGGCATACGAACTTACCGCCGGCGTTGCAGTTCGACAGCGACCAGAACCACTTCAGCAGTCCAGCCGAAGCTGTTGCGGTTTCTCTGCTTCAAACAAGACACCGCTCGGCAGTTTACCACCCTGGCCGACCCTTTTTATACAAGGCATTGGCCAATCCGGCTTCGGTGACAGATCAGGACCTGAAGTTCTGTTCAGAGGCGTTGCAAACAGCCTCCAATTGGCCTATCGCGACAGGGACGTGCAAGAACATGAGCAGCTTCTCGCCACTCAAATACTTCATGTGCCGCTCCTTTTTTGGCACCCTGCTCATCTCTCATGCGCTCAAACACTCGGGAGACGATAGACTGGTCAAGACGCTGCCAGAGCAATCAGAAGCTGCGTGCACGTATATGCTCAACTATATTGACGAATTGGCACTAATGAGCCCGTCAATTCGGAAGGATCGAGACCTCCTTTCCTCCATTTACAAGCCAGTCGAAAGTTGAAACCTTCAGCCAAACATTGTCTGTCCTGTCTGCACCAATTGCGTAGTAGGCTAGCGGGCCCTGGTAATTTGGTTTTTTGACCAAACAGGCCTTCTTAAGCCGTTGTTGCTCAATATTTCCGGAGCCGGACTAAAGAGGAGTCAGGGCGTTCTTGCTGTAGGCAAGGTCGGATCGGGCACTAGCGAGCGCTCCCCGATCGAAAGCAGGGGAGTAACACATTTGGCCGAGGTCTTAAGTAGTGTATATAGAGCATTGCGAAGGCATAATGGCATCGGGGAGACTGAAATCTGTCTCCGAAAATGTGGAACAGCTACAAAGGCTGTCTTCAAGGGCAGGGCTCTACTGGAGAATCCCCAGCTTGGGTTCAAGGTTCGTTGAGTTCGGACTATCCTCATTAGCCAGGACTCTGGACTACGTGCCATCTCTACTGAAACAAAAACGGAGACCCCAATGTCCTATGCCGAAATGCAGCAGGATGTCGGTGTCTCACGAGATCTGGCATTGGGTTTTGGTGTCTTGCCTTGCGATCCAGGGCGCTTGAGACCAGGCAGATTTTCTTATATTGAGCTTGAGAAATCCTGATGTACAATGCCACTTGCTCAAGGCGTTGTCCTCAAGCTTACAGCGAGCATTATTCAACAGGATCATCTTCGTTCTTCCAGGAAGGACCTGTGAGTCCCGATTGCGAGTACCCTTGTCTTCATACTTGGTCGAAGACATGTTGGTAGCAAAAGATGAGGCCCTTGTCGAAGCGCTATCCTCAGACACCAAGATCGATTATCCACCCCCTCCATATTATCTCTTGAACCAATACCATTCCAAACCCAGCAAAATCAGGGTCGCTGGAGCAGGAGCGGGCGCGACGGGGATATGTCTAGCGTACAAACTCGAACGACTGCTAGAGCATGGGACATTCGAACTCACTCTCTACGAGAAGAACCCACACTTTGGAGGCACCTGGTGGGAAAATACGTACCCTGGAGTTGCTTGCGACATTCCTGCTCCGATGTACACCTACTCGTTTGATCCGAACCCGAATTGGTCTCATTACTTCGCTTATGGATCTGAGATCCAAGAATACTTTGAAGATTTCGTAAGGCGATATGGTCGGTTAGCTGAAAATCCATTGGTCGTCGGTGTTGAATGATCAAAAGGTCGTCCCCCGTTATTCAGTATGGGGACTACGGTAGACTATATAGACAGTACTGGGTGGCTGGGTCGGATCACGTGACTTGCCAACCTTTTTAGTTTAATAGTCGGTACAACTGACTTCGATTGCAGGTATAGAGAAGTACATGAAGTTGAGCACCAAAGTGGTTGAGATCAATTGGGATGCAAACCAAGGCATATGGAACATGTAAGCAGCGACCCCCGCTGGATAGCAATTGTGATTGACGATTTCAGCGTGGTCGAGGATCAGATTACAAAAGAGATACGGCATGACTGGGCGCACGTGTTCGTCAATGGAACAGGACTTCTCAACACCTGGAAGTGGCCTGAGATTGACGGCCTGTTCAATTTTAAAGGTGACTTAATGCATTCGGCGAAATGGAACCACGACGTAAACTTCGACAACAAAACTATCGGAGTCATAGGCACTGGCAGCACCTCCGTGCAGATAATCCCACAATTGCAGAAGGTAGCCAGGAAGGTCAAAGTATTCATGAGGAGTCCAACTTGGATCAGCCCGCCTTTCGGCACAGGTAAGTATTCTGCCCAGCACATTTCCTCGATCCAAGATTAACTTCGTTTCCTAGGGCCTCTCAGCGCTTTACGGAAGGGTGAGGAGGTGAGTCTTAGTACGAGGCAATATAAATTCAAAGAAGAGGATAAGCAACGCTTCCGCGACGACCCCCAGTACTTTTTGCAATTCCGCAGAGAGATCGAGGCCGAGATCAACGTCATGTTTGAGATGTATCACCAAGGTTCGGAAGTGTCCGAAAATGTGAAGAAGCTCATCGGTGAGGAGATGCGTCGGCGGATCGGACCCGGACAGGAGAAGCTCCTGGACTTCATCATACCGAAATGGTCTCCTGGCTGTCGAAGAGTCTCCGCCTGCAGATGGGTACCTCGAGGCCTTGGTCTCACCGAACGTCGAACCTGTCTACGGGGAGGTTGACCACATTTCAGAGAAGGGGGTCGTTGTGGATGGCCGAGAACATGAGATGGACATCTTGGTGTGCGCGACAGGTTTCCACCCTGCTTTCAAACCTCCGTTCAAAGTGTGTCGTCCCACCGTCGAGGAAAAGGAACTTGAGCTAACACGTTGGCTTGCCAGGTCTTCAATGGCAAGACGACTCTGGCCAATGATTGGGGCGACGGATGCAATTTGTATCTGGGCATTGCGGCACCTCGGTTTCCAAACTACTTCACCATCGCGGTGAGTCACAGCCACTGACAGAGCCAAGCAACCCCCATAAATGGCCTACTCACTGATATTTGCAGGGGCCCGGCTCTACTTGGAGTAATGGCAGTCTGATACCTGGAATCGAAACATCGATCGAATACGTCATCAAGCTAATGAGCAAGATCCAGAAAGAGGGGGTACTGTCGATTGCTGTGAAACAAGATGCGACGGATGACCTGTATCAGCATTTCGATGAGTTCCACAAGCATACCGTGTGGCAAGAAGAATGCCGAAGCTGGTATAAGAATGGCAAACTGAAGAACAGGATCTACTTGTGGCCTGGGCCGGTACGGGTTTGGCAATGGCCCATGAAGACGAATGGACTAACGTTTTGCAGACGATCCACTACCTGAAAACAATCAAAGAGCCGAGAGTCGAAGACTATGAATTCAAGTACAGATACGGGAATCGGTTTGCTTTCCTGGGCAATGGGACCGTAAAAGCGATGTTGACGAAAGACGTTGACGGTCTCAGGCCGTACGTTCGCAACTCGGACACTGAATGGGATATTGAATAGACACCCACCCTCCATAACCATATACAGGTTGAACAACTCAAGTCTGTTAGGTCTATGTATTTATTGCAGATAAAAGTGCCTCCGTAAGTGCAAGGGCTAAAGTTTGAGGAGGTATATGCCACGTAACAATTCACCAGTCTGGACTCTGTAGTCCTTTCTGCAATCGTATTGCCTGTCTATAATGATAGAGAGTTTCTCCACTTCCTCCCCCGCCCCAACAACCAAAAAACCACTCACGCAAAAGATGTCGGAGATACGTGTAGACCTTAGATCTTCCAATCACCAAGGTCTCCACGACTCTCGTCCTAGTTCTTCCCAGACGAGCCAAAGTCCGGAATGTCTTCCATCTCAGTTCCATATGCTTAACGAATGACATACTGGACCTGCTCAAGAGTGCTTGCCGCCAGGAATGGTTGGTCTCCTTTGCCCATGACCTTATCCCAGTTTTGCAGAAACTGTTCGGGTGTTTTCGCCTTCAGACCAGGAAATGTAGCCATTGCCTCTCGCGCAGCTCTGTCTGCGCCTGTGGAGAAACTTCTCCAGAGCACGGACAGTCTTCGGAGCAGAGAGCGACAGTGAATGGCACACAGCCCTGTCGGATGAGTTTGATGTTCAGCACAATTTTCCAATAAAAGACAAGAAAGAGAGTGTTCATTAAGAATGGGGATTCTGGTAGAGGTCTCGATATAGATCATGGACAGGGAACATACCTCTGCTGGAAAGTAAGTTCGAGTAACATACTTGGTCCCTTCGGATATGTCTCCCATTCTCGACGCGGCAGATGGCATGGTGCAGTTGATCTTGATACCGTCCCGCTCTGACCATCGCCCCAGCTGCCTAGTCATCGCAAACGCGGCTGCTTTGGCAGCACCATACGCGCAATCTCCCGCTGAACCCAGGCCATACATCGCATTTGAAGAAGTGTTGACGATTCTACCGTACTTTTGCTCCGCCATGATCGAGTAGACGGCGCTGGTGAGCATGGCTGTCCCAAGGACAGAGGTTTCCAAGTCACGCATAAAGGCAGAGGGATCCACGTTGTCATGCGGCGATATCTTGCCTGTGATGCCTGCGTTGTTGATCAGAATATGGACTGTACCGAACTCCCGCACCGCTGTATCGACAACGTCCTTGTAATCCTTCGAAACGTCCCCACTGTGTGCCACGGCGATTCCTCCCTTAGCTACGATTTCATCGACGACAGCCTGTGCGACAGCGATAGTGCCAGGTCGGTCCTCGAGGTCGCCGCCATAGTCGTTGACCAAAACCTTGGCGCCTCTTTCAGCCAGAACCAGAGCATACAGTCTTCCCAGCCCGCGGCCCGCTCCGGTCACAATTGCAACTCTGCCGGCTACAGACATTGGTGTTGTGGTTTGAAGTGTGATGGCGGACACAGTCTTCAGGTGTCCAGACATATCAGATGATGTTGAAATTTGTCTAACTGGTCGAGACAACATCTGTTCTGTCAATTGGACGAGCTTTCCGACACTAACCGCGTGAGTCTTTCCAGCATTTCTAGTCATTAACGTGCTTCGGTTTCTGGTTAAATGGCAAGCCGAAGGCTGAAGACCGATAACAAATGCATACAGGAATTTTCAGTGGTAGCAGTAGCAGGACCCGGGATTCGTTCGTCGGCATCTCATGGTGGGAGCTTTGGCGTCGAAAGGCACGCGGCTTTCTGCAAGCCGTCGAGGCTCACCATGAGCATGTGAAGCTCGGTCTTGAACCCTTGTGAGCAAAGTCCGAGATACATTTCGAATGACGGGTTTTCGGAGCAGCCTGGTATTCTTCCAGTCTCCACATTAATTGCAGGGTTCGGGGAAGCTAGATTACCCCCAATCAGTTAAAGCTCTTGCCAACCCCCAAAATAGGTTAAGCATGGTAAAGCTAAGCGATGACTCAGCTAATGAGAAAATCACATTTGGTCTCAGGTACCTATTAGCTCAAAGAAGTAATTCGTGCTGTCGGACTTCGAGGCTACGGCCGATGAACTCGAACAATATACTGCTCTCCTCGGAGGTTCGATTAATATCTTGCAGAATTTGGTACGGTTCATACAGTTTAAACAACATGAGAGTTTTCCCGCCCATGACTAGGAAACCAAAATAGGCGTGCCCAAGGCTGACTACCGAGTACCTGTGAACAGATCTGTGGATATCCCGGCTCATTAAAAGCTCAGCACACATTATATCTGCAAAACAAGGCTTGCAAATTGGTTGATGCCTTCTTCCGTCTGCTCAGAGTCTTGACCGCCCCTGCTGCGACAACATACACAGAGACGACGAGCTCGACAAAACAAGCTGACAGGGCGGAAAGTCGATCAAAAACCATGACTACTCAAGAGTCAAAAGCCAACAACGGCTTCTCGGCAGTGCTTGACTTCTCCAAATTCCCTACTCCCCCAAATTCCATCAACAAGTATGAAGCTCGAACGTATCTGAAAGGTCGACTCGCCCTAGCTTTCCGTCTCTTCGCCAAATGCGGCTTCGATGAAGGAGTGGCCGGCCACATTACGCTGCGTGACCCAGTCAGCCCAGACCATTTTTGGGTGAATCCATTTGGCCTTGCTTTCAGCGAGATAAAAAGCTCCGATCTTATCCTTATTGCTCCGCAAGGCCAGATTGTGGATGGGGGACCAAATCGCCTTCTCAATCAAGCTGCATATATGATTCACCACGCTGTTCATACAGCTCGACCGGACGTTATCTGTGTAGCGCATGCTCATAGTATATACGGTCGGTCATTCTGCGCCCTCGGCCGCGAACTTGACATTATAAGCCAAGACGCTTGCGCCTTCTACAATGATCACGCTGTATATAGGCAGTTTAACGGCATTGTGCTGGCAGAAGAAGAGGGTCGGAATATTGCCAAAGCCATCGGCAAAGGAAAAGCGTGTCTGTTGCAGAACCATGGGTTATTGACCTGTGGACAGACGATTGAAGCTGCAATTTACTGGTTTGTCAGTCTCGAGAAATGCTGCCGTACTCAACTTTTGGCCGATGCTGCCGCTGGAAGCCGAGGGGAATCTACCATCAAAGATCGAGGAAGAGGACGCTGCATTCACTTATAAATGCGTTGGCACGCCCAGAGCTGGATGGTTTGCGGCCACTGCCATGTTTGATGTCATGGCAAAAGAAGTTGGTCGAGAATACTTGCAATAAGCAAACGGATTTGCGAACACGAAAACGGGGATTGAAATGTTATATCCAATTTTTCAGGTGCCTAAATTCACGATTCCTGTTGAAGCCATGTGCCTCAATGCTATTTTCCTGGTATTCCTCTCCTCGCTGCACCGAGTCATCATTCGCTGCTATCCTCTAGGTTCACAACTGCTCCCTGGATTCGTGTCTGCTTATGCCATGTGTCCGTAATTGCCAGTTGCCTTGCTTGTCGATGCTATACTGACCAGCACTCTCACATAATGCAATCACGCAGTGGAGTCACTGTCGACGGCTTCTATGGAGTCATTCCGCCATCAATGGTGTAGACCGCCCCCGTCGTGTAGGCAGCATCGTCGCTCAAGAGGTAGGCAATCAACTTTGCAACTTCTAGTGGCGTGCCCATACGGTTGATCGGGGACATTCCTTCCCCACTGACCGCACCTCCCGCCTCTTTCGCTATATCGAGCATCTTAGTGTCGATGGCTCCGCTGCGTAGAGAAATGAGTCCAGTCGCTCCAGTGGAGAATGGTAGATGAATGACTCACGGTGCAATTGCGTTCACCCTGACATGGCGATAGCCATTCTCAGCTGCAGCGACTCTGGTCAACCCGATAACGGCATGCTTACTGGCGACGTATGATAGAGCTTTCGGGATACCCATCTTGCCCGAGACACTGGCTGCGTTGACAATGGAGCCCCCATCCTCTATTGACCGCAGTTGGGCACGCTGACATGCCATGAGCCCTCTCACATTAATCGCCATGACGTGGTCGAAGTCAGCATCAGAGACTTCGCGAGCTGATTTCAGCCCAAACTCACTACCGATCGTTCCAGCCAAGTTTACAGCCCCGGATAGTTTGGAGAAGTGTTGTATAGTCGAGGAAATCCAGTCGTTGACCTGTTCCGAGTTTGAGATATCAACTTTTGTCGTTATCACGTCACTCTTGTATTTTGAACGAATCTCTTCGGCCAAGTGGCCTAGAGCCTTGATGTCCGTGTCGGCCAAGGAGAGGCTAGCCCCTCTAGAGGCCAAGAGAGCTGCTGTCGCTGAGCTGATACCTCCTGCCGCCCCGGTTACGGCGATGACCTTCTCTTCGAGAGACCTCATGATGTGCTTGAGAGGCAAACCCGTGCTTTAGACCGATGAGATCGAGGCTTCGACTATGTCACCGTAGCTCACAGGTTCGGAATTCCAGAACCATTCAAGCAATCGCGTTCGGAATATAGCTCAATGCTCGCAGCAGGATTTTAGACGCAGATATGTCGACTTGTCATGATCATTTCGAGATAGGGAAATTCCAGTCGCGCTATGCGGGCCACGTTGAAGTTAATACGTCTAATGTTTTTGCGGTGCGCGGAAAACACCTAAAAGAAGTCCGCAAGGTGAAATCGGAGCGCATTGGAAGCCGCCCCGACAAAGTTTCGGCGTATCCAAATGAAGAGTAGGTCGAAGTCTGGACAGAAAAGGAGTCTCTGCATTCCCCATGGGTCGCTGTCAACGTCCGGGGAAAGCATTGTGCTCCCCAGGCTAAAATCCACTTGCGGTCTCGCCAGTCTGAGGGTTAACAAGTCTAGCACCCAAGGAATCGTTGCCTGATCTGACTTCTGTGGATTAATAAATGTACAGAGCATTCATCCAAGTCCATCCCCATGATTCTTCAACATCCAAGATCCCGGGACAGACGTCGGCCCGCCGCGAGATTCGCAGTGTCCAAGCATAATTGATCGCCATGGCATACACTCTTGAGGAAGGCACGAATCGTCAGCATGTCTTCACAGCGTACATCGGTTTTATGTTGTTGATCCTCGGCAGCGGATCGATCAGCTATGGATATACAGCAGCAATCATCGGCACCACACTTGGTAAGCGATGTCTTATCACACTACACCGCAAGAGTTTTCGACCTCGTGCTAATCCCAAGACTGCAGGTCAACCGTCCTTCATCAACTACTTTGACCTAGCAACACGTTCCAACGCCAGTGCGCTTATCGGCTCGTTGAACGGAGTTTTCCAGGCTGGAGGCGTTATTGGCACGCTCTTGCTGCCGATGATAGCTGACAGATACGGCCGGAGAATGGCTTGCATTGTGGTAGGTTTTCCTCTTTGTCCGAGGCGCGCTGGGCTACTTGACTGATCCTCGCATGCAGCCATCCATCATCATCATCATCATCTCCCAAGCCCTTCTTGCCGGTTCGGTGGACGTTGCTATGTTTATCGTGTTCCGTTTATTTGCAGGCTTTGGTTGTTATGCGACCGCAGCCATAGTGCCCCTCATGATGAGTGAGATTGTCCCCCCTCGGTTTCGTGGTGCTTGTGTGGACGTGATGGGGGTTGGGCTCAACGTGGGATACGCCACGGCAGGATGGTTAGGCTACGGCTTCTCGTTCTGGAACGGCAAGGGGAGTGGGAATGCCTGGCACGTACCTCTGGCACTTGGTTGCTTCTTCCCCTTGGTTTTCCTCACAGGTATATCCTTCCTGCCGGAGAGTCCCAGCTGGCTCTGCATGAAAGGCTGCGAGAACGAAGCAGAGGAGGTACTCAAATGTCTGCACAAGCACCATTCCGATCCAGCGGGCGATCTTGCTCGTGCCGAATTCTTCCAAGTTCGAGAACAACTTGAACTAGATAGCCGCTTGGACAACTCCTGGTACCGGCTCTTCACGAAGCCTTCATACCGGAAACGAGCCGGGCTCGCAATGCTGACCATGTTCACTACGCAAACTTCAGGTGTACTCCTTATCACCAGTAAGTCACAAGTCGGCCCTCAAGGCCCCGGCAATTCTTCTGACCATGATGCCTGCAGACTATGCACCCTTGATTTTCTCGACGATGGGCTTGGACACGCATGGGCAACTATTGATCCTTGCACTACTTGTCACCATTGGAATCGTCGAAAATGCACTTGCCATGCTGTTGGTTGATCGTTTCCCACGACCCAAGTACATGGCAGTCGGCATGATGGGCTGTGTAGCGGCATTTGCCACAGAGGCAGGCTTGGTGGCTCAATACGCCGGCTCCAACAACGGCAATGCGCTCAGAGCCGGTATCGCCATGATGTTCGTATTTGGCGTCTTCTACAGTTTCGGTATCGACGGTCCACAATTCTGTTACTTGACGGAGATTTTCCCATCCCACCTTCGCGCCAAGGGTGTCAGTCTCGGTGTTGCTACATTTTCTTTGACCAACATCATCTGGCTCCAAGCTGCACCGACTGCCTTTGCCAACATCGGCTGGAAGTTTTACCTCTGTCTGGTTATTCCAAGTTTCTTCTTGGCGCTCATCATGTGGTTTTGCTATCCGGACACCCGTGGAAAGCCATTGGAGGAGATTGCTGCCGTATTTGGGGATGATGACGAAGTTGCTGTGCGTCAGGCCGACGTTGAGATCGACATGGTCACGCATGAGATTCATGCCAAAGGAGGCAGGGCTGCCTTGACTATCGAAGATACTTCAGCCGTTCATTACGATGGTGAAAAATAGGGAGATGATGATCGTCGGGGGCAGGATTCGCTTCAGTCATCCCCGGCCCCCAGGATATATTAGTGTGTGAAACATGCTTCCATGGGCGAGTGTACCTTGATTTCACGTTGGTGGCATGAAAGGAGGGGTTTTGCTCGCTCAATATCTGACCAAACAATCAAAATCCTTCACAGCACACCCTTATAAGTTGAAGAAGGTGAGAGGTTTGCTGATTGATCCCTAAAGTACGTTACGAGCTAGATTTCTCGAAGAGCTACTCGTAATGATCTATAGCGACCTCAACAAATAAAACAAGACAGTCTCAGCCTTCCACAGCCTCCTTAAAGTCCTCCAAAAATCTCCAATACATTTTCTCACGCCACCCTTTCGTCTGCCAGTCGTTTACGTCAGCGGGGAACATGTCCACAATGCCCTGGATATTCTTATCGTGTGCGTAGATGAACAAGACATTATCGTTGGCGTCCGGAACCTGGACCTGGGTGATAGTCTCCATGGCTAGTGGAATATCGGCGCCAAAAGTTGGCTCAAAGAAGGGCTGATCCAGCCCTCTCCCTCGCTTTTCCTGCAAGGCCTCAAACACGGAGCCCGGACAGAAACCGCCTTGAAAATGGCGGAAAGCGTCGAGATGGACTTCCGCTGGTAAGGTTTTGTATCTGGAGGGACGGACGCTGTGGTGGCAAAGGTCGCCACCCATCATGATGAATGTGTCGGCTGTGGTCCGGGCAAGGCCTGCTAAATGTCCTGTCGCGTGTCCCGGTGTGTCGAGCAGGTAGAATGAGCCGTCGCTGAAGAGATCAAAGGCGCGGAATTGGCCGATTTGGAGAGCCCCTTGAGACTCTTGGAAAGTGATCTCGCGGAGCTGACGGCCTCTACAACAAGAAGAGCATCGGTGAGCGTAGAATTTTGCGACTCGGTGAGAGGACCTGTTTGTCGGTACGGGGTGGTGCTTACTTGAAATCGCTCTCTCTTACTGGAGAGTCTTGCCTGGCCGGGTAGCCGGGCAGGAATTCATCCTTGAAACCTGGACCGACCACGAGCTGGGCGTGCAGTGGAAATGTGGAAGGGTCCCCTATGTGATCCCAGTGCCAGTGGCTTGATAGGACAAGAATGTTATCAAGAAGGTGTGCATTGTTTGAGAGAGCAAAAAGAAGGAGAAAAGCTAGGCTATATGTACAACGAGCGACTTACCTCCATACGATGTCGGTAATTGAGGCAGGGTTAACGCCTTCATTCTTTAAGATATCTGCCACGTGTTTTTGCGACGAAATCTGCCAGCCCCAGGCGTCCGTTTTGAGGAACCGTGTAACCGCAGGCGAGAAGTCCTCAAAATTAGGTGGGACACCCAAGTCAAAGAGGGCTTTGCGACCGTTTGTGCTCTCCACCAGGAATGACCAGGCCAGAATGTCGGGCATCACGTACATGCCGGGCATTGGTGGGCCCATGACATGATGTGTCTCGAGAGTCTTGATGCTTGTCGTTGTGTCAATGATGCGCACGCGAGCAACATTGCCTGGCGGGATGTCGAATTTTTCTGCGGTGACCATCTTCACTTCTGTTAAGGAATCAGACGATAGAGTGGTTGGCAGTGTCCTACATTGGAAAATCAAGTCGGGAGGCTTTATTCAATTTGTCTCAAAGTCAAGTCATATCTGAATGTGCAATATCCCAATGTGCCTCGCGTCGGCAGAGTGTTCCTTCTTGAACGCCTCGGAGAGCTACACAGTCTCCGACAACGACCCCACCAGAACAGAACCAGAATAAAGTCTCTTCAAAATCGATGCGGATGATTACTTACGCACTAAGGCATGCAAGCCATGGCAACTCCAGTTCGACGACAACGGAGGTGCAACAAACGCGTTAGGGGAGAAATAGATAGATCGATCAAGAGTGCAGATACCTCAGAATAGCCTTTATTGACATACTATAAAATATGTGTATAACTAGGCAGAATTTCGTCCAGAACTCAACGCGATGGACACGGTTGAACAGGTCAAGAGAGGTCAATCAATGCGATGACATTACGTAATCAACTTGACACTTCATCACTCTCGCTGTCGCCCCCAACGCCACCGACGGTAGAATGTGCCTAAGCTGGGGTTCAATTGAGGTCTGGCAAAGGGAGGTTGGTGCCCAACTCAAGTTTTATTTACCCAAGCTGTTGTAAATCATTACAGCCGGATGCTCTAGTTATTTACAATGCGAAGGTGTGAACCCGTTTTCTTTTTTTCCACGAAACCGATATGGATTCTTGGAGGGATCAACTTATCGAAACCTACGACAGGCATCGTGGGGGCATTGCAAGACTCGAGAGCGACCGAAACCTTCCTCTCAGTTATCAGCACAGCCTCATCGGGGCTCCAACTAATGCTGGGACTTCTGAGGACCTGCCGTGCTCAAATTCCGCACCAGATCGTGAGCCTTGTTGGCTGGAACCTCCATGGCTCGAGCCCGAGCGCTTCTCTCCGTATTGCTTTCTGCTTCTCGTGGGGAAAGTCTGTGTCGAGGCAAAAGTTATTGAATGCCGGCGTCGAGATTGTCTATTGATGAAGCAGAAGATGCGGGAAAGCGCACCTGAATGTCGTTGGATGCATTTCCGTGAGTGGGCCATCCAGGCAATGGCGTGCCAACAAAACTTCACACCAGAAGAAAGATTGTCTGTGGCGCACACCCATTTGGTGAATTGCGTCTTTGCCTGTTATCGACTGGTGAAGTTGTTTCCTAGTCTGCGGCCATCATATCTCTGGGTGCCGCCTCCGATGATGCAGGAAATGCACGAACCTGGGACAATGTTGGTGGAGGTCTGCAATATTATTTTCTGGATGCTTAACATTCAAGTGGAAATGGGCCTCTCTCCGACCAATTACACTGGATGGGGTCCTCGATTTCTACAAGAAGCCATCACCCTGCCAGTGGTTAGCAAAGCCGAACAAGATCTCAGTCACATGGACATCTGCAAGACGCAGATCTGGAACTTGATCGGGACATCAGAGCGGAAAGAATGTGACCTCCCAGACATCGTGACGACTTTGGAAGTCCTTTCATCCATCCGTCACCCTAACCACCATCACTGTACACCGGCCATGTGCATGGTTCAAAGGCTCAGCAGTACTCATCTGAAGCAACAGTGTAAATGCTTCCAAGAAAATTGCGAGCAGCTGACGATTGTGATTGGGCCTCTCTCAAATGCAGTCCGCTCAGGTACGCCGACGGCATGGTTACTTGATGGAACTCGGCTCACCCGGCGTGACGAGCCATACCTAGCTCTCTCCCATGTGTGGTCAGACGGCACTGGTGACGGGACGAAGCAACAAGGCACCGTGAACAGATGCCTTTTCAAGTACTTTGCTAGAATCGCTGCTAGATTGAAGTGTACTGGCATCTGGTGGGACACACTCTCGCTGCCCAAGGACGAGGATGTGAGGAGCGAAGCTCTTAAAAGCATGCATACCAATTACGCTCAAGCCGAGTGCACGGTGGTTCACAACGACTTTCTTCTCAACCAAGAGTTCAAGAACAGTGAAAACGCCTGTCTCGCCCTTGTCCTATCCCCATGGTTCACTCGCGGCTGGACGGCTTTGGAGCTCGCCATGTCCAAGAATGTCAAGGTACTATTCAAGGGATCTACCTCCAATGACCCAGACATTAGAGATCTCAGCAACGAGATCCTGGCCAGCGGACCGGCCACTGTCTCACGTGCGCACTGGCTAGCCACCTGTGCAATCAAGCGAATTATTCGTATCAACGATCTGACCGAAGTCATCGCGATTCTCAGTCAAAGATACACTTCGTGGGAGGAAGACCGTGTCAAGATCGCGTCTCTGCTGGCGGGTGTGGGCGAACCTGATTTCCGCGGTACCGCCAGCGAGATTACGCAGAGACTAATTCACCACTTCGGCCGTGTTCCATACTCGGTCGTTCTTCATGACCATCCTACCATGACGGAAGCCGGTGGCTTTTCCTGGTGTCCGCCTCGTGTAGATGAGATGCCGATCGATGTCCGACGCGATCTCGACCTTGATGACGACGAAGAGGGCGATCTCACCGTCGAGCCTGACGGATCCGTCACCGGCATATGGCTGACCCGACCAGTGAGCATAATCGACATTATGGAAAAAAGACTTCAACCTCGCAGCAAAGATCCGGCCGTCATCCAGAAGATCCAAACCGCACTGGAGAGCTGGGGCCAATGCCTCATCCTCTATCAGGACGTCCAATTAGACAGACAAGCCCTGCTGGTCAAAACCATCGAGGTGAGTCCAGGCGATGGCGTGATTGATTGCCAGTATGTCGGAGTGATAGTTGACGCAAAGGCTGAGCCAAAGCACGACAACACCGGCATTGCGAATTGGTTGGATGCAGTCATGCCGGATGGCGAAAAGGAGTTGGGAAATCGGTACTGTCCTTTTCCCATTCGACTGGGGAAGAATTTTAGTATTACTGGCGGAAATAGAAGAAAAGAGAAGGGGGATGGGGATGACGATGACAGCCATGCTTGGAAAATCCTCAATGAAGCGCAGAAGATCAGGCTTTGAGGTTCTCTAGCCTCATCCTCTAACAGTATATCTCCCGTACTAGTATGCTTGAACAGGCAGAAGGTTCCCATAGGGATTCTTTGCGCTACGGGATTGAAGTTGGCCCTTCAAGGTGGGAAGGCAATTAAACAGCCTGGAACTGGGATTTTCCGAGCATAGGAAAGGCCTGAGTTGGAAGCTCGAGGGTCAGGTTATAGACCCTCGCGCATTCGCATGTCTGGAAATGGATATATAGGTTTAACAGAGGCCACGATTCCGCACCGAGTATTACAGAGTTCAGCCCGTGACGCCTGACGTTTATCAAAAAGAAGCCGAAGTCCATACACTACTATCACGTATGCATAGAGATCTCGATACTCGTCCAAACTAGACGGGAGGATCCTACAACAAAGTCGACAGAGAGTTAACTAATTATTACTTGGGTAGTTCTCATTGGAGGCTTGACCACGTTCAAGAGCTTGATGCCACAACAAGATTTGCTACGAGACCCTGGATTCTCGGCCGATGCTGAAAGAATGAATCAAAGTCCAAGAACATAATGAGCCTCACTACCATTTTTACTCCCTGGGTAGCCTGTCACGGTCGTGCAAGGTTCGGAGATCCCATTTCGCTAAGAACGGTTTGTGATAGGGTTGATCATTCCCTCATGTCCAGAGTCCCATCGACAAGCAAGAATTCCACGGAACGTTTCAGTCATTACTCTGCTGAAATTTCAACTCGACGCCAATGAAATCCCCCTTCGGAATTGCCGTGCTGTGTGGCCGTCCTCAGCATCGTGCGACCACACTGTGAATACGAACTTTACGACATTTGCAAGTGCTGACAATCATACCACAAACTATTTGCATGCATAGATCGAACCACGGCCAGCCTACCGGCGGACGAGTGTACGAATTGCATCCTCTACGCGTTCGCTGGAATTTTCAGAGTCTCTAGCTGTCAAACTTCAACCCGAAGGTGGATGATATCGCCGACAGTCCTGCGGCGGGAAGGGAGCCATTTAGTCCCGGTGCCAACGCCGAAAAGGCATGAGTGCTTTCCATGTTGAACCCACCACACCTCCTGCTGTTGCGTGGAATTGGCGAGAGATACTTCCACGAAACATCGCATTGTGGATCATACGCCAGATTCCCTTTCCCATCATGAAGAGGAGGGCACATATCACTGGAGCAAACGGTGGGAACTTGCTGTTGCGTACTCTGTAAAAGATCGCTTCAGATGAGACCCATTTCCATTTGATGGGGCACAGTTTTGGCTGTAGAGTCGTATTGCGATGCTGTCCGCAATTCCAGAACGGCCTGTGCACTCCCTATACTTGGGGCAGGGTGCGCTATCACATCGGTCCTACGTGGAGATTGGACGTGGTCTCCATGAGCTAGAGGGTCGTTTCCACCGAATTGTGCGCCCAAACAAGGTGACTGGCCCCATTTTGACGACTCGATCCCAGCATGACAAGGCACTGAGCTACTGGTATGTTATCGCTACACGGCCAGAGAGGGAGGATTTTAGTATCATCGAACTGCCACCACCAAGATATGGAGCTGTCGGGGTTTATGGTTTACAAGGACTGCGGAAAGCGAAAGACATATCGATGATTCCAGGAAATCAAAAATACGAGTTCATGCCCGGCGAAATATATAACCTCGACGCGAGCGAAATCGTTTGCAACAATGTCGACTTTTGGTCAGCAGCGCATAGCGACATTCTCCATAAAGAGCTTGCGGAAGTGTTCTGGGCTGCGGTAATGACTGGGCGGAAAGAGTTTATAGGTACTGTTGCCGGTAGCGTGAGACAGGGAGAACCCAAAACTGCAGTCAGGTCATCATCTTCTGACGTGACAAAGGGACCAACAGATAAAGGGGTAAGTCTACTCCGTACAGGAGGCGCAAGGCTGACAGCTACTCCGTATCTAATGTGGGGTACAGAGTAGAGATTGAGGAAGCAGTGTTGTTACCGATTACTAAGTACTCGGTAAGTTGATTCAAATCTACGAGGTAATTAGGCCTATGCTATTTAATCTTGGCACCGCGGCAATCTGTCACCTTATTCAAACTCTCATGCCACTCAAGATAGATTTCTCAAACAGTCAATCAACGTATTTACCTGGACCGCAGATTGGTGCAACAAGCAGCGTCCAGGGGGGACTTGGGGGTCTTTGCTGCAGGATGATCTGAAGATAATGCTAGTTGAGCGGTAAGTATCCTCGATCGTTAGGGGAGCAGGATTGATCGTACTTCGGTCCTTATAGAGAACCGAGCGAAGTCATCCATTAGGCAACCGAAACCGTCGTAATACCCTCCGAGAATGGCCCAAAGAACAAGACATCTGAAGGAAATGCGGGCACCAATGAACTCGGCAATCTCATCTACCGACATGGACGGCCTGCGCGACTGATCACAGAAACATTCATTTCTGAGCAGAGAAACTGCAATTGAAAGACTAGCAGCCCGCCCGACCATGTCATGCCAGAGAGCCATTCGTAGTAAAAGAGATTCAGGACGAGGTCGAGACTGCGAACTTTAGGGCCTAGTCAATTCGGTTTTCTGTCCCAACCCAATTCAACTTCGGCAGCCGATACTTTTGGTGCAGGGCTGGAGCTTCTCCAAAGGCTGTGTCGGCTTCAATTGCCATCTATCTAAGTTATTGACAGCTGTATACCATCCACTCAAGGCACCGAATCCGAATCCCCTGGGGTCAAGCGCCACGCGTCACAAATCGCTCTCGGATTGAACAACGAAAGGATCGGCCTCCGAGTTCTTCTCCAGAACTAGGATCCCCCACCGGGCTTTGTGGTCTCGATCCGTCCCAGTCTTGATCAAAGCTTGACAGCTTTCCGACAGTACAAGTCCTCTTGCCTTTGCGGCCACAGGTGATACCAAGGTATTCCGATCGTAGACCGAGTGTTTGCGTGTTCACCGACCGCTCCATGCCATCCTCCCTTGCTCAGATTTGTGCTGTCATCCAAGCCACTTTACGCCCTACGCTGCCTCCTGGACTAGTTCTCCGGCTTGTTGGGACAGGGGAAGAGTGCGGATTTGCACATCATCGGACACAGCGGTCATCGACTCCGAACGGCGTTATCCCAGAAATGTGGTCGGTAAAGACACAGCCAGACTCATGCTTATGGACATTGGTTGATTTCATATTGGCCATTGGCCCTATATTCTCCGTAACCCGATGACGCACATGTCGACTTAAGAGTGGCTCCAAGGTGCTAGTGTGCCCGGGATCGCACCAAATCCCCATTACCTCCATTCACCTCTTCCAAACATAGATCGCCACGACGAGTGTATCTAGGCCCCTTCCTTTGGCGGCTTAGGCCGCCTGTTCTATCATCTCTGAATGGATCGCGGCCAACTCAGGAACAATCAAACTCTCGATTTCCATGCCCTCCGTCACGGTACCTCCATCTAGATCGTGTGGTTCCGGTCCATGCTTTCGCTCTGCTTTGCCCACCAACGCTTCCACTCCTGAAAAGCTCTTGGACCGCCTCGTCTTGGGGACTCGGATCCATCTCTCTCCACCATCGCGAGTGATGAAAACAACTTCCCACTTGCGGGTCGTGAGCAGATTGCCAATCACGAGGTCGTGTTGATAACGTTCCAAAGCCTGTTCGGCCTTGGCTACAAGAAGGTCCGGGTCCGTCTCGAGCTTGAAGCTCACGATCATGCTACCTTTTGGAGCCCAGGAATGCACCAGATTTGTGAGGAACTTTGGGACCGGGTCCAAATTGATTACCAGCTGACGACTGTTTCCTCCTTCACGAGACTGGATCTTGTGCTCCTCCATCCGATTTCTCGGGATGAAGAAGTCAGAGACCGCCGCAGCCAAGTAGAAAAGCGCCCGGCTCCCAAGCGGGCGCATAATCACAGCAAGGCTGCGAAGCTCGAACATGTATTCTGTGACTGTGGTGAAAGGTAAAAGTAAGAGCAGCCGACTATGCTTTGCGTGCTGGTACTGCCTCAAGACTCGGCGCATCTTCTCTTGATATTCTTTTCGGACAACAACCCGTTCGCCATCTTCAGATTCCTCCATGAAATCCAGGAAGCAGTTGGTACTGTGGCTGTAGTGTCGAGAGTAAGGCAAGAGACTGAACTGCCGATGTAAGAAGATGACGGCATAGCCTTCTTGCAGAAAATATTCTGCGGAAGTGGCTCCTCGAGTACCGGCGGAGAAGTTGTCAATGAAGCGCACTGTTTGATTTTCCAGAGGGACAGTCGTCCCTCCCGAAGTGACTAGAGCGATTCGGCGATTCGGCGCGTTCTCCAGATGATATTGGATGAACTCTCGGGCCAGCGTCTCGTGGTTAGCCAGTGATTTGGGAGCCGGGTTGCTTTGGAAATAGGTGGTTTCAGCTTCCTCATGTGCTGTTATTCCGTTGGGGTTGTCTGGAGCCATGGTGGCGATTTTGATATTTTCACAGCTGGTGTCTTTGGGGTAATTTGATAGACCTTCACCGACGAAGGCAAGCACCAGACACAAGGCAGAGATGGTCCTTTCTCAGGCTGGTTTCATAGAATTCGCACTCGTCGGCAATTACTGCTCTGTCTAGACAATGAATCACGAACTGTGAAGAGATAGAATGATTGTTGTTGGTGAGACAGTTAATCTTTCCCGTGGCCCGAAGATAGTTGGCGACTTTGAGTATGAGAAGTGCAGCGCAAACTCCATCCTCAGTGTCATTCATCTCAGAGAAACGGACATATTTGCACAGATTTCACTTGAAGCAAGCGGCATTGACTGTTGCTACGCCAAGTTGAGTGCTGGCTGCTACATGTCCCAAGATAAAAGAGATACCTACGGAAAATTGAAGGCATTCACGAATGTTGTATCGTTGGTCACAGTATCATGGAGATGGTGTTCTCGCTGTGATTTTGTGCCGAGGTTCGGCGGATTCGGGGAGCATCACATCACGTGTATTAGAATAACAATCACGTGATTTAAATGTCACGTGGCTAGGCTACACGACGGCCTATTTCCGGACAAGGCAAACGGCAAGGCTGATTTCTTCCCAGCACACATTGTACCAAGTACATGCTGTACATACCCCTTGTGGTTCTCGTATTCGGGTTTTGCTAACGATCTTCACAAACCCCTTGCCCAACGTGGCCATCTCTGGAAACCCGTCCACACGAGTACACTAGCCTGGGTCCAGACGTTGGAATTTGCTTCGATATTTCGCAGAGCTAAGACATTTCTAGGCCATTTCGCGACCTCGCATCGACAGACAACTCATCTACCCGTCAATCAGGGTGCCGCTCCCCGCGAGGCAGCCACGAGGCGTCCTTGTTTCTGCCGAGAATTAATGGCATTTCCTATCATGCTCCAGTCCTGTTTCTATTCAGATCTCCTGACGAAGGATACCAGCAAGCTGCCTAGCGAGATGCCATCCCTTGAGTTGCTCGCCAGTTGTTGTGGAAACAACCCAAGGATCTGGCGATTCTCATGGCCTTTACCCTCACGTATTCGGCATGTGGATATACGTGGCTACTTTGGAGTAGGCGTGTCCACGGGCTGTTTTCGACTTTAGCCACCCCTTACCGTGGTGCGCACTTCCAGATCATACGGACTTTTGTGGCGGCGCACTATGTTGATCTTGTAACAGAATTGGCCTTATCTATGCGACCTCGTCTTTCCAATATTTAAACGCTCGTACCTCCACCAGTTTATCTCGTTGACCACAGGCTTGCTTGATATCTTCCTGCCGCATCTTCTGCGCAATCCATAAACACGAGAGTCCGAAGGCATGGCCTCTTCTTCCGACATATCCTACTGGGTATATAAGCCAACCAAAGGTGTCTCCATTGCATTTGCCGTGCTCTTTTTTGTCTCGGGCGTCCTTCACGTGTGGCAAAACAACCTCAAATACAAGGGCTCGTGGCGAATTGGCTTTCTCTTCCCATGGGCGGCAGCACTGTTTGTTGCAGGACTTGTAACTCGAGAATACGGTGCATATCATACCGATGATCTCGGCGTATTTATTGCCAGTACGGTTCTGTTGGTGAGTTTCCATGCGTCTCCGAAATCATCTTCGTTTCTGGAAGGCGCTTTCAATATCGGCCAACGTCCATATACTTCCCACTAACAGATTTATAGTTCATTGCTCCACCAGTCTACAACGGTGCAGATTACTTCATTTTCGGCAGGCTGTTGTACTACATACCGTACCTGTCTCCTCTTCACCCAGGACGTGTCTGGACTACTTTCGTCGCGTTGGACCTCGTCGACGGGATAATTGCAGGCAACGGAGCCTCGTACGCGGCGAATTCCAGTAACAGCGAATCAAAAATCAAATTGGGCGTCATACTGGTCAAGGTGTCGCTCTTTCTTCTGCTGGGCATGTGAGTTACCGCGTCCTCAAAGAGAATGCATGGTCATCTGAGCCGCCACCGTCACTGGAATACGGAACATCCTCGTAGAGACTAACAGCAGTTTGCAGGTTTCTCGGCTTTATATACCTTATAGCCATCTTCCACAGACGATGCATCGCAGCCAACGTCTTCACCCACAAAGTGAAAGTTGTCGTGTACTCGCTCTATGCCTCTGGCTTTCTCATTCTCATCCGCAACACCTTTCGCACCGCCTCGTTCTTCTACCCGCCAACCTCGACAGCCAATGGAAAAGAGTGGACTTTTTGGGTACTAGAGGTCGTCCCTATGCTCTTCAACACCTACCTCATGAACATCTATCCGCCCTTGAAATACCTACCCCACAATAACAAGTTATACCTGGCTGTGGATGGCAAGACAGAGATCGAAGGCCCAGGAATGGTCGAGAATAGACCTTTCATCCTGACACTGGTTGATCCGTTCGACCTTGTCGGGTTGGTGACGGGGCAAGATAACAAGAACAGATTCTGGGAGAAGGACGGTATTGGCGGACCGAAGGGGTCGGCGCGTCGTAGAATTGGAGATGATAACGAACTAGGCAGAGGGATAAAGGGAGGCCACAGCAAAACTCGAGTACATGATACAGAGGTTATCTGAAGACGAAGGCGAAGACACGCTGGAACAGCATTATTGGCGTTTGATTGGAGCGATTTTAGTTTACACCTCGTGTTTGCTTTAGATAACAGTGATCCTTTGCAACAGATACAAGTTTTTGAGTTTGGGCAGCAGTCAAAAATGCTCGTCTACCTTCTTGTGCTGGGTATGTACACAGTACCGAGTACAAGTGTGAGGCGAGACTGGGGCCCCAAGCGTCGGATGCAGCGGCCCGGGCGAAGACGGCGATGCCGAAAGTGACTTCGAGGCCTCGATCATCAAAGCCTTGCGGTGAATGGCATTCTCGGCGTGCCAAGATCTTTCATCATCCTCGCCTCATTCTCCGTGTCCGCAAACACATCTTCACCATATTCGCGTTCGCAGACTTGCGTCACGGATCTCTTCACCGGCGCTCACACTCGGTGTCGTCATGGCTCAGAATCACATGGACTCGGCCGCCGTGCACAAGACGCTGCAAAGCTGGCCTGGCTGATAAATGCCTTTCCTCTACCTCGCATTCTCGCTCTGACCAAACCCGAAATCCACTACAGCCCATTTGCTCTCACTATACCCTGAAGAAAATCCCCGTGTGACAAGATGGCCGACCGAACGCAAGACAAGACTCACGAAGCCGTGGGCGACGTGAAATCCGTTCTGAAGGGCATCAAGGGCATGGGAGACACGCTCCGCGGCTCGGTTAACGAATCGATTGACACAGCATTCAATGACCGAGAAGGAGAAATCAAAAACAAAGCGGTCAAGGAAAAAGGAGAAGCAGAGTTACATCAGGCCGATAGTCGCTTTGGTAAGGGACAGACTCAAGCTGTTGCCAGCAGGAGTTCTGGTGTTTATGCTGACGGGTTGCCAACCAGGGGGAACAGCCGCTAGAGGAACGACCACCACCGCCGGAGGCACAACGACTGGGGCAGGTGCTCATTCTGGAGGCGTGGGAAACATGAGCAGCACTGTTCCTCAAGGGAGGCTTGGGGGTGAACCTACCACTACCAGGGAGAGATTCTGAGAGCAGGGAGGACAGCGCCTCGAGAAGATTTAGCGATGGACTGATCAAGGCCGGTGGGCGAGCAGCGAAAACTAATACGACAGATTCCAAGCCCATATGGAGACTTATTCGGTCTGAGAAAATTTGGAACCATCAAGCAAGTCGAACTGTTCCGGCGCCGAGGATGGCGAGATCAAAAGAAAACAAAAAAAAGATCAAACGACGCAGTAGCCCTACAAGTCATTGCGACAACGGTATGTAGCTTGGTTGAAATCAATCTCTTCATCCAGTGCAATCTAGGTCCCGTGATACTTTGTCTTGAAGCTGTGATTCACTTCTAGTGGTGTTATTGTTGTTCTTTCTTTGCCGGACTCAACGTGGCCTCAGCCTCTTCTCTTTCCAACACTTTCTAATATCGTCTGTCCCAGATCCTCTCGCCGCTTCTGGAAACTAGGTAGCTCGCGGCTACGGTCAGGTAAAGCGCTGCTTCACATGCTGTCTAGCCAGTGTCACCCTTAACTTCCTCCTTCCCTGGCATTCGGTACCTAGGTAAGGAACATGTCATGATCCCGAGTGTATATAAAGACAGTTTTCTTACGGCTGGCCAGCGGTGTCGATTTTCTGAGGCTTTTCGCTCCTGCCTCCGCTGCACGGCTCTTGCAGGCATCATGGCAGCTTCCAGTGCAGATACAGGCGGCGAACGCGGCTCTCAACCTACCCAGTCTCGCGTCATGTCGGTCTCTACTTTAGTAGAAGACCACGACAATGACCAGCACGCCACATCTCTCTCAGCATTGCGGCGCCTCCCCAATCCCTTCTCCGCGGCTGCTTCGGCTTTTGGTGTAAGCCTTTATCACGCTCAACCTAATCTAGGCTCGTGCTGACAAGTTTTAGGCCATGTTCCACCCTTCGGAAAGAGCCTCTCCCTTTATGGATCAACACTTCATTGACAACCTCCCTCTACGTGAACACGAGCCAACAGGGTTCATTCCACATGATGGTAGCTTTCAACCGCACGGACAGGTGGCGCTGACTCATGATGAGACTGTGCTGGCTTACACCGTGCCTGAGGCGGCGGATCAGATGGGGCGAGAAAGATACGATGGGTACTTCCAGTTGATGCAGGGTCGTCTGCAAAATGCCTTTGATGGCTGCCAAGGTGCCCAGGCTGAAGAAATCAAAACATGCCCGCTGTTTTCCAATCATGTTCAGAAGGTGTTGAGGAACGGAATCATTGGAGTCTCTGATCCCAACAACACTCCCTTCCCCCAATATGGGCTCCTGGGCATCCGTGAGCAAACCTACAATTCAAGTGTGCCAGATAAAGCTGGGGCTTTGTCACTCGATGACGATCTCATCTTCGCCAACATGAATGCACCTTGGTCAGCTTTCATATGCGGCTCCCAGGGCGCCGGAAAGAGTCACTCACTCTCTTGCCTTCTTGAGAACTCGCTCTTGGCTTCATCTTCAGCGGGAGAGAACCCGAGGCCTCTCGCTGGCCTCGTGTTTCACTATGACAAGTTCACAAGCAGTGAGAGCACTCAGTTGTGCGAAGCGGCGTATCTATGCTCATCGGGAATCCCTGTGCGAATTCTTGTCTCGCCGACCAACATTCATGCAATGCACCGACTTTACAGAAACCTCCCTGGTCTGCCTAAAGACGCCCCACGTCCAGAAGTCATTCCACTCTACTTTCAAGAAAATCAGCTCAATGTCACACGCTTAATGACGTTGATGGCGATCGACGACCAGGGCAAGATACCTCTCTACATGGAGGTCCTTTTCAAGGTGCTCCGCGACATGACGGCTGAGAGGAAGGGTGCAGGAGGCGTGGACTACCTTAGTTTCAAAGACCGATTGTTGGGGAAAGACCTCAGTTCCCAACAAAGCGGACCGCTGAGACTGCGCCTGGAAATGCTCGAGTCTTTCCTTGCGGACAAGGACCAGCCTGCAGAGGCCATGGCGCTTCTGGGGGACATGTTCAAGTCAGCTCAAGGCTCACTCACCATCGTCGATTTAAGCTGCCCTTTTGTCAACGAGAACGATGCTTGTGCCCTTTTCACGATTTGTCTGTCAATCTTCATGGAGAATCGCGGTGACTGTGGTCGAATCATCGCTCTTGATGAAGCTCATAAGGTGGGCCATGATATCTTTTATTTCGCGTCTACTGAATATCTTACCTTTTGCAGTTCCTTACGAGATCGGGAGAGGCCGAAAAGCTCACGGACGAATTGACATCCATTGTCCGTCAACAACGCCACCTCGCTTCACGCGTTATCGTGTCGACGCAAGAACCGACACTGGCGCCACGGCTCATCGATCTCTGCAATGTCTGCATCGTTCACCGATTCAATTCTCCTGCTTGGTTTGAAATGCTCCAAGGCCACCTTGCTGGTGCCAGCCGCCACAAGGAATGGAGCAATGCGACGTTGTTCGAGATGATAGTTGGCTTAGAGACTGGCGAAGCTCTGATATTCTGCCCTGCAGCGTTGTTTGATGTGTACAATGGCAACGTATGCCGGTTGAAAGACGCATTCATCAGAGTCCGCATCCGAAATCGTGTGACCGCTGATGGTGGGAAGAGCATCTTAGCTTCCGACAAGATGCAAGATGTGGAGCCTGGAGAACGTCTGGCTGAAGACTTGATTCGACCATTCGCAATGCCTGCTATGCCTGCTATGTCTGCCATGCCCGCTATGCCCGCTATGCCGATTATGCCGACAGGTCTTTCGGGCAAACAAGCCAAAAAGTCTCAACGTCGTGCAGTCAAGGCGGGACGGGTAACGAAGAGTAAGACTCCTTTATCTCGTCCTGACAACTTGAGCAAGGGTCTTGCATATATGCAAGCACGAGGCCAACAACCAGAGGAAATACAGGGTCCAACGGAGGGTTCGACGCACATTTCTGCGCAACGACCGGCTCAACATGCAGTCCTGGGATCTGCCCAAGGGTTAGAGGAAGGTCGAGCGCAAGGTCGAGCGTTCGGTGCAAAGCCTCCCACTCATCCAGATGATCTGTTTGCCCCTACCTCTTCTTTTGTTCCCCCGGCTAGTACATTGCATTCTACCGGGACTCCCAGTTTGCATGACCTTTTGCAATACTTGTGCAACGCCGTCTCAGAGTCTCTACGCAAGGACCCCACAGATATTGCATTTGGCAAAGTACGTAGCCAAGCAGCGCGCTCTGCAGGCCTGCCCGAAGGATTCTTCTTAGCCTCCAAATGGAAGGCCTGGTCCAGAAGAGTAATCAACGAGCAAGTGGTAAGCGGAATCTTCTTTCGGTGCAGTTGGTTGCAGTTCACTGACCTAAAATGATCAGGCCAAGCATGCTGAGGAATATGGGATACCATTACCGTTACGCCATTAGCCTGTTTTATCAATGGGTACAGCCAAAACAAGCAACTACTCGTCAGTCTCAGCTTTGTTGAAGCCAGGAATACTCTTCAACGAATCTTTGTGCATATATAAACAGGAGTGGTCCCTTTTCGGGAGGAAGAAGCGGAGGCGTAGCTTTGTGGGACTGCAGCAAGTGGCTCAAAGGAGGGACAGTATTGGGTCTTATTCTACACCTTCGGAATTAGCTGTGTTGCCGATGAATAGAGTACTCGCTCGAAATCCTCTTATTGCAGCTGGGCTTCACAGACGCCTACCTCAGATATCGGCAGCACATTGTACGGAGTACACAGCATGTACATATCTTGTCCATTTGTTGTCGGTCATGGGTCGTCACCACAAAATGAACGGCATTACGAGCTTGAAGTAAAGCACTTTTCAGTCCCGCCATTGGCCTCACCAGCCTCATTCGCGGTGTTTCGCGGGTGATGTGCTGATGGAGTCCTCAAGATTTTCCAGAGAGCTAACAATCAGATTCTACCTCTCGAAGTCTCGCGGTTGGCCCCGCCGCCTCGAACTTGATCCACGATTGCATCTCTACATGATGCCCCTTACTTGGTACATATACACCTTTTTGCGGAACCCAGCTCACCTCATTTTCGTCACATGACAAGGACTGTTAGCGTAGATGCAAGATCCCACAAAAACTTGGCCTATGTCAAGGGTACAAATACAGTGAACAGACGGAAAATAATGACATCATCCGTCATCCTTGCCCTCTAAATCGGCCTGTTCCGCGCTGTGAGAGGTACGACGTAGGGAGTACTTCATTCTCGTCCTTGTCCTAGTATTTATATTGGTTCTTGTCCTTATACTTTGTTCGCGTCCTCGTGTATATATGTACACTTATCTGGATCGAGCAAACCTTGCAAAGACTTTTTTTTCCGAGGCCTAGGCGCAATCTACCTCGCATTTTTCTCCTTTCTCCCAAGTCAAGTAATAGAGCGATACCGAGCGAGGTAAGGCGAGGCTAGCTTTAGTTTAGGAGAAATTGCGGATACTAGTACTCGGTAAGGGCGCCAGTATCGCAGGAGATCAACAGGGGAGGGAAAAAAAGGGTTGTATTCTGTCACGTGTCAGGCTGGTTTACATTTGGCCAATCCGCAATAAGGCGAGAGTACGGATAACAATCGTTATTAATATTATCTCTGGTCTTCTTCGTCCCTTTTTGGAGACATGTATTATTCTTCCCAGAAGCTGGATTGGGGAGGAAACGAACTGAATACCATGTAATCCGTACTCCGTGTCTACTTGCGTTTCTTTGCGGCAAGGTACTCCAAAGTCCGCAGCCACACAAATATAATCGGATATAACTCTAGGGCGTGTGTGACTCTCTCGCTTTGTCCTCCTTTCTCTCCATTGATGAATCAGATGATGATATGATATCATGGACTGTAACCATGCGCCGGCTTGATGTCAGATCGACAGCACGGGGAAACAGCCCTTTGCCGACCCGACGGTGGAGGAGGGGGGGATACACCTATACATATTTGTTACATGGTACAGGGAAAAGGGGCGTGGCACACCACACCACACCACGACACGCCATGCCACAAGCGACGGGTCCATGGCTCCGTGGGCCAGGAGATTGACAAGATTTGATTGATTGCGTTGTGTACTGTAACCGGGACCGTGGATGATATGATACAAAGATAAGAACCTGGAACCGGGGTGGCAATTTTAAAATTCCAATGCTATGTGTGGCATGCCTGCATGCCCTGCCATGCGTTTCACGGAAATTTCCTCTTTCTTGGGCTTCGTTTGGGCAAAGCTTGTCTGTCCAGCGAGTCAGGCTATCAGGCAAAGGTTAATATGTAACAAGTACTGGTAGAATGCCCTGGTTGGCCTGGCCTGGCCGAGCCTACCCAGGCGCATCCAGAGCCTTGTTTGCAATTTTGTTTCGTTCGCAGCCTATTCTCCCTTTGCGCTAGTGGCCTTGTTGCTCATCCGGGCGCGGGGGTCTGCTAGAACCTGGGACTTGGAACGGGAAAAGAAGAGAGTGGGTGCCAGGTTCCGAGACATGCGAGAGTCAATACCAAGGAGCACGACTAGAGATGAGAGATGTGTTTCATGGGAATTGATTGCATCATACACCGTACACCAGGTACTCTTCGCTTCAAGAATTAATAGAAGGCAGGAGATGCTGAAAATACAAGGCGCTGCTCCATTATGTATGCACGTGCACCCCTCAAAAAAGTACATTGTCATCTGTCATAACCACACTCTCCTTGGTATAAAAAAAAATATCTCCAATTTTCCTGAACGAAGCCGTAATTATATTTATGATGCGTACAACATGGTTATACACAGGGGTTTCATGCTGATTTGGCATGCAGTTTGCCCTTCTTCTTGAGCTTGCTATAGATGATGCCGTTGCCTTCAGCATATTCGGTGGGCACCTTTGGCCAATCGTCAACGCCATCGAGCATAGCAATAGCCATACCGCCAGCCACGTGTGTTTGGACGTGGCAATGGAAAAGGAACGCGCCGGGGTTGGTAACTTGATAACGGAGCGCCATCCAGGTGCTGTTGACCTCATTAGGGGTGGTCGTGTACTGTGGCAGAGATGTTAGTTTGGGCTGGCACTGCGCAGAGAACAAAACTTACGCCGTCGCGAAGAGGTGGGTTTGCGAAGTTGAATGTGCCGGCTGGCAATGCAGCGGCCGCTTCTGCAACAGTGTTCCACGTCCAGTTTCCAATTCCCTTGCCCAGAACATAGGCCTTGTTGGAATGTTTATGCAGAGGATGAGGTTGGGCAAGGGGGCCCTGTGTTTTAATAATCAAGTCGACCCATTGACCACTGTTTGTCTTGAGGATGAGATCGCTGGCTTGGACGTTGGCTGGATCTTCAAAAAGAAGAGGAGTCTGATCTTCCAGCTCTGGGGCGAAGGCGTTGACACCACTAAGGGTCCATTGGTACGCACCGGCTGGTTGCCCGAGCTTCTTGATGTTCATTTGGTACGTAACATCCGCAGTAGGAGCCGGCGCCGAAGGGGGATAAGGAGCAGCGAGGTTGTCGTTGAAAGTCACGAGGGTGGTCAAATTAACGCCAGCAAAGTTCATGGCGGCAAGCGCGTTGGGATCCTCGGACGCGGGACCAACTGAACCCTTGTAATTCAGAACAGCGAAGCCGCTCAGAACTTGATTGAGACCGTTGTTGGCCACTCGGATGGAGTACTGGGCAGGGGGCTGGTTGAGCTCGATCAGAACCGAGTATCGGTCGCCGTTGTTGACGATGACTTGATCCACCAGTTTTGGAGTAATGTAGCCACCATCAACACCATACACCCACATCTTGTGTCCGTCGATGGTGAACTTAAGCAGCTCGTATCCGCCCGGGTTGATGAAGGTCAAGGCCGCAAAACTCTTGGCAGGGTCAACGTCAAATGAAGCCATGGGCCCAGTTGACGGATTGCAAGTGAAATAAGCATCCGACGGAAGAGTGTCAATGTTGAAGGTAAAGTTGCCCTGAGTAGCTGGCAGATTGGGTGGCAAGCAGCCTTTGTCGGTGATTTGAGAAGGGCTAACTGAAGCCAGCAAAGCCGTGACTTTGGGATTGGTGTAGGCCGTCAACTCGTCGCGGCTCAAGCAGTACTGTGAGCCCATACCGTTAATGATGATTGCATCGGAGCAAGCAAAGTCGATGTTGGCATTCGCTTCCTGCGCGTGGAGCTCCTGAGAGGTGTACCTGTTGTAATCGGAGATGAAGACTGGCTGCAGCTCATCATCCGCTGCCGACATTAATTTGATGAAGGCTGGATCGTTGTTGATCAGCGAGAATGGTTTGTCATCTTCAGATGCTGGGGAAATGATGATGGCGCCGTATAGTCCATCCATCATCTGAGAGCGAGAGTGTGAGTGATAGAAGTAGACTCCGGTGGCATCGGCGGTCCATTTGTATAGGTACGATGAGCCAGGTGCAATAGCTCGTTGCGAAAGACCTGGAACGCCATCTGACCATGGAGTGCCTTGTTGAACAATGCCGTGGAAATGAACGGTAGTTGGGTCGGGGAGTTCATTGTGAACGAGGAATTCCACTGACTGGCCAACTTTCATCTTCAAAGCTGGTCCTGGGAAAGTGCCATTGGTGAGGACCATCTTTTTGGGTGTCCCTCCGATGGGTGAGTAATCTTCCCATGTGAGGGTGACCTCGAAATGGACGGTGTCATCGGCTCTTGCATTAAGTGACCTCGATCTCGATGAGGGGGCAGCGGCACTGAGAAAAGCGAAGGACAGGAAGGAGAGCACGGCAATGAGCCGGGGAAAAGCCATTGTTGGCATCAAAAATGCAATACAAGAAACGAAATCGAACAAACAACGAGAGTAAATCCCTTGCACAGAGTACAGGGAACGTGCTTTAGAATGAAGTGAGAACGATATAGCAGAAAGCATTTGGAACAAAGGGCGAGGTTGGGGAGAGTATAATATAAAGCATGGGTCGATTGAGTTCACCCTCCTAGCCCCGTCCATGGATGGCTGGCAGCTCTTCAGATGATACAGTGGCTCGTGATAGGAAGCCGGGGATTTAGGACGCCACGATGGGCTGGAAGCAGTGACCAGCCTCGATACTGGAGGTTTGCTCTCTCACATCGATTAGCGTCTTAGCAGTGGCATTGATTCTGGGGCTGACCAGGGTACGGAGGATACCTGCAGGACATTGGCACACCACCTCAGCAGGCCTTACCGGTTTTCGGTATCGTGTGGACTGCTAGCATGTCAATTGAAACGAGCGCGCCGGATCTGGACAAGCCGCGAGGGAACATCGCCTTCGCAGCCCAGTCGAGACTGGCACATATCGCTTTGTGCGAGAGTGTACCTCGTAGCGGTCTGGAGCAGATAGCATTGTGACTCGAGTCGTGAGGCTCGGCGTAATATTTTCGATGATTTGAACCATGGGACGAGTCATCCTGGGAAAACGAGGAAAGTCACTATTGGATAATCAGGGACAGCTGTCACCGCGCGACAGCTGAGTCGTGGTGCTGCAGCAGCCAAGAAGACAGCTGAAGGTTGGCAAGTTGGTTGGGAGTGCGCAGGAGCGGAGGGTGGAGGCTGAGGGTTCCTCCCAAGCACTCCCAAGCACCGCTAGGCATTGAACGAACCAAAGCTCTGGATGAACACCATCGTAACTGGCCAGGCCATGTCACCCAGGCCCTTGCCAAGAACAGCCCGCCACTCTTGGAATCCGGGGCCTCAAGGCCAGCGCAATGGCTGGGCCTCACGTCTCTGTCTCGAAGAGATTCAGAGTTCAGTGCTCATTTCTCAGGAAAAGCGACATCGACCGGGTTGCGCCTTGGCTCTGCTAAGCTGAGCTGGGCCGCATTGGCAGTTCCTTGAGGCAGTGGGAGCATGTCCCCCCCTTCTTTACTGGGTACGAGTCTCACACCTGATCCTGCTCCTGAGTCGCATTTGTCAGATTGACCCCCAGATGGTCTTGGATCTGGGGCGCAGAGGAGTTCAACGGCAGTGAGATGCTAGATCCGGCTGGGTTCAGGCCACGCTGGAAATCAGCATTGAATGGTCAGGAACGAGTGAGGGCGGAAGCCTGAGTGGCGAGACCGGCTCGGTAGCTTCGAATTGACCATCTGTTTTCGGTTGTTTATCCTGTTGCAAATGGAAAATCGACAATGCGCCCAACGGCCAAAGGCAAAAAGGTGGGATGATGCAAAAGCGCAGGGTGCACAGGGGAAGCGCAGGTGGAATGAGGGTGGAGAGGTTCCTCATTTTCCGCAGTTTCCTGTCCCTGTGTGCCAAGCCATTAGGGCAACTTTCGATCGCCTTCGTCGCCTCATCGCGCCTCTGAAATAGCAACAGCCAAATTTTACTCGACCACCAGGACACCAGATGGCCCTCCCTCTGACCTAGCTTTCCTGACCTCCCGCTCGTCTCGCCAACAAGTGCCGCTCCAATGCAGGTACGAGCACACAGCGTGCGGAGTTCTAATTTCGTCTCTCCTGCCAAGCGAAGTCAGCACTTCCGCAACAAGCAGCAAGCCTATCGATGGAACAGATATCCAGATCTTCGATTATCTGCTGTGGCTTCCAGGCCAAATGTACGAGGTACTCGCCACAGTATGGAGTACTCGGCACCGACTACATACCAGGTATCCACGATACATCTTTTGCCACATACTCGTGGATGCAAGTCCTTGCTCGAAACTCTCTCTCAGCTCGATGCAATCGGCCCTACGGACTTCACTTCCGCAGAAGACGGCAAATTGTCAGCTCCGCATCAAGTGCGGCCTGGACCGGATTGAGGTCTGACTTTGATCCTCGGCAAGTTTTTGTTTATACGAGTCTCCGGGCAGCACGGTCAAATCAGTCGCTGGTACCAAGGCCAAGGCACGTTCCAAGTCTTCCTTCAGTGCCCTTGGATTCGGCGGTAAGCAACACCCCTCTGTATCTAGCTAAGTAAACAACCCAGGGCCCAGACTCGGCCGAGCTACTCGGAGACGCCAAGACGCTCTGGATTTCCCATTAATAGCATCATTGCCCGACCTCGCTTGTTGCCGTTGCTGGAATTCGAAGCTGGGGTTTCTAACCGAATTCTCAGGCCTCTTCGAGCAGAATCGCGCTCTCTTGGAAGAAAATGTCTTCACGCCATGGATCACCAGGCTTATCGATTGCTCCTGATAACCGACAGTGTGGCTGACAAGGATTGGCGGCATCAGCGGAGTCTAGAAGCCGCTCCTCTTCAACATCCTCTCCGTCATCCTCCTTCGCCATTGCGGCATACCTCCTTGTGGGATATTATATCGACGAGTAAAGGCTTCATCCGGTTCCGCCAAGCAAGTCTAAGTTTTTCAGAACCTTCTGTCTTATGTAACTGGAGGCGGTGAGCTTTCGGTTCCCACGGTGAAGTGCCCCACGTCCTGGTTTTGGTTGTGCATATGGTCTATGGTCAACCATGTGCATTTCCCGCAATAAACTCGACCAGTCGCGTTCCAGATGGACCGACCTGATTGCCTTGGGAAGAGTTCAATCACCTTCTATGGTTACTGGGGCAAGCTCTTATGCTGAGGCTTGCCAAGGCTTTTCGCTTCCCGCTCGCAGGGCCTGTCCTTTGATGGTGAGTAATAGCACTATATTTGAATTCTTATGATCACTGCAGACACCTCTTCGCTTGGTCGTTGGAGACGTACAGCTCGAACACAGGGAACAGACAACCTCCATTTCCAATCCATTATGCCGCCCCAGCAAATACCATGATTCTGTCACAATGGCTGCGTTTTGTCGTGGAATGTCAAGGAGCTTGGCGTCATCGTCTAGCGCGATCAGTTCTATTACGTTAAGAGAGCATTGATCCTTCGAATAGGTCACTCGGTTCTTTCTCACGAGTAGGTCCAACATGATGCAGTGGTGAAAGGACTTTCTCTACGGGATAACTTGGCAGCCGCCAATGCAATCTCACCTCTAAGGATGCCGTGAAACGCCTTCCCGCGAGATTTAGCTGCCGTAGGGAAATATGACATGATATCTAGTCTGCTCAACAGGGCTCATCATAGAGGTTACGGATTCAACCTACACTACGTTTCAATTCACCTGAAAATGAAAATGACCAAAGGCATTCCGCCAACAGTGAGTTGTCCAGGTCCACAGTGGTTGAATTATGACATTGAAACGCATCGGAAATCCTCGACTATCAACTCAACCATCGGCGGCCTACAGGACTGCTCGCGGCCAAAGCTCGCAGGTGGATCTGCCACCGGATGTACTACGACCAGCTATTCAGGGCTCGGAAAGACGGGCCTGATGTCAGCCTCGTACAACATGTGCGTGGGAGATATCAAACTGATCCTATACAGGCACAATATCACCTGGCACAGAATCAATCGATCTTCACAGAATATGGCGAATGGCGCTCTCCGAAATGGCCAGAATCCCAAGTAACTAGTCACGCACCATTCTACCAAATTAACTATGAAAGGTATGTGATCCCTGTCCTATCATCACTCAAACTGACCTGCCGACCACTGACTCCTTGACTGGTAATCTCTCTCTGGCGGTCGTTCTTACTCCGTTCTGCCCTGGCCCACCCCTTTTCAGCGATTGATCTGGACACGTTCACGAAGCACGGCGAGCCGTGCATGCCACAGTACTCCGGGCCAAAAGCCAAATATACCAAGTTCATGCCAAAGAATCTCTGCAGTTACCGGAGAAGGAGCCCGCTCGCAAAGACTTGCCTATTTCACACAAACTGAGCGGCGGGATTGGCATGACTGGCATGATTTGGACGTTCCGCGGACCCTAACTCCGGGAATTCGCACAGGTCAGACATGCCATCCATGGGCAACCGGTGAATACAAGAATTTAGGATCTCGAAGCATTGGATACTTCCATGCATTTTTTTTTTTTAAATGCAAACGGATTATGCCCGACTCCCGGCATAGAATCAGTGCACTAACCAAAAAAGGATGGGCAATTAGTCCTATGGTTTAGCATTATCCTTCCCTCGTTAAATTGCTCGTCAACTAACGGATTGATATCAACATTAGGCTTCGTGAAGCTCCATTTCAGAAAAAGCTACCTAGCCTCCGGTGAGGTGGGCATAGCCAGGCCCGGAGAACAGTTACTACAGTCCGGCTGGCTGAGGCGCGCTTTGGTACAAAGACTGGAACGATGACTCGAGAAGTCTTGCTTGCTGAGATCACACTGAGCGATCTCATAGCCAGAAAGGTACTCGGCGAAATCGACTGTCACACCAGTTTGCCTTGTCGTTGTGGGCTGGGTAGAAAGAGTGTGGACGTCCTCACCTATTACGCCGAAGGAGGGGTGTCTTGTCCCGAATACCCGGTTGTGCAAGAGGGCGACCACACAGTTCCTTTAAGAAGCAGTGAGAGAGCGCCTGCTTTACCGACGATCTAGACGATGCGGCAGTTTTGAGAGCCGGACCTCGGAATCGGCCTTGCCCATGACTGATTCAAGCAACAGCCACAGGTCCGCATTAGGTGCCCAACCCCAATATACGTATTAATTGGCACCAACTTTTTTTGGTCCCTTTTCCGAGACACGAAAGACTCACCCACGTTGAAACTGCCTCACTGCCTCATAATGCATTTTTGAAGAATTTCCAAACCCGCTCACCCTCCTAAATTCCATGCCTCTACAACAGCAGCAGTCAAAATCGTCCCCTACTCACCTCAGTTCCACCGTATCACCTTCGCCCACGACAATCTCAACCGATCGGCCACGCTCGTCGAGACTCCTGCGTCCAGCCTCCAAGATGGCGGTCGTGAGGATGGTGTTCCTGAGCGTGGGCAAGCCTCTCTTGTCCAGCTGGTCGAGGGTGACTCTGCCCTCGTTCACGGCCGTGACAGCGTCGATGAACTTTTCGAAACTCACGTACCCGTACCCGCTCTGGCCGTTGAAGTTGCCTTCCTCGTCTGGCGCGTACCGCATGTAAAAAGGGTTGTACCACTTCAGGGAACTGCCGGATCGATCGTTCTCGTCGACCACATCGTAGCCGCGCTTCGCCTGGTTGACATTGATCTCGCCCTTGGAGGCGATGTAGTGGAAGTGCTGTTGCGAGTGGACCCCGGCGTTCATGGGCGCCGTCCAGCTTGCCGTGTAGATCCCCGTAGCGCGTTTGTCATCACTTTGACGTGCCCAGTCGACAAGTAACGTGATGGTATCCTCCGTCCCCTTCGCGCAACCTACACTTTCGGAGATGCCGAGACTCGCACTGGCGCGCACATTCAAAGGCCGCCACCCAGCGTCGCGGACCATCCACTCGCAAATATCCACGTGATGGGAGTTGAGGTAGTATGAGATGTCGGACTCCTTGCCGGCCCAGGCCTTGAAGGTCTCGAGCTGCGACTTGGGCTGCGACATGTAGCTGTAGAAGTAGTTGAAGTCGCCCAGATTCTTGGACTTGAACTTGGCATCCGCGTACGCCGGGTCGAAACGCTTGTGATGCTCGACGTAGACGAAGACCTTGTTCTCCTCCGCCAGCGCGAGGAGATCGAGGTGATGCGACAAGAGCTTGGTCGCCGGTTTGGTCAGCAGGACGTGATGGCCACGTTCGACCGCGTACTTTGCGATGTCGTAGTGTGTCGAGTCCGGAGTGAAGATGGTGACGGCCGATCCCCTGGGCAGGGCGTCGATGGCTGTCTTGAAGGCTTCCGGGTCGGACTGGTCGTCGCGTGGAAACGACTTGAAAGACACGTCGAGGCCGTTGTACGCTTCGGAAATGTTCTTCTGGAGATGCTCTCGTATTGCTGGGAACTTCCTGCCTGAGACGCCCACCATGGACAGATCTGAGACTTTGCCGCGACGGCGCAGGTCGAACACTAAATTTCGTATTCCGTGTATGAAATCAGTGATCCTTCCGCTGGATCGATATTGGCTTGTTTCTTCTCGTTCATTCTTTTCTCACCAATGGCTTTGCGGCGAGCAGAGAGTTCACTCTGTCTTGCCCATTCCCCTTCCCTGGCTCGGGTATCGGAACACGCCATCTTCAAAAAAAAAAAAAAAAAAAAAAAAACCAGAGATAGAAAGAGAGCCATAAACTTACGCGTCAATCCAACAACACCCACTTTCTTATCCGACGTGGAAGCTGCCCCTGAGACGAACCCCGTGGTATACTCGCCCGTGCCGACCATTAAGACCGCGGGCGGCGCCATCTTTTGATAGCTACAGCTGCTCCGTGAGAGACACTGAGACGGCTGGAATGTAACGGCCTGCGACACCCAACTCGGTGCGTACTTGCTCCAAAGGATCCTGTTACTTGCGGCGAAAAGGTGAAGATGAATTCTCTCGAACTCCTCGACGGGGGTTTCTTTAAAAATGACGATGATAATGATAACAAGATGGCGCCGATGAATCCAGGAAATCACCAGATAAATCGAACTCTCCTTGCGAAACACCTACTACTATGATGGAGATCTCAAGGGGAAAGAAAGCCGCGAGCTTTGGGCGACGACTCCAATTGCGTGACAGTATGTAACGTTGTCGACGGTTAATTTCATTCCTCGCAATTCATCCATTCATTCATCCGCCCAATTCACGAGGGGGGGAATGAGCACCAACCAAATGCCGTACTCATTGAATCGCCGTCAATTGCCGTTCCGGACGCGGGCGAGATGGGGAACAGCGTTTGGTTTACCGAGTATTCACGTTTAGGCCCAAACACCGCAAAACGGCAATTGAACTCTCGGAATTTGCGCCGACGTCGAGAACGTCCATCCTTTCAAAATTTCCCCATACCGGATCCTTACCCCAAAGGCCCTTTGAAGAATCGTTGAAAATTTAGGATAGGAGGTAAAAGGTGAGAAAATCTCTTGGACTTGAATGATGGACTTGAAGAGAACAATTGAAACTTCGTCTTCTGGATAGACTCTGGAAATGTGCATGTGGTCGTTCGAACTGTTGGCTCTTTCTTGCGATGAGAGTGGTCTGTCCAGCCTCTTTCCAGCTTACTAACTACGTACTCCGTTCCCCATGGCATCTTGAATGTTGTCGGGATCAAGCGGAATTGGAGTTTGCTTGCTAGCTCTGTCCTGGTTTCGCGCCCTTTCAATCTGAGATTCACCAACAGGGGGTCGGTGGCCGAGATTCAAGGCGACAAGGAGTGGTGGCATGACAAAGACCCAGGTAGCTATAAAGAGTCGTCTGTGAACAATGCAGACCGATGAATTGCACGGGCAGCGTTCCAAGCATGACCCCAGGAAGCCGTGATGTCGTCCGACCAGCCTTACTGCAACGGAATTCGAACCATGAAAGTTGAACTCCCCGAACACAGGCGTTCTTAGGCACCTGTTCCATGCGGGCGGCGGCTGCAGTCAAGAGTGGAAGCATATGCATCTTATTCGGTAATCATTCTTCGACTATTGATACCTTCTTAAATGGCCGGAATCCTCTCTAGATGATTGGTGCCGAATTTATTCGTCCAAGTAGTATCTGCAACCCGTGGAATGGAGTATGAGATAAAGTATTGCAAGATAGACCGCATCACTTCGTCCAGCTGAGTTGAGGTTGTGCTGAACAGGTCTACGCGATTCCCAAGTTGAAAGTTGGCTTGCGGGACCTCTGCAGGTATCGAGCTAAGGCTCCAAGGCTCTGGCATGACACTTTTGTTAACACTCTGTCTTAGTGAGGTTGCTTCTCCACTAGTGTGATGTGGTATCTGGATCAAGATACTGTCAGAATCGGTCCCGACCACGATCGGCCGTCTATTGGGAGAATCGTTCAGCGGTTCTTGTCGTGGCTTGTTCAAAAGTTTCTGTCTCCTCTTCTCCATGGTCTCCCGATAGCAGAGAATCGGATTTTTCCTCACTGTTTGAGAGGCTTGCGTCCACCGCCGACTTGTTCGCGAACAAGAATTTGCTCGACTGTTCACTTTCATTCATTTCGTCCTTCTCAGTAATAATATGGCTTTCCAGTAAAATATTATTTGCTTATAGGGCTGTCGGGCTGTCGACGCCAGTTGGTGCCAAGCTACCCGAGCTTCTTCGTAACAAATCTGCACAGGGGCCTTTAGAGTCGTCTCGGGAGGACTTCTGACGGTATATCACCTGGTTCGCCGCTCCGCATCATTACGCCAGGAGTAGGGAAGAGGCGAGTACCACCGCCTTAAGACATCAAATGCTGCAGGCTCCTTTGCTCACTGGCAACATTCACTGGCGCGTATGCCACCTCCAAGCCCAGAAGTTTTCGCATGCTTACCAAACATGCGGTCTGGCACCTCCTCGATACCTCGCTGATATCTTGAACTGGTAAGTTCCGCAAATGACGTCGTCCCGATCTTCGGTGATGCTCAGAGTTGAGAGACATTGTGCTGCAGCAGATATTCCTTCAGGCCAATCTGAGCATTGCCGACATTGCTTTCCGCAAGGTTGCAGCACGGAGACTGAGTTCTTGAACTATTGTAGGTCTGGACCTTAGGGCGTGAATTTTGGTGGAAGCTCAAAAATTCCAGAGGTGGATGGAGTCGATCCGAGACTGTGGCGCATTAGTATGTTCGGGGCCTCTTCCAAGGCTGGTGGGCTCAAATCGGCTGCTGGCTAGATTCCTAGTTCTCCGTTTGGTTTCAATGCAGCTTCTTCATAGGCAATGACCACCGTCCTTCCGGTCGCACTTTTGACGCCACGGCTAGCCACGGGCGAATTGCACGGCTCATTTCCGTTCCGCACTTCCTCTCTCATGCATGGGCCACGGATTCTTGGCAGGCCCCGATTGAGCTACACAAGATTTCATATTGCCGTATTCGTTCTAGAGCGTTCATGAGCGTTCTGCTCCAACCGCCCCGGCTTACCTCATGCGCACGAGCATCACAAACTTGGGCGCTTTTCAATCCCTTCCCTGAGTCAGACTCGCGGGAGAGACGAACTCTAATACAAACAGGTACTCTTGCAGGTAAGCCATAATCATACAGACTGCGGGGTATCGCATTTGGCCGGTAGGTATTCGGCTCGGCGTCAATTCGAAATAAATCGGAGCGGATCTTGCTTGATAATGACGTTCATTTCAGGAATGTGGATTAGCTGAATCTGGTCTGCCACTGAGGAACTTGCCTGAGTACTCCTCCTCATCGAGTTGACACAGTCTACCCCGGAGAATGCTGGTTCCCTTCCTTCAGCCTTGCATCGACCTTCGGTCGTATAAGCTGTAAACAAGCAAACGGATCAGTATTGCCACGCTTCGCTTGATATGCTGTCGGCCAACAGAAACTTTGGTTTCATTTCCTCATCTCGGCGTCACCAGTAAAAAAAAAAAAAACCGTCGGTTATTTTGTGATTAGGCGAATGCTCGAGTCGCCCGTAAGACGCATAATTGGCCCATGGCTTATAGTCGTTCTTCCAGTAAATTAGGAAGGTGGTGCCTCTATAGGTGAGGAGTAGGAGATCGAAGCGTTTGCTTGAGCCAATGTTGAAACCGAATTCAAAGTACCACGCTGACCAGTGCTCTCGAAAAGTGGTGGCAGGTGGGCCTTTCGATTTCGGCGTCGATTTGCCGCTAGGTCAGGGTTGTTCCTGTTGCAACACCTGACTCCGGAAGATATGCTTATGGGGGGGAAAATGCTATACTGTTCACTCACTCTCTGAAAGTCCAAAGATATTTTCCTTTTTGATTTTTGATGTTGATTTAGGACTTGCCAAATATAATAGAAAAGACTCTTCTCATGATAAGGCAATCAAACACAAGAATGCCGATCGGTAGACCCCGCATACCTGGCACCGACGCAGAGAGAGCAGAGGTACGGAGAGCCAAAGTCCGTGCGTAAGTGTTTCGCACAGCGTTTCTGATTCTATGAGCAAACACCGACACTGACGAGGCAATTTGGTCAAGCAACGTTCAGGCGTTTAGGAAGCGCCAGAAAGAAAAGAAGCTCGCAGAGCAAGCGGTCCAGAGGCAGGTCAACGAAGAGGGTCTGATTCAACCACACAAGACGCTTCTGCAAAAGCAGCCGACGGTTCCTCTCCTCCCTCATAATTGTTCGCAAGCCTGTGAAACATCTGTGTTTCCTCCGGAAGATCCCGAATTCTGGCTACAAGCCATGCCTTCAGAAGTGGTTGCAAGGCTCGCGGGAACAACTTACCACGATGCGTTCGTCGAGGTTCTCAAACATAGATTTGTGGCACCGCAAAGGGTCTGCGAGCGCACAATGGATGGGGCGGAACAAGGATTGTCAATGTGCTATCCGACCTGGATTACGGCAGCAACCCTCGAAATCGGCAGGTCAGAAACCGAAGTCTTGATGGAAGCTCTGCTGGCTGCCTCTCTTGCCAAAGTTGGAAGAGACCAAAATGAACCGGAGATGACAATCCATGGTGCATATATGCAGACCCGTGCGTTGCAAAGACTGCGGTCCTTGTTGACAGGGTATCAAGAGGGTGACAGGAGTATTTCTCCGACAATGCTGTCTTTGACAGCACTGACCTGCGCCATGTCAGAGCTGATTACCAACAAGTCCTGGGATAATTTCAATAGTCACCTGTCCGGGGTAGGAGCCTTGATATCCCATGGTGGCGTCGAAGTAAGTTTCATCTCCTAATTTTGTCTCGATGTCTTTAGGATACACATCCAAGTCCTCAAAATCTGGCGTTGTATCTTCCGCACACATATAAACAGCGACGCTGACATCTGGCTGCCAAACTGATAGGGTTTGAATCAACAGTTGTCTCAAGAGCACTTTTATAGGTACCGGGCAATCCAAACACCTTTCTTGTTCATGAATCGACAGAAAGCGTTCCTCTGCGACCCGGAATGGACCGATTTCCCTTGGAAAAAAGATTTGGAGCTTGCTCGACACCCCTTGCATTCGATGCTTGACATTGCCCTCAAGGCTTTACCGGAGATTGCCAAGCAGGAAATACCAAAAAGTTGGACAGTTTCTTGCCTCAGAGAGAGGCTCGAAAAGGCCTGCGCAATCGTGGCGGAACTGAATGAGTGGGAGCGTCAGCTGCGATCCCAGCATCGTGGCGCCTTATACACCGAGGTCCCCGCGACATGGGAAGGTATTTACAAGCGCCGCCTGGAGTTCCCCAGCATTTCGATTGCCATCACATTCGCGATGTATACGGCCGCAAGGATACACGTCGCAACTCTTGTGGCCGATGTCTCAGATGAGATCATCTGGCGCGTGCCAACAGCTGACATACATAGCAGCTCAGCTGTGCGGGAGGCATTGCAGTGGGCAAGGCTTGCATGCCAGAGCCTCGAGTACTTCCGCACCGACCGGTCCAAGGCTGCGGGACGGATTGTAACGCTGTGGCCACTTGAGACCGCCTGGGAACTCTTTGTAAGGGTGGAGGCGGAAGGTTCTGTGGATGTCTCGCAAGAGATTGCGTGGTGTCGGTCTGCAGCTGAACAGCAGGCAAATCTCGGTATCCCTCCATTTAAATGGAGGTAAGACAGTGGGACGACTGGGTGCTCTAGTCTGTGAGTCGTGTCTCTCGAAAAGAGTTGGGGCAAGCTGGAATAGTTTAACAAGAAGGCCGATTGGCGTGGCGGCGCAAAACAATCTTCACCGGCAAGGACATCCCTTAGCAATTTCCAGAGCTAGTCCCGTATCCTTTGCCTTCTCTTGACCAAAACCGCTGAAGATGCGAGCAAAACCAGAAGTTCATTCGAGGGAAGCTAGGGTTCGGTGCGGAGATGCAATGTTCCAGAGCCATCGAGAAGTACTCCGTACTAGGCACGGGAAGCAAAGATCTGCAGCGAGAAAAGGGGATTCCGGAGAAGCTTCCCATAAGTGAAGATGCTCCGATGCCTTGAATGTCAAAACCGGGTCAACCGACCTGATCGTTCTGCTCAGCCACGGAGGTGGCCAGAGACTGCGAAGCTATTCACGTGATTCAGGTGACCAAATCCCTGTGGCTGGTGTGTGGCTGGTGACATGTGACCAAGTGGCTGGGACAACCATCACAACAAAGGCCACCACCTGCCGAGCTGCTTTGCTTGTTGCCTGCAGTCCCCAGCCATTTGAAAATTCAATTCTAGACACGATACCTAGTCCTATCGCCACGAACCGCTCTCTTCATCAGCCAGTGGTGCCGGTATTGGCGGCCAGCTGCGCGACACAACCTTGACAAGTTCCTCCTCGCCGATCTCCGCTTGATTCCCACTGACGAGTGTGCATCCTCCAATACCCGTGGCGATGAATGACGGAGTCCAAGAAGCTCAAGACCAGAGCCAAGAAGCTGCTGAGGAGCAGGTGGGTGATTGGCGCTTCTTGTCGTCAGAGAAAAAAACGTCAGGCAGGACTTGGTACAGTCTTGGAACTTCGAGCGATCCCTCACCCTCGTGAGTGGCAGAGCTCGAACAACAGTTTAACAGACAGGCAGGCAGGCAGACAAATATATCAGCAAAAGCTGGGGAAACAGAATTCTAGATATATACGTATACGAGGTAGTCCGTGCTGAGCCGGAAGACCAGTCGTTTTGTTGCTGCTCTCTACGATTGGGGAATAGTACCAGTGCAGGGACTGAACTAAAAGGCTGATGGCGCATGCGCGTGTCTGACGCCTTTTGCGCCTTTTCAGGGGCCCCGAGCTCATCCTCCAGATGTGATGAGAACGAGGAACTCAACCAGACATCATGGATGACACTACCCACAGCCCAGACTGTTGTTGAATCTATCGGGATCCGCTACTTGGGCGCCTCTTCAAACACCAATCGTAGGCGTCACACATTCTCAAGTGGCCCAAATCACGACGCTTGTTGTCTCTGCCCAGAATGTGCCTATCTGCACAGCCTCATTCTGGGCAACATCAAGACGCTCCATCCACCACAATCTGGCTCAGTGCTGCAAGTGCCGAGAAACTGCAAACCATGCAGAACCATGGCATTCTCTTCAAGGCAGAGTTTTCATCTTTTCCCATTTGTAATTGGCGATGTCGCCATGTTACAAACCCGTTGGCGCCTCAAAACGCCGTCAAACACCTGATAAGCCACGTTCTGCCCTTTGATACAAAGCTGTGTGCGTATGCGCGTGCGACTTTGTTGCCTATCTGCCGCTGATTCCACGCCAGCCAACACTAGGTCTGAGCGGTACAGCTCAGCCATAATCGTTCGCAATGACGGGGCCCAATTCCTCTTCCCCTTCAGCACCAAAGATCACAGTCGACACATCGGTAAGAGATCTCATAAATACGTGCGAATGTGTCGTGTCTTAGATTTTCTGACCGTTCTGGCCTCAGAATCTAGCAGAGCAGCCTCGGGCAGAGTCATCCCCTGCATCGGTACTAACACCAGGTCACAAAAGGGGACCTAGCATGTCCACACCGCCTCAAACCGCCAGAGACGACAGCTCGTATTTGTCCCCGACTAGTCCCGATCGCAGAGCGCAATATGATGGATCGACTCTCAATTCTAGATCAGGCTCTGTCGTATCGGGAGATACTGCGACGCGATTCCGGTCGAATTCAGGCATATCAGCGACATCCAATGCCACCCTTTACTCAAAATCTAGCCTCGAGTTTGAGCCTCCGGAAGAAGCCTTGCGAGCGGGTAAGGGAGATGAGAAGGATTTCGATGTCTCAGACAATCCGTTTGCCTTTTCACCCGGTCAACTGAATAAACTCCTCAACCCGAAATCCTTATCCGCCTACAAAGCACTGGGAGGTCTGAGAGGTCTTGAAAGGGGTCTGCGGACCAGCATCACAGCTGGGTTGTCGGTGGACGAAACTCGCCTCGAGGGACAAGTATCGTACGAAGAAGCGATCGCTGCTGGATCCGACAAAGAAGGGTATTCAGATGTCCACTTAAGCAGGTCACGCTCAGGTGGAAGTGTGAGCCTGTGCGAAGTCAAGGGCCAATTTGAAGATCGGCTGCGCGTCTTCCGAGACAATCGACTCCCCGAGCGGAAGCCGGATAGTATCTTTGTGCTCATTTGGCGAGCATACAACGATAAGATCCTTATTCTACTGACCATCGCCGCTGTTATCTCTTTGGCCCTGGGAATTTACGAGACTGTTGATGGAGGATCTGGGGTCGACTGGGTCGAAGGTGTTGCAATTTGTGTTGCAATTATTATTGTAGTAACTGTTGGTGCTGCCAATGACTGGCAGAAGGAACGGCAATTCGTCAAGCTGAACAAACGGGTACGCTCAAATCTCCATCCAACTTCGTCAGGACAATTTGTTCTAACATACAGAAACAGAAAGACGATCGAGAAGTCAAGATTATTCGATCAGGCAAATCCATTCAAATATCGGTGCACGACATCACAGTTGGAGATGTCCTTCACCTCGAGCCTGGCGACGCCGTTCCAGCAGATGGCATCTTCATAGCCGGACATGGCGTCAAATGTGATGAATCATCTGCAACTGGGGAGTCGGATCAGATGAAGAAAACCCCAGGTGAGGAAGTATGGCAACGCATTCAGGATGGAACCGCAACCAACAAACTTGATCCTTTCATAATCAGTGGATCCAAGGTTCTCGAGGGCGTTGGTACCTATCTCGTCACCAGCGTCGGCGTAAACAGCTCATACGGCAAAATCTTAATGAGCCTCCAGACCGACAATGAGCCGACTCCTTTGCAGGTGAAACTGGGCAAATTGGCAAATTGGATAGGAGGACTCGGGTCTGCCGCCGCAGGACTTCTTTTCATCATCCTCTTGATCAAGTTTCTTGCTCACCTCACCGGGGATACTCGACCTGGGGCCGAAAAGGCTCAGGAATTCTTGGACATCCTGATTGTCGCAATTACCGTTATCGTTGTTGCCGTTCCGGAAGGACTTCCCTTGGCAGTTACGTTGGCTTTAGCATTCGCCACTACTAGGATGCTAAAGGAGAACAATCTCGTGCGAGTTCTGCGCGCTTGTGAGACCATGGGCAACGCCACAACCATCTGTTCCGACAAGACCGGTACTCTGACTCAAAACAAGATGACTGTGGTTGCAGGTACAATCGGAACCAAGGAAAAGTTCGCCTCATCACAATCAGCGGAGAGGCCTGATGCAGCCTCATTCACGACGATTTTCAGCAGCCTGAGTGACGAGGTCAAGGAGCTTCTCAGGCTCTCTATCACCCTCAATAGTACCGCCTTCGAAGGTGAAGAGAAAGGCGTGCCCACCTTCATTGGCTCCAAGACCGAAGTTGCTTTGCTTACGCTTGCAAAGGAGAATCTTGGCCTTGACAACCTGGCTGCCGAACGATCGAGCTACAAGGTCAAGCAACTCATCCCTTTCGACTCGGCTCGCAAATGTATGGGCATAGTCATCAAGTACAACGGCGTCTACCGGCTTCTCGTCAAGGGGGCTGCAGAGATCATGCTTGCCAAATCCACTAAAACCGTCTCGAATTTACACGAGAAACAGTGCGCAGTCATGGATTTCACTACCGAGGAAAGGGAAACGGTGTCCACGATCATCGAAGAGTACGCAGGACACTCACTCCGTACAATTGGTATGCTTTACAAGGACTTCTCGCAATGGCCACCTGCTGGTGCGAAGACGGTTGAAGAAGATCCAAAGATGGCAGACTTTGACGATATTTTTCATGAAATGACTTGGGTCGGCGTCGTCGGCATCCATGACCCTCTTAGAGAGGGCGTGGTCGAAGCCGTGGCGCAGTGTCAACAGTCGGGCGTCGTCGTCCGCATGGTCACTGGCGACAATGTCACTACTGCACGTGCAATTGCTAGTGATTGCGGCATCCTCCGCGAGGACGAAGATGGAATTGTCATGGAAGGCCCCAAGTTCCGTCAGCTCTCCAATGAGGATATGGACAGGATCCTGCCAAATCTTCGTGTTTTGGCTCGTTCTTCACCTGAAGACAAGCGCATCCTTGTCGGTCGTCTCAAGCATCTGGGCGAGACAGTCGCGGTTACTGGTGATGGTACCAACGACGGTCCTGCCCTGAAGATGGCGGACGTAGGGTTCAGTATGGGCATCGCAGGCACGGAAGTCGCAAAAGAGGCCTCATCCATCATTCTGCTCGATGACAACTTCTCCTCAACCATCACCGCCTTGATGTGGGGTCGAGCCGTCAACGACGCGGTGAAGAAGTTCTTACAGTTCCAAATCACCGTCAACATCACAGCCGTGATACTTACGTTTGTGTCTGCCGTCTCCAACGATTCGAACCACTCCGTTCTCACTGCCGTTCAGCTCCTCTGGGTCAACCTCATCATGGACACGCTTGCTGCTCTGGCGCTCGCGACCGACCCGCCGACAAAGAAGATACTGGATCGCCCACCACAGCCGAAATCTGAGGCTCTCATTACTATCAACATGTGGAAAATGATTGTTGGACAAGCCATCTATCAGCTGATCGTCACCTTCGTCCTTTACTTTGCTGGCATGTCAATCTTGAGCTACGAACCAAACCAGCGAAAGGAACTTGATACCATCGTCTTCAACACGTTTGTCTGGATGCAAATTTTCAATGAGTTGAACAACCGTCGCTTGGACAATAAGTTCAACATCTTTGAGAATGTCCATCGCAATTACTGGTTTATCGGCATCAACTGCATCATGATCGGAGGACAGATCATGATTATCTTCATTGGCGGTGCTGCCTTTAGCATTACTGCCCTCGATGGTGCTCAGTGGGCAATTTCTCTGCTGGCTGCTCTGCCTTGCTTGCTCTGGGGCGTTCTGGTCCGATGCTTCCCCGATGTTTGGTTTGCAGTCGTCTTCAACGGGACAGTTGATGGCATAGCTTTCGTCCTCCGTCCCATCTGGAAGATTCTTCACATCATCTTTCATCCTCTGGCCCAGGTCTTTCGTGCCATTGCACGATTCACCAGGCGTGGTGTACGGAAAGTGTCTCACCGGGATACTTCTGAGCAGGAAGATAGGCAAACGTCGGTCGACGAAGAGCGTCCGTCCATCGTGGCCACAGAGAAGCGGCCAGCGGCTATCCACGCCATGAGCGATTCTACATTGACACCAACATCAGTGACAGTCGTCGGTGACGTCAACATGGTTTCAAAGTCCGCCACGAACAGTGACGCACTGGAAATGAGAGATATTCCTGTGCCTTCTGTGTCGATAACAGGACCCAGCTGAGCGGTCCGCCCTCCAACAGAGCTTACATTCTTCACCTATACATATCCCATACACCGGGACTTCCTTTGTTGTCTGTATATATTCCGGATGGATTTTGACGTCGGCGTTCTAGTTGAGAAAACATACATGTGAGCAAATGACAAACTGGTCTGTGATGCGATGACGGCAAGAGCACGCATGATTCAAGGCTCTTGCAACAATTTCACGACATTGGAGTTTTGGGTGGGCCGTCTGGATTTCCGTCCGACATTGGACAGTCACGGGGACGCACGTTCTGGGTAGGAGTTATTTCTTGAAGTTCTCTATTTGAGTTGGGTTTGGATTTTTGGGCTCTTGAGGAGGATCGATCGTCTTTCGGGAGGGGGCAAAAGTCTCATTTCATCCCATGCGAGAGATGCAGATGCCGTTGTCGCTAACTGAGATACCCATCTCTCACTCGATGAGGTGAGAGCGAAGTCATAAGTACATAGATATGTACCAAAAACAAATTCAAAAAGACTCTGGATCCGATCCAACTTTTGCCCTGGACACCGGCCCTGTCCTGGGTAAACACTCCGCAATAGGGGGTTGACAAGGCCACCAGGCTGAATCCCCGGCCCCCTAGGACCCTCTTCTTCTGGCCATATCATTAAAAATGACATTGATCATAGGTTAAGTCGAGATACTTGCAAGCACCGGCACATGTTATTGTCGGTGATTATTCGTCGATCCCCAGATCTCGTAATCGTCTAATAAAGGAAAAAGGTACTTTAAATAAATGCATAAATCCTCGGCGGGCTGCGTCGAAATTTCTCTGCCAAATTTGGGCAGTCGATGTCGCCCTCTCTTGGAGGCCCACCTCTGGCTTCTTTGGTTTCGAAGCACAGACGAAGGCGCCAGTGTTACCCACAGAAAGATTCTACCAAGACTTGGCCAAAGGAAGCCTCCGGTGCATTGGATCCCAGTCATTCCATCCCACGCTCGTGCCGGCTATTTTGCACAGCATGTGGATTGAAAGTCTCGAGTACGACCAGTCTGTCATTGCAGGTGATACCCGAGCCGTACAGAGCCGGACTGGATTTTTGAGATCTACAACCTTCAACAGCAAGAGATAGCTCAGGATACGAAGAGAGGCTCTTCTGACATGAGACTGACCATGTGCTTTGTCCCAGCAACAGCCATCGCTGTAAGTTTGTTATTCGTTCATTCTGGTTGGGACCTCCTGAGCCGGGATTCAGAAAGAGGTGGCGCATTCTGTCACGGAATACATACCTCAAGAGTGCTCAATAACGTCAACGCGGCCGCCGCGGCGTCGAATACAGTTGACAGTAAAGGAGGAATGACAGAGGATCCCTATCCCTAAAAGGTAAACAACATACTCATTGAGAACGAAGGGCATCTCCGATCTAGTCGTGGATTACTCTACTCTTGTTAGACGGTGCCACCGACTGTTGGATCCCTTCTTTCCTGCGCGCTCAATTAGATATTGCAAAAAGCTTATATCCTTCCTTTGGCTTGCGCCGCGACTCTCAGACCAGTATCTCTCCGTTCGTCAGCGTCGGAGCCAACAATCGACTCTCGGTTGTTCCACAATTTTGAATTTTCTGGGCCATAGCCATTCTAGTCACGCTGCTTGTTCTGGTGGTCTCAAACTGCGGCCGATGCATTCATTTCGCCCCCGCCCCCCTCCCACCCATAAAAACGGCCCCCCCCCCTCCCCCCCTCTTCTGGGTGTTTCGCAGCCTTGCTACTGTTTTCACGAAACGAACTTTCTTCTCCGCCATACTTATACCCATGCACCTTCCTGGGGACGCAGCATGCGCCATGAGCGTGTACTACCAAATACGAGGGACGTGGGACGGAAACGGAGGGCGGCGGATAACCTTAATCCATATTCCACAGACAAGGCTGACTTTCGGAAATCTCCCTCACGCGGCGTGGTGTGGGTTCGCTATGTAGTTGGCCCCCAACAACGACGGACGACGGTTTGCTTTGAGCGCCGTTCAATTCAGTTCACTGGGTCGAGTTAACTATCACAGGTAGGCTTTACACCGCTGAATCGCCCGTTTCCAGCGTTTCACATGGCAAACTCGATGGGTCAAGTCTTTTCATGTCTGTTATTTGTGTTTCATCAGCCAGATTCAAGACTACCAACTAGGAAGAACAACGTGAGTTTTCCAATTCCTGCGCGCTCATCTTTCATCCCTCGACATGCCCATCCATCCGTTTCAAATCAATACCCTCCAAAACTAATAATCCAACCACTTTTTTCAAACACAGCGCACCATGATTGGGTCGACGATGCGATCAGTTAAACATATGAATGTATATGTATATCCCCCACTGCTGGCGCTCTTGCGCGTCAAAGAGTTCTCCCTTTCATGTCCGCAAAAACGCCAGTCCCGCTCATTCCATGATGACATAGTAAAAAAAAACTCCCTTGGGTAGATGGCATAGATACAAAGATAATCAAGGGGTGCTTGATAATTAGAAATTATGTTGTCGGGCGCATGGTTCTGTCGTTTCATTGCGTGTAGCCTGGAGGCTTACCGGGACCTCCAGGACCACCTGGTCCCTTGCCCATAGGACCGCCCGGACCGCCTGGTCCTCCAGGTCCCTTTCCACCGGGACCCCCTGGACCTCCAGGACCTCCGGGGCCACCAGGACCTTTTCCTCCTGGTCCGCCAGGGCCTCCGGGGCCACCCTTGCCTGGAGGAGGACCTTTCATGGCAAGACTACTTCTCTTCCTCAATTTTTCGCCAAAGAGCCACAAGATGATTGGGACGGGAATGCCAATGCCAAAGGCGGCAAGGGCCAACACTGTGTTACCCCAACCAAAATGTAGGGCATTGTACATTGCTGGTGCAAACAGCGGGAAGCCAAACCCGGCTAGAGATCGCAGAATCGTGACAGCAGCCACGGCCGAGGCAGCAAACCTGGCGTAGGTGTCGACCAGGTAGGTAGTGACGCACTGGAACGCGGCAATGGTTCCAATACCAAAGATGAATGAGCCAATGTTGGGCACAATCCAGTGAGTTCTAGCTTGTGCGGACCATCCGTAGACCAAAAGACCAATTGGCACGAAGAAGGAAAACGGAATGACAACCGGCATTCGATATTCCGGCTTGCCTTGCCCTCGAGGATCCCTTGCCTTTAGTTTGCGGTAGATCTTGTCACCAGACTTGCCACAGAGAGGAGCGCCGATGAAGAAGCCCAAGCCCAAAGAGATGTAGTTGAGACCGGCAATACCCACGCTTTCGCCGTACACTTTCATGTAGAGTTCCGGGAATGTCGAAAGAGCAAGGTAGAGAATACCGTATGAGAAGGCCATATACAAAGCCAACACTTGCACGATAGGCTGGCTAAACAACATTCCAAATGATCGAGCCATTGTCTTGACGATCTTCTTCCAGACTGGCTGGTCAACCTCGCCCTCGCCATCGGCGTGCCAGCGTTTATCGCCAGTCTGTTTGCGGATCATCTTGGCCTTCTTGTGCAAGATATAGGGAGTGTAGGTTTCGCTTAGTTTCCAGAAGCCGGCAACGAGGATGAACGAGTTGACAATCGACGTGGCATAAAACATCCACCTCCAGTCGGACTTTTCGGCAACCCAGGCGCCCACGATGGGACCAACGGCAGGACCGAGCAGGGGCCCCATGGCGTAGATACCCATGGCCTTGCCACGTTCTTCTGGTTTGAACAAGTCACCCAGAACACCGCCACCAATCGCAAGGGGGGCTGAACCGCCGAGACCGGACAAGAATCGAAAAGCCATCAGCTGTTGCTTGGTTTGAGCGAAGCCACAGGCAGTGTTGAATGCCAGGAACACTACGTTGGAGGATTGAAGGATGATGACACGACCGTACAGCTCAGAGAGGGGACCAAGAATCATAGGACCAACCGCATAAGCCAAGACAAAGATGGACAGCACGATCTGCGACTCAATCGTGTTGTGGATGCCGAATTCTTTGGTAATTTGCCCAAGAGCAGGGGCGACCATGGACGATGCTAGGGGTGAGAGGAATGTGAATGACGCGGTAAGCATGGTAATTGCCCACTTCTTGTTCGAGGGCCAGTTTTTGGGGTTGAGTTGATCATCGGGCCCATTGAATTTGACCTGGAGGATAATGGACATTAGCAGCCAAATCTATCATGTGGAGAAAGACTTGGTGGAAATACTTACCAGGAAGGGGTCGTCGTTTGGAGGACCACCCGGACCACCAGGACCACCAGGGCCACCCAGTCCAGGACCACCGCCCGGCTTCTTCTCCTTTGGCAAGAAAGGCGTAGGAGTGGCGGGACCATTTTGTGCCTCCAGATCAAACTTGGCTGGGTCTTTCCTGTCCATCATGCCATGGCCATGATCTTCATCACACGTGCACCAGGACTCGTGCGAGTGTTTACTTTGTGCCCGGTCCATTGGAGGAGTCATCTGCTGAGAAAGTGGTCTCTTTTCATCTCGGGGGTATGAGTTGTGCAGCGTGTTCATGGCCAATGTCTCTTCAGATTGCGTCGGGTATCGGGGAACCGATTGGTCATAGAGTGAATCGTTGTTGTTCAGATAGCCTTCTGCCAGCAGTCTCTGGTTGGCAACAAAGTCTTGGTCACGGTTGAGGTAGTGGTCGTCGCTCACGATCCTCGAGTCTCTCGTGCGGAAGGAGGGAGCATAGGAAGCTAGGGAATCTCTGGGAGCGGATCGCATGGATCCTTGATCGTCATAGCGGCCAACATGATAGTCTGGGCCATCGTCATAAAGGACAGCGAAGGTAATCTCACTGCTGGCGCGGTCGGAGCCAGGTGAGGGTTCGGCAGGTAGTGAACGGTGTCTGTAAGGCTCGGTCGAGTTTAAACGTCGTAGCGAAGGAAATCGTGAGTTCAACGCGGGTTGCGATAGGGGTCGTAGGAGCTGGTTGTTTGTGCCATCTTCCTCCATGTCGTCGGGCACTAGCGTCGTGGTGGGATTCTTGCTGTCGTCAGAGGTCGGGAAGAAGGCTACGGTATGGCGAGGAGGCTGTTGTTGCTGTTGGGAGTGCTGGCCTTGAGCAGAATTGGGACGCGATTGGGAGTCGTAGCCACTGGCGACTTCCCAGCTGTCCCACGAATTTGGAGCCGCCAGTGTGAAGAGATGTATGTGATGGAAGAACGGATGAACGAGCGTGGTTTGTCCAGGGATTATTACAACAAAAACAAACAAATTCGAAACGGGTGGACAGAGCGTCGAGGACAGGGAAGGGAGGAGGCAGGAGTAAAGTGAGCGAGCTGAGCGAGTGTAAAAGCGAGTGGTGAAGTAGTAGTTAGGAGGTCGGCAAGAAGGGGAGGGAGCCCACGGACAAGAATAAGATCCGCGCAGTGGACGGGCGAGATGACGAGGATGGGAAGGGAATAAGGGATCTAGGGAATTTTGGGCGGGAGGAAGAGGTGGTGGAGGGGGGGTTGGTGGGTGAGGAGGGAAGAATAACGAGCGTGAGCTGGATGGGATGTTGCGAAACTGCAAAGGAGAGACAAGAAAAGCGGGCTTGCAGTGCAGCGCGGCATGGTAAGTACTGGGTACTGTAAAGCTGCTACGGGCCTGTGGGCTGTGGACGGCGGGCTGTGGGCGAGCTAGGGGCACTAGGTGCGAGAGAAGGGCCCTTTCTAGGCTGGTGCTATGCCGCAGCGGGCCTTGGATGACCTGGGTTCCTGGTATCATTGTGCCCTAGTACTGTTTAGGAATAGCGGCCAGTGAGGCCTGGATGGAGACGGCATGAGGAGTTGGGAGTTGGGAATTGGGAACCCATCACCACTGCGGTGGCAGAAACGACTGAGAACTCGACTCGCCATGCTCTTCAGGCCCCAATCCCAAACCCCAACCCACAGTGAAAGGAGGCTTTGTCGCTCCAATAATACCATCTCGCTGCCTTTCCACTGTCAGTCGGTGCTCGGGTCATGGGCCTTGCGACGGAGTGAGCTTTGCTACCGGAGTAACACCTGCTACGATGAAGAACCTCCGATGGGATAGATACTGTACGAGTAAGACGCCAAAGCCCTTTCGCTGACCGGACAAAGGATGTGGCTGTTTGGCTGTTGATCTGGCTGAGAACGGGGAACAAGAAGTAGGAATAATACCGAGTATTACGGACGGAGACAACGAAAAGAGATTGCAAGATTAGAAGCCTATCAGGACCGCGATAGGCTTCGCGTAGCCGCAGCTCTCTGGGATCCGGGGATGTGGCAGGCTGCAAGTGACGATGGTTTCCATTACTCTGAATAATGGTCCATCACCACAGACGAGGCCGAAACATCTGGTGCGTGTTACAAACGGCACGGCAGAGCCAAACGTAAGTATTCCCAGGGCATAGTATGGGCGTCATGGATGAGTGCATCCTCGCACAAATTGTAGCATGCTAACCTGCAGTACTTCACTCTACTAACAAGTAGTGACGCTCTTCTACGTTAGTCTGTTTTACAGTACTCGTATGTATACCTAGGTAGGTATGTACACGAATACGAAGGGCTGCAACCATCGTCGGTCCTTCATTCCGTTATACTTGCACGTACCCCGTACATATGATAAAAGGAGGAGCCGCCCAGACGTGACAAAGCGACCTGAAATCTCACTGCGTGCCGAAGTACATACTCGGTATCTGATGATTAAGTGTCGCGCCCAGCTCAATTAAATCCAAGCCTGTGGAAAGGACCTGAAAGGGGAGCTGTGGGCAGCTCCCTCGGGCGTCGAGGCTCAAGCGACAGCCTTGGTGGAGATTGTTAGGGCATCTTGGGTGCTCAACTGGTGGACACAGCGCCCAGGACACCGCTCGGGCACCGCTCAGGCGTCCCGATTTGCAGCCGGTCGGCCCCCAGGACGAGCCGTAGGTGGCCAGTGGCAACCGCCGTTGCTAAAATTGAGTCCGTAGCGCATCGTGCTAGTGGATCCCAAGGCCTGCGCCGCAATCTTGATCCGTGCTCTCCTGGCATCCTGGCAAAAATAGCCAATCGCCCTGCATCTGCCCCTGTTTTGGCCTGTGACTGCTCCTCTTGCTTCCCCTCTCGGTACCCTCCCTCCACGGACTTTGTCGTCCGACACACCGAACTAGCGGCGCCTCGTTGTGCCTTGCGCTGCCTCGCTGCCCGCCGACTTGCCTGTTCCTGGTCTGGTGGTGGACTGTCCAGCCAATCCCATGGCCCCTTAATCTGTTGCCCGAACAGACCGAACTTGGTTGTTTTGTCGTCAAACAATGTCGAGAAGACGTCATATATTTCAAAAGACCATTTCAGATCGTACCGTTATGATCATCTCGTCGTGGTCGTCATGGTGTTATAGCCCATTCAAGTCGTTCTTGTCTGCTCGTCGTACTTTACCGAGTACTACCAGATGTAGAGTCGGGTGCTTGGAGAAGTGCCGTATACAATACTTACCTTGTGCAATCCCCTTTGTCGATATTCCTGGGCAATAACGTGCTTGTCTGGCTTCAGCAGGATCCAGACTCGCCACTAATCTCTTTCTCTTTCGCTTGTAATCTCTCAGCAGCACCTTGGCGCTCCTGCCATGCACCACACACCCACTGTCGCGCTTCTTTGGGCTTAAGTAGAGACCCTGTTGTGGCCGCGTTGGAGGAGCTTTTTACTCCATTCTTGATTGAAAACGCTCGTTGCCAAAGCTTCGAGAACGATTGCACCAACACAACGGTCCCCCCTTCCCAGAACCATACGTAAGACCCATTCTCGCTTTGGCTCGTTCCTGTCTAGGTAATGGTATAATTGGTGTCGAATCCTGCGCACTAGATTGCCGCCAAGTAACAAAGCGGACTCAAAGGTCCAAGCCGGCTACTGTAACGTGCCATCTGGGAGTCCACTCGCCCTATCCTCGCTTCTCTCCCACGACTTTATCGCCCGTTATCAGTCTATCAGAGCCCTTGGTTTGCACAGCAGATGGACCTCGACGGTTGGAAAATCCCCTTCTCCCCGCTTATCACAAGAAGCCACCAGGGACTCATAAGTTTGGTCAGTCCAATGCTAAGATTCGTCAGCACTCTAGGTATGTGTGACTTCGCCCAAAAAAAGCTTTCGCATGCTAGCGTTATTTCTTCATTGGGTTGATTTGTGCGGTCGACGGCCGCTTGTTCGTGAATCATGTCGCTTTTTAGACCACTACTGGGTATTTGATGAGTGTCTCTGACCTCAGGCCCATAGCGTGTTCATGGCTGATTGCTGATTGATAGCTCGTAGATGGTCGAACTTCGGCCATATCCGATTTTGAATGCACCATCACATCGCCCCAAACTTGCCTCGAGTTTGTGAATGACAGCAAAAAGTGGCGTGGTCTTGCAGCGTGCGCTGGGCATGGGACCCACGACCCTTCTGGTGGCTTTCGGGGGTTGACGCTGCCTGGCGAAAAAAACGTGGGAACCTCTTTGCCGGCCCCCGGGCGGAGAAATCTGCCTCAGTGGATGTTGAAGGCTGGAACAGGACTGTGCGGCTAACAATGAAGATCCCTTCAGATTTCCCTTATAATAGCAGCTCCCCGCAATGCTAGGCGAGCAATACTGCTCAGTCCTCACGGACAATTACTCGTAATAACTGCCGGGACCGATCAACTTGATACAGACATGTAACGACCTGGCGAGCGAATGGTGTCAGCACCACCGTGCCGGGCGGGAACTTCCACCATAACGGCGTCTTGAAGCCATCAACCGATGACGAAGACAAGGTATCCCCGTTTGCTTCGTGAAGGTACGGCCGCTTAAAAGCGTAGGCGGCAGAATCCGGCGAGTCCGATGCCTATAAAAAGACTCCGACCAGACTCAAAAAGGATGCGGAGCATATCGGGAATACACCCGATGTTACTCAAACGACTTCTGAATGATGCAGACATTCAGTTAATGCTTTGTACACCAAGTCTAGGGGCCGCCCCCGGAGTCTCGTGAGCCGCATCAATCGCTGATACAGTGGGGTGCAAAAAGTTTGAATACACCTAATATGGAGTTTTGTTAGCTAGGTGTACTGGTATTCAAACTTGTTGCACCCCCACTGTATTACAGGCTGGCCTGATAGGTGACCACTGTTGTTGATGCCTAAGGCTGCTGGAGCCCCCAGTTGGGGTGTGCCAGCTCAGCAAGCTAGAATATGCAGATAAGCCCGGGCAAGCAGCTGGTGATTCGTAGGGCTGTATGGAGCAAACCTTTCAGGAATCTTCAGCTTGCTGTTTCATTTGTCATTGCGCGCAAGGGAGGCAGATCGCGTATGCTTGAATCTGTAAGTCATATGCGTCCAGCCTCTCACTTTTGAGCTTGGCATTCCGAGGCCTAGCAATGCATGTCCGTTGACATACGAGCATTCACATGACCACCGTTGGCTTCCACCTTCCCCATATGATGAGGAGTCGAGACCGAGGCCTAGCAAACAAGTTTGTGCTGGACTCTCTTGACTGTCGTACGTTATTGAAACACAGAGGTTTGAAAATAGGTATCACTGCTTTGAATTGCGCTTCACACGTGCCCCGTTACGTTGCAAAAGACAGCTCGAGCATTTGCCGTTGTTGTGAATAGCGCTCTCTGGTGCCGTTTTGCCGTTATCAAAGGGTGTCTCAGCTTCGGAAGACTCTGCAGCAATGTTTTTTTTTCCCCTGGAAATGACCAGGTGACTTCTCTTTCGGTATCTCACCCGCACATCCGGAGGACACATGCAGGTATGTAACTCTTCAAGGGAGCTTCGTTGGGGATCGAGAATGTTGCACTTGGGGATATTTTGAGTCCAGTGGATCTCTTCCAAGCAACGATCGACTCAACCATCACCAGCCCTTCCACGAAAGTTTGAGTTCACGGAAACTTTGCAAACCTCCACAAAGGGGAGTGAGACAGTTGAAATTTCATTCCAACAATAAATAACTTCGCAGCAATGTGGGACAATGCATTGTAGTCCAAGCTCTGCATTGTTCCAAGTTCCTTGAAATCGAGTATCGACAGTGGCTAAACTCTGCCGCCCATGAAGGAAGGGGTTCGTTGACTGGTGACCACATGGATCTTCGCTAATCACCCAGGCTCGGGAATTTTCGAGGTGGCTTTGGGCAGGCGTACGGTGTACCCAGTACCCAGTATGCTGAGCGGTTCAACCAGGGCTGGATGTTCGAAAAGCCACATATCGTCACCGTTGTATGTCGCCGCCGCAACTTCTTCCCACGGTTCCGCCAACAAACCCCCGCAATCCACCAGGTTGTCTTATCGATTCTCCCAGCCACCTGATATTTGAATCCCCGCTCTAGCGCAGATAGCTTCGTCATGTTTGAGTTTTTCCAGCCATTTGCTTTATCTTTTTTGCAAGAAGCGCAAGGTCTAGCGTCTGGGATTCTGCATTAGGCTCCCGCCATTGGAGCAAATGCTGCCTGCTCGCATGACCTCGATTTGAGACATGGACTAATGAGTTGGATCGGCTCGTTATCGACCTCTCTCCCCCCTCCCCGCGTGTCGCATACTTCAGGTCGGTCATTATGTAGCTCGCTAACGCGGTCGAGAAACCTATTTAGGCCTCGGCCGCGTAGATGGGCTTGAAGAAGTTTTTTTTTGCGGGCGTTCATCAGCAGCCCAAATGTATGGGGCAGTCGTCCAGCTCTTGACATGTGGCGACACTGGCTAGCGGTCGAAAACCGCCCAGGTCGCTAATTGCGAACGCTTCATGCACAGGAAACCCCACAAATGAATCGTGCACCTAGCACTCCGCAAAAATCACGTATGAGAGCAAAATACACACGTGGTTCCGACGCAGCGTAGGGAAAGGCTGGAGTGCGTGCCACCAGTATGAATCCCCACGGACGTGACGCGGCATTACTGTGGCTGTACAATATTGCCGTGCCCGTCCGTATCTCTGTTTGCTCTCCAAACACCTTCTTCGACTTCTCCAGTATCCGCGAACCACTCTCTCTTCCAGATCTCTGCTCGAGCCTTGACTCTCTCCAGGATCTCTTCAGCGCCTTTCCAGCCGCTGGCACGGTGCCCACTGCTCACGCTAACAGCAATGCTTTCCTCTTCGACCTTGACTTCACCCAGTCGATGAACAATGACGACTTTCTCTAGCCCATGCTTCTTCTGTACATCTTCGGCAATGGCGTAGAGAGATTTCAGGGCCAGGGAAGGATAGGCAGAATACGAAAGCCGAGAGACAGGGCGATGGTCGAAGTTGTTGCGAGTGGTGCCCAGAAACAAAACGTTGGCGCCAGCTGTGGGTGAGCGGGTGAAGCGTAAGTACGCTGGAATGTCGAGAGGGTCATAGACGAGTGAGATGTAGATGGTTTCGGAGGACAGGGTTTGAGGGAAGTTAGACGGGTCGAGAACAGAGATGGCTGCGGCTTTAGAAGACGAGGGTGGCTTCGAGGATGCATCTGTGCCGTTTGTCACGAGGGCTGAGGTGTCTGTGGGCATGGTTCATCCGTCGAAGTGAGGCTTGGGTAATATCGGGTAGCAACACTTCTATCACCCTGGAGTCAAAAAATGGACGATACCAGACCTTCACACTGCACTCATCATGGAGCTCATGTCCATAAGTCAAGTCTTTATTTCTTCCAGCTCCAAATCGTATGCGGCGAAAGGTTCTGGCTGATGGCGGAAACGATGAGAGCGACGTCTTCTTTAGCAGTGCAGTTGTTCCTGGCGACTGGATGCGCCGGTACGTCATATTATGTGCGGGTGAAAAAATATTTCATCCCACCGTCGCAACAAACCGCATCCCACTCACCAAGTCCAGCTCACACCTGCCCATTCTTGACCCAGCTCTATCGTACATGATCACCTGCTTATTACAAAAAGAAGAGTAGAATGGACCGCCAATGAAGACATCTCCATCGACATTGCCCTGCCTCCCCATTCCGCTTCTTGACAGCGAATAGCTGACGTTAGACATCTCTGGACAGCCTGCCCAACCACAGTCTCCCGTCATTGTGAGGCGACTGGGCGATGCCTTTTCATTCGCTACCGAAAGAATGCAACATCGCTTCCCGCCAAAACTCTCCCCACACAAGAACCAAGAAAGTCCAAAGCAAAAAAATCCGAATTATGCAAAAAACAACATCTTCAGCCGTCTTCAATGGAGCCACGTCTATGCTTCACCGCCTGCCATTTATCCCCTTCCTTTCCACTCGTACGGATCGGATTGCGGTGTTTGTGTGTCTAAACCTTCGCTTGCAGATGGATTGCCCTGATTCAGAAATCAGACTTCCCTAATGAAGAACTTCATGACCCGACAACCAGAATGAAGTGGCTGGTAAGCAATGGGATTGGATGCTGGGTATATGCAAGATCAGAGACGGCGTCATCTTGGTTCTGTGTCCTGTCAGGGTCTGATGGTGGACATGGACCAATATACAGTACACCTGTAGATCTTTTCTCGTTCGATTGCACTTTCATTGTTGTGATACATCTCTGTTCTTTCCATCATGAGTATCAAGGTACACTATCTCAGAAGTGGAGTTTAGTTTACACCATTACCTTCGCCCGTCGCCATGCTGTACAAGGGAGAATGGGATGCGGGCAGCGCTCAGCTCATTGCTTACCCCCGGATACAGTCTCTTTCTTTTGAAGATACGGCAGCGGCGTCGTATCAACCGGCTTCCTCTCTCTTCTCCAATCCTTGATATGCTGCAGCACAATGGCCGCTGCACTCTCAGGGGTATCTTGCCTTCCAATACACTCGACAAAGTCGCCTTCAGGATCCATCACGTAAAAGTATATGCTGTGGTCCACCAAGTAGTCTTCTTCACCAGGCTTCAACTCTGGCGGCGTCGAGAAATATACCCGATATTGCTTACACACGTCTTTTGTTTGCTGCCATGTACCGACCAATCCGAGGATGGCGGGATGGAACTCGGCCAAGTATGCTTTGAGGACTTCGGGAGTGTCGCGGTTGGGATCACAGGAGATGAAGATCGGCCGTACTGTGTTCGGGGCTCTCTCTTGAATAATATCGAGGGCTTCGCCCATTTTGTCGAGCTCGTCAGGGCAAATATCGGGACAATGGCTGAACCCGAAATAGATCTGCCAAACAAAATCACGGGTGAGCTTTCGAGAGGCACTCCATATCTTGATCAGGAGGGGAACATACGAGTGAATACTTCCCCAACAAATCCTTGTCCGTGAAATCATTCCCATCTACATCCTTCAATGCGAACGGACCGCCGACCTTCGGTTTCCCATATCCTTTGCTCATCTCCACAATTCTCTTGCGCTCCAACCTCTTCTTCTCGAACTGGAAGTAAAATATCATGCCTGCGCCGACGCCGACGAAGAGCGCCGCTGATCTGAATGAGAATGGCTGCACACCCAAAGCGTCAGAGGAAGACACGTACCCCGGATAAAGATACGTACGCCTGTGCGGTGGTGCGATCTGTCTCCCGCTCTCAATCTCGGGCTGGAGGATGAGAAAGGCCGCGTCTGTAGACATTGCGATGACAGAGCATATCGTTGTGGCCGCTGCAATTGAACGGGAGATGGTCTGGTTCGAACAGGCGTCGTCTGGCAGTGGATCGATCTGCAACTGCTTGACGCCGGCTGAGCAACTAGCCGTTTCACGGCTCGCTGGAAGGAAGGTATACGTCCAGGCATTTTATTGACAATTCGGTAGCGAAGATGCAGGAACCGGTTCGGAGCACTGTTGATGGGTGGCTTGATTCAAGCAACTTTCCACTGCGGCGTGAGACCTAGTGCGGCACCCGAAACGGTGAAACTAGAGAATCGGAAGCGCATTCGAAATAGTCTGCCCTTGGTCTGCCCAAGTCTACCCAAGTCTGCCTCGTCGCACCACGAACCTTTCCACTTTACCTTGTCACAGAACAGGCACTATCTCAGGGCAAGAGGGAGACAGTCGTGATGCATCGCAAAACTAACAGCAAATCTAAGTTTCAAAGAGAAGGCCGATCACAGCTATGCCAGTACAATTCGACCTTCTCGCATTCGCTCCCTTCCAACATTGACCTCCCAACCTGCCTCACTAGACCTTCAGTCACATTAACATCCGACTTCTCTTCACAACCCTTGGGTGGGCTCTGAGGATTTCCCCTTTCTCTCCATAGTGTAAGTGAGTTTGAGACTCAGCCTCAGCTTGTTCTTTTCGTGGAGACTCTCGAAATCCTCGCACAGATTCGCTCGACCTCCCTTCCTCTCTTCTGCTGCTTTTGGAGCTGGTTCCCTGGTTGTTGCCCTTGCCACCGCAACATGGTTGTACTGGGAAGCAACATACTGTTGTCCCAGAACAACGTCACGGTACAGCATGTTCTGACCCGGTTGAGAAATGGATCCAATAAGGGTGCATCGTGTCTTTGATCAATACTTGTCTTCCGTACGGGAGGTAGATCGTGAAAGTCAATGCCGAGTGTGGTCGACTAATTTCGATCAGGTCAAACGGACGGACATTTCGCCTCAGCCTTAATTGATTCACACATACAGCGAACGACGGACGAAGACTCGATAGACGTATTTCCTAGCATACACAAACCTTCCTCCTTGGTCAATTCCACCATGTTCCCATCCTCGCTTTCAGAATGCCGTCACTCTAACTCTGTACGGTTGGTCTTCCATCTCGAACCGCGACATCCGGCACAATGGGATGCTTGTTCTCGTCCTCTCCCGCCACAGGCGGCGGCACATACTCTTTGCGCCCAGCCTTGTGGATACGTCCATTGATCATGATGACATTCAACTTGCCGTGATCCTGGAGGATGTCGATGTTGTCAATCGGGTTGCCGTCAACCAGGATGCAGTCTGCGTAATTGCCTTCCTTGATCTGGCCCATCTCGTCGGCTCGCATCATGAGTTTGGCCACGCCATAGGTGGCGGCGATGATGGACTCGTGGGCGGTAAAGCCCATCAAGTTCTTGAAATGGGCCAAGTCACGAGCATAGGTTCCATGGGGGGTCCATGCGAATCCATAGTCACTAATGAGCGACAGCTTAGTGGTCGTCCGCGTGATGAGGTGAGAGAATCACAGGAGCATACTTACCCGCCCGGGAGAACCACAATACCTCTCCGATGCATTTCACGAAGGCCTCGTAGTGCGACCTCAAGCTCCTGGTTGTTGACCTTGAGTTAGCATACTTGACTCAAGTCAACTGATGTGTTTGGGGCAGTTGCTCGTGGCGGCTGGGGGACTTGCCTTCTTATAACCAACTTGCTCAGCTTTCTCGTGTGAATAACCGAAAGCTGCCGCGTCGTTCAAGGTTGCAACGAGCCAGTTGATCGCTGGAGCCACAACATGCTTCATCCTCGCAGCTTCCAGCATGCCCATGCCTTCTTCGTCGATATACGACCCATGATAAATGACGTCCACTCCATGCTGCAATGACATTGTGAGTCCCCTACATCTCGACTGTTTCGGACTGTGGATGAGTGGGATATGCAACTCACTTTGACGCACATCTTTACGGAATCTCTCGCTCTTGCGTGGGCACAGATGGATTTTCCTGCCTTGTGTGCTTCGTCCACACAGGCAGCCGTCTCCTCATCCGTGAAATAGCAGTCTTGGGCTGATCGTACTTCGCAGATCTAAAGGGTCCGAGTCAGCAACAAAATGGACATATCGCGGCTCGAAGACCTTTTTTCGCCTACCTCTTCTCCAGACATGACCAATTTGATGTTGTCAACCCCCAGGCCAGCATGATGTCGAATGACTTCTCTCATCTCCTCGGGAGTGTCTGCAAATGCTGTGATCGCTGATTCCAGGTCACCGTCATGCTTGGCCATTTCCTTGCCGTTGGCGAGAGACCGCGGTCCTGGAATGTCACCGGCATAGATAGCGTCCCTAATTGCGATGTCCTGCCGCTCCTTTGCAGATGCAGCCCCGTAACACCTATCAAAGAAGATCAGGATTTTCCTCTCAACATCCGGAGAGACACAAAAGAGATGTCATACATGGTGTAGCCGGAATCTAGGTAGCATTTCGCACTCCGTGCCGTCAAAAGCGTGTGCTCTTCAACATTCAAGGTGCCCAGAGAAGCGAGGTCGCCGCCGTTCCAGGAGAAGTGGGTGTGCGAGTCACCCAAGCCCGGCATCAAGGTCCTCCCCTTTCCTTGGAACACTCGAACATCCGGGTCTTTCAGCAACTGGTCCTTGTTGGCGACATTGCCGACTGCCTTGATCCGTTCACCTAAAAATAAGAAGTCAGCGGGCGAGCACAGTCGGATAGAACAACACTAGGCCAGGGCAGGACCCGCTTATCAACGACGTCTACCTCTCTCTATCTGTCTCTGTCTTACCTTGTATAAAGACGTCGCCTCGGTAAATTGGCTTTCCCGTGCATTCCAGGATGTTTACATCGAGGAAAAGGACTTTGGAGTTGGGATCCGTGCCCAGGATCTCGTACTTGGGAGGCTTAACGCTCTCGTTGAATTTGATGGCATCAATATACGCGACGTTGCGTGGAGGACCATCGTAAGGCTCGGGTTGGTACGCAGGAGAGGTCCACGGGACATCTTCCACGATCCTTGCTGGAGCCATGTCGGGAGCAGTTCAGGACGAGAAGGTACCAACAAAAGTACTTCCAAGAGTATCTTTCCGGATCCCCCGGTCAAGTAACACGACCTCGCCAGATATATTTTCTCACGTATGGCGTCTCTTGATATGGTATTTGATCAAGAAAACAGTCGGGCGAAAGGGGAGGTAGGGAGGGCGGCGCACCTGGACTACCTACACCTCCGCCTACTGCACGGATGGCATCTTGCCGGCTCCTAGGATTCTCAAAGCATCTGTCGAGCGCTCTTTGCCCAACGGGACACGGCTCTTCACTCCTCAACATGTGCGCAATGCAAGGTGTCAGACTACTTCCGACCGTCTGTGCCGCATCCTTCTTGCTGCTCATGCACCCCGCAAGTTAGGTCCCCGCGTTTATCCACCCATAGGCATCCACGTAGGAGGTCAACACCTCAGTGTTGCAGCAAGGAGAGGGGTTGGATCCCCATAGACGTGATTCGCACATTGGCAACGTTGCTAAGATTGGATTCCACACGCAAGGGGGGGATCCTTGTCACATCCGTATCGAAACCATTCACACACCAAAAGATCATCCGTGGCGAGAAAGATCCCCGCCGGGAATGGACGGGGATTGACGGGCTCTTTCTGAGAGGGGAGGGGAGGGCAAGGGGGGATATGTACTTGAAGATACTGTCTGTACTGAGTACTTGTCACGCCCGCGTTACTCGGGAGGGAAAGATACCATTGGCAGCACCTTTTGCGTGAGGGGTAAACGCCGTCCCATCAAGTGTGTGTTGTAACTTCTTGGTCTTCAGCAAAAGTCATGGGGTGGGTGCAAGCGTCACGAAGGGGCCGATTTGGACCGACAAGTAATAATAGTCCTCTCAAACAAGATGGCAAGGTTGTTACTCATGTGGAAGACGTGGACGGTGCCCGTGGCCAGGAGGACGACATCACGAAGAGGTCGTCATCAAGCACTACCGGCACCGGCACCAGCACCAGCACCAGCACCAGCAAACAATTCCCCTTTGCCCCCGAGTCACTCTCAGACGATGCACTTCCTTTCATCCCGAAGGAAGCGGTCCTCGAACGCGGGAAGCAGTCGAAGAAAACATTGCGAGACCAAGGGAATAATCACGACGGAGAAGGGAAGCAGGAAGACAACAAGGACAACGAACATTGGATCGTGATTGACGATATCGTTTTTGATTGCAGCGATTTCATCTCTGAACACCCCGGGGGGCAACAGGTCATTCTCAGCTTTGTGGGAGAGGATTGTTCATGGCAGTTTTGGCGGTTACATGGCAAGAACATCATGGAGCAATATGGCCGCGCCCTCAGGGTCGGGAGGACCGAGGGCATCAAAAACAGATTTGTCGAACCAGTCAGATACGTCGGGTTGTCGAAACTCGGTGACGATGGCTGGTAGAGGAGTTGTGGCGAGTGATGGGTTTTCTAGAGAGAAGGGACTGGCCATCTCATATATATACCCGCATCCGATAGATAGCCAGAGTGAATTCTACTTCCCATGTATTCCTGCACAATGACTTGAATTGCTCCGTCAGACTTGATGTTCTTGAATTCTGCGGCATGTTTTCTGGCGGCGCACCAGCTGCCACCCTTTTTGAGCCCATATCTCATTTCTTCTCCTTGTACATTGGAAAAGTAGGTATGTTGAAAGGCGTGACGCCCCCTGCGTAGAGTCCAGCAACTCCGGCCCAGTCTAGAAAGTGAAAATTGGTTAGTGGAGCACCACTTTATATGTGGTATGGCGACTTACAGGTCAAGAATGCCACCACAAAACCGACCGAGTTTCCAGCGATAAGCAATGACGAGCGGTTGAACATATAGCCACAAGCCAGCAACAGAAGGTCGAGGTCAAGGAAGGCAAGATCCAGAAACAAGACCCATGAAGCTCGACATGCGGCGACTCTGGATTCTATTTAGCATCGAAACGTATTGAAAAGTGGAACGGACTCGAATTTCCGTCAGTACTGGGACATGATTTCGAGGACACTTACGTGTATATTACTGTGAGGATAAACCAAGCCCACAGAAACATGGCGATAGCTTGATTGAACTCGGGGCTAATTTGGCCTGTTGTCTTATCGGTGTACGCAGCAAGAATTCCACTACCTGGGATGTATATCATTGCATAAGCGACGTTGAAAGCTCCGTAGGATGAGAAGACCGTGGCTCCAAACTGAGAGGATAAGTTAATATTCACAGCAAAGCGTGGCTGGGCTTATAGATTCTTACCGTGTTCCCTGAGATAAATTCCATAATGCCACTCAGGTACTGACATACTCCTCCAAAGAACGTAATCATGCCAACGAGGACGTTGGGGGTATAGATGTTTCGAACATGGACGCCGTAAGCAGAAATGAGGAATATTCCTTCGATATCTCAGTCACTGGATCCAAGTTTCATCTGTTTCTGGGAAGCCTACCCGTTGCGAAAGAGAGTAGTCCCAAGGGCGCTGGGTTTGCAAATGACCGGTGCACCACTGGGAGAGCGGGTTGAGATCTATCGTCTTCATGGCCGCCCTTGGTGCGCACGCGCTCCACACGCGGTCCCTCTTCATGAGCGGCAACGGACTTTTCAAGCTGGTCAGCCGAATTGTATGAGGACATCTTGCTGACTGATTTTATGCAGTGCAATGAAGACAGCTTCAGATAGAACGACGAGAGATCCAAGTGACTGGTCTTTTCTGCTCGGAAAATTTTCAAGAATTATGCTTCCAGAAGCGTTTCGTTACTGCAGGTTTAATGAGATCGTCTCTGACCTTCTTCAGCCTCCTTGGAGCGCTCTCTTACCATCGTGTTGAAGCGGCATCACCCCGGACGAAGATGGGTTTCGGCATCATACCGCGCATTGGATCGGCGCTTGAAATCGACCAAGACTCGTCCTATGCAACGGAAACAAGAAACACGGGCGGCGGTGAGGTGCTTGTGTCGACGGAGCAGTTCATCCTGGAGGTCATAGAGCACGGTCTAGCCAAGTTGCGGGGTTCAAACGAGGCGACACCTGTGAACCATGCTGATGGACTTGGTGATAGACTTCCTTGGCATTTGATGGGCAAAACTATGATGGGACCTTCCCAATAACGTTGGGTAGGAGAGAGGAAAAGGGTTAGATGGTTGAGGAGATGTTAGATGCGTGGTGGAGAGGAGGGAAGATGGGCGGAGAAAGGCGGGCGAAAGCGGCGCAGAATGACAGACCTACTCCGGTACTCGGTACGCTATCGCGGAGTGTCTGTCTCGCTGGCCCATCGGCAATCACACCGGCGTCATTATCTGGTGGGCAACTGGCGACCGAGGCGACCTTGTTTTCCCATTCTTGCCCATTCATCCCTGACGCCGCATCAAAGCAGATCTCATGTCACTGGTGATGACGGGGCAAACAATGGTCAGGCTCAAATGACGATGAAAATTGTCTTACTGCCCTCAATTCCTCTCTATTCATCACATCCAAAATATCTCTTTTGCCCAGATAAGTAGAATTTCTTACTGAGATTAAGCATGTCTTCATCTTTTACAAGCGGCGTGGCTCATGCCGGGAAGAGCTTGACCAACTATGCATCCTACGTGCCAGAAGGAAGCAGACAGCCGCGGATTGGACATCTGGATCTGGAATCCAATACCATTACACCTCTTTCCTACCTTTCTGGGACACCAATACGGAGCCTTTACGAAGTGATTGAAGCAGGCGAGGGTGCTTTTGTCCAAGCCGGAGAACCTTTTCCACGAAGCAAGGCGAGGTTGTTACCCCCGATCTATGGCCGCGATATTCTTGCTGTTGGGAAGAACTATGCGGTAAGGACTACCCTGTGACATGGACATTGCCTGTCTCTGATACTGGTGTTCTCCAGGCCCACGCCAAAGAATTCAACGCTTCGGGGTAGGTACTTCAAAATCAACGGCTGAATACCAGGTAACGTGCTAACCAGTTGACCTTTACAGCTATGACAGCTCCGACAAGGTCGACATGCCCACCCATCCTGTTATTTTCACTAAACGGTGGACTTCTGCAATTGCCGACGGGGATGAAATCTATCCCCATCCGGGATTCACCGAGTCGGTGGACTATGAAGGAGAAATCGGCGTCATTGTGGGCAAGTCTGGATTTAGGATCAACACAAAGGATGCCCTGGACCATGTCTGGGGGTTCACCATCATCAACGATGTGACAGCGCGCGAACGACAGCGAGACCACAAGCAGTTCTACATTGGAAAGTCGTGAGTGGCCTGTTCCTTGTAAAGGGCCTCCTCTGTTTGAAGGACCACGTGCCACTCTATTCGAGTGCTCGTGATGTCAGCTAACAGTGTTCTGCAGCCCTGATACTTTCGCCCCGATAGGCCCGATAGCCGTTCCAAAGGAACATCTTCCAAAGGAGCTCACTGTTACAACGACCGTGAATGGAGAAAAGCGACAGGAAGGTACAACTAACGACCTGATCTTCAGCATACCGACTTTGGTCGAGACACTATCCGCGGCACAGACACTACAGCCTGGAGATGTTTTGGCCACCGGGACGCCCGCCGGCGTTGGGTTTCGCTTCGACCCCAAGGTGTGGCTGCATCCTGGAGACGTGGTCAAGATATCAGTGACAGGCCTGGGGACATTGACCAACCGCATTGCAAGCCCGGAGTCGAGAAATACGATCCTCAATCATATTGTATCCTCCGCGGTACCCGTCGCAAATGACCGGACGATCGAGGGTCGTGGCCTGACCTCTGTTGGTTCGAAGCACCTCTTCTACCAGCGAAAAGGCGGTGACGGTGCTGGGCGGCCAATCTTCTTCATCCACGGTCTGGGCGGCACTTCGGATTATTTTGGACCCGTGATGACAAGGCTGGGAAACTCTTGGACATATCATCTTTCCGATCTCGAGGGTCATGGCCTATCACCGACATCCGCAACGAGCAAGCTGAGCATCGCGTCCTTTGCTTCAGATGCATATCAACTCTGCTCTCAGGCTGGAATCAACGCCGAGTCAGGATTGACCGTGGTGGCACATTCGATGGGCTGTCTGGTCGCGATGAAACTGGCGTTGGATCATCCGGATTTGGTCAAGACACTCATCCTGCAAGGGCCTGGGCCCTCACCGCTCCCCGAAGCCGCCAGCAAAGCCACATATGCCAGGGCCGCCCTTGCTCGTGAAAAGGGCATGCTCGGAGTTGTGGATGCTGTGGTTGGTGCAGGGACATCTGATTACAGCAAGGCACATAATCCTCTGGCGATTGCCGCTGCTCGAATATCCCTGCTGGGACAGGACCCCGAAGGATATGCGAAGGCATGCATAGCACTGGCAGACTCAGTCACGGATACATTGGACATCGCAGCACTGAAAGCAAGAGTGCTGATTATCACAGGAGACGAGGACAAAGTCTCCCCGCCGGAGATGTGCAAGAAGATGAAAGAAAAAATCCCCAACTGTGAGGGTGTCGTTGTGCTGTCGCATGTCGCGCATTGGCACCTGTTTGAAGCGCCCGAGAGTGTCTGCTCGGCTGTCAGCGACTTCCTGGGTAAGCAGTAGCCCCTGCCACCCCCTTTTCAGAAACGAATTGCGCCAGGGCAGGAGGTGAAAGGTGGAAGGTGTAAGGTGGAAGGTGTAAGGTGGAAAGTCGTCGGTGGCTGGTGGAAGTTGCAAAATGCCTCCCCCGTACGTACAGGTATCCACGACCTTCTTTCGATCGACTTAGATAATTTAGAGCTAGATAGAGTTTTATTCGGACCATGGGGTCGCTCTAGAGTTCCTTTGTGCTCAAACGGAATCACGCAGTAGGGGGCATAAGCAGGGATGTGGATGAATCTAGTTGTTGTGATACCCGTAGTTACTTCCGTAAACGACCCGGGGCTTTGAGCGGGGGAGCGGCATTGAGATGTACAAGTAGGTAGCGTACCCAGTACCCAGTACTGTACATGTAGTTGAGGGCCCCTACCTACCTAGGACTTACTTAGGCTCACTAGGCCGTCAGGGGTGCCCAGTGGTTCCCAGTTGTGCCTAGCGGTGCCTAGTGAAGCTACATTCGTCCCGAATATTCCCTGGTGCCCTGGAAGCTGTCGCCGGGTATGCCCCTCCTGGACTTAGTTAGGCAGGTTCGTCGCCCCCAGGTTACACTTGTTACACTTAAACGGACCCGGCTCCCGGCCCCGGATTCCATTTCTCAATGCTTAACTTGACGAATATCTCCCTACTCCGGCACTTTGTCTTGCTTCATCCTGTTTTCCAACCTTCGACTTGCCGCTCAATTCACATCACAGTGTCACTGTGCTCTATCTCCTGCTGAGGATACCGCCCGCCGCTTTTATCGTGGCCTCTTGGTCATCAGAAGGGGTTGCTATCTCGTCCCTCCACCTGCAGAGACTTCAAGACCGGCTCCGTGTCAGATGGCGCCGCAAGTCGACAAACGGCAACCTCGGGTACCTCTGAGCTGCGAAAACTGTCGAAAGCGAAAGATAAAATGTTCGGGCGAGAGGCCATTTTGCGACACATGTGCCCGTCGTGGCTTCAGTCATACGTGCTTCTATCTGCGCCAAAACGCACCATCAGGCTCCAGTTCCGACGAGGTCCTCCAAAGGATGAGGCGAGTCGAAAATCTCCTCGAGAGACAAGTCTACCTGCTTGAGCAGCGTCTTGAGCCCTTCCCAAAGTCGCATTCTTCAAATCATGATACTTTGTCACAGCATCAATCGTCATCAGTGAACTCGTCGCCGTGGACGGAAGTCGAAATGGCCCCTTTGGACACTGCACCTTCAACTGTTGTTGGTACGGTCCTGGAATCCGAAGGAGGATATGAACGATTCATCCCCGGACTCGCCTCTTCAGATGCAGACGCTGTCAACGAGCTGATTCAATCTGCCTCGGCCCCGCCAATGTCATTAAATTTTCCGTTTTCAATAGATCTACCCGCTACGCGAAGTGCGCTTTTGGCCGCCTTGCCTCCGGCAAGACAGTGCGACGAATTGAAGAACATATTCTTTGAAGTTTTCTCGCCGGTATGTTTCCCCAAGCTTCTTGGCTTCGTTTAGCACTCTCCCTGGCTCTGAAGGACGGGTTTGTCAAGGCTCGAGAGGCGAGCTCCCCGAGCTCAAAAATTTACACCGTCCAAGTTGCTGCAGACATGGAGAGAAAACGGCGTGCTTTCTCCTCGTCGCGACATCGGTAGGTCTAGGCGGATAGGGTCTCGTTCCATTGGATGGGAAGAGAGGACATGTCATCTTACAGTCTTCCCCGTGATTGCTCTGTCGCGCCGTCAAATCCACCAAAACTACTCTGTCGACCCAAGCTAACTCTCGTCGAACAGCTCTTTCACATACTCCATGACCCCACATTTCATGCCGAGTATGCCAACTTCTGCCAATGCCGAGGAGAGGTGTCACTCTCATTTCTCGCGTTGTTGTTTGTGATTCTCTCCATCTCCGTTACCGCGTTAGATTCGGATCATCCGCTGCTGGCGGACCTAGGAATGGAAACAACGGCTTCAGCAAATATCAAAAGCTTGGCGACAAAGTACCGAGCAGCCGCAATGGGATGCCTTTCCGCCGATCAATTCCTCTGGCGACACAACTTGCACACTGTCCAGGCTCTGGTGCTCCTGATATACGCACTTTCACACGCTCATGGCCCATCATGGGCCTTGTTGGGGACCACTTTCAATATCTGCGTATCGATCGGTTGTCATATTGACCCATCTCAACTAAATTTAAACCCGGTGAGAAGTGAACAGAGGCGCCGGGTCTGGGCAGGCCTCATGTTACTGTACACCATTCAAAACACTTGTCTGGGCAACCTTGCCCCAATGAAGGTTACCGCCATCGTCCGTCTTCCCGCGGACGTCGATGATGAACAGATCTCCATGTACGACAGTCCGCAGTCCCATACGGATGAATCTCAGCCAAGGCCTCTTAGCAAAATGTCGTACATCCTCTTCAAATTCAAGCTGTATCAATTGGCATCTGATATAACACACTTCGCCAGGGGAAACGGGGACTTGAATGGCCTAATCGACCTCGACCGGCGGATCTCCAGAGAAGAGCACGAACATGACGCCCGATTCACCGACGTCCGGCAGCTTCCAATCTACCACCTAGCTCATCTATATATCATCAAAAATTACACAAACCACCTCCGGCTCATTCTGCATCGACCGTATCTTCCGCCGCATTCCTCGGCTACAGATAACGCACTGTTCGAGTTCCCAGAACAAGTGCTCCAAAGCCGGCAGTATTGTAAAATGTCGGCGATGAAGATCCTCAACAACCACGAAGATCTGTGTTGCGACGACAGGCTGAGACCTTATCGCTGGTTCGTGTATGGACTGGGTGGCTACCAGACGTTTCTGGCGGCGTCGACACTCGCGGTGCTTCTTGGATCGGAGGACGATTCGGTCGCTTCGGACCGGGCAGATGTAATCTACACCCTACGAAGATGTCAGGCTCGATTCGAGCAGCTGGCCTTGAGAAGCGACATCTCTGCCAAAGCTGCCCGGATCCTGCGCCGAACGCTCGGGTCTCCTACGAACGGAAGCGGCGGCGGCAGCGGTCCTCCTCAAGACCTCCCTGGCCTGCACCATCAATCGTCGAACTTAAGCGACGAGTCCAAGACGCGCAGCATGAGCCACAGACTACAAACGCCGGCTACAACTACTAATGGCGGCAACCATGGTCACGGCCATGCTCCATCAACAATGGGCCCCAGCTCCGGCTACGCCGCCGGGCTATTCGCCACCCCTCTTGCGCGTCCCTCATCCTCCCCATCCTTCTTCCCCTGCCCCCAGCCCATCTACGAGCTCATGTCCCTCCCGCCAGAGCAGTGGCTCGCAGGTCCCTCCGCCCTCGCATGGGACTGGAGCAGCTGGGTCGATGCCGCTGAGCCAACAATGGCTCCGCAAAACATGTTCGCGGACGCTTCGGGAGTCATGATGTGACGTACTGTGACGTGTTGTTCCATGACCTTCAGTACTGTGGATGTACTGTGCTCCAATGATGTGAGCTGAGCTGAGCTGAGCTGAGCTGATCTGATCTGAGCTGACTCGAGCTGAGTCAAGCGGCTCATCGGAGCCACAGTCTGGGAAATGAAATTTAAATTGTCCTCCTGTTTTTTGTAGCATTAGTCCGAATCTTTTAAAATATTGGTCGTCTCCACCTCGATATCTGTTTTGGATTGATTAAATCACCCAGGTATCCGTGCAATATCACCTCTCATGCGCATTACTCACGACTCTGGAAGCGCATTTGGTTGTATGCGGAACAGCTTGTCTCCATGCCCAGGGCCTCTTATTGTGACTAGGCCACAGTCAGGCACTAAGTTTTTATGTACAGCGATTGGAGACCCTGCCGTGTATTTCCAAGGGGATATCGACATTCAATACTCAATACTCAATAGCATGGGGGATACGAACAACCCGATGCCATGGCGGATATATACCAGACAACCAGACACCAGCGCCTATTCACATACTTTTTTTTTTTTTTTTTTTAAAAAAAGCGTCATCGGAGAGCCATCTCCAGCCTGTTCCTGACAGCTAGCCACCAGCTCGCCTGCCGCTCGGCCTGGCTCCTCTGTTGGATGGCCCTGATTGTGTCAACGGGCCGTTGCGACTCGACCTGTTTCTCGGTGAAGAAATTGCCATGCAGACCGTAAGGCACCCTCTGGGTCAGATGCACACGAGCAACGATCGTCTTCATGTCTCTGGCGTCAATGACCCACAACTCGCTTTTGGCGTCAGGGCGACATTCTCCAGACGAGTCTAGCTGTGATTCGTCGAAGACGTAGGTCAGCAGCCAGCCATCGTCTTCACGAGTGCCGTTTTCACGCGGTACAAAATGTGGCTCTTGAGCATAGCAGCCTGGTGGCAGGCGAAAAATGGAGATGGGGTCATCCTCCTCTTGAGACTCGAGAATTTCGTTGACAGACCTTGTATCCACACATCCAGTGATAGACCGGAGATGAGAATCATTCTTGCCTCGCTTGATTAGTGTCTCGGCATCTACCTTAACCAAGCAGTCGATCTTGACAGCGCGACCAAGGGCGGTACCAAATGTACCCCTGGAAGTGGAACAACCAAAGATATATTTCGCCTCATCCATTGTTCTGTCTTTCCTGGCGTTGGGAAATTCGAAGGGGACGGCACTCAATCCGAACTGGTGAGTTATGCCATTCTCTTCCGGCTGGGCTAATGAAAACTGGTAGTAGTAGAGCCGGCACTGTTCTTCTTCACGATCAGACTCGTTAGATGTCGGTTGCGGACAGGGAACGTTGCCAGCGGAGTAAATGAGCGAAGCCGAAGTCAGTCGACATGCGAGCATATTGACAGCAGTCGTCTTCATGTGCCCCGTCGCCTTGTCAACCACCTGATCATCCCACGTATTAGCCGTGTGGAAAATGCAGCATGGGTTTGTCTTAAACCACACAATCTTCTGCGGAAAGTATCGAGGAAAGACGCCAAATCGAGATAGGGAAGTCGGGTCATAGGCAACCACGGGTTTACTCGTTGTCAAGTTCAAGGGATCCAGCGACAGAGGCAAGTCCATGATGACAGTATGGTGAAAAGAGACACCGAAATCATGCATCATCTTCGCCGATGAAACACCCGGGACCGGGGCGTTCAGGAGCCTTGTCGGTCGTTCGAGCGGCGAAAAGGAGATGGCAGGCGGGTAAGTAGCAGGTATAATCGAATAATGTACATATGGAGGGGCAAAAGTCGAGTGGAAGAGGACCAGCTCTCCCGTCTTTGGGTCGACACGAGGGTGTGCCGTAGTCCATTCTTTCATGAATCGCAGTAACCCCTTTCCGCCAAATCCTGGGCCTTCTTCGCCTCCCATCTCTCCACCTGCTCTTTTCCCATTGAACCAGCCAACAGTCTCGAGGCCCGGAAGAACGATTCTCATTGGAGGACCAGATTCACAAGTTGCGAGGGCACGCCCATCATGAAACAAGACCCCCGTGTTGGCCACGCTGATTTTCTTGATGACTTGGGTTGAGCCTGGAAGTCGCGATAATACGACAAGCAGTATTGTGCGGAAAACCGTGACTATGATCTGGTACAACGAGGACAGAGGATCGACTAGCGTTGCAATACTGGGGAGGATTGGGGCGCACAGGTGTTTTGAGGATACCGTCGACAGGTAGATGTCGGTCAAGATGTATTGATTGACGAACTCTGGTTGGACACCATCTGCAGTTCGCGTAAATGCGACACCACTGAGCATGCCATCGCCATCGAACCAGTGTGCGTCTCGGCCTAAGTCTTCATTTGCTACAGGATTGCCGCCATTTCGAACATATTCACCCCCGATCAGCTCTTTTGGTATCCTCCCTGAGTATGTGCATGCTGTCAGACTTTGGATCTTCTTCGTAGGAGCAAAATTGCCGCTGAGGTACGGGTGTGGATGACTTCTCTTGCGATTTCGAGCGGTCGAGGTACCTATCGAGGATGCGTCGGATGTGGGCTTTCTGGAGCTATCTGTTGCGGCCACGGAGGAAGGCGACTTAGTCGTGGTCGAGGAACCGGCATGAGGGAGCCGAGCAGCAGTGGAAGTTCTCGACATTGTCCAATCAAGGAGCGTTCGGTGTTGTGTTGGTCGCTGCTAAACATTGACGAGTACTAGTACGGGTACAGTACTGTACTTGGTAGACCTGTATCAGAAAGAGTGCATTGAAGGGGTCACGCCAGATCGACGTCAGAGTCCAGACTGGAGGTGTTACTGGCGTCCGAGAGACCCGAAGGATCAAGCTCAACATGCTTTTGGATCACGCAATGGATGAAAATGAAAAATGGAGAGGAATGGAAAAGACTACCAGTCCTTGTACGAGTAGTTCACATGTTAGTATTTCGGTCTTCGTTGGAAACTCACCCCTTGACTCTTTGGAGACTAGAGGTAAGATAGCGTCTACCAAGTATTAGTATCTGATGTCCACATGATGAACTTGGAGGGGACGGGGGGAGGCCTTGATCTCAAAGCAAGCAGGCCATCTCTGAAATTCATAGGTACAAAAGGTAAGGAAATGAGGGGGAAGCCCAGCGAAGATGGAAGGCCAAGGACTGACGACAGAGAAGTGCCTCGTAAGGTGAAAAACAAGTGACAGTGGATGCCATGGCGTCATCAAGCTTTTGCTAGCGTGGCGCCAAAATGGGACTAGTGATGCTATCCTGGGAGAGCTCGGTCAGATCTTGAAAGGGAAGGTTAGCCGGGACGCCCTCTTTTCTGGCTGCTTTTGCCGGGAGTTTGAATGCCGTGGCACCGTGGGCCGTCAGCCTCGTGTCCCATGTTGCCCATGTCAGATCGGTTCTCTCATCTGTGGCTTGACCTTGGAGACCTTTCGACTTCTCTTTCGTCCTAACTTGGAATGTGGAATGTGCGCGTCATGATATCCCAAAAATTTCATGGCTTCCACCAGAGTGTCTGTGCAAGTGCGCTCGGCCATGTCTGCATGGGTTTTCACTCCATGTCAAAGTTTTAATTATCCCTCCACTCGTCTTGAGAGCTCACGGCTGATCTCGATACGATGGCCTCTGCCGCTGCCGCAAGCCTCTACTGAGACAAGAACGTTGGAATCTTCCCTCGCCGGTGGAATCCCCCCTTTCAATCAACCATCGGAACTCTGCCCTGATGTATGACTATGTGCTGGTGTACGTAATCCTCTGCTCGGGCCCCCTTTTCGTTGCAATGTCTGACATGTCCAACGTCCACAACAGTCACGTTGCCTACACAATTCCCCTTGCAATAGCCTTGTCCCTTATCCTAGGGCCTTTATTGTCGCGACGGGATATCTACAAGATATGCTTCCTGCAATTTGTCGCTGTCACGTACACAATTCCCTGGTGAGTGTGGACTCAACATCTCCTATGGGGGAAATGCTGACCAGACCAGGGATTCCTACCTTATCAGAACCAGGGTCTGGAGTATGTCAATTTATTCCTATCTTGGTACGAGGTATTCCGTACTAACTTAACCTAGCATACCCACAAGATGTTATTCTAGGACCGACACTGTTTGACATCCCTGCTGAGGAAGTCTTCTTCTTTAGCATTCAGACTTATATTGTAAGCACTTGACTCTTACCTGTGTTCAGGCAAACGTTCTAATTCTGAAGTAGACCACATGTCTACAGATCCTCCTCAACAAACCAATTCTCACTGCAATTCACTTGCATAATGAATCGGACCTTCTCGACCCCGTTGGCAAGTCGCTATGGCCATGGAAGCGAGCAGGCCAACTCGTTTTCTCGCTGGGCTCGGTGATTCCAGTCCTTCTGCGCGAAGGTGACACCAAAGGCCAATACATGCGACTCATTTTGGTCTGGGCATGCCCGGTAATGTTGATGCTCTGGACATTTGCTTACCAACTCCTTCTTACATTGCCATGGACAACAACCTGGTTGCCTATCACTGCTCCGACATTATATCTGTGGGTCGTGGACACGTTGGCTCTTCGCAGGGGTACCTGGAGTATTGAATCGGGCACCAAGCTCGGGATTCAAGTTTGGCCCCATCTGGAACTCGAAGAAGCCGTCTTCTTCCTTCTGACAAACACCCTTATCGTATGGGGCGCAGTCGCCTTTGACAATGCCGTGGCTATTCTCGACTCTTTCCCCGTCCATTTCACTACGGTCCCCGGGATCCCGCCTCCGACCTTGATGTTCAAAGCTTTACTTCTCCCTACATCGGATTATGACACCGCCCGTCTCGAGGGTTTACGAAATGCACTTACAGTCCTTGCTCAGAAAAGCCGATCATTCTATCTGGCCTCAGGTGTCTTTGCAGGCCGTTTGAGGATTGACTTGATCCTTCTGTATGCATTTTGCAGAGTGGCTGATGATTTGATCGATGATGCACCTTCGGCAGAGGAGGCAGACAAATGGGTGCAGCATTTCACCAATTTCCTCAATATTGCGTATTCGTCAAAGGGGAATCGGAAGCGGGTGCAGCAGGCTCTCGATCCATTCCCGCCGAAAGCCCAGTCTATCCTAGTACTCCTTCCGACGGAGAAGCTGCCTTCAGGGCCACTCTACTCACTTCTCGATGGCTTCCGTATTGATCAAGAATTTTTCAACACTGGATCCAGGCAAAATCCGCCGATCAAGACTTTTGCCGACCTTGAGCGCTATGCAAGCTGTGTTGCAGGAACCGTAGGTGAATTGTGCTTGAATCTCATCTATTACCATGATCCCGACCAAGGAACTCCCGCAGAGACAAAAGGAAAGTGTCTCACTGCCGGCGCGAAAATGGGTCGAGCATTGCAGTACGTCAACATTGTCCGAGATGTCAAGACAGACGCCGATGTTGGCCGATGCTACATTCCTAGCGACTGGTTTGACAAATCGACACAATGTTCCGCCGAATTTCGAACCGAGGAAATTCCGCATCATCGGAAAAGGATATTAGACATCGCATTCACGATCTATGCCGAGAACAGAGACGCGATTGACGCGCTGCCGTACTATGCGCGGGGTGGCATCCGAGTCGCCGTCGAGAGTTACATGGAGATCGGCCGGGTCCTGCGTGAACGGATGCGCCAAGGCAGACCTCTAGATTTCGCGGGCAGCGGCAAAAAGGGACGGTCCAGCGTACCCAAGCTCAGGAGGATATGGGTTGGATGGAAGACAATGATGGGAATGAGGGGCGCCGTGTGATGAAGTTAGTTCTACGCGGTCCTTGGTGATGCCAATGCCTGATGTTGGTACTCGGTACATAGTTCGGTGTAGAGAGTTGGGTGGTAGCCTAGCGTGCGGGGATTGCGCAACAGACCTGATCTACCATGCAAACGGAAGTTGCAGGGAAGTTTCCCGCCGAATTTGGAGGTAGGAGCCTGCCACTTTTGGAGATGCTCCTCCCCCGCCATTTTGTAAACAAACACCATCACATTTACCATCACCATCACATTTTCCGTCAGCATCACATTTAGCGTCACCATCACGACGATGGATGACACAAACCTCCACGCTCCGCAGGCGGATTTCAATCTCCTGAGCCAAAGTTTTGGTTCTGCTGTCGACGGTCTTCGTTCCACTGCTGATGCTTTTCGTTCTGCTTCCAATGAAATCAAGAAAGTACAAAATCTCCCTGCAATCGCCAGCAGCGAAAGAATTCTAGCCGAGCTTCAGGAAATGAGACAGGAATTCAGAGACCAAGTCACTCGTCTTGATCAGAACCTCACAGCTACCCGACAGGATCTTATTACTGTAATGACCACAAGGTACTTGTTTCTCTTAAATTTTCCTAAATTTATCAGACTAATTCTATAGGGATTACAACAATACGGCTCGGGTCCAGAACTCCTATCTTTCGAGTCCATCGGATCATCTTTCGCCTCTCCTCAACCCATTGACCGGCTCTGCTATTCCTGGATTTCCTACTACACCCACAGACATTGGACGGATGGGAGAGCATGATGTGAATACCATTTTACAGGAGCCGGATCTTCAAACTGCTATTGCTGCTACAAGTCTCGCATCGAAGAAGAGACAACTGAGGATGCATATCGGCTGAAGATCACAAGTCGAGAGGAGACCATAAGCCAAAACTGTATCAATAGAATACGATTAGTCAATGATAATGTGAGGTACCGGGTAAAATGCATGCGCGGCCGTTCAACTAGAGGCTGATTTTCCTGCAACAACTTTACATCTGAAACCCTGGAAGTTGAAACTCCCTGCCCTGCATCAATCTGTGGTCATTTTCTTCCGAACTACGATCGTAGCCTACTCCCATTTTTGAGCGAGGTCAATAGACAGACCGAGTTGGCTGTCATGCCCCAAGATAGAGGCTGGACCCAATGAGTCCGGAAGTGGTGGCATGCTGATAGTTTGGTAGCAAAAGTCATGTTGTCATAGACTCTGCCACTGCCACCCTTCGCCCAGCGCACGAACTATGTCTTCCTACCGGGCCTCTACCTGCTTCTCGGTCTCGGAGTTTCTCTCGACATTGAGAATAAAGTCTCGGACATGACCAAGCCCAAAAGCGCTGTCATTGTAGGTGAGATTACATGACCGGGGTTGTTCTGCTCTTCATCAGTGCTGACACCGAGTCTCCAGGTGCAGGTGCTGGTGGCATTGCCAGCGCTGCCAGGCTCGCCAAAGCTGGTTTCCGAGTCACTGTACTCGAGAAGAACGACCATACAGGCGGACGCTGCAGCTTGATCTACGATGGCGGCCACCGCTTCGATCAAGGCCCTTCTCTACTCCTCTTGCCTGATCTGTTTGAAGAAATCTTTACCGACCTAGACACGTCCCTCGAGGCCGAAGGGGTAGAGTTGCTCAAATGCGAGCCCAACTACAATGTCTGGTTCGGCGACGGGGAGTGCATCGAGCTGTCAACGGATGTAGCCAGAATGAAGAAGACAATCGAGCGTTGGGAAGGGAAAGACGGGTTCGAGAGATATCTCGCATGGATGAAGGAGGCCCACGTCCACTACGAGGCTAGTGTCGTTCATGTGCTGAGGAAGAACTTCTCCACAATGTGGGCAATGGTTCGTCCGAGTTTCTTGCCATACCTGCTGGCCCTTCACCCATTCGAAAGTATATGGAACCGGGCAGCGCGATACTTCTTGACAGAGCGACTCAGGAGGGCCTTCACTTTCGGGAGCATGTACATGGGCATGAGTCCCTATGAAGCTCCTGGCACCTACAGCCTCCTTCAGTACACCGAATTGGCCGAAGGTATATGGTCAGTCTCTAACCATAGAACCATTTTCTCCGGCTTGGTCACTAACTAGCACGCAGGTATCCAAAGGGCGGGTTCCATAAAGTCTTGGATGCCTTGGTTAGAGTTGGCCATCGTCTCGGGGTTGAGTACAGATTGCTGGCGCCCGTCGCGCGGGTGAATGTCGACGGATATTCCCAACGCGCTACGGGTGTCACCTTGGCCTCTGGGGAAGTTGTGAACGCCGACATTGTCCTGGTTAATGCCGATCTCGTCTATGCCTACAACGAGCTGCTGCCGCCTTCTGATCAAGCAACATCATTGTCGAAGAAACCGGCTTCTTGCTCCAGTATCTCGTTCTACTGTAAGTCTACGGCAAATTGAATCCTTGCCCGCCCTAAACTAAGCCTGTCAGGGTCTATGGACAAGGTGGTTCCGGAGCTCCACACGCACAACGTCTTCCTTGCAGATGAGTACCAAGACAGCTTTGACGACATCTTCAAGCGACAACAGATACCGAAAGATCCGTCTTTCTACGTCCACGTACCCTCGCGTATAGATCCGACGGCAGCTCCCGAGGATCGAGACAGCGTGGTGGTGCTCGTCCCGTGCGGTCACCTACTGGAAGGAGAGGCTGATCGAGGTCTGAACCCGCGAAGCGCTCAAGATTGGGAGGCTATGGTGGCGAAAGCTCGCCATGCAGTGTTCGAAACGATTCGCCTACGGACCGGGGCCGATCTTGCGTCCCACGTGGCCCACGAAATCGTCAACACACCAAGTACATGGAAAAAGAGGTTCAATCTTGACAAGGGGGCCATCCTCGGATTGAGTCACTCGTTCTTCAATGTCCTCAGTTTCAGACCCGGGACGAAACACGCAGCAATCGGAGGCGTGTATTTCGTTGGAGCCAGCACTCACCCTGGAACAGGGGTGCCAATTGTGTTGGCTGGGAGCAAGATCACGACTGAGCAAATACTCGATGACCTTGGTATGATCAAGCCATGGGTTCCGGGCAACCACAAGAGGAGGGTGGTAAGCGATCTGGACAAGCGGGGAAAGCGTCCTCTGGGCCTCGAGCACACCCTCATTGCTGTCTTGCTTGCGTTGTTGCTGGTGCTTATGATCACAGTCACATGACAAGATATAGAGTAGGACGGGCCCTATCAAGTTCTTGTACTGTACTTGGGTAGATGTTTGACTTCAACACCAATTCTTGGTTTCTTGCGTCCCCCTCCACCCGTAGCCTCGTCCACTTGTGGCGTCCGTAGTTGCCCAGAGTCGGGTTCACGGTTCTGCTACGAGGCACAAAGCAGCAAGGGGACACGTGCCGCTAACTGGAGAGGGCAAGTCTGCCGCACGGGACCTCGGCACCCGTCGCGAGTACTCGATAGAGCAATGATTTAGTCATGACTAACTTGAAACATGACCTCATCTTGTGACGAGTGTCGATCATCAAGGAATCCCCGGGAACCTCCGCCGAATCACATGCTCCTCACCCCTCGTAACTTTCCAAATGTTTTTGCGGTAGAGCCTTGCAAGCTCCCAGCATTTCCGACTGAAAATGCCTCTGACTAAACCTCTGCGAGATGACTGGTATGCTGGCTTGTCCCTGGCAAGCCCTGGACCCTTTTTCGCTGACATCTTACGATCGCCCACCAATGCCGGATAAGCCTAAACCCAGCTGTCCTCGCAATTTTCTCCGGTTCGTCACAAGACTGGAAGTCCGCCATCCTGAAAGGGCCCAGTCAACCCAGTCCAACTCTCATCCAGGGTAAGGCGGTCTGCGCTAGCCATCAGCCTGCATTTGCTGTCACAGTCGAAGCCGACGACATCCGAGCGCGCAATGGTTTGCTCAAACCATCGACTGACCATCACGGGAGCCTCAACAAATCTCAGACCACCACGATTGCTGCCCAGGCGTTTAGGCTAACCAAGTCTGAACGCTACAACCAGTTATCTTGCAATGCGATATTTCCAACGCCAACAGTAAGTTGAGCTAATGCGTGAGTGGCTTGGGAACGGTCACCTGTTTGGGACATGAAAACAAAGAGGTTGCTGGAGTCAAGCCAGAGCCTTGCAGCTCAATGGGCAGATGACCCTCCCCAGATGAGAAAATCTTGCAGTGCAGCTTACATTCTGCCAGAAGATTCCCTCGACGCCCGGCTGATACGGCAGCGTCAAGACATGGGGAACTGCTCCAGGAATCCTCCGGCAATGCTTGACTTCGATGCACATTGCTGTTTCCTGTTGACGGATCGAAGCGAATCGACGTCACGTTGCTGCTATCCGCGAGAGTCCGTATCCCAAATGCACGAGACGCTCATCTATTAAACCCCCCCCCTTTCGCTCCGGAACACAATATCCAATCTGACCTCAATCAGCACAATCGTGACCTAGGAGGCCAACAGTCCTTTTGCAAAATCTAGTCCCATCACTTTTGAACGACACCCGCGACAACCCACCTTCACACCAATCACTCCTCTCAAGATGGGCAACAACGTCTTCCGACACAATGGTTTCACCAACACGGTGACTACCAACAACCACATCACTGCCGCCGGCAGCGATTGGTACTGGACTGTCTGTGCGGTTATGACCGTGTCCACCCTCGCCTTCATGGCCCTGTCCTTCTTCAAGCAGCGATCGCAGCGTCTGCTATACTACATCGCCGCCGGCCTCACTTTGATCCCTGCTATTTCGTACTTCTGCATGGGTTCCAACTTGGGCTGGACCGCCATCTTGGTTGAATGGGTCCGCAGCGACCCCGAAGTTCACGGCGACATGCGCCAGATCTTCTATGTCCGCTACATCGACTACTTCATCACCGTTCCGCTCTTGCTTACTATGTTGCTCTTGTCCTGCGGTCTCCCCACCTCGACTCTTCTCTACACCCTGCTTATGGGCGAAGTCTGGGTCATTATGGCTCTCGTTGGTGCCCTTGTTCACAGCGAATACAAGTGGGGTACGTCCTGCAAAACGTGACTCGTCATACTCGGGTGCAGAGTTGCTAATTCTGGATACCACAGGCTTCTTCACCTTCGGAACCGTTGCACTCTTGTTCGTCTGCTTCGCCCTCATCTATGAGGGACGTGCTTATGCCCGCACCCTCGGTCAAGATATTCTCCGCGTCTACACCGTCTGCTCTGCCTGGGTCGTCTCACTCTGGATCGTCTACCCCATCATCTGGGGTGTCTCCGAGGGTGGTAACGTCATTCCCCCCGACTCTGAGGCCGTCGCTTATGGTGTCCTGGATATCCTGATTAAGCGTGAGTTACCATTTTGAATGCCTACTTTGATGCGATCGCTGACGATTCGTTCGAACAGCCCTCACCGCTGCCGTCCTCATCTGGGGCATGCGCAACGTCGAGATGGAGCGTCTGGGCATCCACATCCGCGACGTCAACGCCGCCCCGGGCACTGCTCCTCAGACCGAGAAGTCTGCTGAGGCTGCTGCCGCTGGCGAGGGTGTCACCGCCCCCGCCCCTGCTGACACCACCGCCACCAGCGCTGTGTAAGCGGCTGGCCGTCTCTCAGCATTAGGTCAATGAGATCATATCCGCCCTGTTCTCCGGACTAGCCCCAATTTTCGATAAATCCGACGGATATCTTTTTCCTTGCCTGAGTGCCGAAAAGGGATTTCCCAGTCCCCCTTCCACTGTCAAGCCTGAGGTCTCTACTTACTCTTTGCTTGCCCGACCTCAAAAAAAAAATCACGATACCCAACCTTTGTTCCCGACAAAACCACACAAATTTCCGCAGTGCGACAGGTCACTCGTTTAAGATGACTAAGGGGGGATTTCACGAAATGATATAATATTTACTAATTCCACGGAGTCGTGTGCAGAGAGAAGAGGGGGAAATGTCTGATTATCACGTCGCGACGATACCCAAGATACCATGTATAAGCATCTCGCCATTGGGGGTACTTAGTACTTGACCTAACTAATAATACTGATACCAATATATAGATTTCAAGTAATGTCAATGCTAGTACACACTTCCGACGAGACTGACCGTGCCTGTGTGCTGATCCCGATTCTGATTTCCTTGGCGTCTAATATGCCGGGCAGACGAAGCATTCGTGACCCACTTGTACTTTCATGTGCTTGAGAGCTCGTGACCTGTGCCGCTCGACTTTCCCTTCTTGTTCTACCCGAACTTGCCGTTAGCAAATCTGTTGTTTCGAATGGACACCAATCGACCAGCCGCCTTTTTTTTTTTCTTTCAAGAAGTTGTCATCACCACGGAAGAGCCCACCAAGCGCAATCAATTGTTATCCTGTCAAGATCCTGCAGAATAGGGGACAAGCGGGGCTGGTGAAAGGCAAAAAGGCAGCCACCACCGTTACTTTCCCCAGAAAACAGTCTCCCAGCCACCATAGATTCCCAAGGTTTGCTCTACCTTTTTTTCCCCCTCCCATATATCATGGGTGGAACTTTTTGGCTTTGGGGGCTTGAGTCCGAGTTGTCACAGAGTGGACACAAACTGAGGCCGGTCCCCTTTTCTCGCTTCGAATTTGCTTAAGCCTTTTTCAACTTAGCACGATGGGCGCTTCGGAGATTTTTTTTGGGCTTATGAGGTGCAGTACTGGGTAGTGTGGGATGAATCGCAAAAAGGGGATTCTACCTTTTGACCTCGGACTGTCAAGGGGAAGATGTATGAGCAGAATTTCAATTGTCTTCAAACTTTGGGAAGGTGAATTTCGAGTTGTATGCAAGTGGAAAGGAGAAGCTCGGCACTTTTGTCCTCCGTATCGAGGAGTTGTATCACCCCGTGCCTTGCACAAAAGCAAAGAAATCGTCTTTGTGATCTTGAGCGAGGATCCCTTATCGAGAGTGATGGCCTCCGCTTCTTCCCCAGAAAGGATCCGCGAGAAGAGGTGCATCTCGCTTTTGGTCGATAGTGCGTCGCTGAGATACACAAGCGAGAAGATACCACACCATCTTTTGCACCATCTTTGGACGACTCGATGAAGCTTGCAGCATAGCTAACCAGTCGTTTGCCATGTTATCGTTCCGGTTGAGATTGCAGAAAGACGGTTTTCGAAGGAGATCGACCGCAGAGCAGATGAATCAGGTCCTACATTGCTGTGCGGATCTCGTTCGAATCTCCTTGCAATTGCGGACTGCATCTCGCTTGCTTGTATGGAGTGGTCAGAAGGTGATCCCGTTTTGAAGGTTGTTTAGCGGGCTCGCCATATCTCTGAGGTCTCATCTGAACTATATTTTTCTTGTTCAACATTCGGCTGGAGACAAACAGCACTGAGCGGACACGTGCCGTGGATGAAGGACAAGTCGCAAGAGGCCAAGTTTTCTCCGCGTTGTCGAGAATGGCAAGGTGGGAAAGTCGATCATGTCGCTCTTGCACCAGCGAGACCGGGGCTTGTTGCACAGAACTCATACTTACCTAAGTACCCAGTAATTAAGTGCTCGAAGCGGTCACAACAGCATCCGTCCAACTCTCCACCCTTCTCCCAGAAGTCTTCATCTCCCTAAGTAGGTATGTACTTAGATTCTTGTATGTGCCAAGTATGCATTTAGGGCTTGCTCTATCTTGGAATTCTACCACAAGCGAAGTTGGCAGCTTGCTTCTGCTTGGAGAAACAAAATCAGCTTGGTTTCGGTCAGGACGGTGCACAGTAGCAGTCTCAACCAAAGCCTCGGCCTCATGCAGACCGCAAATCTCAAACTGCGCTCACCAGGGACCAACCACAAGTTATCATCGGCCGTTGTCCGAAGGGTTGCAGATGAGGTCGTGCAATCCACGGCGGCGAGAGGGCCTTGACAACAGTGTGTGCAGACGGCGACTGGCAACACCAGCGGTTGGTCAAACACAGACAAAGCACTCTGGTCAGCTCCAGGTTAAATTGGACAACTCGCGCCAGCGGCTACGAATGAGGTCAAGGCCGACTTGGCCAAAAGAAATCACTCGAGTGGCAAGAAGTAGTAAATACTTGTACCTCGACGGTGCAGGGCCGATCCGAGAGAAGGAAGCCCAGAGATCAACCAGTGAGCAGCCTCCCTAGCCTCCAATGCAGAAAAAAACACCTCGAACCCCCGATAACGTCGATGTCAGGGGCTGCAGGCAGAGGACACTTGGACGAATGGGCAACGGAGCGCGCAGGGTGGATTTTGAAGTCGTTGTTTCAAATCATGGGCGACGGCACCAACGGGGGGCTTCTTGCAGATGAAGTTTCCAATGAGTTTGGCCCGTTCCTGGCGCCTTCGAAGACGATGGGCAGCTTAAGATGGGCTAATCTGACGCCGGTGCAGGCGATAGGGGCGCTCGAGGTCGACCAGAGGGGCCCGCTCTGCACTGTAGGTGCCCTTAGCGGGCCATCGGGAAATTTGGCATGGCTGACATTTGCTGGCATTTGCTGGCATTTGCCGGCAGCGGAGGACAGGCCCGCACTAGGCCCGCAAACCAGCCAGGCTTAACCACTTCGGTACCTACCCGGTAGGTAGGTAGGGGCCCACTCGCCCCCGATGGAGACGCCTTTGACTCCTCTATCCACTGCTTCTCCACGATCAATGAACCCTCAACCCAACTCAAATCAGCCAGACAACCACTTGGATCGTTGGTGCTGTCACTTGTCGACACCAGCGCCATGCCCGCACGCAATCTGCCCGCCTCTGCGACGATGCAGGACGATGCTACCGCTGCCAGGCCAGCGCTCCACCCCTGCCCGTGCCTGGCCAAACCAGCCCATCAGATATGCTTTTGGCCGCCACATATACTCTCGTACCTCCCTACTCCTCTCTGTCTGTTGAGCCTCTCCCTCCCCCATATCAGAATCCCAGGATAGCATATTGCTGTCGTCCGAGTTGCTGAGCTCCCTCTCAGTTCCTGTCACAACTCATTCACCTTCATTCGAGCAGCGCTCGCTCAGCTCGCCTTGCGCGACGCCAAACACTCCTTAAGACACAGCATTCGAGATTTCGAAGCCGCGATCGGAAGGCGCCCCCCGGTGCACTTCAGAACCAAATTCCAGCTCTACGCACACAGGTCGATGCGATAAGATCATTGCAGACCCTCGAATCAAGATGCGCATCAGCTCGGCCATCGCAGCGGTTGCGCTGTTGCTCGCCCCAGCGGCTCTTGCTGACTTGCCTCCCGGGGACTGGTCGGGGGAGACGACCATCACGGTCACATCCTCCTACTCGACCACCCTTACCGTTACCAAGTATCTCACATATGCCAACGCAACAACGACAAGCAATTCCAGCGGCTACTATGCCCACCCCACCGGCTGGAATGCCACCTCTACCACCCCTACGGGCGCAATTACGGTCAACAAGCCGACATTGACCGCCCCGGCTACTTCCAGCCTCGCTATCTCGCCGCCTATCGCATCTGCAACTGGCGGAGCGAGCGCACAGGAAATCAACTTCGCAATGGCCGCCCTGGCGGGCGCCGCTGCCGTCTTCTTGGGCTCGTTATAGCCCTAGGCCTCTGACATCCATCGACATGCCCAGCACGGCGCAGTATCCAGTCGATATTGTTTCTTTCTTTCCTCATGTTTTTGACTGAGTCAATGTTCACGTCACGAGCACCAGCATGCTCATTTATACTTGTCTGGATTACAACACTTTGATCTCTGAGAGAGTTTGAGGCACCTTGCGGAGGACTGACTGTAGGGATCCTGATTGTGCCGCAGCCGGTACTTTCACGAATTACCAACGTGTCAAAGTTGCAAATTAGGAGAACACGCTATCCACGCCCGGGGCGCAGATGAGTCGGACCGCCAGCCATTGTACAGGACTTTGGTTTCAAGCATGAGTGTTGGGAAATGGCGGTTCTTGCTTTTTCCCAGACCGAGTGGATGCAGACCGGGGGGGGGGAAATGGTTCTTGGGGAGGGGGTTAGGGGATGCAATACTGAGAGTCTACGATGATGACGGATATGAACAGCCAGTCCCACACCCGGAGAGCATGCAAGAGAGTCTCGGTCTCATTTTACGAAATGGTGGTGAATCATCTGAGAAGCATTTTTCCTCCACGACTCCATCTGTACAGATAGTTAGGTAGTGCAGCCTTGTAATTTGAATTAAGAAACGTTATGAAACACAGAACGTCTCATGTTGTCGTGCTTTTGATTTTACGAACACCAGGTCTACCCTCGCCCGGTTGCGGGGACGTATCCACCCGGCAGACGACATGCTGCGAACGGTGACCTGGGCACGAGACCATCTGCTATTCAGGACCAGGTACTGTGTACCGAGTAAATATTGTGGACATTGCCAGATGTATATCATGACTTTTCAGAAAGGCTCGTAAATGAGGTCAAGCCACTAACACGTTGAGGCGGGAGATGTGGTAATATTACGTACCAAGTTCACTTCGAGGCATTACTTTGGTACTTGTTATACAGTCTGTCATTCACCGACATTGTTGACGTCTTTCTTGATGGGCGATTTATGTCGTGTGTGTTGTTGGATGCATGCATGGTGCGGGTGTGGAGCGGTTGATGGGGTTAGAGAGCATCTTTGGCGTTTTGGCGTTTGACTCTTGCCGGGAAGCTGTGGTGGTGGAATGAGGTCACGTGGAATGATGATGGTGATGGTGATGTCAATGGAGATCCAAGACTTGTGACTTCTTTCCAAATTCGCCGACAGGACGCGTGCTGGCTCTGCCACGCTTCCTTTGCTCCACGCGTGTCATTTTCCCACCCACGTGCCTAACGTACCAGCTATTATTTTTGATCTCCTCCGTTTGTCGTCTGCGTTCTCGACGGCGTTGTTGGCTGCTTTTTGTGTTTGTTATTTCTATCTACTGCTCCATCTCTGAGTGAACCCTCCCGTCGATCGACCGTCGCCTGGCGAGTTAAGAGGGCTCCAGAAGCGTCATATTGCACGATGGACGAACCTGATCTTCCTCCTCTCTCGCAGTCCACCCGAGCCATGGCTCAAACTCGAGCTCGGCCTCCGCTATCCCCGGTTCTTGCGCGGAAGAGAACTCGTTCTGACCATGACGACGAGCCCGCCGCCTCTAGCGATCCTGCTCTTTTCTCCAGCGACGAGACAGCGCCCGGGGCCGAGAACTACGTCTCGGGCAAGAGGAATAAACGTACCTACAAGGGGTCTTGGTGGGATCGTCACCCGGCCGAGGCTACAGACAAGAAGGGTCATAGGGAAAAGCGCCAGTTTAGGAGAAACCTCGACTCCGGGGTGTTTATGGGCAGTGAGAGTGAGGATCCGCCCTCGAGTGATTCAATCACGATGGAAGACGAGTTTCTGAGGGATCAGCAAAGGGTTATGGACAGTCAGCAAAAGGCCTGGGACAACCACCAAAAGGCTACTGATGAGAATCAACAGGCGCAACCCGTCACATCCTGGCCAGATAGGGGCGATGAAAGCAAGCTGAGAGCGAATCTAGCTTCCGTAATTACGGCTCGGGTTCCCAGAGAGCATGAGGAGGTTTGCGCGATTATCAGACAGTGTCTCGAGCGAGGAAAGGAGAATGCGGACTTGACGTATGTGACCCAGATCGAAGATCAAACCCGAATCATGCTGACAAAGTTAGATCCATGTCTCTGTCGAGCTTACCCGCTGAAATCACGTCCCTTCAAACACTGAGCAAACAAGACGAGATAACTCCAGGGATGCTACATATTGGGACCAACCTTGAACCCCAGTTGCGACTTTTCTTGGGCAACAATTGCTTCACGAGAATGCCAAGTCCTATCTTCGAGCTTCGGAACCTCCGAGAATTGTCTCTCCGCAACAATAATCTCACATCCATTCCGGCCGCAATAGGGGAATTGGTCAATCTTGTGTCTTTGAACATTGCTGGAAATCAATTGTCAGAGCTTCCCACGGAGATCCTGGACCTGATCACTGAAGGCCGCTTGAGAGAGCTTCGATTACACCCAAATCCTTGGATGCGGCCTGATGGGATGAGTCTTGAGGAATCCTTCTGCTGGACGAGGATATTAGGGAAGATACTTCTTCGCAAGAAGAATAGCGCCCACATTGCAAAAAAGACCTATTGGCCGACGGAGAATCCTCAGGTCCCAACACTCACCGAACTAGCTCTCCGTCAGCTCTCCAAATTTGACCCCTTAGGCGACATAGATTTCGGGGCCTATATGCCATCAAACACACCTGAATCTTTGTTGAACAATCTGAAGCTGCTTGGACAGAATCCCACGCGTCAATGCAACGCGTGCAATAGGCCAATCGTGTTGGCGCGAGAAGAATGGTTTGAATTTTGGAGTATCGACGAGGTCTCTGAGAGCGATGTTGTTCATGTTGGTATGCCGCCGGATATCCTGGTGCCCTTCCGAAGAATACGGTGCTGGGATTGCTGCAGAGGATCTAAGACGAGTAGTGCCGCTTGGGAGGCACTGCTGGGTGGGTCTCGTAAGATTTCGAAAATGAGGCGCTGCAGATAGTCATGGAGTGTTACCAGAGTTCTCTGTGAGTCGTGTTGCTCTTTCTATTCATCAAAGTAACTTAAGGTGCATGTTGGGTCCTCGGAATCGGGGACTCTCCAATTTGACTCGACTCACCCTATCCCTATCCCAAGGACTGTCTTTCACCATGAAATATAAAATATGAAATGGATGCCGGGTCATGTCGTTCGAGCCGTGGGGAAGAGATAGAGGGGGGAGATATTAATTGGCCTTCGACTGGAACTTGACACCTAGTACTCCCATCCATCTCATGTTTGAGTGCCATCCCTAGGTACATAGTCTATCCATGTTCTAATCATCTTCTCTTTACGCGCGATCTGTCAGGAAGATATTTCCCGGCAACCGATAAATCATGTTATTTGCCCTCGCCCTCCTGCGGCCATCACCTCCCGACGCTTCATCCAGCCTTGCCAATCGATCTCTACGAAAACAAAGACACCGACCGATGTCTTTGATGTCCCTAGCGACTATCTATCTCATCGGCGACCGCGGCGTCCTGTCGAGGAAACCGGGCTCCGGACATTCTCTGAACCAAATGTTCTGATTGATTGTCAACTCATACATGGTCAGGAATAGTATAAAACCAAAAAGTGAAGAGGCTCTCCAGGCCCCCCAAAGTCCTGTTGTTATATATTCCGCGCCAGTCCCTCCTCCTCTTCCGAGTCCAAGATATTGTAATTCTGCAGAGACTCCAAGTCTCTTTTAGCTTTCAGATCACCTCTCTGTTGCTTCGTGAGTGGCTGCTCGGGCTGGGAAGGCCGTGCTTCCAGCGGTTCATGGTGCTCCAACCGTCGCACAGAGAGCTGTTCCTTGTCGACGAAAAGCCACATCGGGCAACTGGATTTGGGGAACCCATGACGCTCCTAGCCACGAAAGACCATACGCCACAAAGTCCCATGTCCTGGGTCGATTTCAGGCGACTGATCCACCCAATATGAACGAAATCACGAATTGCGTCCACGAGACCGTATCCCTTCCGTCTTTAGAGCCGGGCGGTTGACGGAATTCGATTGTAACCCCGGACTTCCTGAGGCGCGTGAAATTGCACCGAAAATTTTGACTGCGCAAACCATGGCCGTCTGAACAGATCAGTTTAGCCGGTGCCGTCATGCTGTCTTGTTTGTCGATTTCTTGGAAAATCGTTGGCATGTCCACACTCGGTGATACGCGTCGAATAACCTGAATCTGACGTTCCAATTTGTGGGCGAGACGAGTTCGATGCCCCAGAGGTTAGCCTTCCAATCTCCACGAACAGATCTGTCTGCCGTTATCAGCCACTCTTCGTAAGAAGATGGCTTCTTGCCGTCGTTGCGAATATGGTTCGCTACCCCGAACTCGCCGAATAAAGCTCCGCTTAACATCTGAACAGCTTCATTCCACTCGGCACAATTCTGGTAAGGCTTGACCACAATTTCCATCTCCGTACCGAAGGAAATGTCCAATAAGCCCGTGGTCCAACCATACTCTAGGCGATCTCCGTAGCCAACTGCACGATCGCCCCCTCATATTCCCAAGCCTCTTCGCTTCTTGGAATACGTGAGTGTGCGCAAGAAGCTCCATGTTCCTGACAAACTGTTTCATATCCCTTTCAGCCATGCTCGCTTGCAATCGGATTCCCGTCGTGTCTTTTGTAGGCAGGCCTTCGATTGAGGATATGGCCATGTTGAAGTGGTTCTGAACACTAGTGGTATTCTCCTTGCACTGCTTTAGAATAGGTATTGCAATCTGCAGTACCTCGTTTTTGACCCTTTTTCGATCAATGGCCTGTTCAGCAACATGGAGAACACGATATGCCAAGGCAATCCGCTCCAAAACCCCCGTGAACCTGCGACATGTTCAAGCGACTTTGAGGCTTTTCCCAACATTCCTGTGTGAGAAGTGCCAGCGCATTTGAGAGGGAAAGAAAAAGGGATACAGGCGGGGTAGTCCCGAAGAGGCCTTGCGCATATCTCGTGGTTCTGGCTGGTGCAACGTGCTGCGCGCCGGTTGAACTACTGCAATGCAGGGCGCAGCACATAAATTGGTGGAAGATGTGATCGAGACACGTTGAACCAGCGTAGCCACTGATACCGACACGTCGAAAGCCGGACGGACAGGCTACTGCGTGACTGTGCCTCCACATCGTGTCTTCCAAAGGAGGGTGAGTTGGGCGTGGATTTACCTTCTCTTAGTGCAAAGCGCCTTGAAACAGATGTCTAGCTGAGAGGCAAGCGTAGCTGATCGCTGGAGAGCCAGATGGGGCACTAGGCTTCCCTTGTAGCCTCAATGTGCTGCTTAGGGTGCTACTTGTAGGTGATGACTGCTCAATGAGGCTCAGTTAAACCTCAGGTTAAAACAGCCTTCGCTCGCTCGCTAAGACCGACCGTATTTAGCAAATAGGACTTTTCGTTCGCGATGAATCTCGGTAGTGTAGCATCGCTGTGATCACGTGGCAGGCTCGATTCCAACAGGAGGAGATATCGATTCTATAAACATGGACGACATTTCGAAATGGAATGGAATGGGATGATGCATGACTATCGAAGACCAACGGCCAGCGATCAACAATCAAAGCTTGTTTTCAAAAGGGAGGCGGCTGGCTACTTCGGACTATGTACCTGCTCGCTAGGTATCTGGTATCTGGTATTTACCTACCGAGCTACGTAGTTAGGTAGCTTGGAGTAGAATCTATCTTGGCTATCTGTCAATCATTCCATCACATATGGAGGATTGACTGTGCTTGTTCTTTCTTCCCCTTTGCCATTGCGAAAAAGTCCAACGAGAGCTTTTCCTGGCTAGGCTAGCGAGCCGGCTGGCCAGCCGCTTGACCAATTCATCCACAGAGACGGAGGCCATACGAACCACGAGGGAAAGGAACGGCCTGCGTGGCGAAGGCTTTCGATGTGCTTCTTTCGAGCTCTTCGCTCTTCGCTCTTTGCACCTGCACTTGCATTTGTTGATAAAATCCTGGCTGCCTAAGGCTCTGATATCAAGCAAAGAAAAAGGCGCAAAAGAGGCTGGTTTGTGACCCCAGGGGTGCAGAAAGCCTTTTTGTACGCTTTTGCTCGTGTCTTGTTTCTTGTCCCCCTCCTTTCCGCCCCCTCGCCTAGAGAAGAGCGCTGTGATCTCGATCGTGAAGGCTTAGGTAGATGCCATGCTCGCCACATTAGGGTATACCTTTCTTGCCTTCCCTTTTTCTTTTCATCTGATTTTGATCATTTCTGTCCGTCGCCATGCCCATAAGCTTGATTCCGAAACGGGTTTTTATCGCCATAGGCGTGGTCTACCATTTTGGACTTCGCGATGATTCGCCGTTCAATCTCCGCCTTCCAATTATCCGTTGTGCACCTCTGTCGCTCTGCCAAGTGCTTTGCGTTATCCCCTGGATTGGTGCTCAGACTCTCTCGCGACTTCGGATCATTGAAGTATATGTCTTCCATCCGCGAGTTTAGCTCGGTGACGGTGCATTTGTCCGCGAAGCTAATTCTGTCCGAAAAATTGATTCTGTCCGATGTGGGAGATTTGGGCGATTTGGCGAACGCAGCTTTCACCTTTCTGATTGGGGAGATTCTCTCCTTGGGCTCTGACATCTTTCCCTCTTGTTGTCCTTTGTAATTAAAACAAGCTGCTAAAAACCCGCGGGCGTTGTTGAGGCGTTTTCGAAGCGTTGGAAAACTGGTTCAGATGGTGTTGGCAGATGGTGATTCATATCGGGAGGGTAATATGGGCCTGAAGGATGGACCTCATCGAAGTCTGACTGCTGGTTGATCTGCTTGAGGCACGAGCTGAAGTGAAACCATCAATCTCAGCCAGCTTCCTTGTGGTTAGATGTTGTGCTTAAGCTCAGTTTAAAGCTTGAAAGGACGTAAGCAAACGTATCTCGACGAAAGGCAGCCGACAATCCGACCGCTGTACCAAAGAGAAAGCGAGACGTGTGCGCTAGCCGAGGAATGGTATTGTCGGGCTGAGAGGCTTCGAGATCGGTGAAGCAAGTTCAATAGTTGTGTGAGAGGTGAGTACACAACGGTCTCCGTAGAGGTGAGTCTTCGTAGAGGTGTCTAGGGGACGGTCAAGGGTACTTCTGGTAGACTCGGCAAGTAGTCAGAGATCATCATTAGTTTGATTCAAAGACCAGCTCTCGTCGGTTCGCAACACCGCCATCACCTCGTATCAATTGTTCGATCTCAGGTATACAGGCATTGATGCGTTGTCACAGATCTTGATGCTGTGGAACATGTCACAAGCATACTAGGCCGACAAGCGAGTGTCCTGGTGCAAAGTCATCACATCGACGAGAGGGATGACCATCAATATTCGAAATTGTTTGGAATCGGTTTGCATTCGTCGACCGATTCCGGTCTATGGGTATCTCGAGTCGTAACATCGTAATGTCAAGGAAAATCGTGGACCCTGCCAAACCGGTCGAAAAGTCAACGTTCAAAAAAGCCACCGTCACTCATCTCCTCATCTTGTTCACTGTCCAGATCCGCTGGGTCGATGGTGCCATCGTCATCGAGCCACGAAGGTCTCGTTTCCTCAAGCTGGATTGAGTTCCCACTGCGCATCTCGACCTCTTCCTTTCCGCCAAGCGAGGCAAGCTCCTTTTCAAGCCGGTTGTCGGTGGTCAACTTGCCTTCGCGTAGAGCTTGCAGCTTTGCCTCTCCTTCTTTCATCAACTTCTCGACTTCATACCACATTGGTGGTTTATCACCAGTCGCAGAGCGAACGACATTGCTCAATTGGTCGGCGAAATGGCGAAACTCCTCTTCCTGATCCACATCAAAGTTCCCAACCTCTCCGTTGTCCAGTTTCGGCTTCTGCTTCTTTTTGTCCTTTTCCTCCTGAACGAACAAGCTAAGGTACTTGTCTCCCAACGGTGCGTACTTGGTGTAATTGATATCCACCTCGGCAACGTGTATGAGCTTCTCAAGTTTACTTTTATATGCCGGTTCCTGGTATTCCTCAGAATCTCTCCCCTTGAGCAATTTCTTGAGCACTCTTTCTGCTTTCTTTCGCTCCATAAAGCGGACAAAGTGGTAGCGTTGTAAATTCTTTCTGGCATCCTGTGCGAGTTGAGATTTTCTCTGGTCGAAGAGCAACGCAGCTAGTTCTCGCTCCTTCTCTTGTCGCACTGTCCCAGGCAGCTCTCGTGATGCCAACAACCTACGTAGAGAGTGTATCTTTGTCGAGGGGTTCGTGGCTCGCTCGTGCTTTGTTTTCGAGACCGCAGACCGAACGGGTGGCAGGTCTATTTCATCTCGACTGGAACCGTTCCCGCGACCGTCATGATCCAAATCTTGCTCGGGACGGTTCATCTCGCGGGATCGATCTTGTTGTGGGCGATAGGAATCATATTGAGGACGAGTTGGTCTGTAACGGTGGCCAGTAGATGAGCGTGGAGGTCTGTATTTTGCCATGGTAAATATTCTGCATTTCAGCCGAAGACCTGGAAGTTAGTCTCAAGGAGAAAACGTGCCGTCAACAGGAGCAGCAAAGAATATTTAAACGGCACCGAATCTCTCTGCCTCGAAGTGAAATTCCTCCAGCAAAAGCTCTGCCGCTTTTCACCGCCTTGACCGTCGCGTGCCAAGGATCTCGATCTAACCCTTTTTCGGACAGGCAGTTGGACCTCATCAATTGTGCTCTGTACAGTAACCAAAGTAACCCATACTATGTTGCTTTGAAAAGGCTGTACAATCTGTATTGACTGAAGTGTGAGGCGATTTATATGGTGGCATTTGATCCATGCAGTGGATGGAATGAAGAAATAGGCTGTCCAGGCAGAAGCCTACCACTTCTACAGCGACAGGATGGAGACCGCAATTCGCTTCTCCCAAAACTCCCTTCCTGGAAACCTGCAAAGATTCTTGTATGTCGATGTCGTCGGGAAGTCATTCAGGCTGTGCAACATCACCAGTCAGACCAAAAAGAATTTCAGATATGAAACTCTTCATGCCTCCAGCAAGGTCCCGGCATTTCGCGCCTTCGACTGGCACCCCGTCAATGAAGATCTTGTTGTTGTAGGTCAGGCCGGGGGAGAAGCTACTCTTTTGAACATAGCAGAGGGCCAACAGGACTCCCTGTCTTTTCAAGTCAGGAGCCAGCGCCTTTGCAACGCCGTGGCTCTCAATACCCAAAATCTTTTGGCCGCAGGTCTCGACAAAGTAAGGACAGATTTTTGTCTGAATATCTGGGATTTCAATCAGAGGCTACCTGCATCGGGGTCAAAGGGCTTTTCGAAGAATTATTCGGATCCCCTCCACAAGTTAGCGACCGGGGAACCCATCACCAGTTTGAAGTTCTTTCAGGACGACCCTTCGCTCTTGGTTGCGGGGGTGAAAGGCCAGTTTGTCAGGCTGTATGATTTGAGGGAGCCATCCATTGGCAATGGATTGCAATTTGCTACTCGATGTGTCCATAACCTGGCCATCGACTGGCTTGATGAGAACTACTTTGCTTCTTGCTATCCGACAAATGATCCTTCGATATGTGTTTGGGATCGGAGAATGATCAGTCGTGTCAACGCACCACAAATGGGCTTCTCCGGAGGTTCACATAATGAGAGCCGCCAGCCTGAGCTATCCCTGGAACTGAAGGGCGTGGTCGAAAGCCCAGGTGTCATTTGGAGCGTGAGGTTCTCTAAAGCTGAGCGAGGTTGTTTGGGCGTTCTTTCCAGTACTGGGCATCTAAAAGTCTACAACTTGGGCAAAGACTTCTCCTCGGAGACATACAGGTTTGAACACGACGCAGGTCATGATCTCTCATGGGAGACCAGCGCACCGCAAGAAATCTTTCTCGATCGAGCGCAGGACCTCGAGAGGCCATATACAAATCCGTCTTTACCAATAGATGAGAAATCGAGAATCGTGTCCTTCGACTTCACAACAGCCACGACAAAGATGAGACAATCAAAGATGCTGACACTTGATGGACAGGGTCAAGTCAAACTCACATCACCAAGCCCTCCTCCAGGCCCTGCAACTCTCTCTTCGGCTGGATATCTATATAAAGGCAACAATTTTGTTGAACAATTACCCACTGCTACTACAGAACCGGGAACCTTGATCGATCAAGTCCGCCGCCGAGCTCAGCCCCGAAACCTTCTCAGACAAACTTTCAAGCAATCACGACAGAACAGAACGATTCCCGACACAAAAAGAATGTCGAGTCTAGATGACCAGTCATGGTACGCAGATTTAGGGTTTTACGAGAAGGACGTGCCACTGCCGGACCTCATGGTATTGATCTCTATCCAGCGACTGCGTTGTGAAGCAGGTTATCTTCTGAACCCGTCCAAGAACAAAGCGATCGTCTCAGATTCGCATTGGCTACAGTCTTTCTGGGCTTGGGTGGAACGCGCCGCGAAGATATCCAAGAACGGCAATATGGCACAAGATAATTTCGATCTATCTTTCGTTGGTGTTTACGGTCTTTGGATGGAAGACATCGATCCCAAGCATCGAAAACTCGGTCAGAGCCCTAATAAACTTGGCAAAACCATTGAGAACCTGGTCCGACGCTTGAACATACCCAGCATCAACAGAATGACGACCGAATACACTGCAAATAGGCTGATCTGCCTCCATTCAGCCGGCTTAGCCTGGTCATCCGATGAACTCGACCTGATTGTCAAACGACTAGTGACCAAAAACCAACACACCAAAGCAGCAGCATTAGCTCTGTTCGCGATGGATCGTAAACTCGCCTATAAGGCTCTCCGCAGCAAAACTGCTAATCAGTCCCACAAAATGTTGGCCATGGCAATTGCGGGGGAATTCAAGAAAGCCCGAAGTGATGACGCTGGAACGATGAGTCCTGATGAGTCAGATGCGCAGGATGACTGGGTTGACGCGATTTCGTCTCTTAGCGAAGAGTTGACTGATCCCTATGCCCGCGCGATCCTGGCATATGTCAAAACTGGAGATTGGTCAAATGTAGTTGCGGAAGAGTCTCTTCCTCTGAAATACCGCATCTGCATCGCTTTGCGACACTATGACGACTCGAAATTGACAAACTACATCTCTCAAGCGACCAAGGATGCTGTGACGGCAGGAGATATTGAAGGTGTCATTCTGACTGGAACGGCAACGCAGCCTGCCTTTAGCCTTATGAGCAGCTACGTCCAGCGCTTCGGTGACCTGCAGACAGCGGTATTGGCACTTTGCTCGACCGTTCCACGATATTTGGATGACGAAACAGTGCTTTGCAAGTTCAATGCCTGGAAAGATGCCTATAGACACATGATGAACAGCTGGAATCTGAAGTTTGATAGAGTTCGATTCGACATTGCCTGCCAAAATGTTGCCAGAGATGAAACAGGGAGACCGCTCATACCGCCGGCAAAGCAACAAGTACGTCTTGTCTGTGGATTTTGCGCACAGAGTATCGCACATTTGGCTGGGGTGGATGGAGAAAATGCACCAGGCCACAAAGTTGTGGAAACAGCTCGGCACCCGCTCACTAAGGAGAAGGCTGCAGCCGTTGGAATCGTTTGCCCTAGATGCGAACGTCATTTGCCTCGTTGTGGTGTTTGTGACCTTTGGCTTGGAATTCCTGACGAATCGTATCTGCCATGGTATGGGCCTCAACAGGCTTCAAAGCACCAGGCTGGAAAACCCAGTCTTGATCTCAGCGCGAGCGTTGCGGGCAGTGTGCAGACGACACTGGGACCCGACACCACGCCAGGGCCAGCCGCCAAGGGAACCAGCTCGCCCCGGCCGAGACATTCAGTACAAATGAACTCGAAAATCTCAACAAGTGACTCCTCAACAAGGACGACCGTTCCTACTAGCCAGGCAGCCAGCAAAGGAGTGGACACGGTCCCCGACATTCTGGTGGCTGCGCCATCAGGATCAGCTCCAGGTCAAGAGCCTGAAAGCGAAATGAAGACGGTTGGGACAGCACGGAAGTGGGACAGTGCAATGTCTCGATTCACAGTGATGTGCCTCAAGTGCTCTCATGGATGTCACGCCGCACATGCACGGATGTGGTTCGAAAGACATCGTGTGTGTCCCGTTCCAGACTGTACGTGTCTATGTAACGAGTGAGGTATTCGCTCACGATACACATCCAACACCAGTGTCTATGAGGGAGCCCGGGATTACGAAGCAGGATCCACGCGCCAGCACTTCCAAGACTTTGATGGATGCCCAAAGGGGCCATATGCCGCTGAGCAAGAGGGTTGCCTTGCAGGGCCACGCCAGTGAGAATCTCTGTTCTCCAACAGCACCACAAGGCCTCCCCTATTCATCTCAATGGAGTGTCAGGCGTGCCATCTTATGTCACGTGGGTCCACTTAGCTCTGGGCTCCATCCCATTCGGAACGGCACCCGAGCTCCGGAATTCATCAATATATGATATATCCGCCAGATACTAGATCCCCAGCCGCTCCTACTGTGCTATAATTCTGTGGTATCTTTTCGACGATATTCTCTGTACTACGTCTGTAAAGATGGCGACCAGATCTACGTCGTCAAAAAATGCCGTTTCACCAAGAAATGGAACAGGGTACTTTTTCGCCATCATCTTTACCGCACTGTCCCTTCTTGCGGTCTACATGCTCCGAATCGCCTCCATAAAGTCAGGCGTCGCTGACAAAATGGAACACATCACCACAATCAACCACTTCACCGAACATCCGCTGCCCCTTCGCACCACGTATACCGGTATAGCAGCTGTAGACAAAGGCCTCTCCTTTCTTGTTGCAGCCTTCATGAACGGTGCTGCGGGATGGGATAAGGGATTCTTCGTATTTATGATGTATTTTCTGTTCTCGTTTTTTTCGATCCTGGCTATCTGGGCGATTGAGAGTTGCAGAGAGAGGAACGGGCTTGCTTTGACGAGATTGTTAGTGTTTATCCTTTCCTTTCCCATGCATTCATCGTTGGGTTTTGGACGCTGACGAACAAGGGGCACAGTACCACCGTATATGCTTTATTCTACCAAACGGTCGGGGGAGCGATCATAGTCCCGATCTATTACCTGGCATACCTCTACGATACATCTTCAAGCAATTACTGGACCAAGTCACGACACGTCTCATTGCCATACGCCAAGGCATTACTCCCATCACTGGTCATTGGATACTTGATCCCCACGGCCCTGATGTTCCTGCCTTACTCGGCGCCCGATCTGTGGACGACACAGGCTATGGTGGCTCTCTGGCAGCCTTGTCCCGGGTACGTCGACGCGCTACTCTGGTTATTATCAAAAGTTTATTCCCACGCCGGTTCTTCTCAAGGCCACGCCGCCGCCGCCGCCCAACAAGCGAAGCACGAGAAAGCTTCTTCCACCCAAGAAGCCGACGACGTGAGATATCTCAATACAGTCTACACGGTCTCCTTCGCCGTCGCCGCTCTTTCCCATGTGGCAGTCGTCCTGACGTGTCTCTTCTCCTCCGACTCACAGCACTCATTCGAACACATGTTCCTCCCCCCCTCGGCGGGAGAGGTACAGCTCTCGTTGGTCCAGGGCATCCACGGCATCTTCCAGGCGGACTTTTGGATCATCTTCGCGGCCTCCGCGGTGTGGGCTTACCTGGCGATTTGGGATCTGAAAAGGGTGGGATTAAAGAAGGACATCAATCTGGGGACGGCGCTGGTGGGGTTGGTGCTAGGATGTGTGGCCTTGGGCCCTGCTGCAACGATCACCTTGGTTTGGTGGTGGAGAGAAGGTGTTATGGTCAAAGGGGGGCGAGCATAGATAGGAGGCCACGCACGCGAGGGGGTTTTCCCCTTTTGGAAAAAGTGGCACAGTCTAACACGGTGTCTTCCTGAGCTGCGACATGAAGGAGGTATTTGTTATGAAGATAGAGGCAGCCTTGCTCTGGTCGAGGGTTATCTCTTCCTTTGACAGCAAATGTTGCTCACTCCTAGCTCCCGACTATACAACAAGCTTTTATTCTCAATAGCACGTCGGTCGCGTAGGTCGTCCTACAGCTAACCACTTTGCGCCCTGATACGTACACTGTCCGGCTGTCCGACTGTCACTCTTCTTTCCCCATCTTGGAGCGCCAGATAGATAGATGGGTGTTGGAATCTGGGTGAATGTGGTTAAAATGAGCGCGGTGGAAAAGGCCGCCAATGCGCTCATCGGCCTGGATTGGGACAGAGGTGGTGATCTCGGAGCTAACGCGCTGGCCTGGCCTGTGCCCATGCCATCCGCTGGCTCCAAACAACTTCGGCCACCTAAAGGAAGGAAAGGGTGCGTGAGAATAAAGTATAACAGCCGAAAGGGAGATAGCATCACCGTCTCTGGAAAAAGGGTTTTGTAGAATAGAGAATCAAATGTTCATTTCACCTCCCTGCCGCAGGCGTCTTTCAATTCTTCCTAGGGGCAGATACCTCGGCGTATTGGGGGTGCATTGAGTTTGTTTTTGTCAGTCGGTGATCGATCTGCTCAGTCCCGTGACGGCGAAATCGGCTCCGTCGACTCCTTTGTGACGACGTCAAGCAATGTTTCGGACGGCTCTGGTACTTCAACTGACTTGGAAGGGGAAGGCTGATAGATATCGCGGTATCGGCCTTTTCTCCGCTCCTTAGGTTTCGAATGTTTTGGTCTCGATGCGATTAATGCTTCATAGCAGTGCGTGCAATATCCCGCTGCCAGATCGTCAGTGCTAGACTAAGAGCCTTCGATAAAGACAGAAGATACTCACCAAGTTCGATGGCTTTTTCTTCGTTGAGAGTCTTTACGAGTATGTCAGCCAGATTGAAGTGATTCTCAGGATCAGCACTTACCTCTCCACAATTTTGACAGTGGCGTACCTTGTCTAGCTCATGTGTTGATTGGGGAGCTTGGGGAGGAGATTGGTATGTATCTTCAGGTCGAAGATATGGATCTTTGCCATATTGTTGTTGTTGAGCCTCCAAGGCAGGTTCGCTCTTTGAATGCCATTCCTGGGACCTAGAATTTGGTCTAGTATCAACTTCACCCTGTCGGACTCTCAACTTCTCTATGCCAAAAGCCAAGCGATCTCAGTACGAGATTCTAGATTGTCCCGGGGCTTGAATTCGCGAAATTCCTGTGGCAGCCGAGGGGTACCACCCATTCGTGGAGGTGGAGGGGTTGCTGTCTTCTTTGCGGCATCTGGATTGTCGGAGTGCACCCATTTTCCGAGTTCCTTATCATAATACAGTCTCATCTTCGATTCGCCTAGGTTGGCTCTGTAGACTTTTTGCTCGGCGTTTGTAGCTGGACCCGCATCTAAGCTATCAGCCTTCTTTCCTCCCAGCCATCCATCAAACCACGACGAAAATCTCTTTGATTCTTTCTTCTCCTTTTCGCGAGCAGCATCTGCTTCTGCTGCGGCACGGAAGGCGGCATCCGCGGCAGCATCATTCGCCCGTTCACGTGCGGTGATATCATCTGGAATAGCTCTCCAGGACGCAAGAGAGGCCCCATCATCTAGCATTCCTGGCGGCTTATGGGCTGATGGAGTATCTATATCTGCTGATTGGTTCTCCAAGTGGGACTGGCTCAGATATGATAGGAATTGCTCAACCTTTACATTGGCTTCTTGTTCCGACATTGTAGTCTCCAGATGTAGCAAAGCATTTTGAGACAACGTACTACTCTCTCCCCTCTTCTGATTTTGAAGCGATCTCATATAATCGTCCCTGGATCGAGCTGAAGCACTCAAACTGTCACTGCTTATAGTCTGGGACGAGTCCGAACGATGGCCGTTTGCTCTCCCGGACCAGCTGGTCCTTGATTCCATGTCGTCGTCTGCACCGGTCGAGCGCGGCAGAGAAAAGAGAGCTATACGTATCATATGGGCTCCTATATGTTGCTGCAGTGCAGTGGCATCTGAAATGTCAGCAAAGCAGATTGGACAAGGTCGATCAGCAAGCTCAGGTACAGATTCTCCCACGCGCAGCAGTTCTGTGGTTTCCAATTCTGTGCGGTTCGACGCATGAAACTCTCTTATATGGTGCTTATACGCGGCAATCGTTAGGAATGTTGCTTCGGTATGTTCAAGGCAGCGCCAGATTCGCCGGTGGCATGAATCTTCATGGGCAACCCATGCTTGGGCCGTGTCAAAGAGAGAGGTCGCTTCCGAGCAGTCGCGGTATGTACAGACGTACGGGCGCAGATCTCGCAACAAATGGGACCTATAAAGGATATGTTAAGGTTTTGCATTTCAATTGGTGTAGAGGTCAAACTTGCCTCCATGCCTTCTTTCCAAGGTATGCTCCAGAACACAGTGTCAAGCAGTATGGACATTCGAAATAGCGCTGGCCCTTGAGCCTTGAAGGCGGTTCTGGTATTTCTGAAATCTCCCTCTTAGTGGTAGAGGCGCTGCGATTTGATACCGCGTAATCTGAGACTGTAACCATGGATTCGGTGTCTCCAAGGTCAATTTGGGCCGAAGCCAAAGTAGTCGCGGTAGTCGGCAGAGAAGGGACTATGGAGTCAGCATGAACCGAGCGTGCAAGAGTGACGGCGCCTTGTGCGCTTTGTGCAGCTTGTTGAGGTTGTTCCTGTCGAACTCGTATAGTCCATGCATCGAGCTTCTTTCGGTGTCGGCTCCAGTATGCGAACTGTTTTCGTCGAGTAGTGTTCGCCTTTGCAAGACGCTGGGCGAGGAAATCCAATGGTTCTCTTCGAGCGGAGTCTAAAGCTTGAGGTGTAATTGCGGCCTCCTCAGGGGAACAAAATAGGTCAAAAAATCGATAATGTCTGAACACCTCACACAAGTGTTTCCGATCAAGCGAGGCATACTCTTCCGCCAAATCAACCCCGGTTTCGCGATCTGTCATTGCGAACTCGAGGACCTTCTTGGACAAGGTTCTGGTCGTAGGGTTCCTGATGCGTGTGGCGATTTTGTAAAGGCAGTTGATTGTCTCCGCTATGCTCTGAAGAATCAAGCTGAAGTTTTGCTCCCCAAGGCCGCCACTTTCTGAGCCATAATCGGCCTCCAGCATGCTCTGTTGGGTGGCTTCAACTGCTTCAACTGCTTGATCTGGGTAGTCGGGAAGTCGTTCCGTCTCGGCAGACGCGTTGACGTCCTCCATGACGCTCAGGTCGCCATGAACGAGGAACTCCTTACCTATTAGTCAAGTCAGGAATTGCGAGCTCGAGGTTGTAAGGGAAGCCTCACATTCGAGCAGTGACTCGCACAGGTCATTTAAGAAGGCCTCAATGGCATCGCGCACCACATCAGCTTGCCGAAGACGATAATCCAACGAACTATGACCAAGGTGCGTGGCTCCAAGGTTGGACGTCCATAGAACTAGTCTCTCACGTTGTTGCTGAATGCTGAGATCGGCTGAGGGACCCTGGGCTTCTACATCATCAGGTGCAATGATGGCGAGATCCGCAAATAATTGGAGAGCATTGGCAGACAGTGTCGCCAAAGACACTGTGGTGGTCTCCGTTTGCCCAGGAATCGAGTGAAGAGCACTCAGTGGCGACGTGAGGCTGGTCCTGCAATCTTCGATCATAATCTTTGATTTCTAGGCTGCAGGACTTGCTGTTGAGGGAACGCAGCCTTCAAAGCTGGATAATAATGTCGGGCTTTGAGATTGCTGGCACTGTTCTTGCAGTAATACCGATACTTCTACCGGCACTTAATCTGTACAAACCGGGCCTCAGCCGCGCTTCTGTCTTTTTCCGCCGGAGGAAACATGTGGAGAAGCTCATCCATGCTTTGCACCTTCAGACAGCCTTGTTAACGGAGAATGTGCGAACATTGGTGATTAGGGTTGGGGTCGACGTCGATGACATACCTGAAGACCCGCAGCAGCTGTTCGAGCTACTTCACGACGACAATTACCTGAAGGAGAGGGTTAAGACTTATTTGGGCACAGAGGCGAATCAGCTGTACATGTCTGCCATAGTAGCCTGTGAAGAGGTTGTGCGCAATATCGCTGCTCATATCGAGGGCTTCCTGCCTGCAGGGCATCTGGTCAGTTTCTATGCAGGCTAGTGAGGCCAAAACGATAACTTTGCTCGGCTAAAATGTGCTAGAGACACAACCTGGAAGTCTGAGTGCCTTTGTCCAAGCCAATCGAACTGCCGTTGGCAACGGCTTCGATCTGAGAGCGCGGTTCAACCTGACTCTTGGTCGCTCGGATGTTGATAAGAGCATTCAGGAACTTGACAGATCCATTCTTGTTCTCGAACGCCTGTCTGCTGCCGTGGCGGCAGCAGACAGGCGAGCGGAGGGGCTATCTCACGCACAGCTACAAAGTTCGTAGTGGCAGTTGCGAAATCCAGGGACAATGCTGCGAGGCTGTACTCGGCCATTGCCAACGGATGGACCTGTAAATTCCACAAATCCCATGAAGTTAAGCTGAGGCTCGACAGAAGGCCACCAGCTCTTACTCGTGCCGCTCTCAAAGCAGACCACGCGGCGACTAAGGGTCCGGTGTTTGAGGTTGTCTTCCGCTGCGATCAGCCCCAAAATGATATCCTTTGGCATGAGAGCAAGGTCGAAATGCTCGAAGAGGCTCATCTCAATGGATCAGCGGCCACCTTGCCACAGCCGCCAACAGGGCCCAATCCGCGTCCGAAGGTTACAATCTCAATACCGTCGGCCGTAGTGGCTCTGCCGGCAACTTCCCAAAAAGTGGATTGCCTATGCTCCTCCCTGAACTGCGCAATTACTGCCAACAAGATGCTGCACCTGTACATTGCCTCTCAGGCGAAATTGCATTGCGACCACCGCGAATGCCCGTCACTTTCTTCTGCTGAGAAAAAGTTCGACGTGCTTTGCTTGCGGGAGTTCCTCTCGATCCAGGGTGGTCAGTATAGGAGGATTGCGTTGAGGGACCGCATGCTTTTGGCGTTGACGCTTGCCATTTCTCTAATGCAGCTATACGAAACACCATGGTTGGACAAGAGCTGGTCGAAAGAAACCATTCAATTTATGAAGGTACCGGATGGCAACGGCAAAAGCGTGTCAGCAGTGGACATCGATTTCACCAAACCGGTAATCTCCCGCGAGTTCTCCTCCGCGTCTCACCGTTCAGCGAAACATCTGCAACCCAAGGAGGCACTCCTCGAGCTTGGAATCATGCTTCTTGAGCTCTGGCACGAGAAGACGATTGGGGATCATTTCTGTGCAATACCCGTACCGGCCGACTATTGGGGCAAACTTCGACTGGCATCAATTTGGCTTGATGACATGACAAACCCTTTACTCCCACAATATCGGCTTGCAGTGGCACAGTGCGTCAAATGCTTCTTCGGTAGTAGATTCTGCAGTCCTAGCTAGGACGACTTTGAATTTCGAAAGGCGTTGGTTAGAGATATGGTCGAGCCGTTGCATGAGAATTGCAAGCCGTGGTTATGACAGCGGTTGCATGTACAACCCCTTTTGCTAACATGCACGAACACCCTCCGTGGTAAAATGTCCAGGGGCACTTGAGGTGCTTCATGCCCTCTCCGCCACACATAGCTTGATCGATATCTCCATGGGTATCTATGTTCAGAAACATCGAGCTATTGCGCCTTGCCACCATTGTCAGTAAATACAAGGCTTAATTTTTTCACTTGCTGTCCAAACGTACAACTGGCAGAAGAGCTGTAGAGGTGATTGAGGCGATGGAGGTGAGTGAGATGGTTTTGAAGGCGAGTGCAAGGGTTCGTGGTTGTAAACAGCAGCACGTGAGCTGCGGGCAGATTTGACTTCCTTGTGCTGCAAAGCAGGCAGCCAGATTTTGCCTCTTCTTGTCACTGATATGGCCACTCTGTCTCCTTGCACTCTCGCTCATTTTTAAATGGTCTTCAAGACCAGCCTATATCCGATAGAAATGAGCCTGCTGTCCCTCGACTTCTGGCCTCTTACATCTCTTCATGGTTTGTCTTGGGCGATAACTTGAAGCCGACACGCTGTTCCAAAATGACAGCCGTAGCAAAGATCAAGCTGCTTATCCTCTTAACCCTTCTCCTAGCAGGCACAGCACTCTCATCCCGGAAGACCAACCCAAAGAAGGTCCCCAAGAATGCAGTCTTGCTTTCCAAGGTTTCTGCCATCACCGTCCGCGCCGGCAAACAAACCACCTCCCGTCGAGTTTCTCCAGTGCCTCAATTACAATGCGTGGGACCCGCGAGAATATGCAAGCTATACACGGTCGATGTCATGAGATGCACCAATGAGGGTTCTGACTATGATGAAAACAATGTCCAGTGGAGCTGCAAAGCTTCCCTGCCCGAAGAATTCAAGCTCGGAAGCACAGAAGTGACCTGTGAAGGCTACGAGAGCAGTGAAGACCCATATGTTCTTTCCGGCAGTTGTGGTGTTGAGTACATGCTTCTGTTGACGGAAAAGGGAGAAGAAAAGTATGGTTCTGGCAGCTTCTTTGACTTTCGTGGCTCTGGCGACAGTGAGAACACCGGAGAGAAATACGCAGGCTACTTATTCATGGCATTGTTTGGTCTGGTCCTGTTTATCATCTTGCGCGGGCTCTACAATGCCTGGCGCAGTGATACACCGCGGAGACCGCGAGGAGGCGGTGGCTCTGGCGGCTCTGGCGGCTTTGGCGGCGGTGGGGACGACAATGATCCTCCACCCCCGTATGATCCACGGCCTCCTCCACGACCGAAAAAGGCCACCTGGTCATCGGGCTTAGGTTCAAGATCGGGAAATACAGGTGCTGGGTGTCAGGACCAAGGGTGGCGGCCCGGGTTCTGGACTGGTACGGCTGCTGGAGCTGCTGCAGGGTACTTAGCAGGAAGGGGTGCGCGCACACAGCCCGACCCGCCGCAAACCCGGCCGGCGACCGGTGGGTGGTTTGGAGGCGGCGGAGGAGGGGGTTATTCTGCTGCACCCAGACCAGGGCCATCGTCCTCCAGGACTACAAGTTCGTCGAGCTCGAGTTATTCGAGCACGAGACATGAAAGCACTGGGTTTGGAGGCACGAGCCGGCGGTAAGACATGGGTAGTCAAGGGAGATGTGACGTCTCCCGCGAGGTATCTTAGCTCGGGGACTCTGCATGTTACATAAAAACGGCTTGGATCAATCATCTACCTACTACTCCGTGCTCTGTATATCTGTTAGACTTGGTCCCTTCGGACTTTCGATGGTCAACGTGAAAATGGATGTTTAACGCGTCCCCAACGCGTTGGCACGTGATTTTTGGAGTTCTCATTCGGACTGCTTCAGGCGTCAGCATTTGCTTCTCTGATTCCAACCGTCAACTCATCTTGAAATCCTGGATTTCATTTGTATGACCCTTCACACTGGCTCTGGGGGAGTTTTGATGTGTCTTTGCGACAAAGACAAAGAACGACCGTAGAGCAACCATCCGACGCAACGGCATCTCGCACTCTCGTGCCTATTCCTTCCGCCCCAGCGACTTTGGATGTTTCTCTGATTGTGGCTCTCGTGGCGACATTGTTACATATCATGCGTTAGTCGCCACTGATATATGGCTGATATTGGGGCATTGGTCCGAGTTTGAACGCGTTTCCTGGTTCAATTCTGACAAACCAGACAGCGGATGGACTTTTCCATTGCCTCGCTCCGGTGTCGAAATCATTGCAGCCATTCTCCATCAGCATGAACTGTCCAGACCACTAGCTTATACTTTATCGGACCTGATCTCTGCACCTAGCAGTGCGCAAGATTCACTCTGATCCCTTGGCTTTGGATACTTACGCCAAAGGCGTCTCGTGTGTGCATCGCCAGCCAGCGTATGTTGGTCTAGCAGTTCATTTACGAAAATCATCACCCTGCTGGACAACATCCCTTGATTGTACAACAAGGGAAACTCAGTTCATCTTTGTCGAAGCGTGGCGTACGGTGCTTGGCCCCCGTGCAGACGTCTTTCTCAAGATTCAACTGTGCAACATTATAAGCAACAATTGATCTGACCTTCATCAGAGACTGACTCCTTTAAAGCCACCCCCAGACACTAAACCTCTACGATTTGTGGATCATCTTGTCTTTCACCTTCACCTCACTTCGCACTCTACCTTTGCTGGTACTATTCTTGTGTCTTCTCTTCTCGAGGACGTGATCGTTGGAAACACCATCAACTTGCTTGAAGGAAGGACCTACATCACTGCCGACATATCTAAGCTCTCTCTGTGAACAGCCTGGGTCCGGCGCATGCTGGACACTACCACTACACACGATAATTCCTGGGTGAAGTCGACAGGAGTTGACCCCGCGACCACCCACGATACCACACCTGCTCTTTCGTGAACTAGACGAGAGCAATGCCTCCTCAAGTCATCAATCTTATCTCTGACGACGATGAGGATTTCAATCTGCCTTCCCATTCAACAGGGAAAGGGGAGGCTGCAAATCCCGCGTCAAATCAGGGTAAAAATCCGAGCATCAGCAACAAACGTGACGTCGCGGGCAGCAGACAAGGAATGCTGGATGAGAATATTAATCTGGGCATGCCGTTCTGGGACGTGAATGAGAACGAGGACATTCTTCACAATGCCACATCAAGAAGCTCAACCATAAGCAGCCACACCGAACGTGGCAGTCCCGGAGAGGAGCGGCCACGTCCTATGGCACGAAGAGACAACGGCAAAGGCAAGCAACGTGAGCTTGAAATCCCGGCAATCGACCTATCTCAGCTAGATTCCGATGACAATGATGATGGTGGAGTTCTTGACTCTGGTAATGGGGACCTCAGCGAGGACGAAGCCCTGCGACGAGCCATTGCAATGTCACTCCAAGAACAGACACCTTGTCACGAGTCCAACGAGAGCGCGAGTATGGGCACATCGTCAACTTCGTCAAGTGCAGCAAAAGTGAAGGGGAAAGGAAGCGCCGGACTGTTGAAGGACGTTGGCTCCACGAGAAACACAGAGAATGCGACGACACAAACGCCAGATGATCGAACCATTTCTCTCTCACCGTCTCCTTCTCCCGCTTTCCTTCCAAACCCGCACCAGACCGCAAGGGGGCTTTTAACGCCACCATCTCCAGGGTCGACGCCAACGACATCAGCTGCGGATGTCAAAACTCATCCTACCACAACCCGTCATGGATCCGGGAATTCTGCACCAACCCCAATCCCTAAGCCACAGTTGTCCAGTCCCAGCGACGGCATGTTTAGCCTGGCAGACCTCGACCGGCGACAAATGGAAGCGGAACGACTGGCTCGACGGAAACGGAAGCTCGAAGGAGAAGGATCAAACCATGAGAACCAGGGCGGAGAAGGTCACAGTGCCAAAGTCGTCAAGCTCAGTCAGCCGGCGACAGCGACAGTGACAATGACGGCGACGGCGACAGAATCTATGACGCGGATGACGGAATCGACTGGAACGGGAACTCGATCTGGATCTGGATCAATACCGCCAAATCATCAGCAGCTGACCGACAACATTCGCAGGAACAGCGGCGATTCGAGGCGCCAATTGCAGTTGCCCGCAAGAAACAACAGACCGGCAGCAGCAGCACTGGTCCCAGCAGCATGGGGCTTCAATGCTGGACAGTGCACGGCAGCCATTGAAGCAACGTCGTCAAGTTGGAAAGCCGAGATTACTGGCAATGGCAAAAATAATACCAGCGGTGTTGCACCGCCGCCTATGAATGCTACGCTGCCTAATCCCACACCGACTCCTCTTCCGCCAACCATTAACATTGATGATGACGACAACGACGACTTCGTCAATAACACCACCACCACCACCGCCGCCACCACCACCAGCAATACCAACAGCAGTGCTCTAAACCTCTATCCGGAAGGCATTGCTCTGAAGACGTACATCGCCGGCCATTCGTCCGCGGACACAATCACATTTGCGAAACTTGTATCCCCCTCGTCTCGGCTCGAGTCGTGCCTCCTATCCTCCTTTATCTGGGACTTCGACTGGGTTTTCCCGTACTTCGAGACGCGGCGGACCAAGTTCCAGCTCGTCATGCACGCCAGGGACGCCGCGCAGAGGGAGGCGCTGGTGCGGGACTTTCAGGGCGTGCCGAACGTGCGGTTGACGTTTCCGCCTATGGGGGGCAACGTCAACTGCATGCACAGTAAGCTCATGTTGCTGTTTTACAAGGACGAAGGAGAGGAGAAGGGCGATGGCCATGGTGGTGCGGCAACAGCAACGGTGGGGAAAAGTGCTCTGGGGGGTTGGAAGAAGGGCGGCGGAGGTGGTCAGAGATGTCGCATCGTGGTGCCCACTGCGAACCTCGTCGACTTCGACTGGGGCGTCGGCGACTTCATGGAGAACACAGTCTGGCTTATTGACTTGCCTGCCAAACCCCTACCTCCTTCTTCCACAAATTCGGCGTCTTTGGACGGTGCGAC